GTCAGTTCCTCTCCTCCATGGACAGAAACCCGCAGAGTCCCGAACGCTCCAGTGGAGCGAACCGCTCGTTGATATCGGCGGTTTGTTGTTGGAGTTGACGAGACGATCCACTGAGAGCTTTCAGCAGCTTCTTCTCGTCTGTCTGCGGACTGGCCGAAAGTTGGTGACCGCGGAGAGGAGTTGAAGGCGAGTTGAACGCGAGACGTCGTCCAGCCATTATTCACGAAGCAGCAAAAACCAAACAAAGGAACTGGAGATACAGTTCTTCTGAACGTAGTAACACACGTGTCTGTTTGTATGCTCGTCTTGCAAGTACTGCTGTATCAGTCATGCCTATGACCTCACACGTGATTGGACGAGGAGTCTAAGGGTCCTCCAATCACATACGAGGTTATTGTTATACAGAAGGACCAGTATTTTAGGAAGACAAATGGTTGGGACTTTGAAACAGCTGATATGCTTTATGTAAAGCAGTGTTTTGGTGTCAGCAGAACGACTTTCACTAGAAATCTGTACAGTGGTGCCTCTTTCTCCATTCCACCAGACAATCTTGAGTCTGACATACATGCAATGTTGACAATGTATCATCAGATGTACCCTTGTGTCACTGAGGTTGAATGTTTTGCCGTGACATGTAAACGGGTAACATATATGAATGTAACTTACTCAATCGATAGATGCAGAGCAGAAAGGTCAGCATATGTTCATGCTAAGTGGTGTGGAAACACTAACAGTTTTGAGGAACCCGTCCTTGACCCTCTAGCAGAACTACGACCAGCCATTATAAAGCAGTTTATAGTTGTTAATGTTGTGTCAAAGGGTACGGCATTTAAACATGTTCGTGCACACGTTTCCTGGCTTCATCCCCACCCGGACAGACATTTTTATTGAAAGCCAATAGAAGTTTGGGGCTTGCAGGGAACAGACACGTCATACCCAGCATCATTTCTGCCAGTTGAGCGCATTGCTAGAAGATGTGTGGTTAATACATCCTCTGTGCATTTAAGTAAGACCAAAGAAAAGGTCACTGTAGTCCTGCCACTATGCACTGTAGTTGAGCTCTAGGAGACTGTGATCTTTGCAGACCCCTCATGCTGATTCAAATGTTGTTTGCATGGAATGCTCATTTTACCTTGATTAAAACTAATTTTTTAAAGAAGTTATTTTGTGTATCTTTTTTACATAACATTTGCCATTGCTAATGGCATACACAGTAATCTAGCATATTTGAATTAAATAAATCAATTAAAGCTAAAATTTAAGAGTCTATAATTAGGCTACTGAGCCTGATCTATTTGTACCAGAGATTTTCTTACCTTTTAAAAAAATGTCACCTCGGCTAAAACTCCCTCTGCGACCCTGATTTGCATTTGTATAGCTCACAGCATTGTCATTTACATGTCAAAGCCTCCCCTAGAATTAGGAGGAGGGGGGTCATGGGGGGACAACTGCCAAGAGAGGCCCATATGAATTTCTGACAATTAACGGCAGTTTTCGGCGTTGCCCGCAAATTGCCGCAAACCTGAAATTCCACGACAATTTACAGTGCCGCATACTGCCGAAAATCCCACTTTTCATGCAGTGATGGTACGTGAGCACCAATGTTTTGAACTGGATGCGGGCGGCCACCGGTAGCCAGTGAAGAGAGCGGAGGAGTGGAGTAGTGTGGGAGAATTTCGGAAGGTTAAAGATCATGTTTGAGCATAAGGATGTTCATAAGTGTACGTGGTACCAGAGCACCCTAGGCCAAAGATCAATGATCAATTTTGTAATCTTATCGTCTGATCTGAGGCCGCATGTTCTAGACACTCGGGTAAAGAGAGGGGCAGAGCGGTCAACTGATCACCATTTGGTTGTGAGCTGGGTCAGAGGATGGGGGAAGACTCGGGACAGACCCGGTAAACCCAAGCGTGTAGTGAGGGTGAACTGGGAACATCTGGAGGAGGCCCCGGTCCAAAAGATTTTCAACTCACACCTCCGGCGGAGCTTCTCTCACATTCCTGTGGTAGGTAGGGGACATGTAACCAGAGTGGTGTATGTTCAAAATCTCCATTGCTGAAGCCGCGGCAGTGAGTTGTGGCCTCAAGGTCTTAGGTGCATCAAGGGGCGGTAACCCTCGAACCCCATGGTGGACACCGGTGGTCAGGGAAGCCGTCCGACTGAAGAAGGAGGCCTTCCGGGTTATGATATCCGGTGGGACTCCGGAGGCAGTTGCAGTGTACCGACAGGCTTGAAGGGCAGCAGCCTCTGCCGTGATGGAGGCGAAGCAGTGAGTATGGTAGGAGTTCGGGGTAACTATAGAGAAGGACTTTCAGTCGGCACCAAAGTACTTCTGGAAGACCATCCGGCACCTCAGGAGGGGGAAATGGGGAACGATCCAAGCTGTGTACAGTAGGGATGGGACCCTGTTGACCGCGACTAAGGAGGTTATCGGGCTTTGAGGAACTCCTGAATCCAACTACCTCGCCCTCTTTGGTAGAGGCGGAGCTGGAGGCGGAGGAGGGATCATCGTCAATTGGCCTGGTGGAGGTCACTGAGGTAGTCAAACAACTCCGCAGTGGAAAAGCCCCGGGGATTGATGAGATCCGTCCAGAGATGCTAAAAGCAATGGGTGTTGGGGGGTTGTCTTGGATGACACGCCTCTTCAACATTGCGTGGAAGTCTGGGACAGTGCCAAAAGAGTGGCAGACCAGGGTGGTGGTATCCCTCTTCAAAAAGGGGGACCAGAGAGTGTGTGCCAATTACAGGGGTATCACACTACTCAGCCTCCCGGGTAAAGTCTACTCGAAGGTGCTGGAAAGGAGGGTTCGGCCGATAGTCAAACCAAGGATTGAAGAGGAACAATGCGGTTTTCGTCCTGGTCGTGGAACAACGGACCAGCTCTTCACTCTTTCCAGGATCATAGAGGGGGCTTGGGAGTATGCTCATCCAGTCTACATGGGTTTTGTGGACTTGGAGAAGGCGTATGACCGGGTCCCCCGAGAGAAACTGTGGGAGGTGCTGCGGGAAAACCATCCAATCCTTGTACGCCCAAAGCGAGAGCCGTGTTCGGGTGCTCGGCAGTAAGTCGAAGGCGTTTCCGGTGGGGGTTGGCCTTCGCCAGGGCTGCGCCTTGTCACCAATCTTGTTTGTGGTTTTCATGGACAGGATATCGAGGCGTAGTCGGGGGGAGGAGGGTCTACAGTTCGGGGGCTGCGGATCTCATCTCTGCTTTTTGCAGATGATGTGGTCCTGATGGCATCTTCCGTCTGTGACCTCCAACTCTCACTGGAGCGTTTCGCAGTCGAGTGTGAAGCGGTCGGGATGAGGATTAGCCCCTCTAAATCTGAGGGCATAGTTCTCAGCAGGAAACCGATGGATTGCCTACTCCAGGTAGGGAATGTGTCCTTACCCCAAGTGAAGGAGTTCAAGTACCTCGGGGTCTTGTTCACGAGTGAGGGGAAGATGGAGTGTGAGTTTGGCCGGAGAATCGGAGCAGCGGGGGCGGTATTGCACTCGCTTTACTGCACCGTTGTGACGAGAGTTGAGCCAGAAGGCAAAGCTCTCGATCTACCGGTCAATCTTCGTTCCTACCCTCACCTATGGTCATGAAGGATGGGTCATGACCGAAAGAACTGGGTCACGGGTACAAGTGGCCGAAATGGGTTTCCTCAGGAGAGTGGCTGGCGTCTCCCTTAGCTCAACCATTCGCAAGGTGCTCTGAGTAGAGCCGCTGCTCCTTTGCGTCGAAAGGAGCCAGTTTAGGTGGTTTGGGCATCTGGTGAGGATGCCCCCTGGAAGCCTCCCTTGGGAGGTGTTCCAGGCACGGCCAGCTGGGAAGAGGCCCCGAGGAAGACCCAGGACTAGGTGGAGAGATTATATCTCTGCACTGGCCGGCGAACGCCTTGGGATCCCCCAGTCAGAGCTGGTAGATGTGGCCCGGGAAAGGGAAGTTTGGGGTCCCCTGCTGGAGCTGTTGCCCCCGCGACCCGACCCCGGATAAGCGGTTGAAAATGGATGGATGGACTAATGAGGGAATTGGCTGCAGGTGGGAAGGGCATGAAGACCAGGTGAAAAGAATGAGATGATTTCATGTTGATGACGGGATCTGGAATGACAGTCTGGAATGATAAGTTAATTGACAAGCAGGCAGGCAGGAGGAAAACATAATAAGAAAATAATAGGATGGAGAATTCGTGACAGACACAGAATATTACTAAAAAAGTGAGCTCTTGGTCCTGATGTTCAGAATTGATATTCCTTCTAAAATTTAGGAATTCTTCTTCTTCTGAAGAAGATCCTGAAAAAGGTTGTTTTCATTTGAAAACAAACTTTTGCCTTTTTCAAAGAATCTTTAGTTCACACACAAACATCCCAGGGTTCTTTACTGCTGTTTTTATTCTTCATTATTTATAGTATTATTAACTATATCATGCAGCCTCAATCAGAGGGCTGCATCCATTTTCACTGAAGCTGGAGTTTCCTGGCTTTAGTCATAAAGAGTAAAGGAAGAGCAGTTGAGTCAGCTGGTGGTGATTGACACCTAGGTGATGGTTACAGAAGGTTCTTACCAAACCACCAAGCAGCTGCATGGCGGAGTGCACGAATAAAAGCAGTAGAAGAAGAAGTGTGTAAACAGAGAGCTGGTTTCTGTGTTGTAACGGGGCGGGGGGGGGTTGAGTGACAGGAGCAGCCCAGGCCTCCTTATGGTCAGCAGCTCTTTAAGGACTCAGACCAGCGTTTCTTTGATCTTCTCTGACTGATTTTATGATCCCACCAGAGAGACTTCTCACAGATCTGATGGCTCATGATCACAGATCCATTCACATCAGACCCCCAGCCGGCCCACCAGCACGGTGGCGGTTGCATAAATGGCTGCCATGTTCCATCATACCCCCCTAAGGGGCAAGGCCGGCCAATGGGGAGCCTTGGAGCTGTGATGATGCTGGTCTTCCCCCCCGGTATAAAGCCCTACGGCACCAGGCCGGCCCTCCTGAGCAGTTGCAGCCTCGGGTGGAGGGACAGCACGGAGGGAGACAGGACTGCACCATCAGAGTGTGGTTTTGTTTGAGTTGGGGGGATTCGAGGCTTGACTGTTCTCATCTTGGATTTTGACCCTCTTGGTGGATAAGAAGCGGTTTCCTGTCTGTCAGCTGGGCTCCGTCCCATCCGTGCGACGCTCTTCGGGGCACACGGTGAGTACGCTGCGCCGGGCAGCCCCTGTCAGTCACTGGGGTTCTTTGGAGTGTTTTGGGGGGTGAATCTGGTGTTTGGGTGTGTTTACACTGTGTGGGTGCATTGAGGCGGAGCCCTCGTGCAGCAGCAGACAGGAGGAAGCCCAGAATAGCCGCTGAGAGCACCAGAGAGGACCGATGGCTTTTTAAGGAAATCAGCTGCACCCGTATCAGATGCTGCTCAGCTATGTGCCACATGGTGGCTGTCAATCAACCAGTGTGTGTGTGTGTGTGTGTGTGGGAAGGGGGGGGGGGGGGTATTTCTGACTACTGCCTTATCGGACTATCCCTGTAAATAGAGCTCATCCACTTTGTGGCAGCTTCAAACTGTTTTCATCGCTCCATTCCATTCTGGCTCTCTAAAGGCTTCAAGAAGAAGACAATTAAAACATACACATGTATTATACATGTGTATGTTTTAATTGTTTATGTATACATATATACATATGTATACTTATATATAGGCCACTGATTGATCTTCATCTTCATGCTGATGATGCAGAATGAAAAAATTAGCTGTCCTTGTGATACTTTCAAAGACATGAGAGAAGGAAAGAACTCACCAATAACTGATCATAAGCTTGTTGGAACACATTCAGATCTTCATGAACATCAAATATAAATATAGTTTATGATTACTGCTGCTTCCATGACTTTATTTACAGCGTCACGGTTTTGTCTTCTTTTAACTTATTTCTGTCACGTATTATAGTTTATTTATATCTAATAATCTGATTCATTATTCTTGACTTTACATTTTTATTTCAATCAGAGATCAATAACACACATTTCGAGAGAAAAACACTTCAAATGTAAATTATCTTACTTAAATGATAATAAATAGCTCTGAGCATTAATGACAATCAAATAATCTTTCCTGTCGCTAGTCAGAAAACTGGTATGTTTATTATAGTTTATTGCATCATTTCTATGATGCGTTAGTCCTTAATTATTAAATCATTAAGATATGTCAACAATATGTCTATAGTAATTAATAGGTATAATGCATGTTTTAACAAATAAATAAAAACAGGTAAAATGTTCACATAAAAGCATTTAGAGGATCTCTTGTAATCGATGGTTAAAAACTTTTTTCATAACTTCTGTATGACTTCCGTACAAAGTTGTACTCTCTTTTCTGAAACTGTACAAAGTTGTACAGAAGTCGTAGAAAGTCATAAAGAAGTCGTAAAGACGTCGTACAAAGAGAAATGTATCTCTTTATTTGACTTTAAATTGTCAGAACAGAATCAAATATATGAAATCAAGATTTATGATTTCAGAAACTTATTTAAATAACTTCATGGTCAACAGAAACAAAAACACCACTCTAATAGACTTAGAGCAGGATCCTCATGACATCATTATGGATTATGAAAACTAAAAACCAATTTTGAAAATGGGACATTTTGGAATGAGAGATGAGAAATTACATTATGTCATTTAGCTGACGCTTTTGTCCAAAGCGACTTACAATAAGTGAATTTCACCATAAGGATACACAAGAGCCACAATTTAAGTGCTACAATTCGTTAGTGTTTTTAGTCGAGGTAGAGTCTGAAGAAGTGTGTTGAAGGGACGTTGAATTACATAAAATTATTCAGATTTTACATAATAAGTAGAATGAGAACAAACTGACTTCATTTGTCTGAGAGCAGCTGATCTCCTGTTAATTAATGAATTTATTATTAGTTATTGAAGTCAGGAAGCATTTCATATGTAGATCTTATTTTATTGTCTGTTTGATCCCTTTTCAGTTGAACTTGTTCTTCTCTTTCCATTCTTTGATGACTTCCCTATATTATGCGTTCTTTTATTCCTCTTCCTCGTTTATTTTTCATACTTTTTTGTTGCAATTTTGTTAATTGAAAATGTTCCTCTTGAATAAAACTGGTTAGTTTATTGTTAAAAGTTTCCAATTATGCTCTTTTGAATATGAGAAAATATTATTTGTATTAGTTGATTAGTTGTTATTAATTGGTATTGATTGCATCATTGTGTTGTTGGGACTTACGGAATGTTCACATGAAAAACCAGCCCACGAAATAACTTCTTGTGTTCTGATGACTCCGACGGACATCCAGCTGCCGCTGTCGATCAGCATCATCGGCCCTGCTACAGGCTCCGCCTCCTCACATTTATAGCTCCGCTCTCTCTTTTCTGAAACTCAAACCTTCAGAGACACTCGGCACATTCCCATCCAGCAAATGGTAAATCTGTTCAAAAAAATTTTTGGGAAAATCTCAATAGTTGTAGTTGGTCGAGGTTGTAGATTCTATAACTCAGTGATATTATTGAATGAACAGATGAATCATTCTGGCTTTTTTCTTGAGGAGAGGAATTGTGGGTCATCTATATGATTGTTGTTTGAGAAACTGAGACATTCAGACTTGAAGCTGCATATTAATGGGTAGTTTGTTTGTTTGTTTATTTGTCTGCAGGGTGCCGACCAACATGTCAACACGGGCGCCGACGTTCACGCAGCCGCTGCAGAGCGTCGTGGCACTAGAGGGAAGTGCCGCGACGTTCGAGGCTCAAGTTAGTGGTAAGAAAGCTTCTTTTCATTTAGCTGGAACACAAACTCTCTTGTGTGGTTTCCATGGACATTTGACATCCATTTGACATCTCAGACAAAATGGCAACTTTTATTTAAATGAGGGCATTGTAAAAATTAGGTCTTCAATCTGATTTCCCTGAGTCCTGAGAATAAATAAGTAAAACAATGTTTTGTACCTGAGGTCTTGTGAGACTTGAGTACAATTTAACTGAGTCTCGGTGATCTGGAGGTTCTTTGGTTGTGGTTCTCTGATGAGAAGATCTGGTTCTTTTCTCCTCTGCAGGTTCTCCACTTCCTGAGGTGAGCTGGTTTCGTGATGGCCAGGTTCTTTCCTCCGCAGCTTTACCCGGTATACAGATCTCGTTCAGCGACGGCCGCGCTGTCCTGAGGATCCCCGCTGTGACCGCCGCACACAGTGGGAGGTTCTCAGTCAGAGCCACCAACGGCGCCGGACAAGCCACGAGCACCGCCGAGCTCCTGGTCACCGGTGAGACTGAAACAAGCAGAGAGACATGTTCAATATTTTGATTCAGATTCTGACTGAGAATTCTCCGTTTACATCAATAATTATAATTTTTTTCTCTGCAGCCGAGACGGCCCCTCCGAACTTCCTCCAGAGACTGCAGAGCTCCACAGTGAGACAGGGCAGCCAGGTGAAGCTGGACGTCCGGGTCTCCGGCATCCCGACCCCCGTGGTGAAGTTCTACCGGGAGGGAGCCGAGATCCAGAGCTCGGCCGACTTTGTGATCCTCCAGGAGGGCGACCTGTACAGCCTGCTGATCGCCGAGGCCTTCCCAGAGGATTCTGGGACGTATTCTGTGACCGCCACCAACAGCAGTGGACGCGCTACCTCCACCTCGGAGCTGCTGGTTCAGGGTGAGGCTCATTTAAAGTTTCTGCTTTCTAAAACCTAATTATACATGTGTGAGTAAAACCTCTCAAAAAGAGCTGGCGGAACAATTACCTTCATAAGTCACATAATTAATGAATAGGGTCCACCTGTCCGCCATTTAGTTAAATTTAAAATTGAATTAATTAAAAATACACGTTTTCTGTGGAGGTCTCAGAATTGTTAGAAAGCGTTACCTAATAAAGAGCATTACGACCAAGGTGCTCACCAAAAAGCTCAGGGATAAAGTTGTAGCTAAGTATGAAGCAGCGTTGGCTTATAAAAAGTATACCGAGCTTTGAACATCTCACAGAGCACCATAAAGCCCATCATCACAAGATGGAAAGAATACGGCACAACCACAAACCTACCAAGAGAAGGTTGTCCACCAAAAGTGAGCAGCCGGACAAGGAGGAGATCAGAGGAGCAACCAAGAGGCTCATGGGAACTCTGGATGAGCTGCAGAGATGCACAGCTGACCGGGACCACTATTAGCATGTTCTCCACTAATCTGTGCTTTATGGAAGAGTGGCAAGAAGAAATCTGTTTTCCACAAGCCACGTGGAAGACACGGCCAACAGGTGGAAGAAGGTGCTCTGCTCAGAAGAGGTCACAACCTTTTGGCCGTGGTGCAAAACGCTGTGTGGAGGAAACCCAACACCACCCATCACGCTGAGGACACCACCCCAACAGGGAAACATGGTGGTGGGAGCATCATGCTGTGGGGATGCTCTGCAAGACTTGAGACTGGGCCCGAGCTTTATCTTCAATCAGGACAAAGACCCCAAACAAACAGCCAGAGCTACAATGGAAAGATTAAAGCATTTATGTTATAAAATGGTCGAAGCACACACCATAATCCAATTAAGAAGGGTACTTTCTGTTCTCATTAGTGTTTGTTTCACAATAAAAGGTATTTTGCACCTTCAAAGTACTGTGCACATTGGCTTGATCAAATGATAAAAAGTCTTTTTGAATTCCAGTTTGTAAAAGTACAATTGCGAGTAATCCAGATATAACCATGATCCATGGAAACCTTATCTTAAAAGAGCTGACCGAATCTGCCCCCCGGACTGAAAGTGGAAGCTGGTTCCACAAAAGAGGAGCTTGATAACTAAAGGCTCTGGCAACTTTTTAAGACTCTAGGAACAAGTAACCCAGCATCTATGGAGCGCAGCTCTCTAGAAGGGCAATACGGTGTAACAAGCTCTTTAAGATACGACGATACGACGGTGGCTTGTAAGTGAAGAGAAGTACCTTCAATTCTATTGAAATTGTGCACAATCTTTGGCGATTGGACTCCATCCTAAACCGGGATAATCAAGGGGGCGTGATGCTGAGTTCTGCTTGGCAGAATCCCCCCAAAAGGTGAATTTTAAAATTTTAAATAGGATCCCTTTTCTTAGTTCTTGTTAATACACGTGCTGCAGCATTCTGAATCAACTAGAGAAGCTTAAGAGATTTGCAAGAGCATAACAAAGAATTACAGTAATCCAGTCTAGAAGTAACAAATGCATGAACTAATTTTTCTGCATCACTTTGAGACAGGAAGTTCCTGATTTACGATGTATTACGTTGATGAAAAAAGGCAGTCCTTGAAGTTGTCTTTATATGACATTCTGCTGTGCTGCTAGATACCAGAGCAATTCCATCCATAGAAACTGTATCACATGACAGCTATCTCCGAAGGCGCTCTGGGCCTATAAAGATCAGGAAGTTGCAGGTCAAGTTTTCATGTCTCCAAGACATTTTTGAAGTCTAACAAGCTGGTCGGTCTCTTCGGTCTTGATCGACAGATACGGTTGAGTATCGTCTGCATAACAATGGAGGTTTATGCAGTGTTTTCTGATAATCTATTTATCGATCCGATAAATAGGATTTAAGATAGCTGAGAGCAGTTGATTTAATACCAATCAAATTTTCTAGTCCCTGCAACAGGATACAATGATCAATGGTGTCAAATGCAGCACTGAGGTCCAGAAAGACAAGAAAAGAGATGAGTCCTTGGTCTGAAGCAAGTAGATCATTCGTAATTTCCACTAGTGCTGTTTCTGTGCCATTATGCACTCGAAATCCTGACTGGAAATCCTCAAACAAAGCATTTAATTCAATTAATTTTATTTTGTATAGCCCAAAATCGCAAATTACAAATTTGCCTCAGAGGGCTTTACAGTCTGTACACATACAACATCCTCTATTGCATTGTTTTTTAGAAAGTCACATAATTGATTTGCAAATTGATTTTCTTAGATTAGAGATAGCTCTGCAGTTAGCCAACACCTCTGGAGCAAGAGTAGGTTTCTTAAGAAGAGGTTTAATTACAACTACCTTGAAGGACTGTGGTACATGTCCTGTCAACAAAGACAGATTCATATTATCCAGTAAAGATGTGGTAACTAAAGGAAAAACTCCCTTAAGCAGCTTAGTTGGAATCGGATCCAAGAGACAAGAAGAAGATTTAGACTTCGAAATTGTAGAAGTCAGTTGATCAAGGTTGATGGAAGAGAAGGCATCCAAGTAGGTATCAGGGCCCACTGCTGCATCCAAGGTTCCTACATCTGAGGACGGATGAGCACTGGTTGAAGGCAGGAGACCATCAATTTTCTCTTTGATAGTCAGAATCTTATCATTGAAGAAGTTCATGAAGTCGTGACTACTGAGGTCGAAAGGACTCCACAGATCTGTGACTCCGTCAGTCTGGTTTCAAATGAATTATAATCCAGTTTAGGGCATATATGACATTATGATAATAAATCCATGAATTAAATGCTCATATTTAAATCGGTGGGATGACACATGCATGTTCATGCCTTTGAGGTTTTTGGATATTATGAACATGTTGAGGGTGGCACAGTGGCGTGGTGGTTAGCACTGTCGCCACACAGCAAGAAGGTCCTGGGTTCAACTCCGCCCAGTGGCCTTTCTGTGTGGAGTCTGCATGTTCTCCCCGTGTCTGCGTGGTTCTCTCCGGGTTCTCCGGCTTCCTCCCACAGTCCAAAGACATGCTGTGGGGATCAGGTTAATTGGGGACTTTAAATTGCCTGTAGATGTGTGAATGTGAGTGTGAATGGTTGTATGTCTCTGTGTAGCCCTGTGATTGGCTGGGGACCAATCCAAGGTGTACCCCGTCTCTCGCCCGAAGTTGGCTGAGATAGACTCCAGCCCCCCCGCGACCCTGTGTGCAGGATAAGCGGTTTGATGATGGATGGATGGATGGATGAACATGTTGAGATAATAATTTTAATGATAATGTTGCTCAAATTATTTTAGTTTAAATGCACTGATCATAACGTGTGTGTTCAGGTGAAGAAGCCATTCCAGCAAAGAAAACCAAGACAGTTATTTCCACATCTCAAATTTCACAGACCCGTCAGACCAGAACGGAAAAGGTACAAAAGAATCTTCAAATAAGATTTTTATTTTATTCATAAAGCTATTAACGTAATTTAATCTCTGTATTTTACTCCCTTTTTTTGTGGTTCTCAGAGGATGGAGGCCAGTTTCCAGGCCAGCGCCATGATGGAGGTGGAAGGACCCGAGCTGACTCCGCGGCTGACTCACAAGACTCCACCCAAAGTTCCTCCCAAACCCATGTCAAAGTCCCCACCCCAGTCCTTGTTGATCACCAAAGTGACAGGTGGACGCCAACAGTCGCCGTCACCCGTGAGACACGTGAAGGCACCAACGCCAACCCCTGTCAGGTGAGTGGAGCTATAAGTGGTTCCTTCAATCAATGTTGCTGATTGCTAGATATCCCTTGTACACAAGGAACAACATGACAAAGTAACAATATATTTAATGTATGCAGCGGTGAGCCGAATGATGATTGGAAATGTATGACTTCTAAAAATAGCAATGGATGAAGTAGACCAGTGATAAATAAAAAATCAGTAATCAAGTAAGTAATATGATTGATATAATAAGAGTATTAGTAGGTGTCATCCTGGACCATGATCTAGGGAACCTGTAAGAAAATAAAAAACAAAGACTGCTGAGACAGGCCTAACTGTAAAATGTTCAAAGGTTAAATCGGCACTGTGGTAGAAAAGGGGTTAGTTGTGAAGGTTAGTGAGCGGAGTGGTGATGTTACTTGAGGTTGGCCCTCTGCAGGCCTGTAACAAGACCTCCGTCCCCCGTCACCAGGCCTGCCTCTCCCACTTCAAGATTCTTAGTCTCCCCCATCAGGTCAGTCAAATCCCCCATCACTGCACGTAAGCTGGCAACGGCCTCTGGTGACGTCCTGCCACCCTGGAAGCGGAGAGACTTTGTGGCCGAGACCAGCTACACTAGCATGACCAGTATTAGCAGCAGCACCGTCACCCAGTTGGGCCAGGAGCAGGACTGGGAGCAGCAAGTCACCGGGGTCAAAGAGGTGAGTCAGGCTACCTGAGAGGTGAAATGTTAATGGTCAATAAATAACAGTTATGCTACTTAATAAAATTCACATTCCACTTATACACCTAACGCAACATTTTTGAAAGAGTAACTGAAGCTAAAAAAAAACAACTTTAAATCACCCAACTTCTTCTTGAACAAATTGAGTGTTGAACATTGTTTTGTCTGTAACTATGTGTGTGATACAACATAAGAGGGAGGAGTTTTATGTGTGATATCCGTTCCTCATGAGTTCCTAAGAGGTTTGTGGGTTTCCTGTCTCATTGTTTTAAATGTCACCAACATGTCCGTCATTGAAAGAGTGTGACTGGATTTAAGTACATTTTCACCTCTTCATCAACCTAGTTTTCCTATATTCTTATATTGGGTTGTTTGTTTGTAGTTAAATATTTTATTCTCTGTAAATTATTAACCCAAGAGTACCAGTAGTGTCCCAACAGCCTGCAAACCATTTCGATTAAACATGTTTATTAAATCATGTATTTCAAAAGGACCATATGTTCATGAGAGTGATGCAGTTGAAGTCTCCTCCAACTGTCCAGCCGTCTGATTGCACCATATTGGGTCAAAATGTCGTTCTTTTTTCGTGCACTTGTACAATTCTCTTTGTTGGCTCTGAACAGTCGAATGAAAGAGAGTGTATCTTTCTAATTTGTTTATTAGCCTTAGACCGTTGAAATGGAGTTAGAATCATCGGACACCACCAATGTTTAGCTCAGTGGGTGGTGTCACTCCGGTTATGAGTTCAGCTCAAATTACGGGGCTGGGACCCATTTGACACCCGAGACGAGTTGTCTTCACTCCAAGAAGAACCAAAAGGTCATGTGGAGCCACGAGTCCATCACCAACCTGTCTTTACCCACAAATAAACCGTAGACATGACGCTTTGTCTGATGAAGGCAGTTCTTTGATCTGTGATCTTTACCAAGTTGTCTGCCTGGACGAGCAGGGAGCTCATCATCACCAGGCTTCTCAGAGTGCCACTTTACTTTTCAGCAACCTCAGAGTTTCTGACACACACACGTCGCCGTTCCAAAGGATACAAGGACAACTCAAATTTCCGACTCAATAACATTTTTCTTTTGGTGTTCAGTGAATTAGGTTGTAAACCTTTAAAGACAAAACAGAAATTACCTTTTAAAATTAAACATTTCAAATTAATTTCAAATGTATTTAAACATCTTATACTTTTCTTTTCATTCATTTTTTTCAAACTCAAAATGAAATATTTCAGCACAAATCCTTTAACACAAAATCTCTAATCAATGTCACTCATCCTCAACAAACCGACTAACAAAGGCATCGAGCATTAGTTATTAGATTGATATTTAGCAATGTGCCTCTCTGTTGCAGGTGCAAAGTGTTCTGTCAGACAGCTAGGCTTGAACTAATCTTTTGAGTGAGAATGATCTTCAGGACAAATGGAATGAAGTTTGGGTTTTAGTGAGGGAGCTACCAGCCAAACCAAACAGAGCCCACCCCCCATGTGCGCCATGCCATGGAGAAAACCTCTATAAGCTGCTGATTGTGTCTCCAGGCCGAGGGAGGGGGACGAGCCGGGGCCGTGGCCAAAGTGATGGCCGCCGTGGACCTAGCTCGCGTCCGGCTGCCGCTGCATGGGGAGGGTGGTCGGGCTGAAGAAGACGTAGAAGCCGAATTCAGACAGCAGGCCACACAACAGCCAGGAGCCGGCTGGACCGCTGCTCACACGTTCTTACCTGAACCCACCCCCCCACTGCCTCAGGTCAGCTGGGCCTCTGGAGCAGAAACTAAAGACACAGCACCAGATTATGAGATCGGCTCTGTTGGTCGGACGCTGGTTTGTTCGTCTTAACCTGCTGAGAAATTTTAAATGTTTCAGAGAAGCTATTTTATAATCCTCTTTAACATGCTCTTAAATTGGGTCAGGGTTAGCCTTAACCCCGAGGCTGAAGCTAACAGTGTTCATCAACACCAGTTGAAGGTATGGAAGGGTAAAGTGTAAACAATGTGGAGATTAATTAATTAATTACTGATTTAGTAGCTACTGTTAGTAAGCTGTGACTGGACGGCTGCTGTTTAACGGAGGGGTTTAACGAACGGTTATTTGGTTATATGTCTGACCTATGCAAACTTTAATATTATATTAAATAATATCAAAAAAATAAATAAGGTAGCAATGTTTTTCTCCAACTCCTTATTCTATAAGCGCAGTTCCAAAACCACTAATAGATCTGCCCTTATTTAAAACTCTTACTTTTTTCTTTTTTTTTACTTACTCTTTAGTGACAGGATCCTCCCTGTTCCTTTTATACCTTTAATACACGCCTCCATGTGGTGCTGACCCGGTGTGCCTGTTCCCTTTGGTTGGTTAGGTCTCCATCGCCGGCTCAGTTATCAAACCGCCAATGAAGAATCATGACCTGACCTGACCAAAAGATGATTCCTAACCACAAATAATACCCTTTTAGCACAATAAATATAATAATATTATAATCTTCCTTTTCACCAGAGCTTGAATCCTTTTATTTGGACTGACCCTTTTGATAAAAGTTCCATGGCCTCCGCCATCAGCCTGGTTTAGAGTCAGGTTTTGATTTCATTTCTCTCTAAAAAAAACCATCCCACGGATGACCTAATTCTAACCTCTTGAGCCCATCGAGCCTTCCTCTAATCCCACCATATCTGTCATCTAGTCTGTGTTTAACGTCTCCAACCAGTCTGGGGTCTTGTCCCATGTGTTTGTACAGAGTGCTAACCACACTATGACTCTTCCTCAGGTGATCGAGGCAGCAGCCGTACCTTCTGCAGAAGGAGCCGTGACTCCGGCCACGCTGTTGTCGGTAAGAGGACTAGTTTCCCCCTAACCCGCTAAATGTACTCATGGCCCTTTGGGAAGATAACTTCTCCTAAACGCTGTTTTGTGTGCAGGGTTTGAAGAACACAAACGTGACAGAGGGCGAGTCGGTGACCCTGGAATGTCAGATCAGCGGTCATCCTGAGCCTGCCATAATGTGGTTCAGAGAGGACTACAAGATTGAGAGCTCCATCGACTTCCAGATCAGCTACGTGAGCGGGTTCGCCCGGCTGGTAATCCGCGAGGCCTTCGCCGAAGACAGCGGACGCTTCACCTGCACCGCCAGCAGCGAGGCGGGAACCGTCAGCACCTCCTGCTACCTGCTGGTCCAGGGTCAGTACATCTAGCCAGACAGAAAGGCAGTCATTCACCGATAATTAATAGTTATTGAGTCCAGTAAGACCTTTCTATTGTGCTCTGACTGTCCAGGTCTCTTTTGTTGCTATGCTAGATCTGATCTTTCTGTAAAGACAGTAATGTCTGTCTTTCTTCTTCAGTGTCTGAGGACATCGACAGCAGAGAGGAGATCGCTGTCGTCTCCAAACAAGATGAAGTGGCTGAGAAACTGTGAGTCAATCAGGCCTGTATAAATTTTGCAAGAATGGATATGTTTGGATTTATTCATTCTTAACATAGTCTCAGTGAATGTAAACTCAAGAGTCTAAAGACTTGTGCATTGTAGCTTGGTGATTCTAAAAGACTAGATGTTTATTTTCAGAGTAACCGAACAAAGGGAAGAGGAGACCATGTCTCCGGTGAGCGGGGCTGAGCCCGACACCGAGGCCACCGCACCCTTCTTCATCAGCAAGCCCACCGTCCAGAAGCTGGTGGAAGGAGGAAGTGTCTTGTTTGAATGCCAGGTTGGGGGAAGCCCCAAACCTCACATCATCTGGAAGAAAAGCGGCATACCGCTCACTACCGGATACAGGTATGTAATGCCTTCAAACAGCACCAGCCAGGTTTTCATGGTCCCAAGAGGAACATCAATATTTGATTTATTAATGATTCTGCACATTTGCTTTTCAACTGTAAATTGACAGTGTGGAGCAAGATTAAACTTCTTCAAGTGACCTGAAAGGGAAACCACTGTTCCTTTATGGTGCCAATAGTATGACATATTAATCCATTGTAACCCATATTGTGATAGCATTCCCTCTCCTATTGCTGCTAGACCTGTGATTTTCTCTTGATTGATCCTCAAGACAAATGTTACATGATAACCCTGTAAGGGAAGATAAAATGTTTGAGTGTTGACTGAAATGAACTCTGCACAACATCTTTGTGTTGCCTTTAAGATCCTATTTCTTCCTCATGGTCCTTCAGATACAAAGTGACTTACAAGAAGGAGACAGGAGAATGTAAGTTAGAGATCTCCATGACTTTCGCTGATGACGCTGGAGAATACTCTGTTTTTGTCAAGAACCAGCTTGGAGAGGTCTCGGCCTCCTCCAGTCTGCTGGACGAAGGTACCTAGACATCTCCATAGATGAACTCCATACGCATGTCCATATGCATGAACATCGTGGACATTCTTCCCTTTCTGATGTCAGTGTGGATCCAGTCAAAGAAGAAGGATGTTTGAGCCTACGTTATATTAAATGCTTTGTTTGGCCGACAGATGAATACGAAGTCTACATAAAGAAACAGGAAGCAACCTTTAAGCCCGAAGTGACAGACACGGCAGTAGGAGACATTCCTCCTAATGTCGTTACGACTATGAAGCAAATGACAACCACCGTCATTTCTGGACAGGTACGAGATCATTATCCAGGGACACACTTTGTATAGATGTCATGTTATCAGGGTTGAGCTGTTGATTTACGGTTAAAACAATTAAGTTACTACCATTGAACTCCTTGAGTTGAATTGAGATTACCATTGAGTACCTGAACATTTCAAGTCATATCTAATGTCTCATTTCAATTGCAGGAATTCCATCTTTCTACCATTGAGCAGAGGATCTTGCATGAGTATGAGCTCTGCATTATGAGGTTTACATACAGAGAGCTAGTAACAGAGGACGGGGAGTTGATGGTGACTGCTTCCCCCGCCGAGGCTGTGATGCCCACCTTTGACACGCTCGTCAAAAACTACCGGATCATGGAGGGGATGGGTGTAACTTTTCACTGCAAGATGGCTGGAACACCACTCCCCAAGGTGCTTCATTTTTAAAGATTGAACTTAGAAATTGTTCATGTGTATCCAGAGCGGCCTGATAATGACTATATGTCTTCTCATAGATTGCTTGGTACAAAGACGGCCAACGCATCAGAGCCGGCGACCGTTACCACATGGAGGTCCTTCAGGATGGCCGAGCCAGCCTCCGCCTGCCCGTGGTGCTGCCAGAGGATGAGGGCGTGTACACCGCCTTCGCCACCAACATGAAGGGAAACGCCGTCAGCTCCGGGAAGCTCTACGTGGAGCCGTCCGGCGCCGTGATTCCTCAGAGATACACACCGCAGCCGGCAATGCAGAGGATCAGGTGAGGATCAGGCTTTGGCCTGGAGCCTCCCCTGTGCTCAACAGTTGCTTTTAGACCTCAATACTGACGACTGTGTTTCTCAGATCCACCTCTCCTCGCTCTCTGAGCCGCTCACCTGGACGTTCCTCCAGTCGTTCCCCCGGACGCTCTCCGGCCCGCCGACTGGAAGAGACGGACGAGGCTCAGCTGGAAAGACTCTACAAGCCTGTGTTTGTCATGAAGCCTTCCTCGTGCAAATGCTCCGAGGGGCAAACCGCCAGATTCGACCTGAAGGTCGTTGGCAGACCAATGCCTGACACATACTGGTTCCATAATGGTGAGTACAACATAGTAGCTATTCATTAAGGTGGTGCAAGAGAAATGTTGGCCTCAGAATAAAGAAATTCTGCACATCACCTCCTAAGGACAACAAGTTGTTAGCGATTACACCCACAAGATTGTGGTCAAAGAGGACGGCACCCAGTCCCTGATCATCGTCCCCGCCCTGCCACAAGACTCTGGAGAGTGGACGGTCATCGCTCAGAACCGAGCGGGACGGGCTTCGGTCTCGGTAACTCTTACAGTTGATGGTACGACAACTCACCATGGACTTTAGGTGAACACTTGTACTAATAAACACACATTGACTTTGTGGTTTTCATTTCTTTTCATTATTTTTCAGCAAAAGAAACCTTGGTGCGGCCACAGTTCATTGAGAAGCTGAAGAACATCAGTGTGAAGCAGGGAACTCTGGTTGAACTGGCTGTCAGAGCCATTGGAAACCCGCTTCCTGACATTGTGTGGCTGAAAAACAGTGATATCATCTCCCCACACAAGCACCCACACATCAGGCATGTTTCCATCCGGCCTATCAGTATTTATTATTTGTTTCCCTGTCTCATATTACTCATATTACAGCAAACTCAGTTATTTTGTATTTTTAATTAAATCACATCCAATTTTTAGAATACATAAGATCAAAAAATGTCCATTACAAGTAAAAATTCAAATATTGAACATATGACAAATCCATCTTTCAGAGTTGAAGGAACAAGAGGAGAGGCCAAATTCCAGATTCCCTCGACAACTGGCTCAGACAGTGCCTGGTACACTGCAACAGCCATCAACAAGGCCGGCAGAGACACCACACGCTGCAGAGTCAACGTAGAGGTGGACTTTGTTGAACCTGAACCAGAGAGGAAGCTCATCATCCCCAAAGGAACTTACAAAGCCAAGGACATCGCCCCTCCCGAGCTGGAGCCCCTTCATCTGCGCTACGGCCAGGACCAGTGGGAGGAGGGCGACCTCTACGACAAAGAGAAGCAGCAGAAACCACAGTTCAGGAAGAAGCTGACCTCCATTAGAATGAAGCGTTGTGGTCCGGCTCACTTCGAGTGTAGACTGACCCCAATCGGTGACCCCACCATGGTGGTGGAGTGGCTGCACGACGGCAAACCCCTGGAAGCCGCCAACAGGATGCGCATGGTCAATGAATTTGGCTACTGCAGCCTGGACTACGAAGCAGCTTACGCAAGAGACAGCGGCGTCGTCACCTGCAGAGCCACCAACAAGTACGGAGTCGACCAGACCTCGGCCACCTTGGTGGTCAAGGACGAGAAGGGTCTGGTCGAGGAAACGCAGCTTCCCGATGGCAGGAAGGGAGCACACCGGATCGACGAGATTGAACGCATGGCTCATGAGGGAGGACCCTATGGAGTCACTGCTGAGGAAGATACAGATAAAATGAAACCTGAGATCGTGCTCCTTCCCGAACCAGCCAGAGTGCTGGAAGGTGACACAGCGCGATTCCGCTGCAGAGTGACCGGCTATCCGGCCCCCAAGGTTAACTGGTACATCAACGGACAACTGATCCGCAAGAGCAAGAGATACAGACTTCGGTACGACGGCATTTACTACCTGGAGATCATTGAAATCAAATCCTATGATTCAGGAGAGGTTAGATTAGTGGCCGAGAACAACCTGGGATCGGCTGAACACACCGTGAAGCTGGAGATTCAGCAGAAAGAGGATTTCAGGACTCATCTGCGCCGTGCCCCCGAGGGTAAGGCAGCCGATGCAGCTCCCGAACCAGGAAAGGTACAATTTGACGTAGTGAAGTCTGAGACCCCTGCAGATGACTCTCAGCTAAAAGAGGTGGTCAAGCTGAAAAAGGCTCACAGAATCGTCCGCGAGAAAGCCACGGAGGAGTCAGAGGAGCTGAGGGGCAAGTTCAAGCGTAGGACAGAGGAAGGCTACTACGAGTCCATCACTGCCGTGGAACTCAAGTCACGTAAAAAGGACGAGTCCTACGAGGGACTGCTGAAGAAAACCAAAGAGGAGCTGCTTCACCGGGCCATGGCTAAGGAGGAGGCTGAAAAGAAAAAGGAAGAGGAAAGGAAGCTCACAGCTAAAGCTCCAAAACCAGAGAGAGTCAAGCTCTCAGCCAGCATGGAAGCTCCCAAGATCCTGGAGCGAATCACCAGCCAGACAGTCGCACAGGGCGACGAAGTCAAGTTCAGGGTCAGGGTTGTCGGCAGACCAGAACCTGAGTGCCAGTGGTTCAAAAATGGTGTTCTGCTTGAGAAGTCTGATCGCATTAATTGGTTCTGGCCCGAAGATCATGTGTGCGAACTGGTTATCAGAGACGTCAGAGCCGAGGATTCAGCTAGCGTCATGGTTAAAGCAACCAGCACTGCCGGAGAGACTTCCAGCCATGCTTTCCTGCTGGTGCAAGGTAACAAACCTGGACTTCCAGCAATGTCCTTGTAACTCTACGCTTGAATTCTATGTTTTGTAAAAAATTTGATGTTATTGTTGCAGCCAAGACGGTCATCTCCTTCACGCAGAAACTAGAGGAGATCAATGCAAAAGAGAAGGACACAACTGCCACCTTTGAGTGTGAAACCAACGAGCCTTTTGTCAAGGTCAAATGGCTGAAGAACAACGTGGAGATCTTCACCGGAGACAAATACAGGATGCACTCGGACAGAAAGGTCCACTTCCTCTCCGTGCTGATGATTGACATGAGGGATGATGCAGAATTTACCTGCAAGGTGGTAGACGAGGACATCAGCACTACGGCAAAGCTCAACGTGGAAGGTGGGGCGACTCAGTAAAAGATGACTATACCCAAACCTTAATTTTGCTTCACGGATGAAGGACACATGCGCAAACACGTATCTGTACACTTGCTGCTAGCTTTGAATTGGTCCTTTGCATTCTGAGGTTGAGTCAGATATACACTTTAAAAGCTTCTTCTTAGGCACAGTTGAAAAATATGCAACCATTTGGTTATATACATCAACACCAAGCTTTCATCTCTTTTTACAGTGAACACACACACACATTATTAAAACACCACTGATAGACAATCATAAAGGTGAACTGTAATAAAGATGATCTTCTCCGTGGTGCATTTGCTCAGGTTGGATGAGGCATTCTCCAAGTGTGAGATGATTAATCCTTAAACAGTAATGTAAGAGCTACATTATGTCGTAAACAGGAGCTCCTCTGGAGATCCTGAAGCAGCTGGAGAGCACCGAGGTTCCCGAGACCTACTCTGGGGAATTTGAGTGTGTTGTGTCCCGAGAGGACGCAGAAGGCAGCTGGTTCCTTGGAGAGAAGCTGCTCTCTCCCAGCAGCAAGTATGTCATCTCTTCCCGCCGTGGAAGATATTCCCTGTCCGTCAAGGACGTCAAGAAGGAGGACCAGGGAAAGTACACCTTCAAAGTGGGCAGTTTCAAGACAAGTGCATTGCTGAAGATGAAATGTGAGTGATCCTTAGTCTTAAATCTTAAAGTTCCATAGTTTTGTGTTAAGTTTGCAGCTTTAACCGTCAAGCAGACTAAAAATGAAAATACATTTCTGGTCAGATTTCCATACAATCAGAGTTCATGATCCCCAGAAGTAGGTGTAGGTGAACATTTAGGAAAACCCTCATGCCAAATGTTTCACTTAAAAGTTTGAACATTTCTTTTTTAATTAAACCTCATAAATAATGGAAAAACGTACATAAATCTTCTTTATATTGTATTTTTCTATCCAATAATTTCATATATTGGTGTGTGAGGACTACTATTGCTTATACGGAGCTCCAGTGTGACCTTTTTTCTGGTTCTTTCAGTGCGTCCCGTGACCTTGATGCAGCCTTTGACTGATTTGACCGTCTGCGAGGGCGACATCGCTCAACTGGAGATCAAGTTCTCCCAGGAGAATGTTGAAGGAACCTGGATGAGGAACGACCAGCCGCTCATAGCCTCCAACCGGGTGCACATTGTTATCGACAGACAGGCCCACAAACTTCTGATTGAAGACACCAACAAGGATGACGCCGGCATATACTCCTTTGTGGTTCCCGCTCAGTCAATCTCAACCTCTGCAAAGCTGCTCATTCAGAGTAAGGCTCTGTACATGTCTTCTTTTTAGAACAACTTTGTGTTCCTAACCAAAGTGTTATATAAAGTGTTTGTCCCTTGTGGTAGCCATCGGCATCTTGATCCCACTGAAGGACACAAGCGCAGTTGAGGGCACCAAAGCTGTTATAGAGGCCAAGATCTCCGCCCAAGACGTCATGTCGGTCAAATGGTTCCACAACGATGAGCAGCTGAAGGCCAGCGACCGAGTGCAGATGGTGGCAAAGGGAGCCAAGCAGCGCCTGGTCTTCAACAGGACCTACGCTTCAGACGAGGGGCAGTACAAACTGGTGGTCGGCCTTGCTGAAACCAGCTGCAGACTTGCTGTTCAGAGTAAGAATGTGTCACTACTTACAGCCTACATACATAGTACGATGACTACACAAACAGAATCATGCATCGCTTCATTCAATTAGTATGTATGAGAATTATAGGATGGCATTAATAAAGTGAGTAACGCAGTTTCTGCTACGTTGAAAAGATACCAAAAAAGAAAGAAGATCTCGTCCGTCTCTTCCAGTCGGCGGGCCGGAGATCTGTTTAGATTGATGCTAAATTCAAAAGAGAATATTTAATCGGGAAACCACAGTGTAGAGGAGCAGGAAATTGAATCCTAGTACCTACTTTGAGTTTCTCTGCAGGATCGTTCAGCAGTGGAATATCCTAAAAAGGATGATCTTATCTTGTATTATATATTTCCTAATGAAGACTACAATAATACATGAAAGACATTTGGTGCCAGTTATAACACTCTGCTTCAAGAGGGACTTCCATACAGACAGAGAAGAGTGAAATAAGACCTTGAAGCCTTGTTCTGAAGAAAGAACTTTACTGATTAAATAGATTTGTCCTACCTGGACAGTTAGCATAGAAGAAACAGTTGATCTCACTCAAACAGCACCATTGGCAAACAATAACCACTCTTTGTGACCACTTACGTTAAGCATCATAAATGTGAAAGAGGACTGGTTGAGCATTAGTCACATGAACTGACTCTTCTTCTGTCTCTCAGCGGTCCAGATTGTGAAATCCATCGAGGACAAGGAGTGCTCCGAGTCTGAGAACATCACCTTTGACGTTGAGATTTCTCACCCCGGCATCGACGCCTTCTGGACCTTCAACAGGCAGCCGATCAAAGCTGGCGGAAAATACAAGATGGAGTCTAAGAACAAGTTCCACAAGCTGACCGTGATGAACACAATGAAGGACGAAGAGGGCGAGTACATGTTCGCCGCCGGTGAGAAGATGTGCAGCGCTTCACTCACCGTATCAGGTAAGCTGGACTGTGCATTAAGGTTGACTTCTTGTAGCAATCAACACACCGCTGAGTGGATCAGCATTAACTGACTGGAACTACTTCCTGTCACTAGGTGGCGCTATCAAGAAGCCATTGCATGACTTGGTGGTGGCCGACTCGCAGACCTCTGTGTTTGAGTGTGAGGTCGCGAACCCCTCCGCCGAGGGCAAGTGGCTGAAGGACGGCCACCCAGTGGACTACAACGAGAACACACTGAGTGAGGTGAACGGGGCCGCCAGGCGCCTCGTCATCGTGATCACCAAGGCCACAGACGTGGGGGAGTACACCTACCAGGTCGCCACTTCCAAGACCTCCGCCACCCTGAGGGTGGAGGGTAAGTCCCGCTTCTATGAGAACAAAAGCAACATCAAACATCTAGTTGGTGATAAAGGTGCTGTTGTTGAGCAGACAGTTGAGGAACTCACTTAGATTTGTGTACTTATTAGTACCTATGTATATGTGTATATATATATATATATATATATATATATATATACATTATTTTATTTAAACCTTTATTTAATCAGGAAAGTCCCATTGAGATTAGGAATCTCTTTTTCAAGGGAGACCTGGACAAGACAGGCAGCAACATTGTTAGAGACTGAAAACACAGAATAAGTCAATGGTATTCAACTAATTCTTATTTTTCATTATTCAAAGCCTCCCACACACACAAAGTGCAACAAATGAAGTCCTTACAGGCTTAAACAGTAGTATTTTAAGCAATACAATGGATCAACACATAAATAAAGATAAAAAATAAGCTGCTGCTTGTTATGACAGCTGAGTTTACATTCACCTCACAGCATCAAGTTGACACGGACAAACACAAATGAATAATTTCTTTCACGAATTAAAGTTTAAGAAGTGAGTTCTTAATTCATCCACGTCATTAACATACCTCATACGTGTCTGCTCAGATTGGAGATTTTCTTCAACAATGGATTCTCTCTCTCTCCCTGAGTTTTTCCCGCGGTTGTCTCTCTTTATAACTCTTCTTCTGTCGCTAACTTTGGGATAAAGAGGATATCTATGCAGTGAATAGCGTTACGGATGCGCTCCTTAGCCCCATCTACCGTTGGGGAACCAAGGCATCTCGGCCCAAAATCCGATTTTTTTTTTTTCCGTGAGAAATTGGATGTGAGGCGTGAGTGCGTGTGAAAACATGCAAAAGTGTGTGTCACACGGCGAAACCGTGAGAGTTGGCAGCTTTGTATTTGCATACGTACTTTAAAGGTGTATGTTTATTGTTCTGAGGAACGGTTAGCTCATCAGCAGGTAAATAATGAGATATTTATCAAACATATCTCCCAAAATGTTTGTATATCTTCAAGATGCTTAAATGCAAATTAAATGAATCTTTTTCAAATCTGATCTGATATTTGTCAAATACCTCTCCATAGCGATGGCTGCGTACAGGTGATAAAGAGACAAAGAACCAAACCCTGGGTTAACAACTATGTTGGTCTCTGCAGCTGTGAAGATCAAGAAGACCCTGAAAAACCTGAACGTGGTGGAGACTCAGGACGCCGTGTTCAGCCTGGAGCTGACCCACAAGGACGTGAAAGGGGCGCAGTGGATCAGGAACGGCATTGAGATGCATTCCAGCGATAAATTGGAGATCATAAGCGAAGGCACAGTCCACACCCTGAAAATCAAGAACTGCAGCACACAGGACGAGTCTGTTTATTCCTTCAAGCTGGGAAAACTGTCTGCAAATGCCAGGCTGAACGTAGAAAGTGAGCGACTGCTGATTCTTTCACTATTCCAAAGTAAATACATCAACACAGGAAAATCTTAACTGTACAGCACTTTTCCCACAGCCATCACGATCCTGAAGAAGCCAAAGGACGTGACGTCGCTGCTAGGTGCGACTGCCGTGTTTGAGGTGGGGATTTCTGAGGACGACATCCCTGTGAAGTGGATGTTCAACAAGGCGGAGCTGAGGCCCAACGGCAGCTACAGGATGCTCTCCGAGAAGAAGAGCCACAAGCTCATTGTCCAGGACGTGGACGGCAGCAAAGAGGGGGAGTACACAGTGGTGGTGGGCCACCTCCAGTGCAGCGCCAGCCTCATCGTGGAGTGTAAGTGTTCATTAGCGCAGCACTGCACACTGGAATAGAAGCTCAAATTGTGATTGCGTGTCACATTAACACGGAAGGATGTATATTGAACGCGTTCAAAGATGCTTTTCGTCAGGTAGCTGGATGAACCGTGTTGACACTGACTTCTTCTCTTCAGCCCTGCGTGTCACCAAACCCCTGAAGAGCGTCCAGCTCCCAGAGACCCAGGTGGCCACGTTGGAGTGCGAGGTTTCTCACTTCAACGTACCTTCCACCTGGCTGAGAGACGGCGTGGAGATTGAGATGAGCGAGAAGTTTAGGATCGTAGTTCAGGGGAAACTTCACCAGCTGAAGATCATGAACACCAGCAGAGATGACTCTGCAGAGTACACCTTCGTCTGTGGGAACGACCGAGTGTCAGCAACACTCACCGTCAGCCGTAAGCTCCTCTCCTTATCTGCCATCACTGATGGCAACACCAGTTTCATTGTGATGAATGGAATCGCTTTCCCACAGTATTTCCAGTGGAATGTTAGCAATTGTCATGTTTTGTTGTTGTTTTCCAGCCATCCTCATCACAACGATGCTGCAAGACATGAATGCTCAGGAAAAAGACACTGTCACATTTGAGGTGAACGTCAACTACGAGGGAATCACATACAAATGGCTGAAGAACGGCGTGGAGATCCGGTCCACAGACCGATGCCAGGCTCGCTGCAAACAGCTGAGTCACACTCTGAGCATCAGGAACGTTCACTTTGGAGACAGCGCCATGTACACCTTCATGTCCGGTTCAGCAGTCGCTACGGCCAAACTCCACGTGGAGGGTAAGACTTGAACCAGCTGTATTCCTTGTAGCTCAGGTGGACAAGCAGACCCTTCCCGATGACCTCTAAACTCAGAAACCCTTAGAATGCCCCCTATTACCAGTAGAACGTGTTGAAGAGTAAAATCTCACCTTATCTCAACAAACCCTTTCGTTTTTTTCAGCCCGAGTGGTTGAATTCACCAAACAACTGAAGGACCTAAAAATCACAGAGAAGAAGAGAGCAACCTTTGAATGTGAGGTTTCTGAACCGAACATTCAGGTGATATGGATGAAGGACATTCAGGAGCTGGAGATGTGTGACAGGTAGTGCAGCTCGTATTAACTTAAAGTACCCTTAAGAATTATACCGATAAATAAAGACAACAGATAAATCAATTAAATGTCTTCATCAACCTTCTATGTTCTCTTCTGTTTTCTTCAGATATAAAATGACCTCAGATAAGTATGTGCACCAGTTGATTCTACCATCGGTCCGCCTGTCGGATGCCGGAGAATACTCCGTCGTGGCTGGGTCAAGCATGTCCAAGGCCAATCTAGGAGTGGAAGGACGAGACATCAAGATCTCAGAGCCTCCTAGCCGGGACATCACGGTGAGTGATTATCCAGACACAAAGATTACCCTTAGTTTGAACCAAGGGCTACAAATGATCACAGATTTCTCCCCATGAACCACAGAAGTGCTTTGCATTGTTTTCAGTATTTCTGATGTTTGATTTACCCTTTAAAAGTTTAAATACGACGTGGCGCAGGGGTAGAGAGGGGGTGCTGCGAACCGCAAGGTTGGTGGTTCAAGTCTTGGCTGCCCCATGTCCCATGTCGAAGTGTCCCTGAGCAAGACACCTAACCCCTAATTGCTACCCAGGCAAAAATGTAAAAATGCCATGGGTTAAAAATGTAATGTAAGTCGCTTTGGATAAAAGCGTCAGCTAAATGACCTGTAATGTAATGTAATGTAAATAACACATTTAACCCATTAAAAATCTGATTAAAGTTCTAGAATTCTAGAATTATTGTTCCTGGTATTTAACCGTACCTCTTGGCAGGTTGTTGAGAAACAAAGAGCCACCTTTGAGTTTGACGTGAACGAGGACGAGGTGGAGGGCCGCTGGCTGAGGAATGGGTCTGAGATCCAGTTATCGGCAGAGGAGAGGTTCAACTACGTCACCATCAGGAAACTGCACCGTCTTACCATCACCGAGACCTACCGGAGCGACGCCGGCGAGTACACCTTCATTGCCGGCAAGAACCGGAGCACCGTGAACCTCCTCGTCAGACGTAAGCAATAAGCCGAGCGGCCGGTCCGTTCTTCTTTTCGGTATCCATTTCATCGGAGTCTTAAACAGTAATTGGATGCTTATTAGTTGTAACATGTGTTTGTATCCAAGAATAATGCACCAGACGAATGAGTTGACAAATAAAGCTAAACATTGTAGGAATCAATCCTGCCGTTTGTAAACCAGCCGATGCAGATATGAACATTTAAAGCAACATTCTAATCTCTTTCTCCTCTGCCTTCAGTACCAGAGGCACCACAGATTGTCCGTCAGATTCAGGCCCAGTCGGTGACTTCGGGTCGATCGGTTCGCTTTTCGGTGGAGGTGAGCGGCCTCCCAAGGCCTCAGGTGTCCTGGTACAAAGACTCGCAGGCACTTTCCACCAGCTACAAGTGCAAGTTCCTCCACGATGAGGACGAGCACACGCTGCTGCTGCTTGAGGTTTTCCCCGAGGATGCTGCCGTATACAGCTGCGAGGCCACAAACGACTTTGGAGAGGCGATAAGCTCTGCCCCTCTTACTGTGCAAGGTACCGTTAAACAGATTGTAGGCGATGAGCTCAGATTTTAAGGCCTGTTTCACTTTTTCCTCTCAGGCTTATGTTTATGTAGATTATGTAGCCCAGATTCATTTAAGGTTAGCAACTGGTTTATAAGCTGTTTTTATGAACCAAAGAAAAGATACCGATACGGCCATTGATTGTGTTCTGTTTTTTTTGTCTGTCCAACAGTCCCTGAGGTGGTCGAAACCGCAGCTCGTGTGACTGCTCCGGTCCTCGTCGCTCCCATGCAGGACATCCTGGTCACAGAGGGACAACCTGCCCAGCTCCATTGCACTGTCTCTGGAGAAGGTAGTGAACAGACATTTGCCTTGACTCAGCGATAGTTGATCAGTATCTGAATCTGAATCGGCTTTATTGACCATGTATGTTTACACATTCATGGAATTCGTCTCCGGTTATATGTTGCTTTGAATCGTACATAGATATACAAATAAACAACAGAAATATCAGAAATATGAAAAAAGACAACAAACTAGAACACAAAAGATGATCATAAGCATTTACTAGTATGTACAATATAAATATGTATTGCAAGCTGTGCAATTAGTGCAGATGGAGGTATATGGGAGTTGTGGTACCAATGGTGGCGACAACCCTGAGTTTACCTCTTTGCCTCCAGATCTCCAGATTTCTTGGTACCATGGCGACAAAGAAGTCCGACAGTCAAACGCGTTCAGGATGTCTCGCTATGGCGAAACCTGCCAGCTGGACCTTTCCAGAGTTCTCCCGGACCACGATGGAGACTACTCGTGTGTGGCCACAAATTCAGCAGGAATGGTCACATGCTCTGCCACTTTGAATATCGACGGTGAGTAATTCAGAGATGGGACAAGACCATTAACAGCTAAACACCTGACATGTTGATCTACATTGAGGCGATAAAAACAAAACTGCTTCAGTGTCCATTTTCATTGGAAAAATAACCTGGAATTTTGCTTTAGCCATCCCGCTAACGGTATAACCGACTGATTTTACCCCAGAGATGCTAATGAAAACATCTCCAGGGATAGAGCCCAACACAACCTGTCAAATATAAAAAGAAGCATGTTCCAAAATAACTCAAAGAAGCAGCATTGCTGATGGGGCACTGGCGATCTTTCAGGCCTTTGTGTTCATCTGCTGCTGCTCAACTTTTAAGATTTGTCCTATTGTGCCCTTCAATTACATAGTCTGATCATAAGAAATTATGTCAGGGTTTAACCTAACTTAGCTTGGCACAAAGACTGAAAATGGGGAAATTACAGCTTCTTTTAAAACTAAAAGTATAAAAAGGTTTACTCATTTACATACTTAATAAACTCAAGAGCCAATGACATTATGACAGTCATGCTCAACAATGGTAACTATACATGGCAAATATCACTGGTGTAAAATACCATAAACTATTTTAAAAGTTTATTTTGGATATTAAAAATGATTAAAATCCTAAAACTCAAACAATAACGTTTAATTGTATTAGCATCTGATTCTAAAACTCACTGAACAACATCACACTGATGAACTTTATGTGAGGTATTTGAAATATTAAAGTGACGGGTACAGTTACACCGTCTGAGCTGAGAGTTAGAGTTAGCTATTAGCTCATTTACATCTCTGTAAAGTGAAAGAATACTGAACTAATAATGAGACACGTCTCTATATCTAAGTCTTTTTGAGTGTCTTATTTCTGTGCTTCTGTCTCTTAAAATGAAGAGGCTTTTCTTTCACTATGCGTCAACAACATCTTTGAAACTGTCCGTCTTTTGTGTTTAACCAACAGCAGTTTAATTGACTGTTAACATTTTCTGTGAGCATGCAGGAGGTAGCTTTGGGTGGCTTGGGTTACGGCATCCTCATCTCAGGTGTTAATGTTACATGTTCCTTCAGGTGGAGCATGACTCTTCTCTCCCGACATAAAGAGCTCTTATGAAATAAATCTTTATTCCAGAGGAATGCAGCATGGGTCCAAACTGAGCTGAGCTTACATGGAAACATACCTCTAGATCTCGCCAATAATTCATAGCAGATTTCTTTTGAATTTTGGCTCCAGTCAAGCTTGCATGATTGTCATGGGAAACCAGCCACTCTCCTCTAGCTTGCTGATCAGACTGATCCTCAACGGTCCACTCCAGATGCTCTCTTGGCAAACAAGCTGTGAGCTGAAGAAGTCACCAGAATGATGTGTTGACCTAATTATTCTACTCTTTCTTACTGCCCAGATGAAAAAGCCTTAGCTAGTGTGTGGAGCCCTGGGGCTGAGACTAAACTCAGTCATCTGGAGGGTCAGCCTGAGACCTTCAGGTCGGTGTCAGTGGGGCAAACAGAGTTTTCCGAGAGGTCCTCTGTGTCTTGGAGGACGGTTGAGGTTCAGATGGAGAGCGTGAGCTCTGTGAAGACGTGCTCCCAGAGCCACTGCGACCTCAAACCCCCTGCGGGCCCCCAACTGCTGACGGAAATGAGCGATGTCCGAGTGAAAAGCGGCGACAAGGCGGAGTTCAGCTGCTTGTTCAAAGGACAGCCATTCACCGTGGTGGAGTGGGATCATAACGGCCAGAGTCTGGCGGAAACGGACCGGGTGAGGAGTTCCGCCACAGGGGGGCTGTTATCCCTGGTCATCCAGGGAGTTGGTGTGGCGGACCAGGGTGTGTACTGCTGCACTGCCACCAACCGGCATGGCCACAACCACTCCTCCGCCCAGCTCACCGTTGAAGGTTAATCTTTGTTTTTATCAGTCTGTTTCTCCATCTGGTCCATCCACCTCACCTGCTCTTCCTGCTTCTTCCCTTTCTCTCATACTTAATATGTCCTCATCTTGTAACTCGTTAGAATGTAATGGAATAACACGCAGTAGTCTAGTCGTCTCTCTTCTGCCTTGCTAACCCCATTCCCCCATCCTACTAACCCCTTGAGTGTTGGGAGTCATAGCTTCATTCACTCTGAGCCCTAATTCCTCTCCATAACTTTATCCTCACCCAGCAAAAGAAGCGAATATCAAAGCAGAAACCCCAATCCCTACCGACTCTGTGCCTAAAGTGTGTCAGACAGACAGGGAGACCTCTAGAGGTCCTCCCAACCAAGACCAGCAGGAGCCCACGGAGAAGCCGGGACTGTCGCCTCCATCTTCCCGGAGAACCCACAGCCTCATCAGATACCTTTATTTCCCCGACGTGGTGCCTCATGAGCAGCGAGGTCATTGCCTCTCCGGCTGCCCCGAGTTCCTGGTCAAACTCCCTCCAGAGCTGCTGGTCCGGAGTAGAAACGGCAGCTCCCTGTGTTGCCCAATGAAGGGGGCGCCCAGTCCTTTGGTCATTTGGCTTTACAATCGGTTGAATGTTGTGGATTCCATTACTTACTCTCTGAAACACGACGGCCCCTTGTGCCCCGTAAACGTTAACACTCTGGGATACGGACAAGGGGGCTCTTACTCTTTCAAAAATGTCAGCTCAGCTGTGGATGCTGAGGGCCGCACGGTGACGACAGGTTGGCATCTGCATGCTTCTGGTCATTCTGCTCGCTCGGGCTCGTTCTTACTGCTTTCCCACACAGCCAGCAAAGGCACACTCTTTCAGACAGGGACACGGCTTCTTCCACAGGTTTAACCTCTGCATTTAGGAGGGGACGCTCACCTCCGTGTCCTGCTTTACTGACTAAAAACACTGGAGGAGTTTAAGACAATACTCACACCACGCCGCATCATTTTACAATCAACCAGCGGTGCTGGGTTAGGGTTAGGATTATAAATGTAAAATCCTGGGTTAAAAATACAATCTAAGATGCTTTGGATAAAAGTGTCAGCTAAATGACATGTAATAAAAGGATGCATGTGACAATTCCAGTTAGAAGGAAAAAACTGTCAAAGCAGTTATATGGATGCACGACCTGTCACTGATTCTAACAGTCTTGCACCATATGAAACTCTTGTGCAGTTCTAAGTGTGTTTTTAATTCATAGACGTTTGTGTCTTTATAGTAACGGCAGTGGAGCAGGAACCTCCGACTCAGGTCCAACCGGAAGTGAAAGGTAAATATCTATGTCTATTTCACAGAGAAGTTATTTTATTGTTTTGACTTTGTATTCAAATCTGTGGGTATTTGGATTTACTTTCAATGTTTGAGTCATTCTGTATTCAGGGTGCTTGTCTCACTGTGATTGTTCCACCCAGCCATCTCTAGCTCAACGATCACAGTGGAGGAGGCGACCCAGGACTCATACTACACCGGCGTTAAGTTAGCACATAAAACCAGAACACTTGAACTCCAGTCAGAGTCTAAACGCTTCTCCAGCTCTTTGGTGAAGCAAAAAGAAAAACCACTTTTCCTTAGCAAACTTTCTCCGGTGGCCGCGATTGTCGGAGAAACAGCCATGTTTAGTGTTGCGGTCTCCGGGTTCCCCAAACTTGCCATTCAGTGGTTCCATAACGGGCAGACTATCACCAGCTCGTCCGTTTACACCTTGGTTCACGAGCGGGATGAGTATGGCTTGGTCATTCACAAAGTCCAGAAGGAGTTAGAGGGAGAGTACTCGTGTACGGTCAGCAATATGTTTGGCCACTCAACATGCACGTCGTATTTGCATGTTCAGGTGAAGGAGCCAGAAAAGAATCAACGGGTTGACAGTGAGGCGTTGGTCTTGACTGGCAAACCCCCTGAATTCACTCAAACTATTGAGTCCCTTGAGTTGTGTGAGGGAGGTCAGGCTTTCTTCAGGTACTTTGTGACCGGAGATCCTCTCCCTGAAGTTCAGTGGCTCAATGGTAGCTTTTCCATTCAGCCGAGTAGGTTCTGGATTATTGTGAGCAACCCAGATGGATCAGGCTTTATAAATATTCTGAGTGTCAAGGAAGAGCACAATGGGGTGTACACATGTAAGGCCTCCAACCAACATGGAGAAGCCTCTTGTACCGCAGAACTGCTGGTGTTCCCTGTGAAGGTCCAGAAAGAGCAGACGTTCGTAAAGGAAACAAAAACTCCGGAAATATTCATGACCTTACAAACCACTGAATACCAGAAAAGAACTCTGTCTGATCAGATGATTTACACCATCAGCACTGAGGACCGGCAGATTATCCCCAGCGAGGAGGTTGGAACCCTCCGAGAGCTTGACATCTCTGCCGCAACCCTCCAGCGTGAGCAGCTCACCCACAAGGCTGCAGTCCTGCAGGCTCATGAATTACAGGAGAATGTTTATCTTGCTTCCTCTCAGCCACCTCAGGTCTTAGCCATTCCAGTTAAACAGCTTCACATGGCCACTTTCTTATCTTCAGTCCAGGAGAGACAAAAGATCCCCGAGCAGCACTCCGAGCGCATTCTCAGCCCAGAGGTTATAGAACTCCGGTTAGCCACAGAGCAGACGTCTAAAGTCATGTCGGCCACGTCTGAAGAGGTTCTCCTCCTCGGCATAGTGAGGGCTGAGGCTCTGACGGACCAGAATCTGGAGCATGGGAACATAATGAAGGAACCTAGGCAGCTCGTTAGTGGTCACCAGGTTAAGTCCACTCTGCCGATCCTCGATGCCGCTTCAGATGTAACCCACAGGCCAGAGGAAGAGAGGGGTTTCAATGTCAAAGAGGGGATCAAGATTTTATACTCAGCTCAGTCTGAAGGACAAGTAGCAATCACAGAGAGACACTCTGACTCTCTGCAGCCTTTAGATACAGCCACCCAGCCCCTGATTGACAAAGAGCAGTCCAAACCAGTGGTAGCACCGGTTAGTGAAACTACAGTGGCTTTATCCAAAGAGCAGATGTTTGAAATACAGCAACCAGAGCAGGAAAGTATCTCCTTTAAGAAAGACGTGTTTTATAAGTCAGCTGTAGCTGCCGAGGAGAAATACAAGGTCCGAGCCGAACCGGCAGGACAACCCCTAGGGTTAGCAACTACTATGTGTCTGGAGCCTCAACATGAGGGAGAAACACTCCTGAATCTGCAGGTTATAAGTGAACAGGACGTTTTACAGTCTGAGGGAAGGTTCAGTAACGAGAACCCTTCTGTAGAGCATGCAGAAGCAAGGAAAAGTCCCACTCTGTTGCATTCGGTTACTCAAGCAGAGCAAAGAACTACAATTTGCGAGGTGACCTCAGAGTTCTCAGCAAAAAACGCAGCCACATTGGTTCAGTCGAAGAAAGAGTTACCGCCGACAAAATACATCCAGTCTATTCAGTTAGTATCAGTTCTATCGAAGGAAGGTGTACTTACTGTCACCAAACCTGACCAACAGATGGCAAAGCAGAAACAATATACGGCTAAAAGGCATGCAGCTACCTCAGAAGAAAGAAAAGTGATCACGGCAGATTCTCACTGTCAAGATCTACATGTGTCGGTGACCGGGGTTCGGCCACAGGTCTGCACTGAGCCCAAGCCTTCGAGTATGCCCACAGTCTTCTCGCAGACAATGCAGCTGCAGAAGGAGACACCTTTCGTTATTGATGTCCAGCAGCAGCGAGCAGTGGTCAAGAAAGAGGACTACTGCAACATCACGCATTCCTTGAACGTCACAGACACCCATAGCCTCGAGGAGGGTCACACTACTATCCTAAAAACCGATGAGAAATTCCAGTTTGAGACCAAAGTTGAACCTAAGATACCAAAAAGAACAGTTTTTATAGAGAAGAAGGCTATTGCCAATGACAGCTGTACCATTTTAGAAGCCGCACGGCAGGACTTTGCAGTCCAGATCCAGGAAGGCCAGTCAGTCCGACAATCGGCGCTGCTTAAGGAAATGCAGGTCATTATGGGAGAACAGTCAAGTGAGATACATAAACGTGGCAGCTCAACTGTCAGTATTGTAATGCAGCACAAAGATGTTCTGTCTGTTCACGAGTCTCGGGACAGTCTGACTCTTCCTAAAGAACTCCATTTTGTAATTCAGATCCCCGAATTGTCCAGTGTGAACATCCACCGACAGCTTAGCGCCGCTCTTCAGTCGGCCGTTGCCAGGGATCAGCCGGTGTTACTGGCAGATGTCGTAAGAGGGTTACAGGCCGTGGAGGTTCAGGAGGTTAGGGTTCAGAAAGAGCCCAGACAAGCCACTGCCACATACCTTATCACAACCCAGGGATCCCCTATGGAGATCACTCTGTCTTTTGAAGGGCAATACCATCAGACAGCTGGCCTCATGTCTGAACTCCGGGTAGCTCTACATGCAATGGTTTTTCAGGAGCAACAGAGTCTTACGTCGGAGCTCCCGGGTACCGTGGAGAAGGACCAGCCTCAGAGGGCGCTGCTCGGCTCAGCGCCCTCCAAAGGGGTGTTGTCATCTGTGGTAGAAACCAAGATGGTAGAAGAGACTGCAGCTGGGTTTCCTCCTGCTGAATCTCAGTCTGTGGTGTTCCCGACTGAAGCGTCCTTCCAAAGCACATCCGTTCATAGTCGGCCTGAGATCTGTGAGTCCATGCAGGTGAAACGGACAACTGTCAGGTTGGAGCAGAATACCGGAGCTACTGAGGTGACTATCATGGTGCCAGTGGTTGACCGTCCTGTTGAGCAATGTATGGAAATTTCTGTCCGCAGCAAAAACAGAGAGGAATTTCTCTCGGAGGCAATCATGATCAGTGAGTCCTCTGACGGTCTGGTAGATTATCCTGCAGTCATTGATCCTCTGGAGGACGTTTGCACTGAGGAAAAGAACATGGTTGTTTTTACTACCACCATTAAGTACGTCACCCAGGTCACCTGGCTTTTCAATGGCCAATTGGTGACATCTGGCAAAGAGTTCAAGTGTTCTAAAGACCAGCACACTTTCACACTAGTTATCGACAAAGTAGTGAAGGAGAGGCATCAAGGAGAATATGTCTGTGAGGCCGAGAATGAAGCCGGCAGGACGACAACGTCGGCGCATCTCACTGTGGTATCAAGAGGTTTGATGATGGACAATTCTTTGATATCATCTACTAACCTCACACCTTGTTAGGATTCCGCTGTCTGCAGACCTCAACCATAAATTAAACCTTAAATGTACTTCATATAGAATTATTGTGTTGAATTTGCTTGAAATTCATCATAGAACTAAAATAAAATAATGTCCTGTAAGACCTCTTTACTTATTTTTAAAGCTAAATAAAATTTGTATGTTTAAGGTTTTCGCCAGACAGCAGTGGCATCCTCACTTCCTTCAAGTTCATACATTCCTCTAAATGCACATCTCCCCTTTATCCATCCCTTTGTCTTTTCAATGAACCTTTGACTTCATATCTTTAGATTCCATCTCTTATCATTCCTGGTCCTTTGGTGCACGCTTTTTCTACTTTTCTTACCACTCTGTCAACACCTAAAACCATTTTCTCCTCCACAGCTACCTCAGAATAACTCTGATTGTCACTTTACATCCCAGGTTCACTCCTCACCTCCATCTCCAGCAGAATCATTACATGTTGCTTCCACTTCATCTACTTCTGTTTATTCACTTGGTCTTTTCTCCCTTCCTTCCCTTCCCTTCCAACACACAGTGAAACCCGTGTTCAGGCACCGGATCGTCCCGATAGAGATCAACATTGGCAACACAGCCAAGTTCGAATGTGAAACTGAGGACGCTCCAAATGTGAGCTTCAAGTGGTTTAAGGACGGAAACTCCATCAAACAAGGCGAAAAGTACAGGATCATCAGTCGCTTCAGTACTTCCTCTCTAGAGCTTTTGAGCCCAAACAAGGACGACAGCGGTGAATACACCTGCAAGGCATCCAATCAGCACGGTGGTGAAGAATGCTCCGCCTCTCTCAGCGTGACAGGTAAGACCAATGCACGTTACCTTTTTCTACGCTGTTGTGTTGGGAGCTGTTTTGGGTTTCTCTTTCCTTCATCGGGTCACCTTCTGCTGATCAACACTTTGCATTTAATTTGTTTATTTGTGAATTGCTGGTTTGTTTTGCTGCCGGTTTCTCTTTTGGTTGAATGTCTCTATTTTTCTTAACTCTCATAGAGCACTGCCCACCTGCCTTTATAACTAAACCTCAGCCTCAGATTGTGTATGCCGGAAATAGGGCAATACTACAGTGTGTAGTAACAGGATCTGCTCCACTGAATGTTGTCTGGCTCAGAGACAACCGGGCCTTACCCAAAGAGCCTGCACACTACCAAACCTCTTGTGACAAGAATAAGCACACTCTTGAGATCCCCAGAGTCGAGTTGGCCGATGGGGGGCTTCACGTGTGCAAAGTGTCTAATAATGTTGGGACCACCGAGTGCAGCACGGAGCTGCGTGTCATTGACCAACCCAACTTTGTGAAGCCCCTGGGTCCCGTGGCGGCCGTGGTTGGAGCTCCACTGCAACTGATGTGTCAGGTGGATGAGGACACTGGAGTGACTGTCTCCTGGACAAGAGATGGTAGAAAGGTCCACCAGTCTCCAGACTGCAAACTGTCTTTTGGGGATAAGATGGTCACTCTTGATATCCTAAAGACCACACTGAAAGATTGTGGGAATTATGTGTGCACAGTGACAAATGTCGCTGGGAGTGCAACTTGCTCCACCTCGGTGAAGGTTCAAGGTAAGAGGTGTTTAGTTAATTTCCTTTGCTGCTGTAGCATTTGAAGACATTGCAGATCAGCAGTAATGAAAATGAACATAAAAGGATTCTGTAATTTCTAATTATGGTGTAAATGCTGGTTCTTTAACTTCTTTCTCTTTCAATGCTGGGTTAATCTGTTCTTTGACTTCATCTTGACTGTTCTTAACCACACACCTCTCCAGAGCCGCCGGCCTTTGTGAAGAGGCTGGAAGCCTCCACAGTGTGGAAGCAAGGCAGCACTGCCCGGCTCCAGTGCTCTGTCAAAGGGTCCCCCGAGCTCCACACCTGCTGGTTCTTCAACGGCAGCTTGTTGTCTGTCGGTGGCAGATATGAGATCGGGCTAAAGGAAGGTGTCACAACTCTTGAGATAAAGGAGGTCATGTTGAGTGACAGTGGGAGTTTTACCTGTGAGGTTCTTAATGAGTCTGGCTGTGAAAGCTGCAGCACTAAAGTAACAGTGAAAGGTGTGTAGACTTTATGAGCATTATGGTAGAGAGGCAAATATTCAACCCGGTCTAACTGAGCTGTGTGTTCTCCTTTAGAACCGCCTTCTTTCAGAAAGGCGTTAACCTCTTTAGAGGTGGTCAGAGGATCTGTGGCTCTACTGGACTGTGAGATTGCAGGCTCCATGCCACTCGAGGTGGTCTGGAGAAAGAATAAGAAACACCTGTCAGCAAATAAGAAGTACGGGATTGTGTCACAGGGGTCTCTGGCCTCTCTGGAGATCCACTCATTTGAGAGTGCTGACGTTGGAGAATACGAATGTATCGTATCAAACGAGGTTGGGTCCGCAACCTCAAAGTCATTGGCTAAACAGAAAGGTTAGTGTTCATAGAGATACAGGGCATTAGATCTTGTTCTGCTCCTGGCTACTGTTTACATTCGTATCACTGTTGTTTCAGAGCCTCCTTTGTTCTCAAAGAGGGTTGAGAGTGCTACGGCAGTGTTGGCAAATACAGTGAAACTACAAGCGACCCTGAAAGGCTCACCTCCCATCACCATCAAATGGATGAAAGACTCTGAGCTGCTCAGAGATGATGATCCTAACATCAAAATGATATTTGAGGGCAACATGGCTGTAGTTTCCTTCTCATCTGTCCAGATAAAGCACGGCGGCAAGTACACTTGCCTTGCCATCAATGAGGCTGGACAGCAGAAATGTGAAGCTGTCTTAACAGTTCAAGGTTAGAACGTATTCCTCTTTGTAAGAACTCTTTCTAAAATGCAGATGCAGATGTCCCTGACCTCTAAAATGTATGTTTTACTATAGAACCTGCTAAGATCTTAGAGAAAGCAGGATCAATCAGTGTGACTACAGGAAATTCTGCTACGTTGGAGTGCAGGATTTCTGGAAGCCCAGATCTTAAAGTGAAGTGGTTCAAAGATGGCAAGGAGGTGATCGGTGGCCGTAAATACAAGATGAGCTTCAAGCAGAACACTGCCGTCCTAAAAATCCTCTCAGCAGACAAAGGAGACACTTCAGAGTACACCATGGAGGTGTCCAATAAAGTGGGAAAAGACATGTGCACATGCTCAGTCACTGTTATAGGTTAGTTTGAGCACAGGATAGATTTTTAACAGCACGCTAGAGGAGCAGCCCTTGGTTTATGTTGTATATATTTCCTCTCACAGATCGAGCCATTCCACCATCCTTCACCAGAACTCTAAGGAAAGTGGATGCGAGTGTTGGTAGCAATGTTATCTTGGAATGCCTTGTTGCTGGATCTCAGCCGATTGTTGTTTCGTGGTTCAAAGACCAGCAGCAAATCCACAGTAATGGCAAATATGAACTTGATTTCAGTGAGATCACAGCCTCTGTTTCCATAAGAGGCCTTGAGCAAAGTGATGGTGGAGTTTATACCTGCCGGGCCTCAAATGAAGCTGGAGAGAAAGAGACCAACGGCACTTTGTCCGTCAAAGGTCAGAGGGGTTGAAATGCCTTATCTTTCACCTGAGATCAATTAGGAATTTAACAGACATTACAAGTGATCAGACGTTATTGAGAGGCTTTGTACATGAATGCTGTTTTTCTCCCGAACATTCCAGAACCTCCCGTCTTCACAGTGAAGCCTGAATCCCAGGACGCTTCACAGGGATCAAGTGTTGTCATAAAATCAGCCTTTACAGGATCAGCTCCTCTGATTGTCAAATGGTTCAGAGATGAGGAAGAGATCACAAGTGGAGGCTCATATTTCATAAAGAAAGATGCCTCTTCGAGCTCTCTGGAGCTCAACTCTGTGAAACCCAGTGACTCATCCCAGTACACTTGCCAAGTGTCCAATGATGCCGGGAAGGTGGATTGCACCGCGGTCCTCTCTGTGAAAGGTGCATTTCAGTCTTTCGCTTTAATTAAGCTGAAGTGTTGTAGTCTTCACTTCAACTCTTGTATTTACTGTATCTGTTAATTTACAGAAGCCCCAACATTGAAAATGAAGCTTAAGCCCACAGCTGCTGAAAACTGGGCAACCTCTCAAGTGTCCAGCAAAGTGCAGGGAACCCCAAATTTGAGCATCAAATGGTTCATGAACAGCTCAGAAATCTCACACACACACACTCTAAGAAAAAAGGTCTTCGGCATGTTGACAGCTGCCAACATAAGCAGGGAATTATGGCGTTTTTTTTGATCTACCAAACGCTGTTTTGACAGCTCGAAAGCCAGTGAGGGATCATACCCTTTTTAAACTTGTGCCTCCCGATGGTTCTTAAACCAAATCTCAAACACATTCAACATCAACCTAACTTGTGGATTCAACTTTAACTTTGGGAGAACAAAACATAGAAAGTACAGGTATTAAGTATAATTATAAAAGGAAAACCAGACAGAGAAACTTCTGACAATAGGACGTATTGAGGGTTTTTAATGGTTCGGCTTTGTCGGTAAAGAGACCTCTGATGTGTCGTCGCAATCAACCTCCCTCCCTCACTGGTTTCTTTTCCCCTGGGTTCCTTCTCGACTTTCTTCCATCTGCCTTTTCAAAGAGCATCTTTAAGATAGCAGTTTGGATCTACCCAAAGCTATTGTTCTTTCGATTGTGACAATTAAAAAAAGAAAATGAAGCTGATTGTAGTCGGAAAGACAAATTTAAGAAACCTTCAAAGGAGTTAGAACATATGGAAGAAAAGCTGACTGGGAGCACGGTAGCACTCTCCACTTATCAATACTAGGCCAGTGACATAATCAGTGGTCCATCACCTTTCCATCACTGCTTCTCACAGAACTGGCCCGCTTCATTAGGAAGCTGCAAAGCACTTCTTTTAGGGTCGGCGGGCCGCTGGCCCTTAGAGTCGCATTTGCCGGCAGCCAAAGACTGAACGTGAGCTGGAGGAAGGACGGGAGGCCCCTCTGGGCCAGTTACCAGAAACTAGCAGGGCCATTCACGTCTCTCCCATGCCCTAAGAAGTTCTTATGTTCACATACCGGTAAATCTTCCTTAAATTCATCCTCGGGGTCCTTTGGATTCTGTATTGTCAAACTGTTTATTCTGTTTATTGTCCCTCTGCATGTGAAGACCGTGGATTATTCCACCATCGCTTCTCTCAGAACCTGTTCGCTTTGTGAAGAAACTGGAGGACACAAGCTAGGTAGACCTCCTTGGCTAGAGTGCCCCTATGCCAGCAGCCAGAGGGTCTATGTGACGTGGAAGAAGGAAAAAAAACTGATTTGGCCCACGTACCAGTACAATGTCAAGACCAACGACTCCTCCTGCACTCTGGAGGTCTTCTACAGCAACAGAGCCGTGCCGGCGGGGAAATATAATTGTGAAATATCCAATACGGAAGGAGCCGAGACCTGTCAGGCTCACGTTAACTTTAACCTTGTTGTACTCAGCCTCCTGGGATCCGGTGCTCCTTGGTAACAATGCCCTGGCTCAAATTTAGGGTTGACTGTTCCCAGCTCCGTTGGGAGAGAAAAATACTGTTTGAGGTCCTTCAGAGAATGTGTCCACGTTGTCATGGTTGGGTTAGATGAATTGCTTGCTCATGAAATAGATTCGTATAGAGTTTGTTCAAAACAAGGATAATCTGTCTTTGTTTGCTTTTGTGGGTTTCAAATGTTGTCTGGCTGTCTTCGTTGTACTGCTGCAGGGACAAAGGCCCGGTGGCCTGGTAAATGAAGAGTTCAATGCGGACCAATTACCAAAGTCACAACCGGGCCTTACTCTCTTCTCTTTGTCCCAACTTACAGAGCGCAAAGTGCCTCCAAGCTTCACCAAAAGGCCGTCTGAGTCCATGATGGACTCAGTGGGTAAGACGGTGAAGATGGAGGGCCGGGTGTCAGGATCCCAGCCGCTGGAGGTGACCTGGTACAAGGATGACCGGGAGGTCTATGGCTCCGACAATTACGACGTGAGCTTCATGGACAACGTGGCGGTGCTGAGCATCAGAACCTCCAGTTGCTCTGATGGGGGCGTTTACACCTGTAAGGCCTCCAACGAAGCTGGAGAAGCTTTCTGTCGGGTCTCTCTGTCCATCTCAGGTATGAGTGGAGGGCTTTTCTTCTTTAGCAATGCTAACAATATGGCTCATATGCAGAAACTAGAGAAACTGTTGTCTCCAGGTTTTGATAAATCTTAACACACTAATTGATGACAAAACCCATTAAGAATTGAACTGATTGATGGAGGACGTCTACATATCTCACAGACCTTCACCTGAAACAGGATATTACTCCTAAACCGTTCAGATATAAAGACACTTTTCATTGAGCTTTTATGTGTTGTATTTTTTGCACCTCTGACTCTAAAAGCTGATGTTATTGAGTCTGTATCAGGGCTCAAGTGTTAAGGTTAAGGTGTTAAGAGCAAATGTCTGTAGCTGCTTCCCCTCCCCTCTCAGAAGGAGGCCAGCCTCCTGTATTCGACGTCCCTCTGGAGCCTTTGACAGCGAGCGTGGGTGAGAAGTTGAGCTTGAAATGCGTGGTCAGCGGTTCTCCTCCTCTTGCCATCCAGTGGATGAAGGACAGGAGGGAGCTCAAGTCCAGCGGAAATACCAAGATCATGTTTGTGGGCGGGGCAGCCTCTCTGGAGGTTAACCCAGTGTCCATGAGCGACGGGGGAGATTACCTCTGCAAAGCCAGCAACGCCGCTGGCAGCAACTTCTGCAAGTCAAGGGTCATGGTGAAAGGTGACGTCCGACAACTACAGATTGCTTTACTTCAGCTACCGTTTTCCACAGTATGGGGGGTGGGATAGTTCACTGATCCAGCCCCCCCGCCAGATTATGTACCTTCTTACATCAAATGTATTTTGGGCCAATTTTGTATTCTAGACCTAGTTATACCCAAAATGAAGCTTCAAGTTTTATTCAGATGAACTCTGCATCTCCAGTTGATGTTCAGATCCACTGAGCTTAACTGGTGACTGATACAATCAGACAGAACTATTATTTCACTTCATTACATCCTAGGTGAAATATTTGTAATAAAAGTCTCCATCTGAGCCAACAAATGGAGTTGAGTTTGGAAGCTTCTATCTTCCCTTGTTGGTGTTGGATTTTTAGTTATCCGTGGTATCATGCTACTGGACTCAACTCCATCATTTTTTCCAGATAAAGGATCAAAAGCTTCGCCCAGCGAGGATGCCGCCCCCCCGGCTGCTGCTGCTGCTCCGGTCAAAAGGCTCGACAACCTCTTCTTCATCGAGGAACTTCAGAACATTTCTGTGACGGAGAGTAAGTTGACCACTGGAGGACGTGTGTCCTGACCCATCCGTATATTCATCCCTTAAAAAGACTCATCAGGGAAACCCCTCAATCAGTGACTGAATCTGGATGTGAAGTTTGTAAAGTTTATTGTGTTATTTGAGGAATCAGGAGCTCCTGAGTTGAAGGACGTGAGGTTCACTCAAATTCCACGCGGACTCATACGTTCTCTTTTTCTCCTTCCGCAGAAGGCACCGCAACCTTCATTGCCAAGATTGGCGGCGACCCGATTCCCAGTGTGAAGTGGATGAAGGGGAAGTGGAGGCAGATCACCCCCGGCGGCCGCATCTCCATTGAGCACAAAGGCCAAGACGCCAAAATGGAGATCAGGGAGGTCACCAAGTCCGACTCCGGCCTCTACCGGTGCGTCGCCACCAGCAGGCGCGGAGAGATCGAGTGCGGCGCCGAGGTAGAGGTAACCAAGAAGGAAGAGGTGGCCGGAATGGGAGACATTCGGACTAAGCTAAAGAAGTAAGACGGAGAGAGAGTTCTTGATGGGATTTGAGGACGTTGAGGAAGGATGAAACAGATCTCAGATCTGAACGTTTTTTTGGTATTCATCAGGACTCCCTCGAAGCAGAAGAGTCCCAAGAAAGACGAAGACCTCAACATCGTGGAGCTGCTCCGAGGTCACGACCCCAAAGAGTATGAGAGGATCCTGCAGAAACATGGCATCCACGACTTCCGTGCAATCCTGCAGGCCGTGGAGTTCCTCAAGAGGGAGAAAGAGATGGAATCCGGAAAGGTGGTGAGAGAGAAACCAGCGGAGGTTTGACCGATCCTCACGATGAGGAACATTTATTTATAAAGGGGTTTTGTTAGCTTCAGACCAGGCTAGCTGTTTCCAGTTGTTATGCTACGCTAGTTATCTGGCTTGTATGTACCTATTCACACAAGGGTATACTCATTTGATACACTGCCGATTTTGCAGGTTTTCCCATTTACAAAGCATGTAGGACTCTGTAATTTTTATCATAGGTACCCTTCAACTGTGACTGACGGAATCTAAAAGAGAAAATCACATTGGATTATTAAAAAAAGTATTTGAGCCAAACGTAATATTTGGTACAGGAACCTTTGCCATTCATCATACGTTTCCTGTAGTTCTTGACCAGGTTTGCACACACTGCAGAAGGGATTTTGGCCCCCTCCTCCAGATCCTTCAGGTTTCGGGGCTGTCGCTGGGCGACACGCACTTTCAGCTCCCTCCAAAGATTTTCTATTGGGTTCAGGTCTGGAGACTGGCTAGGCCACTGCAGGACCCTGAGCTGCCCTGGCTGTGTGTTTCGGGTCGTTGTCATGCTGGAAGACCCAGCCACGACCCATCTTCAATGCTGTTACTGAGGGAAGGAAGTTGTTGGCCAGGATCTCGCAATGCATTGCCCCATCTGTCCTCCCCTCAATACGGTGCAGTCGGCCTTTCCCCTTTGCAGAAAGTTGGGATGGTGTTCTTGGGGTTGTACTCCTTCTTCTTCCTCCAAAAACGGCGAGTGGAGTTTAGACAAAAAGCTCTATTTTCGTCCCATCAGACCACATTACCTTCTCCCATACCTCCTCTGGATCATCCAGATGTGACATGCGCTGGCTTGAGCAGGGGGACCTTGCATGCCCTGCAGGATTTTAATCCATGACGGCGTAGTGTGTACTAATGGTTTTCTTTGAGACTGTGGTCCCAGCTCTCTTCAGGTCATTTACCAGGTACTGCCATGTAGTTCTGGGCTGATCCCTCACCTTCCTCATGATCATTGATGCCCCACGAGGTGAACTTCTTTGATTTTCTAATAATTGTGCCAACAGTTGTTGCCTTCTCACGAAGCTGCTTGCCTGTTGTCCTCAAGTCCATCCCAGCCTTGTGCAGGTCTACAATTTTATCCATGTTGTCCTTGCACAGCTCTCTGGTCTTGGCCATTGTGGAGAGGTTGGCGTCTGTTTGATTGAGTGTGTGGACAGGTGTCTTTTATACAGGTAAGTTCAAACAGGTGCAGTTAATACAGATTATGAGTGATGAATAAGAGGGCTTCCTAAAGACAAACTAACAGGTCTGTGGGAGCTGGAATTCTTACTGGTTGGTAGGTAATTAAATACTTATGTCATGCAATAAACTGCTAAATATTTAATTTTTAAATCATACAATGTGATTTTCTGGATTTTTGTTTTAGATTCTGTCACTCACAGAGGTACTCATAGGTACTCACAGAAGAGTACCTATGATAAAAATGACAAGCTCCTACATACTTTGTGTGAGAAAACCTGCAAAATCGGAAGTGTATCCAATACTTGTTCTCCCTACTTTAAATGAGTTCACTGTATCCCTATCACAGCAGGAAGCGTACTATTGTGTTATTGTTGGACTGAGGCTAACGCTGTGAGCTAACATGGTTTTCCCACTGTAGGAGGTGGAACATGGCGGCCGGGTGGAGGAGGAGGATATGACCCGACTCCTCCGGGATCTGGAGGGACGCGTCGGCACAGAGGTACCCGACAACGACAATGGCTCACCATCAACATTTAGATGCTAGATCAGATCCTAGATCCTGAACAGGAAGCATAGAGACTCATTCAGAGTTGCTTCCATCACGGGGGAAAGAGACACAAAATATAGGACGTCTGTCACAACAGCTTTAATATCCACCGAAAACAAACCACAATGTCTCCCTCATGTCTCCTTCATGTCCTCTTCATATCTCATTAATGTCCCCATCATGTCTCCTTTATGTCTCCTTGATTTTCATGTCAATTCAATTCAATTCATTTCATTTTATATAGCCCAAAAATCGCAAATTACAAATTTGCCTCGGAGGGCTTTACAGTCTGTACATACGATATCCTTTGTCCTGAAACCCACACATCGGCATAGGAAAAACGCCCCAAAAAATGAAAAAACCCTTCCGAGAGGGAAAAAAGGGAAGAAACCTTAGTGAGAACGTCAGAGGAGGGATCACAGTCCCAGGATGGACAGACTACAATGGATGCCATGTGTACAGAATGAACAATGTATAATACATGCAATTCCTATGACAGAAATTATTCAAGTAATTGTGAGTAGTAAGCCAGGCGCACAGCAGGACCACTGCAGGGGCAACCACCATCAGATAGAACCACCATCTACAGAAGCCTGTGGGGAGGGAGAGCACAGAGACTTTAGCAGAGGGTAATGTTGGTTTATGAGTACAGTAATATGATTAATATCTTAAATAATAATGATGATGATGATGGCAGCAGCAGGCGTCAGCAGGGCCACGGTAGGTGTCAGGACCAGGGTCCAGACGGAACTGCGATCTACGGAGACCTGCTAGGGGAGAAAGCACAAAAAAAACTCCCGGAAAGAAGCTGAATTAGTCATGTGCATTAATAAAACGTGAATTATTATTATAGTAGAACGAGAGCGTGAGAGAGGAGCTTGGTGTGTCCTAAGAAGTCCCCTGGCAGTCTAAGCCTATAGCAGCTTAACTAAGGGCTGGTCCGGACTAACCTGAGCCAGCCCTAACAATAAGCAAAATCAAAGAGGAAAGTTTTAAGCTTTATCTTAAAAGAGCTGACCGAATCTGCCCCCCGGACTGAAAGTGGAAGCTGGTTCCACAAAAGAGGAGCTTGATAACTGAAGGCTCTGGCCCCCAGCCTACTTTTTAAAACCATAGGAACAACAAGTAACCAGCATCTATGGAGCGCAGCGGCCTTGTAGGGCAATAAGGTGTTATAAGCTCTTTAAGATACGACGGTGCCTCACCAGCAAGTGCCTTGTAGGTGAGGAGAAGAATCTTAAAATCTATTCTTGATTTAACAGGGAGCCAGTGCAGAGAACTTAATACAGGAGTGTTAACTTCTTGTTAATACACGTGCTGCAGCATTCTGAATCAACTGGAGAGGCTTAAGAGATTTACAAGAGCAGCCTGATAACAAAGAATTACAGTAATCCAGTCTAGAAGTAACAAACGCATGAACTAATTTTTCTGCATCACTTTGAGACAGAAAGTTCCTGATTTTTGATATATTACGTAGATGAAAAAAGGCAGTCCTTGAAGTCTTCTTCATATGAGAGTTGAAGGTCATATCCTGGTCGAAGAGAACTCCAAGATTCCTGACGGTGCTGCTGGGTACCAGAGCAATTCGATCCATAAAAACTGTATCACGTGACAGCTGGCTTCGAAGGCGCTCTGGGCCTATCAAGATAACTTTCGTTTTTTCTGAGTTTAGCATTAGGAAGTTGGCCGGTCATCCAAGTTTTGATGTCTCCAAGACATTCTTGAAGTCTAACAAGCTGGTCTGTCTCTTCTGTTTTGATCGACAGATACAGTTGAGTATCGTCTGCATAACAATGGAAGTTTATGCAGTGTTTCCTGATAAGATCACCCAAAGGAAACATATAGAGGGTAAATAGAATCGGTCCAAGTACAGAACCTTGTGGGACACCGTGACTAACATTGGTCACGGTGTCACCGTTGGATTCACCGTTTACAAGCACAAACTGGGATCGATCCGACAAGTAGCATTTAAACCAGCTGAGTGCATTTGTGAAATCCAATCAAATGTTCTAGTCTCTGCAACAGGATACAATGGTCTATGGTATAAAATGCGGCACTGAGGTCCAGCGAGACAAGAAAAGAGATGAGTCCTTGGTCCGATGCAAGTAGAAAATCATTCGTAATTTTCACCAGTGCTGTTTCTGTGCTATGATGCACTCGAAATCCTGACTGGAAATCCTTAAACAAAGCATTGTTTTGTAGAAAGTCACATAATTGATTTGCAATGGATTTCTCAAGGATCTTAGAGAGGAAGGGAAGATTAGAGATAGGTTTGTAGTTAGCCAACACCTCTAGAGCAAGAGTAGGTTTCTTAAGAAGAGGTTTAATTACAGCTACCTTGAAGGACTGCGGTACATGTCCTGTCAACAAAGACAGATTCATAATATCTAATAAGGATGTGCTAACTAAAGGAAAAACTTCCTTAAGCAGCTTAGTCGGAATCAGATGCAAGAGACAAGTAGAAGATTTAGACTTTGAAATTATAGAAATCAGTTGATCAAGGTTGATGGACATGCAAAGAGGCATCAGGGCCCACTGCTGCATCCAAGGTTCTGTGGTGGAAGATTTTGCACAGACAATCGTTAAGTAAGAAACAAAGGCTCTGAGTATGTCTTTTCTCCATTTATTTCCTTGCAAGGGAAAGAGGGTCACAACAGCTACGTGGTCAGTAGACTGTCAAGAACCTCCTTCTGCCCACATCGAGGCAGTTTTTATACCTAAGTTTAGATATCAGTGGCGTCAACAGAAACCTTTGACCATCTTGTTGAGTATCTACAGCCAGGGTACTGGGAACATCTTATCCATGTAAGACACGTCAGTTCTTTGACCATGTCCTTGCTCTCCCAACATGCTAAAACAAATGTGGTTATAGACATAACAAACACTTTGTTCAATCTCTACAGCTATGACACTGGAAACATCTAATCCAAGTGGGAGACGTCAGTTCTTATGTCAGGGCCTTTGTCATCTAAGCACTTGCAATTAATAAACTGGTTATACAAATGACGCATTTAAAAGGGTTACATATCATTTTCCCATTACAGTTCCTACATCGGAGGACAGGTCAGCACTGGTTGAAGGCAGGAGACCATCAATTTTGTCTTTGATAGTCAGAATCTTATCATTGAAGAAATTCATGTCGTTACTATTGAGGTCCAAAGGAATACACGGCTCAACAGAGCTGTGACTCTCTGTCAGTCTGGCTACAGTGCTGAAGAGAAACCTGGAGTTTGTTTTTTTTTTCTCTATTAATGATGAGTAATAAGATGCTCTTGCGTTACGGAGAGCCTTCTTATATGTTTTAAGGCTGTCTTGCCAAACTAGCCTAGATCCTTCTGATTTGGTGGAACGCCATAAACGGTAAGTTTCCGCACAGTTTGAAGTAGGTTCCGTGTTTGAGGGTTATACCACGGAGCAGACTTCCTTCTTGTTGCTATTCTTCTTTCCAGAGGAGCAATAGCGTCCAGCGCCACTCTCAAAGAGCCTGTAGCAGTATCGACAAAATTATCGATCTGGACGGACTGAGGTTCTCACAGGAGTCTTCTGGTATCTTGAGACAGGACACTGAACTTAGAGCAGAAGGAATGGCTTCTTTAAATAAGGCTACAGCGGTATCCGATAAGCGTCGACTGTAGAAACCCTAGGCAGGAGGAGGAGATTCTGATAGTAAAAATTCAAAGGTTATCAGACAATGGTCCGACAGGAGAGGGTTCTGTGGAAAAATTGTTGAATCTTCAATTCCCAATCCCATACACAAGAACCAAGTCGAGAGTGTGGTTAAAACAGTGAGTTGGTTTATTTACACACTGACAGAAACCAATTGAATCTAACAATGAAAGGAATGCAGTACTAAGGCTGTCGTTGTCGACATCCACATGAATGTTAAAATCACCCACAATAACTACCTTGTCCGTTTTAAGGACCAAACTCGTTAAGAACTGTGAAAATTCTGAACGAAATTCCGAATAAGAACCTGGGGTCCTGTACACTATTACAAAGAGAATTTTCCAGGTCGGTTGCGAAAGACTGAAAACCGGGCTTTCAAATAAGTTATAATCCACCTTAGGTTTAAAGTTCATTAAAAGGCAGGAGTCATAAATAGCTGCCACTCCCCCACTAGGTATTAACATGACTCGGAGGAGTCGCTTCATTTAAGCTGAAACATATTCAACAACCACGTTTCAGTAAGACAAAATGTCACGTTCCCTTCACGTACCCTTCGTGTTTTCGCTGTCTCATGTTGGTTTTAAGCGGTTTGAGATGAAGACCTGCAGATAAAAGTCAGATGGCAGATTGGTAGTCACATGTATTACATGGAGACTTTTGGTGCAATGCTCTAAACACAACAGGAAGTTGGTTAATTGAAATTCTGGGTGGCTGAATTCATGCGCTGTACTTTAACAGTCTCCTCCTATTTTAAGGTTAAAATGACTGAATGTGATTTATTTATATATTGTGAAAATTATTTCAGCCCCTCAGTCTCCACTGGAGTTTAAATCAGGTCTTGATTCCTCAGCCTGTCTTAGTTATCGAGGATATCAGCGACCAGAAGGCGGCGGAGAACCAGAGCGCCGTCTTTGAGTGCCGGATCCGGATCAACTATCCGGAGATCAGTCTCACCTGGTACAAAGGCACCCATAAACTGGACGCCGGAGACCAGTATGACATCATCAGCGCCGGCGAGCTGCACTGTCTGCGCATCAAGAGCTGCCAGGCCAAAGACGAGGGCAGCTACCGGGTGGTGTGTGGGCCGCACATCTCCAACGCCAAGCTCACCGTCACAGGTCAGTCCGTGTGTTCTCTGTGTCTTTAGCAGCTCCAGAGACCTCTGCCCTCATAGAACCTGCTGGTTCTGTGTTTCTCTCACTACTCTGGCTCTCGGAAGGTAACCCTGACGGTCTGCTTCTACCAGATCACATACAGCTGACTGAAGTCCTCGGCGTGGCCAGTGAACGCTACTGTACTGCCTTTTAGTGCCAGATGTCCTCGACCACACCATTGTCTCTTGGTACAAAAACTCACCGGAGCTCATGGAAAGACCCAAATATTCTTTCAGGGCCGATGGACGACGGCACTTCATGACCACCCTGGAGGTCTCAACCTGTTGGTCCTTCGCGGTTTTATCTTTATATGAATACGTTGGTCCTCTGTAGTTTTATCTTCATGAGAACATTTTGGTCCCTCGTGATTTTATCTTCATAAGAACATGTTGGTCCTTCATTGTTTTACCTTCATGAGAACATGTTGGTCCTTCATGGTTTAATCTTCATAAGAACATGTTGGTCCTTAATGGTTTCATCGTCATGAGAACAAGTTGGTCCTTCATGGTTTTATCTTCATGAGAACAAGTTGGTCCTACGTGGTTTTATCTTCATGAGAACAAGTTGGTCCTCTGTGGTTTTACCTTCATGAGAACATGATGGCACTTAATGGTTTCATCGTCATGAGAACAAGTTGGTCCTTCATGGTTTTATCTTCATGAGAACAAGTTGGTCCTACGTGGTTTCATCTCCATAAGAACATGTTGGCCCTTCATCTGCTGTGAATCTCCTTCGTTCCTCCTGTCTCAGCTCACTTTTGTTCCTCAGCAGAAGAGAGAGAACCTGTGGGAGAATCGGTAGAGAGTGCTCAGGTGCAGACCATAGAAGAAGTCCCAGCAGGTACAAACACTCGTCCCTGCTACAGATTGATGCTGCTTGTAGCCGGCATGTTTGTTTCCAGCCTAACTGCTTCTAGGAGCCTTTTTTCCTGTGTCACTTTAGATCCTTTTCCTGTCTCGTCTGTCTCCTTCGTGTCAGTGTTCCTTTGACTCTTCCTGCTGTTATTTAGCTCGTACTAACGCTTAGCACAGCTTTGTGTTCGATAGTAGGAAGAAGAAAGAAGGAAGTAGAGCTCAGCCTTCAGAGTTCTAATGTGAACTTTCTTGATCTTTTAAGTTCCTGAGGTTTACAGTAGACCAGACGGGAAACCTGGAGCTCCGCCTCCAGTCACAGGTATCTGCTCACCTCTTCCTCTTGGCACCACTTCCTGATTGACCTTTATGTACTTCTGTTCTTTTATTCACGCTTTGCTCCTAAAGACCTGAATGATGACAGACTCTTGATGTGGTAAAACTGACCTCTATGATAATATGTTAAAGAACCTCACGCGAAGAAGCTGCATCTCAAAGAACTGGTCCACACAAAGAAGAACCAGAACGTAATGTTCATATCAAAAGAGATTATTATTATTAATCTTACAGTCTCTATCGGCCCACATTCTTTATTCTTCAGCAAACTAACCACACATGTTTACAGTCTTAAATGTATTTCCTATTGATGGTCTCAGTTTTCATGTATACTATAAGAATTTATAAGAATCAAAAAGACTATTTACACGAAATGTTGCACTCAGGAATTTCATTTTCGTTCAATCACCTTCACTTTTATATCTTTAATAGATGTTAATCTATGACATTAGTATTCATCCATACGTTATATGCTTGTAAAGCTGGTATTTTAGATTTATGTTCTGTCAGCCTGTCAGTTTACTTTTGTGTCTGAAATCTTAGGTGAGCTTGCTGCGTTCGGAGCATCAAGTTCTTTCTTTCCATCTCTTTCGTCTCTTTCTGTTGTCTTGTCTTTTGCTCGCCTCTTCGACTCTTGAAGCAGTGCTGACTCACAGTAATATTTCTCTCCAGTTCTGATGAAACCAGAACTTGAACAAGAGAAAGTGAAGGTTCATCTTCAGCCGAAGACTGAGTCAGTTCTCCAGAAACAGAAGCCTGAATTGATGCCTGAACCGGAGGCACCTCAAGTGGAACCTGCAAAGAGAACACCAGCAGGTAAAGTAGTTCTAAAGTAGTTTCTTCTCACTAACCTCTTCACACTTTGTCTTAGTATCCAACAGCATAAAGGTTCACAGTGTTTGTTTTCTATTCAACTGCTCAACAATCTAAGTAGTACACGAATGCTGTAGTGTAATAAGAATAATCTTATCACAGATGTAAATGAAAGCTTAATGTTATGAACTGGAGTCAACCACCAAAGACAAGTGTCTCATCTTTAAACTCTTTGGTCTGTGATGACATGTGATATAAACCAGTTTGATTGGTTTGTACTGTTAAAGGCTTAGTGGTTACCAGCAGGTTACTAAACATGTCCGATGTTCTTTAAAGTGTCAGAACTACCAGAACCGGCAGAACCTGTAGTTCTGCCGACAGCACCGCAGGCTACCCCACCCAAGTCTGAAGCTGTTCCAGCTGAAGGTATTGCAGCAATTTTCTTCTCAGGTTTCTTTGTTCTTCGGTTTTATGTTTTATGTATGTGTAATGTTTTATTATGTGCAATAATAAGCGCTCGTTAGAGTGTGACTTTTTGGTAAAAGATATTTAATTATGTACATAAATATTCTTCAAAGTCGTCTTGGAACCAAAGACATCTGAGCTTGCAAGTAAACTGGCCGATAAACCTGAGCCAACAGCACCAAGGTCTGAAAGAAAACCCCAAAAGGTTCTGGAAGAAGCAAAAAAGGTATCAGAAGCACCAAAGAAGGTCCCCGAAGGGTCGAAGAAGGTACCAGAAGAGCCAAAGAAGGTCCCCGAAGGATCGAAGAAGGTACCAGAAGAGCCAAAGAAGGTACCCGAAGTGTCGAAGAAGGTACCAGAAGAGCCAAAGAAGGTACCCGAAGTGTTGAAGAAGGTACCAAAAGTGCAAAGGAAGGTACCAGAAGGGACAAAGAAGGCAAACAAACTTGTGACTGAACCAACAGCTGAAACAAAGCCACCAGTGCAGAGCCACCAAGATCCTACACCAGCTATAAAGCCTTCACAACAAGGTACATACCTCTCAACACATAGTTTTTTAACTAATCCTTCTACATTTTGATAATCTAATTTACACTCTAGATATTTCCTTCTCAGCTATTGAGCTAAATCCTAAAAAGTTTTGTCCTGGTGCATGTGGTGTATGTGTGTTGTCTGTTCACTACATCATGTTAATGATCATACATTAGAACACAGCGAGATACAACAGGAAACAACTTCCCAAGCTAAAGCACAGCTGGAGGCGGAAACACCCTTCAAAGGTATGCGGCATCTTTCTCAGGTGCTTTCAAAAGTCATTTACTTGTAGTTTGACCAACTGCTGCACAGTCGAGAAGTAATGAATCTTAATACATACAGTCTAAATCTAAGTCACGCTCAGACTGAAATCTGTTTTTTTCTGTCCTGATGGTTTATATCTTGTGTTTACCCTTGGCCACCGCTCCACTATGCAAATCTTCAATCTTCTTAAAATTATTCCAGTTCTCCTGAAGACCACTCTTAAGCAAACAGCAGCAGTGCTTGAAGACAGCAAGGAGTCGACTCTGAGAATGAGGATTCCTCTGCCAGAAGAAGTTGGACAAAAAGAAGAGAAATTCAGTACTTATGAAAGGGTAGAAGAGGTCATGGAGTCAACTGTTAAAGAAATTACTTCAAAAAGCCAGATAAGAGAGCAAATGGTTTCTGCAAAGGAGGAGGACGTGGTTTCGACATGGTACAGTGGAGGTCCACAAATGAAAGACTCTGAGCCACTAGAGCACATTGAGCCAGTAAGCACTGAACATGAAGCAGAGCTGCAGGAAACCCAACCTTGTTGTGTAGCAGACTTTCCAGAAGACAAAGCAGTGGACCAGAGTGAAGGATCATCTCTAAGGTCCATCTCTCCTCTTCTAAAGGAAGCAGACCTTCTTCAATTAAATAGAGATGTTGCACCTCTACCTGAAAAGACTCATCTCACGAAGAAAGGAGTTCCTCCTCCAGACACAGGGTTCACGTCCCAAAAAGATTTAGCCTTAAAGAAAACTTCTGTAGTAAAGAAACAGGTGGAAGCTGATATTCCTTCAACTTTTGCGAAGCAGAGAGAGGTCACTGAATCATCAGTACTTCCAATGGATGATCTCATTCAACATGAGATATCATGTAAAGAAATCACCGTAGAAGAGAAGTGGAGAGTTCATGAAGAAGTCTCTCTCTTTAAGCAAGCAGAGTATGTTGAAGAGGAAGATATTGTATTGATTAGATCCATAACTCCTCCACCTGAAAACTTAACACAAGTTCCTCTTTTTCATCCAATGACAAAAGTTTCTCCCAAAGAAGAAGTAATAATCCCTAAAAAGCCTACAATCATGAAATCTCCCGAAGCTGAACGAGAGATGTGTATTAAAGACATAGTACCTTTCGAGGAACCAACTCTTGTGTTGGAAGAAATGTTTCCTGAAGAAGACCCAGCAACAACATCTAAACCAGCACAAAGTCCTTCACCTGAGAAAAAAGCCTGTTGTGAAGAAGACGTTTTACCACCAAAAGAGGCTCCAAGGAAAGCCATTGCCGAAGCCAAGGTTGCCCCAACCAAAAGTTCTCAAGTTCGCCAGCAGAAAAAAGCTCCGACCCCTGAAAAAGAAACTCTACCCCCAAAGCAGCTGTCTTCTCCGGCACAAGACGTTATCACAACTCAGGTGGATTCACTCGAAGAAGTAGTTAGACCTCCAGCAACAAGAGAAGATGACAAGAAAGCCAAGAAGGGAACACAGGAGATGCGACTGCAAACTCCTCTGAAAGGTATTCTTTGTCTTTATTAATAGAGCCGTGAAGGCTCCCAAAGTCCCCTCTGTTTAATGTCACTTCCACAGCTTTCCTTTTAAATCTGCTGCATTCAACACTAATTTTCACAGCAAGTGGTCTTCCTCCATTGTCTTTGAAATGTGTTTTAATGTGAGTTCTGTATGCGGTACGAGCCTTTCTTGATCTATTAACATCTTACAATTGCGAGTTTTTGGCTAAAGCTTCTTCACATCTTATTCTTCTTGTTTGTGCTGTGAATTCATTTCTTAATTATCTGTTGTCTTGATTGACCGCATTGTTGTCTTGGTCTTGATCTTGTTGTCTCGTATTTTAAAGTGTCTCCTCTGGAGGAAAAGGTACCAACGGCATCAAAGCCTTCAGCTCCTGCTGCTGCCGCCAAAGTAGCTCCTCCTGCAGGTAGTCAGTCTCATCTTGATTGGCTCATCGAGAATCGGCCATGTTGTTTGTGTTCTTCTTCTCTTACTGGTCTTCGGGTTGCCGTGGTCGTTTCTTTCTAAGTCGTAACGTCCTTTTTTCCTGGCTGTGACTTTAATATCTTGTGTTCCCAAAGTTTCTCTACCTGAGGAGAAGAAACCTCCTGCACCAAAGCCTTCACCTGATCCTCCTGCTCCTGCAGAGAAAGTTGCTCTTCGTGAAGGTAGTTTCTTTCCTTGGTTTTTATCTCGTTGTAAAGTAACTGTCTGTTCGTTTTGCAGTCTACTGTGCCCTCAATCGGCCTCTCCTTATTGACTATGTTGTTGTGATCTTGGCACCTTGTATTGTAGTGTCTCGTCCAGAGGAGAACAAACTGGCTGCACCAAAGCCTTCAGCACCTGTTTCTCCTGCAGGTACTTTTGTCTCTAAAGACTAATTCCTTGTGTTTGGAGATAAAACCCCTCCATTTTGTTTTGTTCTGTTGTCTTCACAGAATCTGTTCTTGTCATCACACGTAAAATCTTAATCGGTTTAATGTAGTCTCTTGGTCTTGACCTTTGATAACTTGTTCTTAGTGTCTCCGCCAGAAGAAAAGAAACCAAAACCTCCTGCAGGTAGTGTACTCTGTTTGTCATATGTGTTGTTTAGCTTCCTCTTCCTCCTGCCTCCGAGGAGTTGTTGTTGTGAACTCTTCAAGTTGTCTTTCTGTTGGTTGCTTGTTTATGATCATCTATCACATCTTTGCCAGTCATTTGACTAAGTTGGCATTCTTGTAGTTCAAGTTGCTCCGGTGGAGAAGAAACTGTCTCCAACAGTGAAAAAGGTTGAACCGTCTCCTGTATCAGAGAAAATGTCTCCGCCTGAAGGTAACACGTCTTCTGTAGCTGTTATTCGTGTTGCTCACTTCTGCCTGTCTCCTGTTTCAAAAAGATTTCTTGTAACCACTCCAGTCTTCATACAAAGAAATCTGAGCTTGGGTCTAATAAACTTAGTGTCCCGTTCAGTCGGAGTCTGTTGGTCTGATGTTTGTATAAACTCGGTCCTCTAATCCAATTGATGAGTTTTACCTTCTAACGGTATCTGTTGAATTAATCCAATTAACCATCAACATGTTTTTTAAAACATCTCTTGGTGCATCTTACTTAAATTACTTTCATGCTACGATGTAACATCCTGTTGAACACCTGATGACATCATTGCATCCTAAAACATTTTAAGTGCAAATAATTCTGGAAACAAGGAACCAAGGCATGCCAAACTTTATTAACTCTTAACTTGTCACTAAATAAAAATCAACCTCTTCTTTTATTTGCATTGTGTGAACTCATGTTGATCTAATTCAAATTCCTGCAGACAAGGGACCGGTTTCAGCACCTGGACCAACCAAAGGTACACAAATAGTAGTCTATATTTTGAAAGGACAGCAATTGAAAATTATTATGTTAAATATTCTTATAAAGGACAAATATATCTCTTTTGTAAGGTGTGAATCTTGTGCTGTTTCTTGTATATCTCTATGTGGGTGTTATAAAAGTGTATCTGTTACCTCAAACACAGCACAACCTCTTACAAAAATGGGTCAAATCCCAGTACAGGAGGCAAAAAAATCCAAATCACCAAAGAAAAAGAGTAAGTTCAGCAGCCTCCCCAAAGAGACGGATCCAAAACCAGAGGTTGTTAGGCTGAAAAATGTTCCAGTGAAAGTTCCAGAACCTGAGAGACAAGTAAAAACTCAGAAAGCAGAAGTGACGATGCTCCAAGATGAAGAACTAGCGGTTCATACACTTCATGACAGAGAAGATCGAGAAATAATATCCCTGGGAAGAACTGAGCGAGTCTTCACTGCAGATGACGAGACGGCCCAGTTGGGCTACTTTGAGGAGGCTGAAAAGGAAGCAGATTGCCAGGTCCCAAAGCTTGAAAAGAGAATAACCAAACTGTCAGATGAGCAAAAAGACTTAACCAAACTAAAACCATTTGAAAAGTCAGCAAAACCAGAAACAGAACCACAAAAGCTTAAACTGAAAAAAGTGCCAACAAAGCCCAAAGAGCCCGAGCAGGAAGTTGTAACTCATAGAGTTGAAGTGGCGAGGCATTACAATACAGAAACGACTGTTCAGAATCTGAACAGACAGGATGGAGAGGTTTTAACGCTTGGAAGGACTCAACTTTATACTGCAGCCAAAGAGGAATCTGAAATATGTCTCATGGATGAAAAGCCCAAGGCAGAAGATGAGAAATCAAAATCGATAAGAACTCCCAAATCGCCAAAAAGTCAAGAACCTGAACCAGATATAACAAAAAACAAAATAAAGAAGATGCCAAAGAAAGCGGAAGAGCCGGGAGTTGTGACACGTAAACCATTTGAAAAGTTAGAGAAACCTGAGCAAGCCGGACCTGCAAAAGTTGAGAAAGATAGTGAGAAGACGACGTATACAGAACACAATCCATTTAAGAGACTAGAGATGCCTTGGAGAGACCAACTAAACTCTACTATAACACAAAAAAAAGATGCTCTTTTTAAGACTCCAGAGGAAACACTTGAGTCCAGCAAAGACCAGAAAGAGATACCCAAAGTCACCAAGTCTGAAGAAAAGCTACCTAAAGGAGCCGTGGGAGAGAAAACAAAGAATGCCAGTCGAGATCAAATTCCTAAAGAACCAAAGGAGCAGCAACTTAACGAAGTCGAAAACACTGCAACACGTAAAAAAAACACCGAAAGGGAGATCCCACCTAATATCCTGAAAAAGGGGGTTGAACTCAAAAAGACCCCTTCGCCTCAAGTGGCTAAAGACAAGGCGGAAGACGAGAAGCCCTTCAAACATTTGGAGCAACTGAAGAGGGTGGAGCTAAAAAAGACTATGTCACCATTAGTTGATGAGCAAAAACCTAAAGAACTTGAACATGTCCCCACTGAGAAGAAGCCAAGTGAACAGATTTCGGCAAACAACTCGGTTGAAACTGAGTTCCCGAAGAAGCCGTTGGCAGACAAGGTTTTTCAACAAGAACAACCTGGGAGAGGCAGTGTTCCTCTGGTGAAGGAGGTCTCTCCTGGACCCGTGCAGATGAAGAAGGTGCCCACCCAGCCACAGGAGGAGGCTGAAGAGGGCGAGGAAGATGAAGCTTGGGGCTGGGAACTGGTCCCCAGGGATGACTGGGAAGGCGAAGCACATGCTTCGGCGTTGGAAACTCCAGGAATGCCCGGCGGCAAAAGAGGTGAGACGTGGCTGCCAAGCTCCCCATTTGATGACTTTGGAGACCTCCTTGCCCCCCCCCCCCCCCATCCCCCCCCCGCTCATCCATCTAAAAGCAATCATCTATCTCATCAATCTATCTCATTAAATCACCGGATCATCGGATCATCTGGAGCTCATTCCCCATCCAGCTACTGAGATGATTTCATGTTGTCCATCATGTGTCCGTCCAACATCCATGTACCGAGATGATGTAAAGATGTCCATCATGTGTCCATCCACCGAGATGATTTCATCTTGTCCCTCATGTGTCCGTCTACCATCCATCCACTGAGATGATTTTATGTTGTCTATACTGTGTCCGTTCACCATACATCTACTGAGATTATATTGTGTTGTCTATCCACCATCAACCCACTGAGATTTTTTCATGTTGTCCGTGATATGTCTGTCCACCATCCATCTACTGAGTTGATGTTGTGTTGCCCATCGTGTATCTGTCCTCTTGTGTCCTCCACATCAGCCAAGTGTTTTACTTGTGCTCATCTCCATCTTCATCCTCTTCATCTCTGTGACGTTCGCTGTATGTTCTTTTATTTGATTTATCATGTTAGTATTTCTCAAATTTAGGTCGTGATTTCTTCTTGTATACTTAAACCTCAAATAGATACACTTAAAACGCATCTTATCATTTGTTGTTCAGATGGAAAACCGACCGAAGAGCCACCAAAAGGCAGAGGTCGAGGACTTGGGGGTATGACATCATCCAGAGCTTGCGTGTACTAATGGTTTGCTCTTTGTGTTCCTTGTGCTATGTAATGTCAGAAGCTTTTTCATTGTATGTGTTGTTGAGTGTCTTATCCTTTTCAACAGATGTCTTTTGTAAAGCTTGCCCGAAAGGTTTAGAGGAAACAGAAGAGCTGGGTATCTTTAATCTTGCTGCCTTTCAGGCAAAGTTCTTAACTTAACGTGTTTTTTGTGTTTCAAGACCAAAACTCGTAGTATTTTAAAAAGTATCTACCCAGATTGTCTACAGAGAGTCTCCATTCCAGCCAATATAAGCACTGTTTTTTTCTGAAATCAGCACACTTATCTTAGAGTATTTGGAGTATTTGGTCTTGATGTTTTTTTGTCATTCATCTTTATAGTCGTTGGATTTGCAACGTCTTTCCCTCTGTGTTGTTTGTGTGGTTTGTTGTCCTTTTTTTCTTCAGAGAATCCTGATTTGAATCTCATAAAGTGACTTTGCATGGTTAATCGTCTTAACAGAATCTTATGTTCTAACCTTGTTTAGAACAGACATTTCTTTAATGTGTCATTACCTCGACTTACTGAGTCCACGGGTGGGCACACAAGTCTTAATGACATCCTATAGTCCAATGTCTGACTCTTCTTCACACTCCATCCTTTCTGAAACTAAGTCAATGAGTTTTTCTATGTGGCGTTGCAGCGAGACAAACCCCGTCACCTGGTGACGGAGGCCGGGGCCGTGGCCTGAGGCCTGGAGGGAAAGGCCCGTCGCCGCCGGAGGAACCCTTCGGAGGATTCAAACTGAAAGCCGTCCCCCTGAAGTTCATCAAAAAGATCCAGGACATCGTGCTGCAGGAGGCCGAGTCCATTGGCTCGGCCGCCGTGTTCGAGTGCGAGGTATCGCCCTCCACCGCCATCGCCACCTGGATGAAAGACGGCAGCAACCTGCGTGAGGGCCCCAAGCACAAGTTCACCTCCGACGGCAAAGACCGAAAGTTGAACATCATCGATGTGCAGTTGTCCGACACCGGCGAATACACCTGTATAGCCAAGAACGCCGGCAAGGAGATATCCTGCACAGCCAAGCTCATTGTAGAAGGTAAACTAGAACATTTCACAAGAAATTTTGACAGTGGGGCTGAGACTGCCTGAAGACACCGCACTATATCAGCAGCATTGGTAACAGTTGTAGCTGGAGTGCAGGGGATGGGGGAGGGAGGGATGGGGAGTAGGGGTAAGATACGACAAGAAAAGGAGGTATATCTCCAGGTCTTTTGTCAGACTGGGGTAATGAGCTAATACCAATCACCTCTGTAAGGCAGGTAGAGAGTAAGTGTGTGGTCATCGTGGTGATGATGCACCTGGCATCGTGACACACTGATCAAAGAACCGGGAGAGGATTCTTTACAGAAACACCAATCACACAATTCCCCCTAAATGCAAAACCATGATTCCAATCGCAAAAATAAGGATAGTGTCAGAGACCCAGATATACTTTAAATGTCTGTGCAGTCAATAACAGGAATCTTGCAACAGTTTCCAAAACTTGAGTCTACTTTCTTTGAGAAATTTGTCACCACATTAAACATCACTGCCTAGATTTTGTTTGTCCCTCTTTCAGGGTTTTGGTGGACCAATGTGTAAGTCAGTTGGATTCCATAGTTGAGACCAGCAACATACTAAAAATCTTTATGGAGCAGTTTTGCTCTACTTTTTGTGATTTTTGGACATAGTCAAATCACTGAGAAAAGTGTGAGTCCTGCACATTGCAATGTATTGTGACTCGTGTTGGCAACGACGGGAAGAGAAGTGCACCAAACTTTTGTACGGAAGGACAATGGAGGTGCCCAGCTTTTATTGGAGAGCACAGACGGTTCTTTAATTTACTTTTATCTTTATGCAGAGCTGCCTGTGAAATGGCTGAAAGAGTTGGAACCAGAGACTTCCTGTATGAAGGGTCAGCCCATGTATCTAACCTGTGAGCTGAACAAAGAGAGAGACGTCATCTGGAAGAAGAACGGCGCCCTCCTGAAGAAACAGGCTGGAAAAATAGCCGTTAACATCATCGGCATGCAGCACGCCATCACCATTCAGAACGCCACAGAGGAGGACGCCGGCGCTTACACATGCGAGGTGGCCGGAAATGAAGATGTCAAGACGACCACCAATGTCAAAGTCATCGGTAAGCAGTCAGAAAAAGAGACGAGATAATTGATGAAGGATTTTCATTTGGAAAGTCAACGTCCTTCTTAGAGTAGAGCTGCTAATGCTAATAAAGAAGGAGTTTTTTTGTGCTTTCTGCATATCTACAAAGTTGTGGTTAGTTCTGTCATGGTTGATGAGTAAGATGAGGTACGTTGTAACTGTGGAGATAAGCCAATGGAGTGACTGTGAAAAATCCAGAGGTAACCTTTAGTTTGTATCTAACTAAAATCTCACACCATGGGTATTTGTATTTCTGCCACACTATCTGCAGTCAGATACAACGTCTTGTTTATTGAACCCAATGAAGCTAAAAGACGTTTTATTTTCGTGACGCTCGATCTTCCGGTTGTCAAAACGAAAAGATTTGAGAGTAATAACATTTGGGATGTGGCGGTCTATCTAACTCAGACGGAGGCATCCCCATCGTTTCTGCTGCTCCAATGCAATGCTTTGTTGCTCTCAGCCTCTGTCCCTGTAAAACTTTACCGAACTCTCCCTACTCAGAAATCATCAAAGACTGGCTGGTTAAGCCTCTGAGGGACCAGCACGTGAAACCGAGGGCCAAGGCCACATTTAAATGTGAGCTGTTCAAGGACACCCCCAACTGGAAGTGGTTCAAAGGAGACAATGAGGTCGCTCCTTCTGACAAGGTAGACATCCACAAAGATGGAAAGGACATGACGCTCACCATCAACAACTGCCAGCCGAACGACGTGTCCGACTACACCCTCGAGGTGGAGGATCGCAGATACACGGCCAAACTCACTCTGGGAGGTTGGTGGAACGTTTACAGATTCTCGTCAAATAGCGTGTGACCCAAAAAGGCCTCTCATGCCATGAACTGTTCCCTGTTAACAACCTTTTTATGATGTTTCAGAGCGTGAGGCTGAGGTTCTGAAACCCCTCTCCAGCGTGGAGGTGGTCGAGAAGGAGGAAGCCAACTTCGACACTGAAATATCTGAGGAGGATGTGGCTGGCGAATGGAAGCTGAGGGGACAGGTGCTGATGAGGTCCCCGGTAAGATATCAGATGCACCTGATCAGACAGCAGCTAACAAACACTCATTGCTCAAAGAAATGCCTTTTTATTCCTCCTAAAACTTCATTTGTTCTTTTTGTCTCAGAGCTGTGACATCAAAGCTGAAGGCAAGAAACGTTTCCTGACGTTGAAACACGTGCAGCTGGATCAGGCGGGGGAAGTGTCCTATCAGGCCCTGAACGCCATCACCAGCGCCATGCTCACTGTCAAAGGTACAAATCTGTCGTGGATACACTTTATTTGTACTTTGTATTTGTACTGTCTGTTGGGGTCACGCATTAGAGGACTTTCAGAGGGAGAACCGTAAGAAAAAGGACTGCTGAGATTCTGCTTTTGTCAATAATTGAACCCATCCTTCGCACCTCCCAGAGATCGAAATGGGCTTTGTTGACCCACTGAAGGACCTTAACGTGCCTGAAAAGAAACAGGCCAAGTTTGAATGTACTGTCACCAAAGAGGTGTCAAAGGTCATGTGGTTCAGGGGGACGGAGATTGTTACCCCGGGCCCTAAATATGAAATAATGGATGACGGAACCAAACACATGCTGATCGTAAACAGCTGTGAGTTTGACGACGAGGCTCAGTACACCGTGGAAGTGTTGGGACACAAGTCGTCCGCTCAGCTGGCGGTGGAAGGTGAGTGGGCCGAGAGAAATGCTTGCTGTCTTTTGATGTCTTTGGCTTTAAAGTGTCTGACGGCGACCAACCCGCTCTGTGTGCACCGACCTCGTTTATTTCAGGCATGAGGCTCAAATTTGTGCGGCAGCTTCAGGACCAAACAGTGAAAGAAGGTGAAGCAGTTCGGTTCGAAATGGAACTGACGCACGACAACGTGCCAGTTGTTTGGTACCGAAACGAGATGAAGCTCCACGTGAGCCGAACGGTGCTCATGCACGTGGAAGGAAAGAAACACACTCTAGAAATCAGGATGTTGTCTCTAGATGATACCTGCCAGATAAAGGCAGAGGCCAAAGGAATTTACTCCACGGCAAAGCTCAATGTCATAGGTAACAATACTCTTCCTGTCTTCTCTGCAGCTGCACATGTACAAACATAATGGACTCATGTCATTACGAGAAGAAAGATACAGTTAACATCTGCAGTGAATGAACTACTTTAAAGTTGGAGTTTAAGTTATCACATGGCTTAAAGCAGGGGTCTTAAACTCCGGCCTGCGGGCCACATCGGTGCGGCCCGCCGGGGGGTACCGACTTTGGCGTACCCCTCCCCCCCCGTCGGCCGTACCATTCGCTGGTCGGACCGTCAGTGCCGCCCCCCCAGGCGACCGACGTGGCTGCATCTGGCACTGCACCATTTGAGTTTGAGACCCCTGGCTTAAAGGATCATTCTGGTGTTGGCTTTGTATTCATAGTCTTATAGCAATACTTTTTTTAGCTTTGACTTTCACACTTTATTCTGAGACACACCATCAGTCCTATAGATTCTCTTCATATGAGTATGACTCTCAATGGGAGTCTTTCTCTAGCATCTTGGTGCGCAAACACACAGCTGGGAAGTCAACCTTAGGGGACTAACTGGGTCCCGGTTCTATTCTAGAGGGCGATGCCGTCTTCGTGGTGAAGCTGCAGGATTACACGGCCACAGAGAAGGAGGAGGTGAGCCTGGACTGTGAGCTGAGCAAAGACGTGCCCGTCGTCTGGTACCACAGCGAGAAGGAGATCATCGCCTCCAAGCTGATGGTCATGAAGTCGGAGGGAACTCGCAGGTCTCTGATCCTGAAAAAAGCAGAGCAGAGTAATAGAGGACAATATGTATGTGACTGTGGAACGGACAAGACCTCGGCCAACATCAACATCGAAGGTATACGTGGTGAAACTGTTCATGTTCTGAACATGGAGGTGACACTTGAGTTCATATCTAAAGTTTTTCTTCTTTATTGCTTTTCCCACCTCCAGCTCGAGACATCAAGGTGGTCCGGCCAATTTATGGTGTGGAGCTTTTTGACGGAGAGACAGCTCGCTTCGAGGTGGAGATCTCTGAGGAAGACGTCCACGGCCAGTGGAAGCTGAACAGAGAAGTCCTCAGCCCTTCTTCTGTGAGCGCCTCAGCAGCTGGGTCTTCATTAAGTCGACTCGCAGGTTTCTCCGGTAGTAACGGTTAATGTTTGTTATTGGACAGGACGTGGACATCATCGAGGAGGGCGGCAAACACACGCTGATTCTGTACAACTGTAAGCTCTCCATGACCGGTGAGGTGGCGTACACCGCTGCCAATGCCACCTGTTCTGCTAACCTAAAGGTCAAAGGTGAGCCAGCATCAACGTTACCTCATCTTTTCTCTGTTCTTGAAGACATTATTGTTTGGGAAGACCTTTTGAATTTATTCCAGTCATCAATGATTCTTTTATCATTACGTACGGAAAATGTGTGTATATATATACATATATTTATTAATTTATTGGGACTTTTTTAATCTCTGCTTTTTAAGATGCTTTAGTCTTTTTAGGGAACAATAATTGAAAACAGTATCTACATATAGTATACCTTATTTAATTTGACTGATTTAGTTTCCCGCATTAGGGCTTGACCTGCGCACTGGATCGAAGTGAAATTGTCTCCTTGTGTTTCTCCCTCAGAACTTCCTCTGAACTTCCTGACATCGCTCAGTGACGTTCAGGTGTACGAGAAAGACGAGGCGAGGTTCGAGCTGGAGCTGTCCAGACCCCCAAAGAGTTTCCGCTGGCTGAAAGGTCCTCAGGAGCTGCAGAGCGACGAAAAGTACGAGATGATCCAGGAGGGAAACATGTATGTTCTGGTGGTCCGATTGGCCGCCTACGACGACGAAGCCAAGTACATGTTTGAGGCTGAGGACAAGAGGACGACGGGCAAGCTTGTCATCCAAGGTAGCTCTGGTGTCCCTCTACAGCTGTGAAGGAACCTTTAAAGGATAAGTCATTTTTTTTCGTGATGCAATGAATCTTTGATTGCAGGTATTCGTCTGGAGTTTGCCAAACCGATCAAGGACGTGACCGTGAAGGAGCGTGAAACGGCCGAGTTCAGCGTCGAGCTCTCCCACGACAATATCCCGGTGGTCTGGTACAAAAACGACGTCCGCCTTCACCCCAGCAAGGTGGTGCACATGTCGGATCACGGAAAGACCCACATGCTGGCCTTCAAAGAGGTCACCATCGACGACACGTCCATGATCAAAGTGGAGGCCATGGACAAAAGCGTGACCGCCATGCTCACCGTGCTCGGTCAGTGTTGACTCTTCAGTAGCTAAATGTACCTTTGAAATGTACCTTTGATTCAGAAAAGTCTGCTGTTGAAGGAACCTCAAGTGTCTCAGTTTGGACACTAATTAAAGATGATGACTCTTCCCTTGTATTCTGTAGAGGGCGACCTCTATTTCACCACCAAGCTGCAGAACTATACCGCCGTGGAGAAGGACGAGGTGAAGCTGGTTTGCGAACTGAGCAAATCCGTTGCTGATGTGAAATGGTTCAAGGACAGCAAAGAGATCATTCCCTCCAAGAACATGGCCGTCAGCACCGATGGGAAGAAGCGCATCCTGACGGTCCGGAAGGCAGAGAAGGCCAACATCGGAGAGTACACCTGCGACTGTGGCTCAGATAAAACCACAGCCAGCCTTAACATTGAAGGTAAATTGTGACATTAGATTTCAATATCGAGGTGATGATCTGCTGTATAAAGGAGAGCATCATCCACATAGTGTCGGAGGTTAGAGCAGCTGAAACTTCACTGAATCACAACTAACAGGAGTTAAATTGTCTCCTTTGACAGAGATTTCAGTCTAGAAAAAGGAAAAGATTCCGTCTTCTTCTTATTATTATTCTTTCCCTGCACGCAGAGCGCGACATCAAGGTCGTTCGACCGCTGTACAGCGTGGAGGTCACAGAGACAGAAACAGCCAAGTTTGAGACGGAGATTTCAGAAGACGACGTCCACGGAAATTGGAAGCTGAAGGGAGAAGCTCTGCACCCGTGTCCCGTAGGTCTTGTGAGCATTTGACCGATCGGGGGTGTTCATAGTGAGGCTTGTTTCATCCCTGCACCTCTTCTTCTTTCTTCAGGATGTGGAGATTAAGGAGGAGGGAACCAAGCATATGCTGATCCTCTACAACGTCCAAATGGACATGGCCGGAGGCATTGACTTCTCAGCAGCCAACGCCAAGTCCAACGCTCAGCTCAGAGTAAAAGGTGAGACACTGCTTCTTCTTCTTCATCCTCTTCACCTTTTCATCCACAGCCTTTTCAATAGAATACAAAAAAGCTCAGCTTTCCTTAAAGCCTCACAAAGACTCCTCATTCAGAAAAATACATAAAAAAAACATTTTCATGTGATTTTGAAGCAATTCTGAGCTTGGCCAGAACTTTTTACTCAGATTATAATAAACAATTCATATATATATTTCGTTCTAAATCCATCCACCTACGGGCAATTTAGAGTCACCAATCAGCCTGATCCCCAGAGCATGTCTCTGGACTGTGGGAGGAAGCCGGAGAACCCGGAGAGAACCCACACAGACACAGGGAGAACATGCAGACTCCACACAGAAAGGCCACTGGGCGGAGTCGAACCCAGGACCTTCTTGCTGTGAGGCGACAGTGCTGACAACCACCATTGTTCTAAATATTTAGACTAAACATTTGAAAATTTTGCAGATCAATGAAAAACTTACTTACTCAGTAAAAACTTATTTTTTACTAATCCTTTAGAATCAAAAAGGGCAGTTGAAGAATGGCAAGTATGTATCTGAGAGTGTGTCGGAGGTTCATATCTCATCTTCTAACTTTACATTTCCAGTCTTTAGCCAATCAGCTGCTGAGTTTATTTTAGACGCTCTGAGCTTTATCTCAAGTCAGCGGTTGCTGTCTGATTGGAGGAGCTGGATTTACGTCAGATCAGATTCCAGACAGGTCTGTTAACACATATCTTTTCCTTCTTCTCCCCCAGCTCGGTCCATTGGGCTGCTGCGTCCTCTGAAGGACGTGACGGTGACGGCCGGGGAGACGGCAACCTTCGAGTGCGAGCTGTCTTACGAAGGTATCGTGGTGGACTGGTTCCTGGGGGGTCAGAAGATGGAGGCCAGCGACAGGGTGAGTCCGCCTTTCAAAGTAAAACCAGTTCAAACCAGTGTTGCTGGGGCAGTTCACAACAACAAACGGTGCAGAACTAAGAACACAGCCCTGAGGGAAATGATGATGATTGAATGATTTGACTTTGCTTCCTGTCCCAACACGTGATTACGATGGATTTGGATTTATATACCCATATATATTTTAAGGATAAAATATAAATTGTACTTTGCATAATTAATTAATGCTATAGGTGCAGTGTTTTGTTTTTTCTTACAATAAGTGCATTTCAACCATAAGGATACAAACACAAAACAACAAGAAACAAGAAAATAAAATTTCATTAAATAAGCCAATTTACAACTTGCTGTAGATAAGAACCATTATAAGTCCAATGTAAGTGCTACAGTTAGTGTGTTAGTGGAGGTAGAGTCTGAAGAGGTGTGTCTTTAGTCTGAAGATGTGAAGGCTCTCTGTGGTCCTGGTGTCTTCAGAGACCTCCTTCCACCATTTAGGAGCAGGACACCAAAGAGTGGAGATCTAGTTGAGTGTTTTGCTCTCAGTGAGGAGGAACAAGCAGTTTATCACATGCAGAGCGGAGAGGTCAGAGGTCGGGATGTCGGGTTGGACCAGGTCCTGGATGTAAGCTGGACCCCATCCATTCACAGCATGGTACCTGAGCACCAGTGTTTAGAACTGGATGAGCCACCGGTACCAGTGAAGAGATCGGAGGAGTGGAGGAGTGAGGGAGAGAAAAAGGAAGGTTAAAGAGCAGTGGAGCTGCTGCATTCTGGATGAGCTGCAGAGGTGGAATGGTGGTAGCAGGAGACCTGCAGGAGAGAGTTACAGTAGTCGGGGACGTGTTCTCCTGATGTTGTAGAGCGAGTATCTACAGGATGGTGGTGTCAGTGATGTTGGAGTCAGGGAGAGTCGGCTGTCGATGTCACGCCGAGGTTCTTAGCGGTCAAAGTGGACGTTAACACGGAGTTGCCAAAGTTAACCGTCACGTCCTGGGTCGGAGAATCTTTAATATGTGCTTGACAGAAGTTATTGAACAAAAGAAAATCCCCAAACAAGAATGGCATCCACCAAAAGGTTTTCAAGGAGCTGGATGTATTTTTACTACGGCGTTAAAGCAGCAGTTAAAAATAATCTTTTGTTATCTTGAACTCCTTATAAGTAGAAGGAGCTGCAGGTAGCATTAGCATGTTAGCATCGGCCTGCAGAACCTGAGTGATAAGCCACAGAGGGCCCTCATGTCACAAAGTCATGGCACGATAGCCATGAAGTTCTAAAAAGGTCGTAGCCCTGAAAAAAAAAAGTTTATTGATTAATTTTATGCCAATCAGCTAATCGATTGTTTTATTTAAAAAGAAGAAAGTTTAGTGTTGAAACAGGATATAAGAATGAGAAGTGTAAATAATTTATTAATTACGAATCTAAAAATGTCATCATGTAATCAATACATAGATTGATTATTTTATATATTGGTTTATTTGATAAGGAACCGTGCACATTAATAAAACATTGCTGTAAATGTGTATGTGTATTTGTTTTAGCCAAAGTGCTAAACCAATTCATCTGTATTCCTAAGTGACAGGTGTTTCAAACCTAAAAACAAAAGACAACACTACATTTAAAATGTTAAATAATATTGGCGCCTTACAATGCATGCACAAAAAAATGAAAAAAGTGAGAATAAAACTGCTCATTGTCAAGTACAAACAAGACATGCAACACAGGGGCTCTCATAGTGAACACCCAGCTAAATAAATAAAGAATGACTGTGTTAAAACAGGAACATGGACTAAAAACAATGCGATGCTGCAGTTGTTAAGGAAAGAAGAAAAGGAAAAAATAGGAAAACATCCATGTCAGAAGCACAGAACATAAAAGCATGCAGAATATGTGGAAAAGGACACGTATGCAGGTAGACAAGGTTCGACCGGCAATTTCAACACACACAGACGGGTGACAGCAGAAAGATGAAGTTCAACACAGACAGAGACGTGCAGTTCCACCTCATGTTTAAAATGAGTTTCAAATGAACTATGTTTGTCTCTAATGGTAACTGGCATGGAATTACTTTGTAGTCCACTTTGTAATATGTTTTAACAAGTTATATTTGTTTAGTATAGGGCAGTGATGAGAACGAATAGCTTTTTTCATTTATACAATAACTGTAGTGGCTTCAGAGAAGTGGTCAGTGACGTGCAGTCAGGGTAGCCAAGGTAGGCACTGACTACCTTGCCAAAATTCAAACATACAAAACGTGTGGTTTAGACACTATGATGACAAAGGTAGCAAATACGCACAATCAAATACAAAAGAAATGGTAGAATAAGCAATGCTTTTACTGTCCATTCTTTGCGGACGACAAACGTATAACAATAATAATAATACAGTGTGAGGGTTGCCTAACAACACCCTTGAATAGAAGATAAAGTACAGCCTCAAGTACATTACTGCTTTTATTGCTTTTACAATACGGTTACCAGCGACATTATAAATAGTACAGCAGCACAAAACATTGTGTATCACATTTCAGTAGTCCAGAGAGAAAATAGTCCCCTTACGTGCGTGCAAACAGCATTCAGTGTCGCACCATCTCATTCATTCACATCGCTCATGACGTCCACCTGAATTGAATTGTCCGCATTCCGATCATTTGTGAAGTTTACTGTCTTTTTTTGGCGATCGCCACCGAGCTAAAAACTGAAATCACATCTAACGGTCGCCAAAATCTAACCTGTTACTTTGAGCGCACAGTGATATGGAACGCTCGGGTCAATGTGTTCGCTGGAGTTCATCTACCCGTATTATAATCTTTAACATGTACGGCAAAAAGCACCACTCTGCTGCACCTAAATAGGTTATGCCAATAAACATCTACATTATGTATCAAATATCAACCAATTAAAATCAAGATATTACTGGACATTTGCGCAGCAGACATCACTACACCAGTTAACCCTCACAAAATCCAAAGTCAAAATGACGGCAACTAATTGTTTTGAGTCTTCCTCGATGTCAATTCCCAACAGATGATTAGGACATCAGATGAATCTCTGAGCATTTTAATTAATTATTTCAGACGCTTATCAAACGCTCTCAGTGAGAACATTACTTCATAAAAACAACAGCGGAGGTCTTTAACAGCAACGTAAACACAAGCTGATCCGTCCGAATATTAACTATATGATCTCTGTGTTCTCAGGTGAAGACGCGTGTGGCGGGAAAAGTTCACGCCCTGACCGTCAGAGACGTCACGCTGTGCGAGGCCGGAGAAGTCAAACTCAGCTCCAAAGACTTCCAGACTCAGGCTAAGCTCATCATCAGAGGTGAGGACAGTAGTGGTTCTACTGTTTTTTGTAGACTGTGAGGACCCTACTGGTTCTACTAGTCTTTACTAATTCAACTAGACTTTGGGGACCCCACTGGTTCTACGATCCCGACTTTTAAAGCTGGGCTGCGATGACTCCTATCACGTTTTAAAAAGCTGTCCTGGCGCTGAATTGTGTCTTGACGCCTGCAGAGCCGGCAGTTGAGTTCTCCAAGCCTCTGGAGGACCAGACGGTGGAGGAGGAAGCCACCGCCACGCTGGAGTGTGAAGTCTCCAGAGAGAACGCCGAGGTCCAATGGTTCAGGGACGGACAGGAGATCAGGAAGACCAAGAAGTACGAGATGATCGTAGACGGGTGCAAGAGGGCGCTACTGGTCCACGACTGCTCTCCGGACGACTCCAAGACCTACACCTGTGACGCCAAAAGCTTCAAGACCTCCTGCTTCCTCAACGTGGAACGTGAGTACAGTTGAGCTCTAATTCAGACTTCAGAGTCACAGAATCTTTGATTTAAAATGTTCACTCAAATGATTAAATGAAGATTTATGTTATTTAGAATTATCTAAATGAAAACTTCGTTTTGAAAAGTTCGGTAAATGTGTTAAAAAGTCATTATTATAATTCCTTATGCACTATTTATAAACCTCCACACAGGAGGTTAGTTTTACATAAATAGTGCTAACAAAGAATTGAATACATAAAAGACCATTTTTTATTAAAAGTTAAAGCTCACACAAAAGTATTAACTGCGTAACTTTATTTCTATGATTCTTAACTTTTCTCATGTTTTACTTCATATTGAGCCTCCGTACTTTTAAAAGGGTTTTTATCCCTCCTTAGCCTTAGCTTAGTGAAATGTACAATAATCTGTTGAATCTTTTAATAATCATTAATCTGTCGTGTCTGATTCCTCCTCAGCTCCTCTCGTGGAGTTCACCAAGCCTCTGCAGGACGTCGAAGTCAAAGAGAAGGAATCCGCTAGGTTTGAATGTGAAGTGTCCCGTGAGATGGCCAAGGTGAGAACCCCCCCAATCAGCAGCCGGCTTTGCTGCCGCTTGACTCCCAAAACCTCAGTGCTGTGAAACGTAATTTGTGTCCTTCAGGTCCGCTGGTTCAAAGACGGCAATGAGATCCGGAAGAGTAAGAAGTATGAGATCCTCGCTAAGGGGGTCCAGAGGACTCTCGTTGTCCACAAGTCTGCCTTCGAGGACGAGGCCGAGTACGAGTGCGACGCCAGAACCTCAAAGAGCTCCGGCATGCTCACGGTCATCGGTGAGGACTTCTTGCTTAATATACAAAGAAATGGGTATTATCTTCCTTTAGGCCAGTGGTTTCCAAATGTTTTCTGTCCCCTCTCTCTTTTTTTCTCTCTCTCTCTCTCCCTGTCGCTTTACCTCCCTCTCCCTCTATGTCTTTCGCTTGTACCCTGAGCAAGGGCAACAAATTTAGCTTTCTCTTTTTTTCCCTCTCGTGGCTGTGTTAAAGTTGTTAATGAAGCTGTAACCCCCTGTCGGCCCACCCAGGGTATCCACCACTGATTTAAGGGGATAAACAGTTGAGTTAAAGGTTAACGCCTGAAAGTCAAGGATCAGGAGAGATTAAACCCTTTTATCCGCTCCCAGAGGAGGCAGCCCGGTTCACCAAGAACCTGTTCAACGTGGAGGGCACGGAGACGGACAACGTGAAGATGATCTGCGAGGTGTCAAAGGCCGGCGCCGAGGTCACATGGTACCGGGGGGAGGAGGAGCTTCCCGAAGGGGGGCGCTACGAGCATGTGGTGGACGGACGCAAGAGGATCCTTATCATCCAGGACCTAAGGATGGAGGACGCCGGAGACTACAACTGCAGGCTGACCACTGGTTTCAAGACCTCTGCCACACTCAAGCTCAACGGTGAGAGGATGACCCGTTGAAAGGACGTTTGCCTCCAATGAACCAAATATTGCTTAGCTTAGCATGAACACTGGAAACCGGAGGGAAAGTTCTGTCCAACCAAAACGACATCCTCTAACACTTGGTATCTTATTTCATTTGAGTTTTAAAAACTTTGACTTTTTGACGTTGAGTTTTTGTTCTTTATGCTAAGCAGAGCTTCATGCTTAGCGAACAGAGTATAGTATGGGTGTAATGATTCATTTTAACAACGATTCGATTCGAATCGCGATTCATGCTTGCCGATTCGATTGATTGACGATCTGGGTTAATTTAGAACGATTCGATTCGATTCAGTGACTTGAAATCGATTCAGTAACTTTACTGGACCGTGCAGGCAAAGTTTCTGAGATCCCTGTTGTTTCTTGTAAGGAAATCAGGTTTAAATTAATTATGGATATTATAAACAAGTAAACAACAATTAATGGCAAATGTATTAACCTTTTATTGTGCAACCATTTTCAATGTAAACATTACACAATAATTACACAATGTTTGGATCAATTCACAGAACCCCGTTGTTCAACCACATCGTAGGGTCGCATGTCTTTACAGATGAACTTGTTACTGTGATGAGTTTGGTGCTGGCGAGGCCTGAGGCGTCTGCAGAGCTGGAGTTACCTGCTGCTGCTGCAGCGGTGACGCTGCTCGAGGTCCTGACTGTTGGCGTTGTTTAATCCCACGGCGCCTTAGTAGACGGACGGAAAGATTCGGCGTGTTTCTGTGGTTTTTTATTTGGCTTCTACATATTCTACAAACAGCGAGCGACTTATTTAGAACACCTCCGTGTTTGCAAAAGCCAAAATGTTTCCACGCGCTGGATCGATGAGTTGGTTTGTAAATGTCTTGCTCGCAGTCGTCTCCTCCACGCTGTGTGTCGTTGTTGTTCCGAGTTTCGCGCGGCTGCTGCTGCGTACTGATGACATCACAGACAGGCAGACTGAATCCAGTAACGTTTAACGCGTCTAAAGTGCTAACAAACAAACAAACATCCATACCGTTTTTGTACTTAAATCCAATGTGCAGTTTCCAGTTATCGATACAATCGATTATGTACCATTTCAAGCGATTTGTAATCGATATATGTCGTCCGGAATGCCGATTTGCGGAGCACAGATCGACTCAGTTGGATCGCAGGAATATAAATCGATTAATCGATTCAGTGGATGAATCGTTACACCCCTAGAGTATAGTGTTAGTATGAACAAGAATCTCAGTTCATATCAGATCAGTTTGATTTTACCTTTCATTGTGACATGAACAGTTTGTCTATTTCATTTAATAATATTTTTTTACAAAACAAAGCGCATTAATAACTCCTCTTTTCTTCTCTTCCTCCCTACAGAGCTGGCGGCAGAGTTCATCGCCCGTCCTGAGAACCAGGAGGTGGTGGAGGGCGAGAAGGCAGAGTTTGCCTGCTCCGTATCCAAGGAAACCTACGAGGTGAAGTGGTTCAGAGCAGACAAGGAGGTGGAAGCCGGGGACAAGTACACCGTGGTCAGCGAGGGGAAGAGGAGAGCTCTTATTGTAAAAAGCTGTGGGATGAAGGACGAGGGTGGTTACGTCGCCCACATTGGGAGTGTCAAGGCATCTGCCGACCTGTTTGTAATTGGTAAGAAAAATGTCCTCTACCAAGTCTCGTCTTCCATATCTCGCTCTAGTGATTTCAGAGCGACCGTTGGTTTTAACAAAGTTCGCTTGTCACTGCAGAGAAACTGAGGATCGTCACACCCATCAAAGACACGGAGGTGAAGGAGGGAAGTGAGATTGTGTTTAACTGCGAGACAAATGCAGAGGGAGCGAAAGCCAAGTGGCTGAAGAACGAAGAGACGATATTTGAGAGCAGCAAGTACATGATGGTCCAGAGGGACAACGTGTTTTCTCTGAGGATCAGAGACGCCCAGAAGGGAGACGAGTCAAACTACACCATCAGCCTAACCAATCAGAGGGCGGAGCAGGCAAAGAGCACCGCCAGTGCTAGAGTGGCCGGTGAGGACTAGGATGCATTTCACCTCAGTGAAAGTCGAACACACCTTTAGTGTCTACGTGGTCTCTAAAGTTCTTCTTTGTTCTGTCCATCATCTGTGTCCTCTCTCTCCACAGAGGAAAAGCTAAGGTTCCTGGATCCCATCGAAGACGTGGAGACCCAGGAGAAGAAGACCATTAGCTTTGTGTGCAAGGTGAACCGGCCCGAGGTGACGGTGATGTGGATGAAGGCCGGCCAGGAGGTGACGCTAAGCAAGCGCGTGGTCTACCGGGCCGACGGGCTCAAGCACACACTGATCATCAAGGACTGCGCCATGGAGGACGAGGGCGAGTACACCGCCGTCGTTGGGGACGACAAGTGCGCCGCAGAGCTGATCATTAGCGAGGCGCCCACGGACTTTGCCGCGCAGCTCAAGGACCAGACCATCACCGAGTTTGAGGAAGCAGAGTTCACCTGCAAGCTGAGCAAAGAGAAGGCTGTGGTGAAGTGGTACAGGAACGGACGGGAGATAAGAGAAGGGGCGAGGTAAAAACAACACTCTTGTTTTTTCTGGATTCCTCCTAGACATTTCTCAAACCGTCAGTCACAGAGTTAAACATTACTTCCTTATATCTTTTTGAGATAAATGTGACTCTGAGGAAATGAAAAGAGACCAACACGCCGGCTCATATTTCATAAAGGAGATATTTACATAACAAGCGACGACCATTTACATAACAAGCACATCCTCCGATTTGCCAGTAAATTACCTGCTCAGTGACTTTTGACCCCTTGTGCTTCTGCAGATATCATATGGAAAAAGAAGGCAGGACGTGCAGACTAATGGTAAAGGTGTGCAGACCGGATGATGAATGTGAATACGCCTGTGGTGTGGATGAGATGAGGACCAGGGCCAGGCTCTTTGTTGAAGGTAAACTGTTGTTCTCCTCTCATTATTGTTCTATTGAGGGGAATGTTCCCCATTTGAATCCTCGAGAATTTGTCTCCGCATACGCAGAGACCCCGGTGGAGATCGTCCGACCTCCTCAGGATGCATTTGAGCCTCCAGGCTCCGACGTAGTGTTCGAGGCGGAGCTCAACAAGGACAGGGTGGAGGTAAAGTGGATGAGGAACAACATGATCATCATCCAGGGAGACAAATACCAGATGATTAGCGAGGGTAAAGTCCACAGACTGCAAGTCTGTGAGATCCGACCTCGGGATCAGGGAGAGTACAGAGTCGTGGCAAAAGACAAGGACGCCAAAGCCAAGCTGGAGCTGGCAGGTGAGTTGCCGTAAAGATACTTGAGTCACCAATGTAGCACCATTAGGTAGATGCTCACTAACCCTTTAGCTAGTATAAGGTGGACGGTAATGTTTTACCTCAACAACGTAAACTCTTGTTCTGAAGAGAAGATGAAAAGGATTTGGGGAAACTAATTGTAAAGAATCGTCAGATGCAGTGACTTTTAAGGGCTTCAGGTTTGAGGTGCCTTTGGTAAAAACCTAAATATTTAAGTAACAACTTAAATTATTCAATCTCCTCTGAAGCTGTTCCAAAGATCAAAACCACCGATCAGAATCTGGTCACGGACGCCGGTAAGCCCTTCCTCATGAGCGTACCCTATGACGCCTACCCTCGTGCTGATGCCGAGTGGTTCCTCGCTGGCACCGCTCTGCCCATCCAGAACATCGACACCTCCACCGACAAAACCGAATTCCGCCTGAAGAGCCCCAGCAAGGAGGACCGGGGCCAGTATAAGGTGGTGATCAAGAACAAGCATGGCAAGGGAGAGGCATTTATCAACCTGGACGTGATCGGTGAGTCCGGGGATCAGACCACCTTATGAACCCAAAGTAAACCTAGTCGGAGCAGTTTTTAAATGTCATGTTGGTTGTTGCCAGACGTCCCTGCACCTGTGAAGAACCTGAGAGTGGTGGACACCTCTGACGGGGAGGTTAGTTTGGCCTGGGATGAGCCTGAGAGCGATGGCGGGAGCAAGATCGTGGCCTACGTGGTGGAGAGGCGTGACTTGAAGCGGAAAACCTGGACGCTGGCAACAGACCGTGCTGACGCGCCTGAGTACTGCGTTAGCGGCCTCCAGAAGGACTCCATGTACCTCTTTAGGGTCTGTGCTCGGAACCGGGTTGGCAGCGGACCCATCGTTGCCACCGTGGACCCCGTCCAGGCCAAGAACAAGTTTGGTAAGAAAGGGCCCAAACTCTCATCTACACTCGTACACGGTCTGAACTCTGATCCCTTATGGGGTGTGTTTTCTATCCTCAGATGTTCCAGGCGCTCCGGAGAATGTCGCTGTTGGAGGGGTGAATAGGGTCGGTGTCACCATCACCTGGGAGCCCCCCAAGCATGACGGCGGTTCTGAGGTCACTGCCTACGTTATTGAGCTCCGCGACAGGACCGCCGTGAAGTGGGAGGCGGCCATGGTCTGTGCTGCCAGCGACCACTCGGCCACGCTGAGCGACGTGGTGGAGAACAAGGAGTACATCTTCAGGGTCCGGGCTGAGAACAAGGCCGGTATCGGCAAGCCCAGCGCTGCCACCAAGCCCGTCAAGATCATGGATCCAATCGGTAAGAGAAAACCAGCTCTTTGAACCTTTGTTTTCCATTAAGATTCAAAAGACAAGTTATTCTGCCTCTTGTGTTGTCCCTTCAGAGAAACCGAGTCCACCTCTGAACTTGAACTACGGCGACCAAATCAAGACGGCGGTCACTCTGACCTGGGAGACCCCCACAAGCAACGGCGGCAGCTTGATCACTGGATACGTGATTCAGAAATGCGACGATGGTGCCGACAAGTGGCTCCGCTGCAACGCCAGACTATGTCCTGACCTCTCCTACCGGGTGCGGAGATCTTTCATTTAAGCTAGATTTGGATCTGATTCTGTTTCCCCACTTGTGATCTCTCAGTTTTGAGAGATCACGAGTGGGTTCAGAGCTGACGGTTGTTTGTTCCGGTTTCCTGTTGTCCTTCAGGTATCCGGTCTGAAACCCGGTCAGAAGTACCTCTACAGAGTTTGTGCTGAGAACGCCGCTGGCTTATCTGATCCGGCCGAGCAACTCGGACCGCTTCTCGCTGATGACCCTCATGGTAAGAGTCGAACAGCAGAACATCAGAATGATTTGCATAATTTGTCCGGCTGACTGAAACAATCAAACATTGGCCGTTTATGCAAACTAGATTTTTAACATTTTCTGTTCCGGCAGTCGGTCCGACCTTTGACCTGAGCGGCTTCAGAAACGGCCTGGAGGTGATCGTCCCTCAGCCCCTCACCATCAGAGTCCCCATCACCGGGTACCCAACCCCCGTCGCCAAGTGGACCTTTGGGGAGAAGGCACTGACCCCGGCTGACGAACGCGTCTCCATGGTGACAAAGCCTACATTCACGGAGCTGACAGTGACACCGAGCGTCCGTCCTGACAAAGGCACCTACACCCTTCATCTGGAGAACGACGTTGCGTCCATCTCAGGCGACATCGAAGTCACCGTCATCGGTAACAGCGGCTTCTCTTTCATGTAGACTAGATATCTCATGATAATACAACGTTTCAAACAAAATGTTTTGGACAGGCAGGAACGAAGAACATCCAGGACGATAGACAGGGACATCCGTGATAAAAGACACACATGGCTTAAATACACTAGGGAGGTGCAGGTGATTGGACACAGGTGGAAACAATCATGACATGACAGACAATCACAGAGGAGGACAGGACAAGGCAGGAAGTGACATGACCCAGGGAGAACAGAGGCAAGAAACTACAAAATAAAACCAGACATTAACCCAAACCGTGACAGATGGGGCGGTCGCTCTATGTGTGGTAGCTGCTGTCATAAGGATGTGAATGATGACAATTGTTAAAGTGCTTTCAGTGGTCACAAATACAGTCCATTTATTAATTTATGTCCTGCCACCTTTATTCTCCCAGCATGCCCTAGTGCTCCTAAGGACTTCAAGGTTGCCGAGGTTACCCGACATCACGTCCACCTGATGTGGGAGACTCCGGAGCATGATGGAGGAAGTCCAGTCACCCACTTCCAGATCGAAAAGAGAGAAGTGTCTCGCAAGACCTGGGCAAAGGTATTCCTGTTTTTTCCCTTCATGGTGGTCAGAGAATGAACATGGTCCAACTTTAACAGCTTCTCTCGTGGACTTAAAAGCTCTCAAATTCAGCATTTAAATCTTTCTGTTCTTGTAAAAAATTATATATATTATAAATAATCAAAAATAAAAGTATTGTGTAGGTTTAAAAGCAGATAAAATCAAAATTGCAGGTTTCCATTCAGTTTGAGGCCACAAAAAGTGGAAAACATGTGTATCAACAAGCCTTCCTTGGATGTTTATTCATCGCGATGATATTTTGTCCAGGTGGCCACTGGCATCCTGGACCTGGAGCACACCATAACCGACGTGATTGAGGGAAAGGAGTATTTGTTCAGTGTCACCGCCTGCAACAAGTGTGGGCCCGGAGAGCCGGCATATATCGACGAGCCCGTCAACGTCTCCTCGCCTGCCAGTGAGTACCTATTCTTTCAGTCCGAGTGGAGCTGACATCGGACCCATGTGATGGAAAATCACTGAGAAAAGGGGAGAGTACAATAGTCGAGTGGAAGTTTACCAGACACCAGGAAATGTGCTAGAAAAGTAGCATTGGAATGTATAAATTACCATACCGTAAAATCAATTTAATCCCGGAGTAAAATAATCAATTATCTGTAGACAGTTTTCACCACACCAGGCTCTAATTTCCTTGTTTTTGATGAAACCAGATTCAAGTCCCATCTTTCTCTATCCCCCCAGCCATACCTGATCATCCCGAGAACCTGAAGTGGCGCGATAAGAGTGGAAAGAGCATCTTCCTATCCTGGGAGCCTCCGAAATACGACGGCGGCGCCCCGATCAAAGGCTACGTTGTGGATAAGTGCCAGCGTGGTACCGACAAGTGGGAACCTTGCGGAGACCCCATCCTCGAGCTGAAGTAAGACCCGGTAGTTTGACTCTACTCAGAGCCAATATCATGGGACAGGCTTTTATGAGACATGTTCTGCACTCTTAGGTTCCAGGTGAACGGACTGATTGAGGGTCAGTGGTACGCATACAGAATAAGAGCTTTAAACAAGCTGGGAGCCAGCCGGCCTTGCAGGGCCACTGATGAGATCCAGGCCGTGGATGCCAGAGGTGAGAAGCTACTGGTCCTTCACACTAGATTCTGGCTCAGAATAATTTACCATTCATACCAGTGTCTCGCCACAACAACTGACATTGCTCTTCAGCAGGCGGCAGAGTTTATTCTTACACGTCTTTAAGGAGCGCTCGGCGGTCAGAGCTACTTATCTTACATGTGTTGAGATTGAGTCATGGTTATAACTTTATGACAAGAATGAACAGTTACTTATTAACAGGGTAAAACACCACGACACAACGGCTTGTGACACATAAACAATTTGTTACACTAATAATTGTCCATTTAGTAAAATGACTCCGCCAAATTGCATGCTGGGTACAGCAAGTAACGTTTAACTCTTTTGTTACATGAAAACACAGAAGAGAGCGATACAGGAGGAACAATGAGAGACCAGAGAGGAGCCGTGTCTGTTTGGAGGGTTTTTGGTTTTGGAGAATCTGACGTAAATTAGATCAGAAAAAGATTTATTACAAAGTCTCTCGAGCCTCTGGTGGCAACACTAGCAGCCAAAACAAGTTAACATGCTAACAAACTAACTCGCCGGCTGATTTTTGGCCGTACCGTGCAGCCCAATGAAGGGTATAAAATAGAACATTAAGTAAAAGTACAGGAACAAGGATTATCAATTATGGGATCGGGAGGATCCCGTATAACTTTCCCCAACCATTTGTTCTCTCTGACATTGTACCTCTAAACATCTCCCACAGAGCCTCCAGAGATCCAGCTGGATGTGAAGCTGCTGGCTGGTCTGACCGCAAGGGCTGGAACCAAGATCGAGCTCCCGGCCGACGTCAAGGGGAAGCCGGATCCCCGGGTGAAGTGGACCAAGGCCGATCTGGTCCTTCGGGCTGATGACCGCATCGCCATTGACACCCAACCAGGACACTCCAAGCTGACCATCGCCAACACCACCAGAGGAGACACCGCCACCTACATCATCGAGGCGGTGAACCCCTGTGGGCGCGCCACCGCCACCATTGACGTCAACATCCTGGGTACAGATGCTAGTGTACTGTCTGCTCTGTAAAACCATCACTCCGCCCCAAACGATAGCGGTGTTGTCTATAGCTATAACATCCAGTTTAATATCGCATCAATCGAGCAACAACCAGCTATTAACTTTAGCCATCTTTTCATGGTGTGTCTCCTCTTCTCCAGACAAACCTGGCCCACCGGCCGCCTTCGATATCTCCGAGGTCACTAACGAGTCGTGCCTCATGGCATGGAACCCCCCCAGGGACGATGGTGGCTCGCCCATCACCAACTACATTGTGGAGAGTCGCCTGACGGAGAAAGAAGAGTGGGTGAAGCTGTCTGCCACGGTGAAACACACCACCTTCAAGGCCTGCAAGCTCATTGCGTTGAAGGAGTATATCTTCAGGATCAGCGCGGAGAACCAGTACGGCATCGGTGCGCCTGCACAGCACTCGCCTATCATTGCAAAGTACTCTTTCGGTAAGTTATTCCACTTTCCAGCCATATATATTGAAATATAATCGGATATACAATATCATTCTAAAATTAGAACGGGGATTCATATTGATCACATTAAACATTAAATAAATATCTATTTTACAATCAACACGTGAAAAGATGGATGGAAAGGCATTATGCAGGCAGTATGACATGCCTTGTACTTTGGAATTTGAATAGGTTTCAATAGAAATGGATTGCTTTTACTGAGCGTGTTTATTTCCCACTGGTCTTAGACCCCCCCGGTGCTCCGACCAGAGTCACTCCCTCCGACATCACCAAGGACGCCGTCACCCTGACCTGGTTTGAGCCGGATGAGGACGGCGGCAGTCCCATCATTGGGTATTGGATCGAGAAGTTTGATCCAGAGAGCGACAAGTGGATCAGGTGCAACAAACTTCCCATCAAGGACACAACCTTCAGGTAAACCGCCACGGCGAGATGGAAGGTGTTCGTGTGTGAAGGAGAGACGCGGAGTGTTTTTCTCACCTTGCCTTCATGCTTCAGGGTGAAAGGACTCCCCACCAAGAAGAAGTACAGCTTCCGGGTTTTGGCTGAGAATCTGGCTGGATCAGGGAAACCCAGTGTTGAAACAGATCCAGTCCTCATCAAGGATCCCATTGGTATGTCACATCTCCATCAGGGCTGATACACATACTGCTGTGGTCAATGTGTGTGACTATTTTTAAGGGATCTTTACATCCTACTCCTATACTGTAAGAGTGACAAGACTGGAGGTGAGAGTAATCAGATGTTTATGATATCAATTAACCCTCTTCAGATCCTCCATGGGCTCCCGGGAAACCGGTCATCAGGGACGTCGGCAAGACTACGGCCCTGCTGGCCTGGACACGGCCAGAGCATGACGGCGGGGCGAAGATCGAAGGCTACATCATCGAGTTACAGAAGACCGGCAGCGAGGAGTGGATCCGCATCGCGGAGGACGTGCCTCAGATAGAGCACCAGCTGCAGGGCCTGATGGAAAAGCAGGAGTACTCATTCCGGGTCAAGGCCGTCAACAAGGCAGGCGAGAGCGAACCCAGTGAGCCCAGTGACCCCGTGATCTGCAAAGAGAGACTTTGTAAGTTCACAATGGATGGCAGTGAGGAGTTGTTCTGCACAGTTAGTTAGTTGGAAAGAATGATCAAAACACACAATATGATAACTTTGTCTGACCCGACGTTTTAATATGTTGTCTAGTGTTGACGAAGACAGCAACATCTTCTTATCTAAAGTACAGACCACAATTTACCGTTTAAAAAAGCCAAAGAAATTCTTATGCTGAGAAACCAGGCAACGAAAGAACTTATGAAAGCAGAAGCACATTTTTTTTATTAAATTCTATTTGTCAACCAGAAAAATAGTTTGCATTCTTTAGTAACATATGGGATCAATGCTGCTGCATCACATTTGGTCCTGTTATTGGCACATGTACTGTAGGTTAAGATAATTACTTAATTAATGTTGTACGTCTTTGGGGTTTCAATCACCTTTCTCTACTCAACAGATCCTCCGTCGGCTCCTCAGTGGCTGGAGGTGGCCAACATCACCAAGATCAACGCCACCTTGAAGTGGCAGCTTCCCAGCGCCGACGGAGGCTCACCCATCACCAACTACGTGGTGGAGAAGAGGGACGTGAGGCGGAAGGCCTGGCAGGCCGTGGACACCACGGTGAAGGAGCTGAAGTACACGGTGACACCGCTCAACGAGGGATCGCTCTACGTGTTCCGTGTGGCCGCTGAGAACGCTGTGGGAACAGGAGAATTCTGCGAGCTGGAGGACGCTGTGCTCGCCAAAGATACCTTCAGTAAGCTCTCAACAATTACCTGTATCATGGATTAACAAGTGGAAACATGCGGTAATGAGAGAAGAGGCCAAAATGACTCAAATGGCCACTGGAGGCTCCAAACAAATATACTCTCCGTAGATAAACCAGGTTTATTTTACATGGTTCAAAAGACAGTTTCAACAGGAACAATTTTCATACAAGCTGCCCTTTTTGATTATGTTAAGACTTAAACTTAGTCATTGTAAAGGGGTTTATCACATTAAGGTTGGTTGTTGCTGCTTGGGGGGATTTTTATCTTAATTTCAAGACCATGCAGAGACAACCGGTTTAAGACAAATATTAATGTTTGTTGTGTACTTCTGTGCAGCAACTCCTGGACCTCCTTATGCCCTGAAGGTGGTGGAGGTCACCAAGAGACATGTGGATCTGAAATGGGAAGCTCCCAAGAGCAACGGTGGAAGACCCATAACCAAGTAAGCCTACTGTGTAGACCGCTGTGAGGTAATGTTCATTATAAGTGAAATGGGATGTTGAACCTCTGAATGTGCTTATCAGAGATAGTCTCTAGATAGGCGTTCAAAGGCCATGAAACAACAGCTATGTGACCATCCACACTTTGTAACCTGCTCCACAGGTATGTGATTGAGAAGAAAGAGAAGCTGGGAACACGCTGGCTGAAGAGTTGCAAGACTCCGGACAAACAGACTCAGTTCAAGGTGACGGACGTAGACGAAGGCTCCGAGGTTCAGTTCCAGGTCCGAGCTGAGAATGAGGCCGGGGTCGGAGACCCGAGTGAACCCACTGAGATCCTCACCATCGAGGATGCGACCAGTAAGAGACACGGCCATATGGGTTTGTTTTTTTATTCAGGAACCTTTCAGAAGTAAACTCGGACCTCGTCCTCTGTTTCCAGGCGCTCCATCTCCTCCCCTGGAAGTGACCAGCCCCGACGCCAGCAGAGAGCATATCAATGTCACATGGAAGCCTCCGGCCAAGGATGGCAGCTCCCCAATCACCGGCTACCACGTGGAGGTGGCCGAGGCCCGTCCGGAGCTCAAGTGGCTCAGAGTCAACAACCGGCCCATCAAAGAGCTCAACTTCAGAATCGAGGATGGAATCAAACCAGAGAAGAAGTACGTCATCAGGGTCCGTGCCATCAACTCCATCGGTGTGAGCGACCCCTCCGAGATCTCTGACAAAGTCTTCACCAAGGATCCCGATTGTAAGCATCAACAGAAGTTGAACTGTTCAAAACAAAAAAGTACCAGTTTTAAATACCAATCCTCTCCTCCGTCCACAAGGTGCTCCAACCATGGATTTGGCGGTGCAGGACATGGTCGTGGTTGAAGGTGAGAAGCTACACCTGAAGGTCCCCTACCGGGCAATACCCACACCCAAAATGGTCTGGCAGAAGGACGCGGTGGAGTGTAAGGCAGGCGACCGGCTCTCCCTCACGGTGGAGATGAGCAACGCTCACCTGGAGCTGCTCAGGTGCACGCGCGCCGATGCTGGTGCCTATGTCGTCACCCTGGAGAACAGCCTGGGAACCGCCAGTGGGAACGTTCACGTCAAAGTCATCGGTAGGACTGTGCTTCGTGCAACTGCTTTCTAGAAATATAACACTTCGTTTAAAGGTTGTTCAAGTTGTGCAGTCCAATAGCGATACCTTATTATAAACCAGTCAGTTCCACTCAGAGATTCCACCAATCAAGTTTAACATTCAACACCAATAATCTGCTGGACTTCATGACTTGGCACGTAATTCTTGTATGGACGTAATTCAGTAGAGACAGACAAGGAAGACGCATCCTCTGACAAGGTTTTTTTATTTCAGGACTTCCCGGTCAGTGTAAAGACGTCATCTCCAGCAACGTCACCAAGAACTCCTGCCAGATCACCTGGGAAGCCCCGGAGGACGACGGCGGAACCCCCATCCTTAGCTACACTCTGGAGCGCCGCGAGGCCTCCAAGAAGACCTACATGCCCGTCAGCTCGGGAGAGAGCGTCCTGACCTGCACCGTCAAAGACCTCTACGTCAACTGCGAGTATTACTTCAGAGTGAAGGCCATCAATCAGGTTGGAGCCGGACAATACCTGGAGCTACGCCAACCGGTCATCACGGAGGACGTCAAACGTAGGTTCACAGCTCAAGGACTTCAGAGGCATAATCAGTTGTGTCATTGGGAGCATGTGAGCAACCTGATATTAGCATGTATCACTCTGTAAAGGATGTATATATACATCAAAGACCTGAGGTTCATTCAATTATCAATATCTTTAGACACTTATTCATGTTCTTATCCTTCCAGCCATTTCCAAATAATCTAATAGGAAAATGCTATTAATTAAATGAGATGAAACTTATATATTATGTCAAACCATGTTGTCTTACGTACAGAAGCCGCCCAGACATTTACCATCTGTTCTTAAAATCACTTCCACAGAGAAACCAGACCCGCCCATCCAGGTGGAGGCTCAAGACCCGACGTCCAAGTCCATCAAAGTCACCTGGAAGGCTCCGGACTTTGACGGTGGTTGTCCCATCCAGGGTTACATCCTAGAGAAGATGGAGAAAGATGGCGACCGCTACGAGCGGGTCTCCCCAAGCCTGGTGCCCGGTCTTTCCCACGTGGTGACGGGCCTGACGGAGAACGTGGAGTACCAGTTCAGGGTCCGGGCCGAGAATGCCGCCGGAGTCAGCGAGCCGTCCAGGAGCACCCAGCTCATGAAGGCTGCCGACCCCGTCGGTAAGGGAAATTCTAGCCTTGACACAATGGAGATCCAAAACGTCAGATAAGAAGTAGCTACACTTCATAACACTGCTTCCTTTTAACAGAAAAACCAAAGGTCACCCTCCACGCACGCGTGCAGTCTGGTCTGTGCATCAAGAAGGGTGCGGAGATCCGCATTGACGCCTTCTTCTCTGGCTTGCCATGTCCCAAAGTCAGCTGGCTGAGAAACAACGAGGATGTCACCAAAGAGCCCACCAAGAAGGTGGTGGCCGTGATCAAGAAGAAGAAGAACAAGACGGCAGTCAGTGTCCTCAGAGCGACTCAAACATTTCAATGCCTCACTACATGTTACTGAAGGAGTTAATACATGTTTCTCCTCAGGTTCCTGAGCCAGAGGAGGAGTTTGTGACTCCAATGCGTGAGCGTCTGGGCCTGGATCAGAACACCAGCGGCCAGTCGGCACTGATGATTCGTGACGCCGTAAGAGCCGACCACGGCACATTCACCATCCAGGTGGAGAACACCCACGGCGTGGCCACCGCCTGCTGCGTGGTCAATGTCCTCGGTGAGACTTTCATCTCCACTGCACCTCTGGAGAGTTCAGTCAGATGACTTACGCTCCTCATTTACATTTAAACTGCTAAATATAATTAAAACCATTGAATCAAATCAGCTGCAGTTATTTTTATCCAATAAGGCGACATAAGAGTTTTGTCAAAATTTTAAAAAATCAAATTGAAAAAAGAACACAATCTGAACTCTACTCGTCCTGAGACTAATCGTTGACCCGACTCCGTTCTACCGCAGACAAACCTGGCGCTCCGATCAACTTCTCCTTCGACGAGGTCCGGAACACCTCGGTGGTCTGTAACTGGGAGCCCCCGGAGGACGACGGCGGCAGCGAGGTCCTCAGCTACATGCTGGAAAAGAAGGACAACAAGAACGAGGAGATCGGCTGGATCACCGTCACTTCCACGCTGAAGGGCACCAGCTGCCCCATCACCAAGCTCATCGAGGGGAAGGAGTACATCTTCAGGGTCACCGCCGAGAACAAGTTTGGCTGCGGCCCGCCTTGCGTCTCTGAGCCGCTAGTTGCGAAGAACCAGTTTGGTAAGAAAAGATGGAAGAGACGGAAAAAATCTTTGAGCTCAGACAGTTATCTGACATAGTGATGAGATGAGAATATTAGATATTATATCAAATTAATTAAATAAATGTAATGCTGTTAACTGAACCACCACTACAATGATTTTCTAACCTTAATTTTGGTTAAAGATGATTTTCATGTATATTGCAAAATAAATTGTTTAAAAGTTAGAACCCACATGTTTATCTTGTACATGTCTCCCTTTGTTAAGTCACTCGCTCGTAACTTCTCGCCCCCCCTCCCCCAGATCCTCCCGACGCTCCCAACACCCCCAGAGTCCACGAGGTAACGGCCAGCTCTGCCCACATCTCTTGGCATGAGCCCAAGGACAACGGCAGCCCGATCCTGGGTTACTGGATCGAGAGGAAGGAAGTAAACAGCAAACACTGGACCCGGGTCAACCGAGCCCTCCTCAACTCTCTGGACGTGAGGGTCAGTGGCCTCATGGAGGGACTCACCTACATCTTCAGAGTATCTGCCGAGAACCTGGCCGGTCCCGGGCCCTTCAGCGAGCCCACCGACCGCACCGTGGCCATGGACGCCATCTGTAAGTTCTCAGTCCGGACCCACAAGCTCATGGAGCAGATGGCCAATAAAGTGAAACATTGTATTTCAGAGATGTCTTTTTATTTGATAGGTACGTAGTGCCATTCCCTATCAGAATTTATTTTGCCCTTGTCATCGCTCACTGTGACAACAAAAATATCAGCTTAAACAAACATTCTTATTGTTTTCATCATTCATCATGACAGGAACAAATAGATGTTTTTACATTCAAATTCAAATGAGGGAGGCATCAATCAAATAAAAGTTATTCCACAAATTCTAATGAAATATAGATAGATAACTACTCATCTCATGTCTTTTCTGTCATACTATTTGGTTTCATGAATACATACCAAACTCCCAAAGAAGCAGTTAAGTTACCTTCATGCAGCCCATTCAAATTTCATCTTATGTGATGGATTCAGATCATTAGTCTACCTCTGCTCCTTCCCCATGCAGTGCCTCCTGGCCCCCCTACTCCGTGGATCGTGGACACTGGGAATGACTCTGTCATTGTGGCCTGGAAACCACCTCTGTACAATGGCGGCGGGGACATCCTGGGATACCACCTGGAAAAGGTGCAGGGAGCTGCTTCACTAACTTCTCCTCCATCTAGGGGTGGACCCGGGAGGTTAAACTCTGTTCTTCTGATCCCAGGTTTTGGCCGGAGAGAAGGAATGGACTCGCAGCACTGAGTTCAGGTGCAAAGAGCTGACGTACACTATGACTGGGCTGACCCAGGGAGCCGACTACTACATCCGTGTCATCGCAATCAACGACTCCGGACCCGGAGCTCCGGGTGTAACCGAGCCCGTCACCGTGAAGGAGCCCGAAGGTACGGACCGTTCTGTTAATTACTTCACCTGTTTATGTCAGGTTACTTTATAGTTATAAAAACAAGAAGAATGTATAGTTTTTGCCATCTAATTCAACACTTCATACAGCTGTTTACAGTGAAAGCTTGTCAAATCAGGAGAACAGCCTTGTGCTTTTACTTTGGAGGAGCCACAGGAAGCCTGACACATTCTGCCTATTGTGGTTCTGAGACGTTTGATAGATTTCAACACTTTCTGCTGTTTCCCGTCATTCAGAACCTCCCGTTGTGGACTTTGACTCCTCTGTGAAGAACGGCGTCATCATCAAGGCTGGTGAGCTGCTGAGGCTCCCTGCCGTGGTGACGGGCCGACCGCAGCCCGAGGTCAAATGGGCCAAGGACGAGGCCGAGATCGACATAGACCACGTGGTGGTGGAGACGGAGGGCAAGAACACCGCTTTGTTCATCAAGAAGGCCGTGAGGGCAGACCACGGGATGTACCAGGTCTCTGGCACCAACGGGAGCGGAACCAAGACCGCCAAGACCAAAGTGGACGTTATGGGTCAGTGTTGAATGAATCCACAGTTTATTGTTTCAGAAGTAGGAGGACTAACTACTGACTGAGAGGGAACTAGTTCGTGGGCAGAAGCGAGCAAGCGCCATGTGATCTTCAGAAGTTTGTTGCTTGCTGTATGGACTGATTGGGACACACTCAGTAACGATTGGTGGTGATTCCTCTTCATATTGGAGGATCTTAAAACTTCAAGGTGACATGAAATCATTTGGGGTCTTATCACATCTCTAAAGATAAGCTGTGTTCACGATCCATCCAGAGAACCACTGAGTGACTTAGCTGGGCTGAGTTATTCCTATTGTGAATAATTGCAACACATAGATATGTAGATAGATAGAAAACATGTTTACTTTTATGTGTTTCCTTAGACGTCCCTGGACCGGTGGTCGACCTGAAGACAGTAGTGGTCACCAAGAAGAACATCACCCTCACCTGGTCCGACCCTCTGGACAATGGCGGCAGTGAGATCTTCGGCTACGAGGTGCTGAGGAAGGACGCCAAGATGAAGTTGTTCCGCCAGCCCATTGAGACGGCGTCCTGCAAGTGTGACATTCAGGGCCTGCTGGCCGGTGAGGAGTACGACTTCAGGGTCATCGCCAGGAACAAGTACGGCGACGGAGCTCCGGCAGATCTGGGACCCATCCTGGCAGAGGACCCCAAAGGTAAACCTGACCTCTCCTGCGGTCGGCAGGAACTTAGCAGCTTATGAAGGGCCTTGTCAAACATCTGCCCTCCCATTCATCTCCTCCTTCAACACAGATGTGCTTATTATTACATTACAGGTCATTTAGCAGACGCTTTTATCCAAAGCGACTTACATCACACTTTAAACCCCTGGCTTTTTCACATTTTTGCCCAGGGAGCAATTAGGGGTTAGGTGTCTTGCTCAGGGACACCTCGACATGGAACATGGGGCAGCCTGGAATCGAACCAACAACCTTGTGCTTCCCAGCACACCTTCTCTAACCCCTGCGCCACGACACACCCTGCTTATCAACTTGAAAGGACCCCCCCCCCCCTCCCCTTTATTCTTTATCTTGTTGGAAAAGAGTCCTAAAAGCGGTTGACGGTGGTACATGGGGAAAGCGCAAGGTTGGTGGTTTGAACCCTGGCTTCGCCATGTCCCACGTCGAAGTGTACCTGAGCAAGACACCTAAGCCCTAATTGCTCCCTGGGCAAAAATGTAAAAAATATGCGTTAGAAATCGCTTTGGATAAAGGCGTCAGCTAAATGACCTGTAATGTAAATGTAATGTAATGCATAAAAAGGGTTAAACAGGAAGAAAAGTGGAAAATTACTACCAAAGTGAACATTTGCAATAACACATTTTTTTAGTTTTCAGTTTTAAACTATATCAACGAAATGGTACATGTGGCCCCTCAAGGTCTGTTGGATCATCCGTTCACTGTTGACTGAGCTCCTCCCCATCTTTCCAGCTACTCCATCTGCTCCTGAGAAGCTGCACTACACCGACAGAAGCAAGAGCACCATCACCTTGGCCTGGCAGCTGCCTCGTACCGACGGCGGCAGCCCCATCCTCGGCTACTACGTAGAGAAGATGAGGTCGGACGGCAGCGAGTTTGAGGTGGCAAACCGCAAACTCTTTACCGAGTGCTGCGGGACCATCGAGAACCTGTCGGAGAACCAGGAATACCAGTTCCGCGTCAAAGCCATGAGCGAGGTCGGGGATGGCGACGTCTCCAAGCCGATCACCGCTAAGATCCAAGACGATGAAAGTATGAAGCTCTCTCTGAAAAACTGAGATTGTTAGACCGATCTGGTTTTCAAAGTGAAAAGTTTATTTACAGATGTTTGTTTCCCCACAGTTCCTCCAGTCATAAGCATTCTGAAGTTCTTCAAGAGCAACGCCATCAACGTGATGAAAGGCTCGGCCATCGACATCCCAGCAGAGGTGAAGGGACTTCCCCTACCGACGCTTCAGTGGCTGAAGGATGGCGTGGTGATCGAGAAGCCCGAGAACGATGACAAAATGACGATGGAGACCGAAGAGGTGAGAACATCTCAACATCCACAGGACAGATCACTCACACAGCTTTTGAACTGGAGGTGTGGTCAACTCGGTGGACATCGTGGATTGATCTTAACTTAACTTAACTCCTACTCATTGTACACTCTCTGGAGTGTCTGGATGACCCTTGACCTCTGTGATTCTTCAAGACAGTTAAATGATTTGTGTTGAGATCCTCTTCATATGTACTTTTCTTTTAATTTGCTTTAAAGTAAAGCACAGTTTTACTGCCTTGTGTGTGAATCAAGAAATGGGTATATTTGCTTATATTTATGAATATATTTGCCCTCTCGTCCCAAGGTGACCCGCACCACCATGCGGACTAAGATTGCTCTCCCAGAAACCATCAGACAGGACAAAGGCAACTACAAGCTGGTGGCTGAAAACTGCTTCGGCAAAGCTGAGCACGTCATCCACGTGGAGATCCTCGGTGAGAACAAGTCGTTTGATGTGTTTTTGTCTTTTCGCATGGAGCGTCTCGTTAACACAACCCCTGCCTTGTCAGACCGTCCCCTTCCCCCGAGGAACATCGTGGTCTCAGACATTAAGGCCGACTCGTGCTACCTGACCTGGGATGCCCCTGAGGACAACGGAGGCAGCGAGCTCACCAACTACGTGGTGGAGCGCCGGGACGCCAGCAAGAAGAAGTCTGACTTCGAGGTCCTGACCATCAACCTTGTGGACAGGAGATATGGGGTGAGTCGCTGGCTCCTTTCATCCATTCATGGTGACAACATCATACCGTTGCATCATACCGTAGGATACACATTGGTCCTGAAAATCTAAATGTAATCTTCAATTAATCATAAAGTTTTATTGTATTCAACCCTCTGAAACCAAACAATTCCCGGATAACTTCCTTTGAAATTTCTGGAAGTAAGTAAGTTTTAACTCAACCGAATGACTTAAGTAGTAGTAGTAGGAGTATTCTATTAGTATAGAAATGTGTTCCTATCTCAACGCCTAAACCAAAGACACAGACCACTGAACTGGTTCTGATCCTTCAGGTCTACAAGCTGAACCTGAACGGACTCTACCAGTTCAGGATCAAAGCCGAGAACAAGTACGGCCTGAGCGACGGCTGCGACTCAGAGAAAGTCCAGCTCAGGGATCCGTTCGGCCTCCCCGGACCTCCTCGTAACCCCAAGATCATCGCAGCCACGGCCACCACCATGACCCTGAGCTGGGACCCTCCCCTGAACAACGGCGGCTCCACCATCCAGGGGTACTGGCTGGAGAAGAGGGAGCGCGGCGCCGTCTACTGGGGCCGCGTCAACCGGGCCCCCGTCACAAGGCCCTCTGTGAAGGGCCTACAGTACACTGTGCTCAAGCTTATCGAGGGATCCGAGTACCAGTTCAGGATTGCTGCCAGCAATGCTGCGGGTGTCGGGCCGCCGTCCGAGTCCAGCGAGTGCCGCTTTGCCCTGGACCCAAGCAGTGAGTGTTCAAGACGAATCGGAGTAGACCAGCTGGCACTTTATTTACCACATGGTCTCAAACTGTTTAAATCTAATGTCGCCTACAGGGGGCATAATACTTTAAATAATATTCGTATGTAGAAGTAACAAGCTGTTAAAGTTTATTTTACACACAGAGACGTCACTTATAAAGAAGTAAATATCATGATTGACTGCTAATATCATTATTATTACTACGATTCTTCAGATACTGTCTGACTTAGTGGGGAATTATTGTTTTGTCTTAACTAAGATATTATAAACAACGTCTAAACTAGGGCTGTCACAATATCAAATTTGTGTTGTGCACCAACTTTATTTGCTATAGACGATATTATTGCAATTTCCAGACGATTTGTGCCACTGATAACATTCATATACATGAAAATATAATAGCATATTAATACAAGTACGCTCTTTCATACAACAGAACATTGTATCCTATTGTATGTAAAAAATAATGAGTGCAAGGGACACGGAGCAGGCAAAGTCAAGTCAAGTCAAGTCATTTTATTTTGTATAGCCCAAAATCGCAAATTACAAATTTGCCTCAGAGGGCTTTACAGTCTGTACACATACAACATCCTCTGCCCCAAAACCCACCATCGGCACAGGAAAAACTCCCCAAAAAATGAAAAAAACCCTTACAAGAGGGAAAAAAGGGAAGAAACCTTAGGGAGAACGTCAGAGGAGGGATCCCACTCCCGGGATGGACAGACTACAATTGATGCCATGTGTACAGAATGAACAATGTATAATCATGCAATTCCTATGACAGAAATGATTCAAGTAATTGTGAGTAGTAAGCCAGGCGCACAGCAGGACCACTGCAGGGACCACCACCATCAGATAGAACCACCATCCACAGAAGCCTGTGGGGAGGGAGAGCACAGAGATTTTAGTAGAGGGTAATGTCGGTTTATGAGTAAAGTAATATGATTAATATCTAAAATAATGATGATGATGGCAGCAGCAGGCGTCAGCATGGCCACGGTAGGTGTCAGGACCAGGGTCCCGAAGGAACTGCGATCTACGGAGACCTGATAGGGGAGAAAGCACACAAAAAAACTCCCCGAAAGAAGCTGAATTAGTCATGTGCATTAATAAAACTTGAATTATGGTAGAACGAGAGCGTGAGAGAGGAGCTTTGTGTGTCCTAAGAATTCCCCCGGCATTCTAAGCCTATAGCAGCTTAACTAAGGGCCGGTCCGGACTAACCTGAGCCAGCCCTAACTATAGGCAGAATCAAAGAGGAACGTTTTAAGTTTTACTTTAAAAGAGCTGACCGAATCTGCCCCCCGGACTGAAAGTGGAACCTGGTTCCACAAAAGAGGAGCTTGATAACTGAAGGCTCTGGCCCCCAGCCTACTTTTTAAAACCATAGGAACAACAAGTAACCCAGCATCTATGGAGCGCAGTTGCCTTGTAGGGCAATACGGTGTTACAAGCTCTTGAAGATACAACGGTGCCTCACCAGCAAGGGCCTTGTAGGTGAGGAGAAGTACCTTAAAATCTATTCTTGATTTAACAGGGAGCCAGTGCAGAGAAGTTAATACAGGAGTGATATGATCCCTTTTCTTAGTTCTTGTTAATACACGTGCTGCAGCCTGATAACAAAGAATTACAGTAGTCGAGTCTGGAAGTGACAAACGCATGAACTAATTTTTCTGCATCACTTTGAGACAGGAAGTTCCTGATTTTTGATATGTTACGTAGATGAAAATAGGCAGTCCTTGAAGTCTTCTTTATATGCGAGTTGAAGGTCATATCCTGGTCGAAGAGAACTCCCAGATTCCTGACGGTGCTGCTGGGTACCAGAGCAATTCCATCCATAAAAACTGTATCACGTGACAGCTGGCTTCGAAGGCGCTCTGGGCCTATCAGGATAACTTCCGTTTTTTCTGAGTTTAGCATCAGGAAGTTGCCGGTCATCCAAGTTTTGATGTCTCCAAGACATTCTTGAAGTCTAACTAACTGGTCCGTCTCTTCTGGCTTGATCGACAGATACAGTTGAGTATCGTCTGCATAACAATAGAAGTTTATGCGGTGTTTCCTGATAAGATCGCCCAAAGGAAGCATATAGAGGGTAAATAAAATCGGTCCAAGTACAGAACAACATTGGTGGTCTTTGAGGATTCACCGTTTACAAGCACAAACTGGGATCGGTCCGATAAGTAGGATTTAAACCAGCTGAGTGCAGTTCCTTTGATACCAATTAAATGTTCTAGTCTCTGCAACAGGATACAATGGTCTATGGTATCAAATGCGGCACTGAGGTCCAGCAAGACAAGAAAAGAGATGAGTCCTTGGTCCGATGCAAGTAGAAGATCATTCGTAATTTTCACCAGTGCGGTTTCTGCACTGTGATGCACTCGAAATCCTGACTGGAAATCCTCGAACAAAGTATTGTTTTGTAGAAAGTCACATAATTGATTTGCGACGGATTTCTCAAGGATCTTAGAGAGGAAGGGAAGATTAGAGATAGGTCTGTAGTTAGCCAACACCTCTGGAGCAAGAGTAGGTTTCTTAAGAAGAGGTTTAATTACAGCTACCTTGAAGGACTGTGGTACATATCCTGTCAACAAAGACAGATTCATAATATCTAATAAGGATGTGCTAACTAAAGGAAAAACTTCCTTAAGCAGCTTAGTCGGAATCAGATGCAAGAGACAAGTAGAAGATTTAGACTTTGAAATTATAGAAATCAGTTGATGAAGGTTGATGGAAGAGAAGGCATCCAAACAGGCATCAGGGCCCACTGCTGCATCCAAGGTTCCTACATCGGAGGACGGGTCGGCACTGGTTGAAGGCAGGAGACCATCAATTTTCTCTTTGATAGTCAGAATCTTATCATTGAAGAAGTTCATGAAGTCGTTACTAGTGAGGTCCAAAGGAATACACGGCTCGACAGAGCTGTGACTCTCTGTCAGTCTGGCTACAGTGCTGAAGAGAAACCTGGAGTTGTTTTTATTTTTCTCTATTAATGATGAGTAATAAGATGCTCTTGCGTTACGGAGAGCCTTCTTATACGTTTTAAGGCCGTCTTGCCAAACTAGCCTAGATCCTTCTGATTTGGTGGAACGCCATAATTGTTCAAGTTTCCGCACAGTTTGCTTTAGGTTCCGTGTTTGAGGGTTATACCACGGTGCAGACTTCCTTCTTGTTGCTATTCTTCTTTCCAGAGGAGCAATAGCGTCCAGCGCCACTCTCAAAGAGCCTGTAGCAGTATCGACAAAATTATCGATCTGGACGGACTGAGGTTCTCACAGGAGTCTTCTGGTATCTTGAGACAGGACACTGAACTTAGAGCAGAAGGAATGGCTTCTTTAAATGAGGCTACAGCGGTATCCGATAAGCGTCGACTGTAGAAACCTTTGGCAGGAGGAGGTGGTTCTGATAGTAGAAATTCAAAGGTTATCAGACAATGGTCCGACAGGAGAGGGTTCTGTGGAAAAATTGTTGAATCTTCAATTCCCAATCCCATACACAAGAACCAAGTCGAGAGTGTGGTTAAAACAGTGAGTTGGTTTATTTACACACTGACAGAAACCAATTGAATCTAACAATGAAAGGAATGCAGTACTAAGGCTGTCGTTGTCGACATCCACATGAATGTTAAAGTCACCCACAATAATTACCTTGTCCGTTTTAAGGACCAAACTCGTTAAGAACTGTGAAAATTCAGAAAGAAATTCTGAATAAGGACCTGGGGCCCTGTACACTATTACAGAGTGTATTAAGAGAACCAGGCTTTCAAATGAGTTATAATCCACTTTAGGTTTAAAGTTTATTAAAAGGCAGGAGTATAAATAGCTGCCACCCCCCCTCGGCCTGTGCCTCAGGGAATATGAGTATTAACATGACTCGGAGGAGTCGCTTCATTTAAACAGAAATATTCCCCATTCAACAACCACGTTTCAGTAAGACAAAATACATCAACATGGTGATCTGATATTAGTTCATTTACCAAAACAGCTTTAGATGACAGAGATCTGATATTCAAAAGACCCCCTTTAATTCTCCTATTTTGTTGCACTATTGCATTATTAGTTTTAACTTTAATTAAGTTATTTGCTATAACTCCTCGGTTGTTTACCTTTAACTTAGATAAGTGTGTCCGTGGGGCAGACGAGGTCTCTATAGGGTTCATTATGCTGAGTGACTGCTCAGATTGAAGCGCAGAGAAGTGTGTAAGACTGCGACTCTGCTCCCTGGTCTGAACTCTGGGTCATGGATTAAGTCCACTAAGAAACTGGGTCAGGTTCTTAGAAAGAAGTTCAGCTCCGTCCAAAGTGGGATGGATGCACTGCATCGGGTTTGGTGCAATGCAGTCGGGTTTGAGAAAATGTGTCCAGTAAAAAAGCGCCGCTGCAGCCGGGGAGGGCAAAGAGGCAAACGAGCAGTCCGGAGGAAGCGACAGTAGTTCAGGTTGAAGGCGGGCGGATGGTTGTTGTTTTAGGGGAGATTTTAGCTTAGTTGTGTTGCCGGCTCTCTTCTCTCATTCGGCTTAAAGCTCAAATGTTCCCACAGCCGAGCTGAAGATTGCAGCAGCGTAACAAATTCCATTTCGACCTGTTTATCCGAATCGTCTGTAGATGTCACAAAAAATATCACTTCATAACACGGTGGGTTCACGCGTTCCCTTCACCTGTCGGTTCCGCTCTGCACGTGGAGGCGCTGCCTAAGCCCCGCCCCCGACAATGAAAGCAAAAGAGAGGGAATCGACTAACATGTTGGTGACGTTAATTTATATATGTAAAATAAATATCGCACCACCACAAATGATCACACTTATTTTCATATAGTGTGCGATAAGTCAATATATTGCATATTGCGACAGGCCTAGTCTAAACAAAGTTTAGGGGTATTTTAAATGATTGTACAAAGGGATGAGAAGGTTTTTCTCTGGTTCTTAATTCCCCCCGCACCCCCACCCCTCCTCCTCTTAGAACCTCCCACCCCTCCCGGACACCCCGAGGTCAAAGACAAGACCAAAAGCAGCATCACGCTCACCTGGAGCCCACCAGACCGAGATGGCGGTAGCCCTGTCAAGGGTTACATCGTCGAGGTCCACGAGGAGGGCTCTCCCGACTGGAGGCGGGTCAACCCGGTCGACAAGCTCCACCCCTCCACCGAAATCACTGTGACCGACCTGAAGGAGGGCAAGAAGTGCAAGTTTAGGATCTACGCGGTGAACACTGCCGGAAACTCCGAGCCCGCCAAAACGGGAGACATCCTGGTTCAGGACATTCTCAGTAAGAGAGCGGCTCCAAGTGCAGAAACCTGTTGTTGAGAATAATGAAAATGTATTATTGTCCTCAGGCAGTACTTAGTCATTCATCGTTCAAGTGCCTGAACCAGGAGCTCCAAGAGATTCACATCTTAAGCTTATTGATTTTTAACCAGATGCTTTATTAACTGGGTTCTGATGGATCTGGTTCAGAGACTAAAGACTGAATCTGCATCAAGTTTTCTCAGTGAACCTAAACAAACATCTCAGAGCACGTCCTTTTTACAAACTGGTTTATTGGTGTCTGTTCTCCAGTCGAGCCCTCTGTGTCTCTGGACGTCACCGCCCAGGACCTCCTGAACTGCAGAGCCGGAACCCCCATCAGGATTGCCGCCTGCATTGCAGGCCGACCCGTTCCCAAAGTTACCTGGACCTTCGATGGAACCGCAGAGACCGAGAAAAAGAACGACCTACACATACTGCCCACTGACTCCGAGGTCAGATGGATGTTAATGTTGCTTTAAGCACCAGCTCTTTGCATGTACCATTCTGATTGTCTGTTTAACTAAATTAAACATATGTGGTTCCTCTCAGATCCAGTCCACCGACACAACTTCGGTTGTCCTTATCCTGGAGAGCAAATTGAGCCACAGCGGCCGATATATCATCAACGCAGAGAGTCTGGCCGGACACAAGGTGGTCAAAGTGAGAGTCAACGTGCTCGGTACGTAAATCATGGAGTTCAATTACGGGTATTCCATAAAGAATAACGATTAGGAAACCGAATTAGAAAATGAAGACCTGTTCTCGCTTCTCCGCCTACAGACCTGCCCGGAGCGGCGAGAGACCTGAAGGTCAGCGACGTGACGAGGGGAACCTGCCGACTCACCTGGAAACCTCCGGAGAGCGACGGAGGAGAGAGGGTGAAGAGCTACTTCATCGAGAAGAAGACTGTGGATGGCAAAGCCTGGACCAAGGTCCGCCCCCCCCCTCCTCCACGGCTCACAGTCGTTCTCGCTCTCTGAAACAAACAACCACTGACAATATCTCTGTTGGTGCTTCCAGGTGAACCCGGCCTGTGCCGCTCAGTCCCTGGTGGTTCCGGACCTAATCAATGGTCAGGAGTATCTGTTCCGCATCCGTGCTGAGAACCGCTTCGGCTTCGGCCCACCAGCCGAGACCACAGAGGGCACCAAGGCCAGAGATCCAATCCGTAAGTCTGTTCAGATGATTTATGACCGTTTATATCTCTTTGCTACAGCATTGATCTGGATCCAGCCGATCTGACTAACTCAACCAGCACCAGCCGCACTTCTTCTCAACACCTGGGGCCTCATTTATAAACTTTGCGTACGCACAAAAGAAGGCGTACGCCGCTCTCTACGCAATAATTGGTATTTATAAAAAGCAAACTTGACGGAAAAATGTGCCGTCCTTCACGCAAGCTCGGACCGATGCGTACGCACAAAAACGGGTGATATGAGAACCGTCGGCAAACGCAAGAAACACGCAAACGTGTGTGTAAAACTATACTGTTGTAAAAGAAATGCCTCTCATAAATAACACCAACACCGGTTTGATCGATCTGCAGCGTAAAACAAACAGAAATACAAATTAAAACATTTTCAAAAAGAAAAGTGAAATATGTTCTGCAATAATATCGGCATGTTATTAAATTCATCCTCAAAACACAGCTGGACGGTAATAAAATGCCATGATGCATCACAATGCGTAATGGCGCTGATGGCTGATCTTCGCTCTTAGGAGACGTGGCACATGGAAGGATTGGCGCTGTAGTGCAGCGCACCATCGGCCTGTTTAAGGGCAGATGGCGCCGCCTCGACTGCACTGGAGGAGGTTATTGTCTACTCCTGAAAAGGTGTGAAACATCGTGCTGCATGTGCTGTGCTACATGATGTGGCACAGCTTCCAAACGTGCCTCGACCCCCTGACGCCGATGTTGGTCCAGACCCTGTCCCCGAACCCCAATCACTGCCCCCAGTCTCTCATCAGAGGGGACAGCTCCGGTGTCCCCTTCCCCCCGTGGGGACACACTTTGGCGATGGCGCGCTAAACGCTTTTTTGCACCCACTTTGATGTCAGACCATTTTTGCTTTATTTGGGCCACGGTCCGAGGTCGTGAGGCTGCAGCGTTGCTCTGCAACCTTTTGCCACTCAGGTGCCTTTTTGGCATCAGTGATCCACACTGTGCCCTCCAAATGGCATTAGACTTCTCCATTCCACCTCCCAATGATCATTTCCACTTCACACTGAGTGAAGTTACGTTTCTTTGTTTTCCTCTGAGTGTTTGTCATGATTTCGCAATCGATGAATATTCATTTGTGGGCGTTCCACAGACTATATATGGGCGACTATGGGCGTGACAGGAAGCCGCAAAAGCTGCGCTGCATTTAGAAGTGATTGTGATTTATTAAGGGGAAACTGCGTAGGACGTTTTATAAGTCTGAATGTTTCTGTGCGTCCGCACGTCCTACGTTTCATCCTACGCAAGGTTTTATAAATGAGGCCCCTGGTCTTCTTCTGTCGGCAGATCCTCCTGATCCTCCTACCAGGCTGAAGATCCAGACTGTGAGGAAGGGTGCTGTGAAGTTGACCTGGAAGGCGCCGAAGAACGACGGTGGTTCCCCTGTGACCCACTACAGCGTGGACCTGCTCTGCTGGGAGGCCAGCAGTGCCCAGAAGGAGTCCTGGAGGAGGTAAACCTTTACCCCGGAGGCCTGCATAAGTCCACTAGGGGGGATGCGTAGGACCAGGTCCAAGCTACAATAAGTTCTGGCTTCTGATCGGTTTACTTCAGATCAAAAGCCATTCTGGAGAACTTTTTCTTTTTTCAGGTGCAACCGGAGGGACGTGGATACCACCAGCTTCAAGGTGGAGGACCTGACAGAGGGAGACGAGTACGAGTTCAGAGTGGTGGCGCACAACGAGGCCGGATCAAGCCGACCTTCCTCCACCGTGGGACCCATTGTCGTCCAAGACCAGACCTGTAAGACCAGCCGCATTGTGAGAGATGTGTCCAGCTGCTTTAAGAGACACTTCTTTGTTTTCAGTTTAATTTCAGCCCATTATAGGAACTCTCAGCATCCTACCAGTATTCTACTATTAAACTAGTTGAACAACATGAAAAAACCTGTGAAAAACCCCTCCCCCTCTGTGCTGCAGGCGCTCCATCCATCGAGCTGAAAGAGTTCATTGAGGCTGAGCAGGGCGCCGACATCAGCATCGTGGCATCTGTCCGCGGCTGTCCCTTCCCAACGCTCACCTGGTACAAAGCTCCGCCCCACAGGTCAGAGGACAAGGTCGAGCTCCAGTACGACGAGCACATCAACAAGATAGTGTCCGACGACAGCTGCACACTGCTCATCCAGCAGGGCAAGCGTCCCGACACCGGCCTCTACACCCTGGTGGCCTCCAACAGCGTGGGCAAGGCTTCCAGGGAGATGAGGCTCAACGTGCTCGGTAGGAATGTTAATCTCAGTGACTGGTTTATGTGTGTTCATTAATCTTAGTAACAGATTAAACATCCCGACACGTCTCATTATGTTCATCTGTTCAATTCAATATCAAATCTTGACCGCGGACGCCCAATTAACCTCCCCGTAACCCTGTTCCCTCCTCAGGCCGACCTGGTCCTCCCTCTGCCCCCATCAAGTTCGAGGAGATCGGTGCAGAGAGGATCACACTGTCCTGGCTTCCGCCCAAAGACGACGGCGGTTCCAAGGTCACGAATTATGTCATCTGGAGGCGCGTGGCCACCAGGAAAAACTGGGTGCCCGTCACCAGCGAGCCGAGAGAGCGGGTGTGGACGGTGGAGAACCTGATGGCCGGGCACGAGTACGTCTTCCGCATCATGGCCCAGAACAAGTACGGAGTTGGAGAGCCGCTGGACAGTGTGCCCGAGGTCGCCCGGAACCTCTACAGTGAGTACTACCGGACCGGCAAGATGAATATAATGTCAAAAACGTGTCTCTTTGAGTAAATAGATTTGTGTAAAATCATCATCACATGATTTTTTAATTGATATTGATATTGAAATTATACAATATTGTTTATATGTAATAAGAATAAATAATCAAAGAAATGTTGATGCCAGCGAATGTGAACATTTGCATATATATACATTTTATTTCAAAATAAAGTAGTTATAAAGAGTTATTATTTTGTGATTTAACTGTAAGAAGTAAGTCTGTCTTCATTACTTCATTATAACATTTTCATTTTGTGTTACGGGTAAAATATCACTATAATGGGAGATTTTTTTTTAATTCAGCAAATTCAATACTCGGGAGAAAATCATCAAGATCTCATAGAAGCAATAATACTTAATACTAAAGGATGCACCACAGATACTGAAGGTCTTGACTTGGGGTGCCCACACTTTTTTTGGCGAGTCATGCCCCCCCCACTCCTGTTGGACTATAGGGAGGGAACGTCACAGACATTCTTGGTCATTAACTTACTCGGATGACTTGCACTTGCATTTGAATCTAAAAATGAATTGGCATTGCCTGCTTAGCTTGGTTAGCAATCCTTGCTTACTAACGGACGTATTCAAAATAAGCAAGGGTCGCTAACCAAGCTAAGCAGGCCCTAAGGTTTCCGTTAGCTCCCACGGTCGACGCCGCATGTGTGGTGACCCGACGTGATTTATTTTCTATTAGCAGGCGATCTACCGGCAGTGCCTTGGCAATCGACCTATTGGGCCCACCTGGTCTAGACTAATTACTGAATGTATTCAACCTTCGGCCCTTCCTGCAGCCGCCCCCGGTCAGTGTGAGAAGCCCACGGTGTCTGGCGTCACCATGGACTCCATGACGGTCAGCTGGGAGGAGCCAGAGGACGACGGCGGCACGCCGATCACTGGCTTCTGGTTGGAGCGCAAGGAGACCACGGGCAAGCGCTGGACTCGCGTCACCCGGGACCCCATCCGCCCCACAGGCATGGGCGAGTCCTTCATGGTAAGCGGGCTCATCGAGGGCTCGCAGTACCTCTTCAGGGTGTCCGCCATCAATGCCGCAGGACCAGGGCTCGCCAGCCCCCCCACGGGACCCATCTTCGCCAGAGACCCCATCTGTAAGAGTTGCACCCTGAAATCACACAGGTTAATGTTTTAACACACAGAGCAGGGGGGTTAATCTCTGTCTCCCCCCTAGCTCCACCCTCTCCTCCAACACCGAAGGTTTCCGATTGGACCAGGTCCTCGGTGGAACTGGAGTGGATCCCTCCTCTTAAAGACGGAGGCTCCAAGATCATCGGGTACTGGGTGGAGCACAAGGAGGAGGGCACCGAGGCCTGGGTCAAGGTGACCGGATGTTAACATTGTAATTGGTCAACAGGAACTGGTTTTAGAGGGAACAACTTCAGGAACTCTCGTTTTGGTTTTTCAGGCCAAGGAAACGGAAATTCGAGGCACCCGACTGGTGATCGCCGGTTTAAAGACTTGCGGTAAATACAAGTTCAGGGTCACTGCGTTTAACGCTGCGGGTAACGGCGAGCCGGGGGAAGTCCCAGAGGTGCTGGAGGTCAACGACAGAAACAGTGAGTTACACATTCGTCACCTGATCTTTATGAGCCCATTGATCCCATCCAGTACAGGCTGTAACGTTGAGTTTCCTCCCTACAGTTGCCCCCGAGGTCGACCTGGATGCCTCAGTGAAGGAGCGGATGGTGGTACACGCCGGCGGCGTGATCCGGATCATCGCCTATGTGTCAGGCCAGCCGTCCCCAGAGGTTACCTGGAGCCGAGACGGAGCGGCGCTGCCCCCCGACGCTAAAGTTGAGACGACCGCCATCAGCTCGTCTCTGGTCATCAAACCCTGCACCAGGAAGCACATCGGCGTTTACACTCTGACCGCCAAGAACGCTGGAGGGGAGAAGACCAAGAACATCACCGTGGAGGTTCTGGGTAAGATTTTTTTTTTGTGTCAAAACAGGTCTTGGGTTATTTTTGTTCTTTAAGTAAAACCCGTCTGTGGTCCCCAATGACACACCCAGACGTCCCCGGCTCCATCGGCATCCCCTTCACCGCAGAGAACCTCACCAGCGACTCTTGCAAGCTCAACTGGTTCTTTCCTGAGAATGACGGCGGCTCTCCCATCAGCAACTACGTTATTGAGAAGCGCGAGGCCGAGCGCAAGGCCTGGACCTCACTGCACTTTACCGCCAGCCGACAGAACGCCGTGGCTCACGGCCTCACCATCGGAAAATCCTACTTCTTCAGAGTAGCTGCAGAGAACGCCATCGGCGTAGGACCCTTCATGGAGACCGCAGCCGAGCTCATCGTCAAGGAACCGATCAGTGAGTTTAAATAATGGCGACCGCTGGTCTCTGTGGTTCTGAACTTTGAAAGTTTGTTTCAGTATTAAAGGTATGTGATAGAAACATTACGAATCTTCAGAATTACACGATAATAAAGTCAAGTCAAAATTTTGCAGATAAAGTAGGAATTTTAACTTAGATGGAGTTTTGGAGGATTTAATTTCTCAGTAACATAAGTAAACTAAGTAAGTAAGTAACTAAGTATCATTTTTAACGTAGCCCTCACATAAGAAATGAACATTATCCAACAAAGTGAACAGAAATGTATCCCTTATCGATCACCAAATATAAGTAACCATCCGCAATCTGTGCTCGTCTCAGGTGTGCCCGACCGCCCCGAGGAGCTCGAGGTCACCAAGGTCACTAAGGACTTGATCGGCGTCACCTGGAAGGCACCAAAGTTTGACGGCGGCTCGGAGATCACAATGTACATCCTGGAGGCGCGTATGATTGGCAAAGACAAGTTCACCAGAGTGACGAAAGAGAAGCTGATGGAGAGGAAGTACAACTACGACGGCCTGAGGGAGGGAGACAGCTACGAGCTCAGGGTCATCGCCGTCAACGAAGTCGGACCCAGCAAGCCGTCGTTCTCCACCAAACCCATCACCTGCAAGGACGAGCTGGGTGAGGACCGATGCTTCTCTTTGTTTTGTCTTTCGAGAGAGTCCTCGAAGTGAACTCAGAATCTGACTTTGTCCTTGTGTTCTCTTCTCACAGAGCCGCCCACCATTGAGCTGGACTTCCGCGATAGGATAATTTTCCGCGTGGGCGAGAGCTGCCTGCTGCAGGGCCGCTACACCGGTAAACCTTCTCCCTCCATCATGTGGTACCGAGACGACGATGAGCTGAAGGCCGACAAGCACGTCATGTTCAAGAACACGTTGACCACCATGTCGCTTGGCCTGATGAAGGCGGAGCGGCAACACAGCGGCAGATACGTGGTGGTGGTGGAGAACAGCACTGGATCCAGGAAGGGAGTCTGCAACATCACAGTGGTCGGTAAGTAGAAAAGGCTTGGATCCTCTGCGGAGAATCATGCAACTATAGAGGAAGATTCAGCAACTAAGTCTTCTAACTAAATGGTGAATATAAAGCGGTCAACTCTGGCATTGGTACCATGACAGGAAGTCAGTGTCATTAGCAAAATGCAGTAGATGTATAGGTGAAGCTAGAAGAATAGAATATTGCCTGTTGTTTGCAGTTGACTTCTTTTTCACAATGTTTCCTTAATCCCTGCAGACCGGCCGACTCCTCCTGTTGGCCCAGTGGTGTTCGAGGAGGTGCACAGGGAATATATGGTGGTCTCCTGGAAGCCTCCTCTGGACAGCGGCGGTGTTGACGTCTCCAACTACATCATCGAGAAGAGAGACACCAACAGAGAAGCCTGGACCACGGTGACGTCAGCCTCCACCAAGACCATATGCAAGGTCGGTCCAGCTGGATTGGCTGTTATTTCATTTTAGTCATTCAGGAGTCCATCAACGTGTACTTTAACCAAGGAAGGTTTTTCTGAAGGTTTTGCTGAAATTCAGAGATGTCATTTGTTCCTCTCAGATCCCAAAGCTAACGGAGGGCAGGGAGTATGTCATGAGGATCTTAGCAGAGAACATGTACGGCATCAGTGACCCTCTGGAGTCCGAGGAGATGAGAGCCAAAGATCTCTTCAGTAGGTTCTGCTCATGTTTCACTTCTCCCCAATGCTTTTCAGGAGATTTCATTATTGATCAATTGAATTTGAATCGGGGTTGACTTTAGTTTTATATCCCATTTCAACAAAATGGGACTTTATTTTATTTTAGAATTGATCTAATTCAACAATATACTAACACATACTTCCACAAAAAAAGTTAATCCTAAAACAATAAACAATAAAACAAGCTCTGATAACTCTTTCATTGACCCCCCTGCAGGAGTTCCTGAGGCCCCTGAGATGCCAACAGTCAGGGAGGTGTACGCCACCAACGCTCTGGTGCTGTGGAACCGGCCTCGCGATGGTGGGAAGCCAATCATCAACTACGTCCTCGAGAAGAAGGAGCCCAACGCAAAGAGGTGGTCCAGAGCCACCAGGGACCCGTTGTACCCGGCCACTCAGTACAGAGTCCAGGACCTGGTGGAGGGCTGCGAGTACGAGTTCCGCGTGATGGCTGAGAACGAGCTGGGAACCGGAGACCCCAGTGTTCCCTCCAAACCCATCCTCGCCAAAGACCCCATCGGTTTGTGCAACGCAAACTGTGTTTTCTTCTTTATTTGTATCTTAGATTCTATTTCATATTTAGAAGCCAGTTTTTTTATGTGCCAAATGTGTTCATTTGGCATTTTCATTTAGTATTTATTATTGTCTCTAATTACGTGAGTGACCACATATCTTCATTAATAATCAAAACAGCATAGCTAAAAAGACATATATTGATATTTACTATCATATATACACTGTATAAAAGCTGTCACCATATTTTCGTGCTATATAAAAAATATAAAGCAACATGAAAACCTACTCCAACTTCTTAATAAATTAGTAAAAGACCTTAAATTCAAGGTCTCTAATGTGTTCTCCTCACAGTGTGTCCCAGCCCCCCAGTGACCCCTGAGGCCTACGATAAGACTAAGGACTCGGTCAGCCTGAAGTGGAAGTTACCCCGTCATGACGGGAAGGGCCGGATCTTCGGCTACCTCGTTGAGTACCAGGTGCCGGGTGGCGTGGAGTGGAATCCAGCCAATGAGACCCCAGAGCAGTGCCCAAACCTCTACTACGTGGCGACGGGGCTGGCCGATGGACAGGAGTACAACTTTAGAATCTTCACCGTTAATGCTGCTGGCAAATCCGACCCTGCATACGTAAGACAGACCATCAAAGTCCATGACAGACTGGGTAAGGCTTCCTAAGTTTTCTTTAGAACAAATTAATCTAAAACAAATAATCAACATTCTTAGAGATAGTAAATCTCACTTCCTATAACTCTTTGTAAATCATTTTTCTCCCTCTACAGAGGAGCCAGAGTTGCTGCTGGATGCCAACATGGCCCGCGACCACCTGGCCATGCTGGGCACCGATATTACCCTCAGCGCCACAATTAAGGGTGTGCCAACACCCACCGTTAGCTGGAAGAAGAATGACGGTGACGTTCCTTCTCACATCACCATTGCTGTCACCCCCACCGGTAGCAAAGTCTTCATCCCCAAGAGCATTCGTGCGGACTCAGGCAACTACACCATCACCGTGGAGAATGCTGCTGGAAGGAAATCAGCAACCGTTGCTGTACTTGTTTTGAGTGAGTGTAACATCCACCGACACAAAAATAGCACTTTTTTAGTCCTGGAAGTAAGAAATCATTTCTTAAGAGGTTACTTGAATTTGGAAAAACTTAAATTTGACATGAACTCTTTTGTTTCCACCAGACAAGCCGTCTCCTCCCAGAGACCTGGTGATCTCCGAGGTGACCAGTGAGTCGGCCTACCTGACATGGAAGATTCCCGAGGACAACGGCGGTGCCGTCATCTCCCACTACGTCGTGCATAAGAAGGACGTGGCTGCCGAGCAGTGGGTTCCGGTCTCCCCAGCCAACAAGAAGCCGAGTCTGATGGCTATGTACTTGATGGAAGGAATCCAGTACTTGTTCAGGGTGGCTGCTGAGAACCAGTTTGGTAGAAGCGACTATGCAGTAACCAGGACACCCATCAAGGCTCTGGATCCTCTCTGTGAGTAAAATTCAATACTATGTTAAATAAATGTTGGCGCTTCACAATTTCATTCTCAAGAATGTGTCCGCCATTATAATTAGGTCTCAGAGAGTAGTAATAATGGCTCTTTGGGTTTGAGAAAGTCAGAGATAGTTCTGTGCTATCTCATTTCCAAAAGTGTTGTTTATAAGAGGGCTAATATATATATTTCAAATATCAGCAATCATTCGTTCTACCCTGGACATGTTTCAGATCCTCCTGGCCCCCCCAAGAACCTCCACCACACTGATGCAGACAAGACAGAAGTGTGGCTGGCATGGGAGTGGCCCGACCGCACCGGTGGAAGTGAAATCACCGGCTTTATTGTTGAGCACCAGGAAGAGGGCCAGACCGACTGGATCACATTCAAGACTGTCAGCAACAACCATGTCCACGTCACCGCTCTGGAGGAGGGCAAGACATACCGCTTCAGAGTCAAGGCTCAGAACGCCATTGGTGTGAGCAGTCCCGACACCAGTGTCCCCATCACCTGTCAGGAAAAGACACGTAGGAAACTTTATTCTCATGGAGTTGTCATTGGAATTTCTGTTTATGTTCTCATGCACAAGCCTCAGAAACATCATAAAAATGTTTTTTCTTTTGTTCTCTTTCAGTGCCACCAACTATTGACGTTGATGTGAAGCTTATTGAGGGTCTTGTTGTAAAAGCTGGTACTGCTATTACGCTTCCAGCCAATGTGACAGGCATTCCCATTCCCACTGCCAAATGGATGACGGATGGCAAGGAAATTACATCTGAGGGCCGCCATCACATTGAGACGGCTGGGAGCTCTACCATCCTCAGCATCCCTGAGACTCAGAGAGGAGACACTGGGGAGTACATTCTCACTGTGGCCAATCCTTCAGGCAGCAAGACCGTTGCCCTGCATGTCACAGTGCTGGATCTTCCAGGTCCACCAATTGGACCCATCAATATCTCAGAGGTCACCCCTGATTACATGATGATCCAATGGAGAGCACCGAAGGATGATGGTGGCACACCCATCATCAGCTACGTGGTGGAAAAGAAGGATGTGAAGAAGCCATGGGAGCCCTGGTCTGTTGTTAGCTCCAGCGGCACTAGCACCAAGGCCAAAGTATCCAGGCTAGAGAAGGGCCGTGAGTACATTGTCCGTGTCCGCGCAGAAAACAAGATTGGCATTGGTGCAGGCCTTGAGAGTCCCCCCACTATTGCCAAGCACATGTTTAACCCTCCTGGTCCACCAGGCCTGCCAGAGTGCTCAGACATCACTGAGAATGCTGTGACAGTGGAATGGACCCTTCCCGACTATGATGGAGGCAGCCCCATCAGTGGATATGTAATTGAGCGCAGAGAAATGACAGGAAAGTGGATCCGTGTCAACAAAACTCCTGTGCTGGACCTCAGATACAGAGTCTCAGGCCTGTTCGAAGGCAACACCTATGAATTCAGGGTATTTGCTGAAAACGTTGCTGGTATCAGCGGGCCTTCTCCTATATCCGACCCCGTCAGGGCAACTCGTGCCATCACCAAACCTGGACCGCCTGGCAATCTGAAATTGAAAGACTGGAGCAAGTCCTATGCTGATATCTGCTGGACCAAGCCGGCAAGAGACGGAGGCAGCCCCATCCTGGGCTACGTTGTTGAGTTACAGAAGTCAGGGTCTGCCCAGTGGGACAGAATCCATAAGGACCATATCAAAATGTGTGCCTATAGAGTGCCAGGCTTCATTGAAGGAATGGAGTACAGAATTCGCATCAGAGCAACTAACAAGGTTGGAGACAGTGAACCCAGGGAGCTGTCTGAGACCATCTTGGCAAAGGACATCCTGGTGCCCCCTGAGGTTGTTGTTGACGCATCCTGCCGCGACTCTCTGACTGTGAGAGCAGGTCAGATCATAAGTTTGATCACTAGGGTGAAAGGCAGACCAGACCCAGAGATCACATGGACCAAGGATGCCCGAGCATTATCTCGGGACAAGCGCACTGAAATGAATAACAACTACCCCCTGTGTGAACTGGTCATCACTGAAGCAGTCAGGTCAGACTACGGGAAATATGCTATCAATGCCAAAAATAGCAGTGGACAGGCACAAGCCACAATTATTGTCAATGTCCTGGACACACCAGGGCCTTGCCAGAACCTGAAAATGGCTTATGTGACCAAGAACTCCTGTATGTTTTCCTGGGAGAACCCTGAAGACAACGGAGGAACTGAGATCAACCAGTACATTATTGAGTGCCGTCAGCCCAGCCAGAGAGCATGGTCTGTGGTGTCCAACGACTGCACCAAGCGCTTAATAAAAGCCCCGCTTACCGAAGGCTGTGAGTACTTCTTCCGTGTCAGTGCGGAGAACAAGATCGGTGCTGGTCCTGTCACTGAGACCAAGACACCCGTGCTGGCAGTTGATCCCATTGAGAAGCCCGGTGAACCCATTGACTTCCAGATTTCTGAAATCGGCAAGACGTTCTGCTTCCTCAAGTGGAGGAAGCCTGACTATGATGGAGGTAGTCGTAACCTGGCTTATCATGTTGAGAAGAAACCAAAGGAGGCTGAGGAGTGGGAGAGACTTCATAAGGGTGCTATCAAGGAAACGTACTTCATGGCTGACCGCTGCATTGAAAACCAGATGTATCAATTCAGAGTTCAGACTAAGAATGAGGGAGGCGAGAGTAACTGGGTTACCACACCTGAAGTCCTGGTTAGGGAACAGCTTGTTGAGCCTGAGATCAAGATAAAGCTGGATGCAACGCTTGTTGTCAAAGCAGGAGACTCCATTGCTATTGAGGCAACAGTGAAGGGCAAACCCCAGCCTGATGTCAAATGGACTAGAGATGAGAGCACAGCGGAGATAAGGAGGGGCCCCAGGCTTAAGATCGAAACTGGTGCTGACTTCTCCAAACTGCTTATTACTGGCGCTAGGCGCACTGACAGTGGTAAATACATTGTTACTGCTTCAAACAGTGCAGGAACCAGATCTTCTCATGCTAAGGTCAATGTACTGGACAGACCTGGTCCCATCAGGGACCTCAACGTGTCCGGTATCACCATCGACAGGTGCCATTTGGCATGGGAAGTCCCAGAGGATGATGGTGGCTGCGACATCTACAACTACATCATTGAGAAGTGTGAGACCAAGAGGGGAGTCTGGTCAGTCCACTCAAATGCCGTCATAACCAACAAAGCCAATGTCACCCGGCTCATTGAGGGCAACGAGTATATTTTCAGAGTTCGTGCTGAGAACAAGATGGGTCCTGGCCCTGCGGTGCAGAGTGAAGCCATCGTAGCCGGCACCCAGTTCAGTGTACCTGACGCTCCGCAGGCACCAGAGGTCACCAAGATTGCGAAGGTAGAGATGACTGTGCAGTGGTCACAGCCCGAGAAAGACGGTGGAAAGCCAATCACAGGGTACCTTTTGGAAAAGAGGGAGGAGCATGCTGTTAGGTGGTCCCCCGTTAACAAGGATGCAATCCCTTCAACTCGTTTCACGGTTACCGGACTCCTACCTCTCCATGACTACCTGTACAGAGTCAAGGCTGTCAATGAAATTGGTGTTGGAACCCCAAGTAAACCTTCAAGGGCAATCACTGCCAAGGACACAGTTGGTATGTAACAATTATTCATAGTCTTAACATGTTTGTTAACAATTATAACTCATAGGGCAAAATCTATATGTCTTCTTACAGAGCCTCCTGCGCCACCTACTAACATGAAAGTCCTTGATAGCACCAAGTCCAGCATCACCCTAGGCTGGACCAAGCCAGTGTCAGATGGTGGAGCCCCCCTCATTGGCTATGTCGTGGAGATGAAGGCACAGGGGACTGCTAAGAAAGGAGAAGACAGCTGGAAGAGGTGCAACGTTGCAGCTCAGCTGGTCTTGTGCGAGTTCACCGTCTCAAGTCTGGATGACCAGCTTGTGTATGAGTTTAGAGTATCGGCTCAGAACCAGGTGGGCATGAGCCTGCCCTGTGACCTAGACGGTGCTGTGATCCCCAGGGAGATTCTAGGTGAGCACTTTCGTAAATGTGGATTGCTTTTGAGTTCATAGTCCCACGTGATTTATTTCAATGCAATGTATTGTATTGTATAGCCCAAAATCACAAATTTGTTTCAGAGGGCTTTGTCTGTACATATGCGACATCCTCCGTTTTGAAACCCTCACATCGGCACAGGAAAAAAAAAAGAAAAACCCTTCAACAGGGAGAAAAAATGAAGAAAACTTGGGAGAACCTCTTGGGAGGATCTCTATCAGGATGGACAGAATTCAAAAGATGTCATGTGTAGAGAATGAGCAACGTAAAAGATGTACAATACATTCAATCCATATGACTGAAATGATTCAAATAGAGTAGTAAACCAGGTGTAAGGCAGGGCCACTGAAGGGACAACCACCATCAGATAGAACCACCATCCACAGAAACCTATAGGGAGCGAAAGCACAAAGACTTCAAGAAAGAATAGTCGGTAATGTTGGATTATGATGACAGTAATCGTAATGTGAATAATATTAATAATGATAGCAGCAGCAGGGCCACGGCATGAGGCAGGACCACAATCCAGATATAACCATGATTCATGGAAACCTGCAAGGCGGGGAAGCACAAAAACCCCAGGGACAAGCTGATGTAGTGAAGTGAAGACTGTTAATATTTCCCCTATCCAGGATGGAAATAACCACTTTTTCTGCTCTGTACTTGTTGTGGAAATTACACAAACGTCGGAAACGCAAACAGTGTTGTGTTTGGTTATGACATCATCCATCACCGCACACAGCTCAGTGAATTTACCAACTCCTCCAGGAAGTAACTGCCGCTTCCAGCGCTACTTCATGCTAACCAGTAGCCAGTTTGATGACCTGGTGGCTCGGATCGGTGCCAGCGTCTCTCGGTTAGACACAACTAACTTACAGCCGTTCAGAGCGCCTGTCTGTTTCCGGAGACTGGCAGTATATTCATGTTTGGGCAGCAGGACGACGTTGATGACAAACGAGTATCTCAACGCTGATGATGATGATGATGAGGAATTAAGGATTGACATCTTTAATCGCAACATCAAACTGACACCTCCACTTTTCCTTCGAACAGAGGCACCAGAGATTGACTTGGACGCCAATCTGAAGCAAGGCCTGACTGTAAGAGCTGGTTGTCCCATCCGACTGTGCGCCACCATCCGGGGAAGACCGCCTCCAACGGTCACTTGGAGGAGGATGGGTATCGACAACGTGGTCAGGAAGGGAAAGGTCGACATCATTGACACCATGACTTTCCTGGTCATCCCCGACAGCACCCGCGATGACTCTGGCAAATACTGCCTGGCGCTTCGCAGTCCTGCTGGAGAGAAAGCTGTGTTTGTCAGCGTTAAGGTTCTGGGTCAGTCCTGGTCTTTTGCTGGTCATGCATATATCAGTTCAATAATCACGAAATGATAAAGTGGTGTAACCGCTGAATGAGAATGCAATACGAATGTTATGATCTGTTTATCTTGACAGACACTCCGGGACCTGTGATGAATTTGGAAGCTACCGACATCAAGCAGACATCAGCTATGCTCTCCTGGACTTCTCCGGATGTCGATGGTGGCAGCGAAGTGACTCACTACATTGTTGAGAAGCGCGAGATGGACCGCAAGACGTGGGCAACCGTTAAGGCTGAAGCAGGGAAGGATAAGATTCCCTTTAAGGTCAGCGGCCTCGTACCGGGCACCGAGTATTACTTCAGAGTCACAGCTGTCAACGAGTATGGTTCTGGGGTTCCTAAGGTGTCACCCACTTCCTACCTGGCCTCGGATCCTGTCAGTACGTATCATCTACTGGTCACACTGTCACACTCAGCCCTACCCTCTTTCTTTTTCATCCATTGCTAGAACCACTTGAACACACCTGCCTGTTTTACTTTTTCAGGCAAGCCGGATCCCTGTGAGAAGATTGAAGTTCTTGAGATCACTAAGAACAGTGCCGCAGTCGGCTGGGTGAAGCCTGCCAGAGATGGTGGTGCCAAGATTGATGGTTATGTCATTGAATATATCGAGGTCAAACCTTCTCCAGAGACTCCAGCACCTGTGGAGGTTTGTCTTGTGTTCAAACAGATTTTATTTTGACTGCTGCAAAGATTTGTCCATTTAATTTTAAATTTAAGTATTTAAGATGCTTGTGCTAAAAACCCAGTCCTCCTTTCTGCAAGTACAATATGATCTTATAGAATTTGAAACTTAAGCTTTTTTTTCATTTTGCTCTTTAACACTCAATTTCCACAGGTACCAGAGGGAGAAGAAGCTCCTCCACCACCTCCACCGCCTCCAGTGGAAGAGGAGGAAGATGAAGAACCTGAAAAAGAAGTATGGAACTCCTACACTACGGTGAAAGGTTTGACAATCAGTATCAGCGGCCTGAAGGAGGGCAAGAAGTACAAGTTCAGAGTGGCTGCTAAGAACATCATGGGCCAGAGCTTGTTCACTGAGACCAGGCAGCCAATCGAGATCAAGGAGCAGATGTGTAAGTTTCTACTTCATATTGAAAAAGATCATTAATTGTTTGGTAATTTTCTCATGATCAGGATTTAATTGTTACTGGTTAGGAGCTGGTGACACCGATAGCATGTAGCTGTAACAGTGATGTGCAGGAATAGATTTATAGATATATGGTGACTATTTACTATCTCCAAGCTGCTCTCAGCTTCCTTCAATAATGTTTCGAAATGTCCATATCTGCAGTGGATCCAAAGATCGTCATGCCAGAGACGGTGAGCGCCAAAGCCGGAGCCAAGCTCAGAGTGGAGGCGTTGGTTTCCGGAAAACCCACCCCGACTTGCAAGTGGATGCGCGGTGAGGACGTAGTGGTCCCGTCCAGCCGTCTGGCCGTGCACCAGTCAGGCAGCATGTGTGTTCTGATCATCAAAGGCGTGTCGAGGACCGACAGCGGAGAGTACAGCCTAGTGGCTGAGAACAGCTCTGCAAAGGTGGTCGAGACTCTGAAAATGGTCATTAGAGGTGAGTGTTCGGAGCTCAAATTACTGACCAAAGGACTTAATGGTGGGGATTATTCACGTTTAAATCCGACTTTTCTGTGTGTCAGACATCCCCGGTGCTCCAGAAGGCCCTGTGGTAGTCAGTGACATTGACTCAGATGCCTGCTCTCTGTCCTGGCACAAACCACTGGAGGACGGCGGTAGCAATATCACCAACTATGTGGTGGAGAAATGTGATGTGAGTAGAGGAGACTGGGTAACTGCGACCTCCTCTGGTCAGAAAACTAGCTGCAGACTTGGGAAGCTCATCCCCGGTAAAGAGTATGGATTCCGTATCCGTGCTGAAAACCGCTTCGGGTTGTCGGACCCCATTCAGTCCGACAGGATGGTTGCAAAGTTCCCCTTCGGTAAGTGATGTCACCATTAGACATATAAACATCTGGCTAAAGTTGACAGGTTTTAACAATATATTTTTTCCCTGTTTTTTTCTCCCCAGATGTTCCTAGTGAGCCTCTCAACTGTCGTATAAACAAGACCAACAAGGACTGTATGTTTGTTGCCTGGGACAAGCCCGACACAGACGGCGGCAGTCCCACCACGGGTTACTACATCGAGCGGAAGGAGAGGAACAGTCTTCTGTGGGTGAAGGCCAACGACACTGTAGTACGCACAACAGAGTACCCGTGTGCTGGCCTCATCGAAGGCCTGGAGTACACTTTCAGGGTGTCCGCCATCAACCGCGCCGGCCAAGGCAAACCGAGCAAGAAGACTGACTTTGTCACGGCTAGAACGCCTGTTGGTACGTTTGTGCCTGACACAACAACATAAAAAATGAAGTAACACCCTGCATGTTAGTCAGTTAATCCGGGTTCCTTAGTGTGTTGCACATTTGATTTGTTTGTTGATTTGATTTATTTGTTTTGCAGACACTCCAGGTAAACCTGAGATCCTGGATGTAACCAAGAATTCAGTTACTCTGGTTTGGACCCGTCCCAAGAATGACGGTGGGAGCAAGATCATTGGCTACTACGTTGAGGCCATGCAGCTCCCAGGAGACACCTGGATACGCTGCAACACCAGCAGCCAGAATGTCCCCAGAGAGGTGTACACAGTGACCGGACTTGAGAGGGACCTGCAGTATCAGTTCAGAGTCATCGCCAAAACCGCCGTTAATATCAGCAAACCCTCCGATCCCACAGACCCTGTGCTGGTCTGTGCTGAGAATGGTAAGAGGTTTTGATTTTACACTGAGCTGATTAACCAGTCACTGCCATCTCAACATTTCTGTTTGTTGAACTAAACCACCAGACTTTGAAACTAAAACCCACTCTGATCCAGGTCTTAACGCTTCTTCGTCTTCTCTTGCTAAACGCAGTTCCTCCAAGGGTGGAGCTTAACGCTAAGATGCAGAAAGGCATGAAGGTGAAGGCCGGATGCACCATCCTTCTAGAGGCTGAGATATTTGGTAAGCCGATGCCCAAAGTGACGTGGAAGAGAGCTGATGACAGCCTGAAATCAGGTGAAGGCCAGATTCTCAACCAGGAAAGGAATCACGTCCAGCTGGAGATGACAGCAGTCACCAAGGACCACACAGGAACCTACACCATCTTGGCCGAGAACACAAGCGGCTCCAAGACCGCAGAAATCCAGGTCAACGTTCTGGGTAAGTACTCTATTATTTAAAGTGTATTAGCTGTATTCACATAAATGCATGATGGACACACATCATCACAATTAGCACACAGTGCTCAGTTGGGGGATTTGTCATTGTTTTGTGTCTCCTTAGATGTGCCTGGCCCTCCTGCCAGTGCCAAATGCCTTGAGGTGTTTGCCACAAGTATTAAGATGTCCTGGGAGGCTCCTCTGAAGGACGGTGGCGCTCCCATCAGCAACTACATTGTGGATAAGCGTGAGACGAGCAGGGCCAACTGGGCCCAGATCTCCGCCAAGATCAAAGGCAATGTCTTTGAGATAAATGTGGAGAAGTTGATTGAGGGCCACGAGTACCAGTTCAGAATCCGTGCAGAGAACACTTGTGGAGTCGGAGATGCCCTAATCACCGGCCCTGTCATCGCCAAGAACCCATTCAGTGAGTCATTACCACCATTTTCTCTGCGTCTTGCATTACAACATTATAGTGAAGAAACATTAGAAATCAGTGCTACGGGTTAAAGTGTGTCTCATACTGCGATGTAAATTAGCCAACTAACATCTGAACCAAACCATGATTCCTGTCTACATCTGAAATATCTCATCACAATGAGTCCAGACTTATTTCAAACTTCTAAACTCTGTAGCTGTCCCTGGCCCTTGCGAGGCCCCAGTGATCACCAATGTGACCAAAGACCGTGTGACGGTGAGTTGGAAGGAGCCTGCCGATGATGGAAAGTCCACCATCCTGGGATACCTGCTGGAAAAGAAAGAGACCAAGGAGGTGAACTGGACCAAGTTGACTAGGAAGCCAATGACAGAGAGGAGCTTGGACGTCACAGGCCTCACGGAAGGAGCAGAGTACGAGTTCAGAGTCAGTGCTGTCAATGTGGCTGGGGTGGGCAAACCCAGTGAGCCTTCTGCTGGCACCACGGCACAGAATCCTATCAGTGAGTCCCTTAACCACAGAAAAATGTGGTCAATTATTTTCCCCCTGAATGATTGTTATGGTTGCTCACAAATATCAAAGATTACCTGTATTTAAACTAACATGTGTCAATTTTCTCTTCACCAGATCCTCCGGGCCCTGTTGTGAACCCTAGTGTTACGGACACAACCAACAGCACCATTAGACTCACCTGGACCGCCCCCACAAACGATGGTGGAAGCCCCGTTATCGGCTACCTGGTGGAGAGCAAGAGGACAGACACCACGGATTGGATCCGCTGCAACGTACCCAGGAACCTGCAGGACACCAGCTACACCATCCAGAACCTGATACACAAGGCCGAGTACCAGTGCCGCATCACTGCTGTCAACAAGGTTGGCTTCGGCGAGCCGGTTGAAGTACCTGAGAAGCATGTTGCCAAGGACATCATCAGTAAGTATGATTTAGATATCGTCACTTGCATTCATTTGGAAGTAGAACAACTTATCATTGACGTAACAATTATACACAATTGTCAAAAACTGTCTGCCACACTTCTTGAATTTTAGCTCATTCATTGTAAGCTGTAACGTTAGCCCGATCACGTAGGCCATCTTTAAATCAAAAAGTAAAAATGTACTATATCACTTGAGCCAAGCATTGTCTTCTCGTGATGTTTTTTTTAGCATAAAAGGGCACATAATGAGCTGGTTTTGCTCCATTTTCATGTTCAATATGAGGCATTAGAGGTGAGGCAAGGCAATTTTATTTGTGTAGTACATTTCAACATCAAACATCCAACATCCAAGTAAAGAGATATACAAACAGTTAACAACATTGATTGAAACATAACAGAAAAACAGTCATTAAAGTAAAAATAGTACAAAAGTTAAGTAAAAATAGTACAACATTTACAGTGTGGGTTAGAAATTCCGTATTGCGGAAATGATCAATTAAAGACAAGAATAGAAAGAGAATAAGATGACATGAGACCGTTACCTCACTCATGAAACTCGATGCTCAGTTCCTCCCGAGGCAGAGCTGAGTGCGGAGCTGAAGGAAGTTCTGGAGCTGCGTGCCGGGGCCACCATGAGGCTGTATGCCACCATCAAGGGAAGTCCGATTCCCAGGAGCACTTGGGCCAAGATGAACACTAACATCAAGGACCGCCTGGGCGTGGTCATGAAGTCCACCAACACTGACTCCCTGGTGTTGGTGGAGAATGTCAACAGATACGACGCTGGCAAATACATCCTGAGCCTGGAGAGTTTGGCTGGCATTAAGATGTACACTGTTGTTGTCAAGGTTATTGGTACGTAAATATATTCATCTCAGTGTGTTTGCATTGATTGCTCTCTGCAGAAACTGACTGACATCCACTCGTGGTTTTAAGAGACTGTGATGTTGTATTTATCCAGATACTCCAGGACCACCAGTCAACCTGATGGTGAAGGAGTCAAACAAAGATAGTGCCTCCATCTACTGGGACACCCCTCTGATTAACGGTGGCTTTGAAGTCACCCACTACATCGTGGAGAAGCGTGACACTGAAAGGAAGGCCTGGTCCATCGTTGCCAACAACTGCACCAAGACATCGTTCAAGGTGCCAGACCTTGACGCCGGCCGGTGCTACAGCTTCAGAGTGTCGGCAGTTAACGAGCTTGGGGCTGGAGAGTGCTGTGAGACAGCCGACTCAGTCAAAGCATGTGGTGGGTTTAATGTTGGCACATTTGTTGCTTCTTTCATTTTCTGTTCTTGCAAATACTGACTGCACTCATTTAAAATATTCTAGAGGAGCCCGGGCCCGTCATGGACTTCAAGACTCTGCTTGTTACCAAGTATTCATGCACTCTAAGTTGGAAGAAGCCCCTCACTGACGGTGGCAGTCGCATCATCTGCTACGTGCTGGAGGTTCTCAACGGCGACGACAAGTACAAGGAGCTAATGAGGTCCAAAAACATGCAGTACAGTGCCAAGGATCTGGTGGAGGGAAAAGAGTACAACTACAGAGTCACAGCTGTGAATGACTCAGGAGAGAGTGCTGCCAAGGAGCTTAAGGTGGTCGCCAGGGATCAGCTCAGTAAGTGACAGAGAAATAACTAGTCAGACAATAGAGGTTACCTCCCCCCGGCTCTCACCATGGCAAAGGATTCAATTCGATTTCATCGATTGGGCGGATGAGTCCTCTCTGTCAATCATAGAAAACAGTTCTTTGATGAGATATGAATGATCTAAATATTGTTTAGAGAACCTTTTAATGTACAGTTTTGTAAAACGTGTTCCTTCTTTCTGCAGTTCCTCCCAGCTGTGACTTAAGGGAGCTTCCCAACATGTGTTACATCGCCAAGGAAAGCAGCACTGTCCGTCTCAAAATCCCGATCATCGGCAAACCAACTCCCAAGGTCTCCTGGAAAAAGGGAGAAGAGGAGAACCTGACGGACACCGGCCGAGTGTGTGCCGAGTCTTCGGCAGTCAACACCACCCTTCTGATTAGGGATTGCCAGAGGAGTGATGCTTCCAAGTACACCATCACCTTGAGGAACAGCGCAGGAAGCAAGGAGTCCACCATCTTTATTAGGTAGGAATCAAACTGTTACAGACTCCTCAAACTCTACCTTAACTAAAAGACTAACAAATTGTAGCACTTACATTGTACTTATAATGGAACTTATCTATAGCAAGTTGTAAATTGGTTTATTTGATGAAATTGCACTTTCTTGTTTTCTTGAGTTTGTATCCTTATGGTCAAATGCACTTATTGTCACGTCTCTTCTTTCAGGGTGGTGGGTAAGCCCGGCATTCCTATTGGTCCCATAAAGTTCAAAGATGTTACGGCCGACGGTGCTACGCTGAAGTGGGTCACTCCGAAGGACGACGGTGGCTCCGAAATTACCAACTACATCCTAGAAAAGAGGGACTCCGTCACCAACATGTGGGTGACTGTGTGCTCCAGTGTGGAAACCAACACCATGAGGGTGACCGGTCTCCATGAGGGCACAGAGTACATCTTCAGAGTCTGTGCTGAGAACAAGTACGGCGTTGGAGAGGGACTCAAGTCCGAGCCAATCATTGCCAAACATCCATTCAGTAAGTGACTAAGATAAACTAAGATTTTAAAAGACGGATGTTTAAAGGTTGAACTCACAAATTGAGCTTGTCCTGACTACAATCTCACTTTTTTCCTCAGATGTTCCCGATGCTCCACTTCCACCTCAGATCATGAGCATGCGCCACAACTCTGCTTACCTGGCTTGGTCTGACCCCAGAAAGACGGGCGGGTCTCCCATCACAGGTCAGCTTGAACATTTCAACTACCTGTGAAATATCCATGTTCTTTTGTCTTATATTAGTTGACATACATTTATTCTTATGTGACTTTAAAGCAAGGTTATCATGATGAACTAAATCTAGATGCTGAAAAAGTTAGCAGTGATGAACAATGAGTGCATTTGGAGAATAAGTGCAGGCAGGTAGCCCGTCCAATTATCACTCCCTCTCTCTGAATTAAATAGTTGGACTGATTCTCACACTGCAACGACAGCTACGCATTTTCTATGCATTTGATACATTGATTCCTTTTAGGATGTAATGAGAATGTGAACAAAAGATTACCAGCCCGGCCATTAAAGTAAGCGTGACGTGGATTTTGTTTTCTCCCCTTGGTGCATCATTCAGGTTACCATGTTGAGTTCAAGGAGAGAAACAGTATGTTGTGGAAGAGAGCGAGCCCGTCCGCCCTGAGGATGCGGGAACATAAGGTCGCCGGACTGACTGAAGGTCTGGAATACGAGTTCAGAGTCATGGCAAACAACCTGGCTGGCATAGGCCGACCAAGTGGTCCCACGGATCCACAGGTTGCCCTGGATCCAATTGGTAAGTGTAAGAGTGGCGGGTTAAACTAATTGTGGAATGTATGCACTGATGCATTAATATATTTATATCTGAATCACTAGATGCTCCTGGGAAACCTGAAGTGGTCAGCATCACCAGAAGTACAGTGACCCTCCAGTGGACCGAGCCACAGTTCGATGGCGGCCACAGGCTGACAGGCTACATCGTTGAGAGACGTGACCTTCCCTCTAAGATCTGGGTGAAGGCCAACAACGTCAATGTTGTGGAGCCTGCATACACTGTGACCGATTTGCAGGAGGGCTGCAAATATGAGTTCAGAATCAGGGCAAAGAACTCTGCTGGTGCCATCAGCCCTCCTTCTGAACAGACAGACACTATAATTTGCGCTGATGAATATGGTGAGATATAAAACTAGCACTAAGATGTCGTTCTCACATCTCCAATATACCTTCAATGATTATGTTGGCCCGATGCATGATTATTTAAGTCATTTTTCTTTCCACCGACAGCTGCCCCAACCATTATTATTGAAGCTCAGGTGAAGGAGGGTCTGACTGTCCGAGCAGGAGACACTATTGTCATCACGGCCACAAGCATTTTAGGCAAACCTGCTCCAACCTCATGCTGGTCGAAGGGAGGAAAGTATTTCAAACCCTCTGATCTTGTTCACATTGAGACCACTGCAACTTCCTCCACTCTGTCCGTCAAGTATGCCAGCCGGAAGGAATCTGGGGAGTACATCATCACTGCCAGCAATCCCTTTGGTGTGAAGGAAGAAACCGTCAAAGTCACAGTTCTGGATGTTCCTGGAGTTCCTGGACCCATTGAAACCAGTGGTGTCTCCTCTGAAAAGGTGACTCTTACCTGGACAGCTCCTACCGAGGACGGAGGCGCTCCCATCAAGTACTACACCCTTGAGAAGAGAGAAACCAGCCGCCTGCTCTGGACTATTCTGGAAGAGAAGGTCATCGACTGTCACTATGTTGCCCACAAGCTCATCCAAGGCAACGAGTACTTCTTCAGAGTCTCTGCCGTCAACCAGTACGGTGCCAGTGAGGCATCTCACTCTGAGGCCGTCAAGATGGTTGACAGATTTGGTATGTGCAGTTAGTTTCTCAATTCATCTTGCATCCTTTTATGTATTTGTGCTTCATCTATATATAGTTAAAAATGTCAGACTATTTTAAATTGTGAATGTGTTTCTTCTAATTATGTTTGTAGGTGTTCCTGGTCCACCTTCTAAACCAGAAGTGGATAAAGTTGATGGACATTCGGTCACTGTGACCTGGAGGAGACCGGCCGAGGATGGAGGAAGTGACATCATAGGTTACTGTGTTGAGAAGAAGGAGAAAAAGGGCATGCGATGGGTCAGGGCGTCAAAGAAATCCATTGCTGAGCTCAGCTATGACGTCAGTGGTCTCATTGAGGGCTTAGAGTACGAGTTCCGTGTTCTTGCTGAGAACAAAGCTGGCTTCGGAGAGCCTAGTGAACCATCTATGCCTGTCAGAACAATAGTTGCTGCTTGTAAGTAAACACAGTTAGTCCAATAATACATACAATACTGAATATTGATTCACCACTGTTTTAAAGAAACCTAACCATTTATTTTATGCCTGACAGATGTGCCTGGACCTCCAATCAATCCAAGAGTCACAGACACAACCAAGAGCACTGCCACTCTTAACTGGGGGAAACCTCTTGATAATGGTGGACTTGAAGTTAGTGGATATGTGATTGAACACAAGAAGGAAGGAGCAGAAGAATGGGTGAAGGACACCCCATCATCTCCACTTAGGATCACAGAGTTTGTTGTTAGCAGGCTGGAAACTGGTGGAAAATACCACTTCAGGATTAGCGCTGTGAATGCTAAGGGGGCAGGAGAACCTGCCGAAACCCAGGAGCTGTTTGAGATTGTGGAGCGTGCAGCTGAACCGGATTCGGAGTTGGATGTTGAGCTGAGAAGAACCCTTGTCGTCAGGGCTGGCTGCTCCATTCGTCTCTTTGTGCCAATCAAGGGACGCCCTTCACCTACTGTCACCTGGACAAAGGATTGTGGTCCTGTCCCACGTGCAGTCATTGACAGCACTGAGTCATTCACTATGCTGATCATCCCTGAGAGTTCCAGGATTGACGTGGGTAAATATACCCTGACCCTTGAAAACCAAGCTGGAAAGAAGAGTGCCGATATACAAGTGAGAGTTCTGGACTCACCTGGTCCTCCACTTAACCTAAAACCAGTCAAGATTGACAAGGAAAGCATTTCCCTTCAGTGGGAGATGCCTCTCATTGACGGTGGAGCCAAGATCACCAATTACATCATTGAGAAGAGAGAATCAACGCGAAAGGCTTTTGCTACCGCTATTACAAAATGCTCAGCCACTTCGGTTAGGATTGGTGATCTGGGTGAAGGCTGTGAGTACTACTTCAGAGTGTCTGCTGAGAATGAGTACGGCATTGGTGAGGTGGCTGAAACCGCTGATCCAATCCGTGCATCACAGGCACCAACTCCTCCAGAGAGCATTATTCCTACCGATATCACCAAAACCTCCGTGAGCCTGGCCTGGACCAAACCAAAGCACGATGGTGGAAGCAGAATTACGGGATATGTCCTCGAAGCCCAGAAGAAAGGCACTGATCCCTGGGCCCATGTAACATCAGTCAAGACCATGGACTTTACAGTGAAGAATCTTAATGAGAAGGAGGAGTACAGCTTCCGGGTAATGGCTGTCAACAGCTCAGGTAGAAGCGCTCCACGTGAGAGTAAACCAATCGTTGTCAAGGATTCCACTTTGCTGCCACAGTTTGATCTCTGTGGTGTGTGTCAGAAGACCGTTATTGCCAAGGCAGGAGATGATATCAAGGTTGAAATTCCAGTTATGGGACGTCCAAGACCAACTGTCTCTTGGCAAAAGGATGGCACGGCGCTGAAGCTCACACAGAGAACCAATGTGGAAACTACGGCTGCCACAGTTGTACTCGGCATTGGCGAATGCAACAGAGCTGACAGTGGTATATACACTTTAACAGGAAAGAACATTGTTGGTTCTGTGACGGACAACATCATTGTCAAAGTACATGATGTACCTGGTCCACCCAAGGGGCCGATTAATATTGTGGAGATAGCTCGCACCTATTGCATCTTTGCATGGGACACTCCTGAGAATGACGGAGGTGTTCCAATAAACAATTATGTTGTTGAGATCAGAGACACCACATCCCAAACATGGACAGAGCTGTCTTCCACGGTCATCCGTACTATATTCAAAGCCATTCGCTTAAACACTGGATCAGAGTACCAGTTCAGAGTGAAGGCTAAGAACAGATATGGGGTCGGACCTCCCATTACCTCATCGTCAGTGGTGGCTGCCTATCCTTTCAAAGTCCCCGGGCCTCCTGGTACTCCTGGTGTTGTTGCATTTACCAAGGACTCCATAACAATTGGCTGGAATGAGCCTGTGGTTGATGGTGGAAATGAAGTAATTGGTTATCATGTTGAGAGGAAGGAAAGAAGCAGCATCATGTGGCAGAAGATCAGCAAGAGTCTTGTGAAAGGAAACCTATTCAAATCCTCAGGCCTTGAAGATGGAGCCGCCTATGAGTTCCGTGTCATGGCTGAAAACATGGCTGGAATCGGTAAGCCTAGCAAGGCCTCAGAACCAATACTTGCTTTGGACCCTGTAGACCCACCGGGTCAGCCTGAGCCAATATTTGTCAACAAAAATGTCATCTCCATTCAGTGGACAAAGCCTGAGTATGACGGTGGCTTCAAAATCACTGGTTACACAGTGGAGAAGAAAGAACTGCCTGCTGGGCGATGGATCAGAGCCAACTTTACCAACATCACTGAGACCACATTCACAGTCAGTGGACTGAGTCAAGATGTCTCCTATGAGTTTCGTGTTATAGCCAGAAACTCATTGGGGGCAGTGAGCTTGCCCTCTGAGTCCTCAGACCCAATTACCTGCAAAGATGACATAATTGAGCCACGCATTATGGTTGATGCCATCTTTAAGGATGTTGTTCTACTAAAGGCAGGAGAGTCCTTTAGGCTTGATGCTGACATTGCTGGTCAACCAACCCCATCTATGACTTGGACCAAGAATGGAAAGGAAGTTGAGAACACAATGAAACTAGATGTGAAGTTCACAGAACTGACAACTACTCTGAGCAACAAGGACTCTATTAGATCAGACGGAGGTGAATTTGTTTTGACTGCCACTAATGTTGGTGGATTTGCTAAGCACATCTTTAACGTTAAAGTGTTTGACAGACCTGGACCACCAGTTGGACCTCTTGAGGTGTCCAATATCAACGCTGATAACTGTGTGATCACATGGGCTCCACCAGCAGACGATGGAGGTGCCAAGATTGAAGGATACGTGATTGAGAAGCGTGAGTCAAGCAGACTAGTATGGACCAATGTTGTTTCAGACTTGCAAGTTACACAACATAAGGTGACCAAGCTGCTCAAAGGAAATGAATATATCTTCAGAGTTATGGCAGTAAACAAATATGGACTTGGCGAGTCTCTCGAATCAGAACCTACTATTGCAGACAACCCATATGTGGTTTCTGATCCCCCAGGGAATCCTGAGGTAACAGCTATTACTAAAGATTCAATGTTTGTTATGTGGCAAGCGCCTCTGAGTGATGGTGGAACTCCCATCAATAACTACAACATTGAAAGGAAGGACAAAATAGGCCTCCGCTGGGTCAAATGCAACAAAAGGAAGGTCAAAGATCTGCAATTTAAGGCAACAGGACTTGTTGTCGGACATGAATATAAATTCAGAATTATTGCTGAGAATGCTGCTGGAGTGAGTGCTCCAAGTGTCTCGAGTCCATTCTACACGGCCACTGATGCACTGTATATACCAGGGGCCCCATGCAACCCAAGAATCTTGGACACAACCAAGTCTTCGATCACTGTCGCCTGGAACAAACCCGTATATGATGGTGGCTCTGACATCACTGGCTACATTGTGGAGACGTGCATCCCATCTGAAGAGGAGGAATGGACCATTGTTACACCCAAAGAAGGACTCACTGCCACCTCATTCACCATTCTTAACCTGAAAGAGAACCAGGAGTACAAGATTAACATATCTGCCCTCAACAGTGAAGGAGTTGGAGAGGCAGCATCTGTACCTGACAATACCAAAGCAGAAGACAGGCTCCTGCCACCTGAGATGGAGTTGGATGCTGAGCTCCGCAAGGTTGTAAGTCTTCGAGCTTGCTGCTCACTCCGCCTGTTTGTGCCTATCAAAGGTAGACCAGCTCCTCAGGCTACATGGACCAAAGGAGATGGTGAACGCATCGAAAGGGCAACAATTGACAGCACAACATCATACACCTCACTTGTAATTGAAAATGTCAACAGATTTGACAGTGGAAAGTATAATCTTACAATCGAAAACAGCTCTGGATCCAAGACAGTGACAGTTCAAGTCAGGGTGCTTGACACACCAAGTGCCCCGCAGACTCTCAAGATTACTGCTATTACAAAGGAATCTGTCACTCTGACTTGGGAGCCACCTACTAATGATGGAGGAGTTAAGGTTAAAAACTACATTGTTGAAAAACGTGAGTCCACCAGGAAAGCATACGCCACAGTCAGTGCTAACTGCCATCACACCACCTTCATAGTTGACCAGCTCTTGGAAGGATGCAACTATTATTTCAGAGTTTTGGCTGAAAATGAGTATGGCATTGGCCTGCCTATTGAATCTGGTGAATCTGTTAAAGTGTCTGAGAAACCACAGCCACCCGGAAAAATCTCTCTGAAGGACGTTACCAAGAGCAGTGTCACCCTCACCTGGGAGAAGCCTGCGCATGATGGTGGCAGCAGAGTGGGCTGCTATGTTGTTGAGATCCAGCCTAAGGGTGTCGATAACTGGACCCAGTCAGTGATTGTAAAGGAAACTGAAGCTACTATTCTTGGACTCAATGCAGGTGAAGAATACATGTTCCGTGTCGCAGCAAGGAATGAGAAGGGAACAAGTGACCCACGACAGATTGGTGTGCCTGTGATTGTAAAAGATCTTGTGTTTGCACCTGTTGCGAAGATGTTGTTCAACACATTCAGTGTGTTAGCAGGAGAAGACCTGACAGTAGAGATTCCTTACGTTGCCCGTCCCAAAGCAGCTGTCTCCTGGCTAAAAGATGGTCAGCCTCTGAAGAGAACTACCAGAATAAACTTTAGTGCCACAGAAACAATGTTGAACCTCAAGATAAAAGAGGCTACCAGATTTGATGTTGGAAAGTATCATATTACCATTAGCAACGCAGCTGGAGAGACAACGGCGGACATTGGCATCGTTGTACTAGACAAACCAGGACAGCCGGGTGGTCCAGTAAAGTTGGAGGAGGTCACTTCTGACAGTGTAACCATCTCCTGGAACCGACCAGAATATGATGGTGGATGCACAATCAAACACTACATTGTGGAAAAGAGAGACACGTCTGCTTCTGCTTGGATGGTTGTTTCTCCTAACCTTGCTCGGACCAAAACAAAGGCAGGGAGGTTGAAGACTGGTTCTGAGTATCAATTTAGAATCACAGCAGAAAACAGATATGGTAAAGGCCCAGCACTTCTCTCGGAGTGCATTGTAGCTCAATACCCATACAAGCTCCCAGGACCACCAGGTACACCGTCCATTGCAGTCTGCAACAAGGACAGCATGGTGGTGGCCTGGAATGAACCTGTCAATGATGGTGGCAGCAGCATCTTGGGTTATCATCTAGAACGCAAAGAGAGAAACAGCATCCTTTGGGTCAAACTTAACAAGTCTCTTATTACTGACCAAACCTTCAAGACTGCTGATCTTGAACCAGGCATGGAATATGAATACAGAGTTTATGCAGAAAACATTGTCGGAACCGGCAAAGCGAGCAAAGTATCTGAGGGAAGGGTTGCCAGAGATCCATGTGATCCCCCTGGGACACCAGAAGCCTCACATATCACAAAGGAATCCATTACCATTGTCTGGGAAAAGCCTGAATATGATGGTGGTGCAAAGGTTACTGGTTACGTGGTGGAAAAGAAGGAGCTTCCTGAAGGTCGATGGCTGAAGGCCAACTTCACCAATGTGATTGAGACAGAGTACGTTGCAACTGGACTTATAATGAACCATCAGTATGAATTCCGTGTCATTGCCAGAAATGCTGCTGGTGTTTTCAGTATGCCCTCTTACAGCACCGGTCCTATTACTGCCATGGATGAAATTGAACCACCCCACTTCAGCATTGACCCAGAGTACACACAGACTCTTTTAGTTAATGCCGGAGATAACTTCAAGATTGATGCTGATGTTCATGGCAAACCATTGCCGTCTATCCACTGGATGAAGGGAGAGCAGGAGTTGGGCAACACTATTCATAGACAAATTAATAACACACCCACCAAAGCTTATATATCTGTCAAGGAAGCTAAACTTTCAGATGGAGGTCCATACACTCTGCTGCTGAAAAATCCGGGAGGAGAAAAGGTTGTACAGGTCAATATTGTTGTCCTAGATAAACCTAGCGAACCACAAGGACCTTTTGTTGTCACAGGAATAACCAAAGACCGATGCTGCCTTGCATGGAAACCACCACTAGAAGACGGTGGCAGCAAGATCTCTCACTACGTTGTAAAGAGAAGAGAGACAAGCAGGCTGGTCTGGACTGTCGTTGATCCAAAAGTTGAGAACATTTGTTTGAAGGTCACAAAGCTCTTGGAAGGAAACGAGTACATCTTCAGAGTCCAGGCTGTCAACCAGTTTGGAGTTGGAGCACCACTTGAGTCTGCACCTACAGTAATTATAGATCCATTTACGGTGCCTGGAACACCCAAGAGCTTGGAAGTTTCAGATATTAAGAAGGATTCAATGGTGCTCAGCTGGGAGCCTCCTTCTGAAGACGGAGGCAGTCCTATCACTGGATACATAATTGAGAAACATGACAAAGAAGGGGTAAGATGGACCAGATGTAACAGGAAAACCGTCACTGACTTGACTTTCAAGGTCACTGGACTCATGGAAGGCCATATTTACGAATTCAGAGTTGTTGCTGACAATGTGGTTGGTGTTGGTGAGCCAAGCTCCCCAACTGTGTTCTTCAAAGCACTTGATCCCATCTTCAGGCCCGGCCCACCACATAATCCAAGAGTCACTGACACAACTAAGACATCAGTATTCCTGTCATGGAGCAAGCCTGTCTGTGATGGAGGCAGTGAGATTCAGGGATACGTTGTTGAGTGTTGCCCTACCACAGAGTCACCGGTGCAAGCAGTGGCTCCTGCTGAAGCCCCGGCGGAAGTCCTAGCTGCTGAGGCATCCGACATGGATGTCCCTACCGAGGAATGGAAAATGTGTACACCTCCAACAGGTGTTAAGAAGACCAAGTTTGAAGTTGTAAACCTGAAAGAAAACCAGGCGTACAAGTTTAGAGTATGTGCCATCAACAAAGTTGGAATTGGTGAGAATGTTGATTTTTCTGGAGCTATTGTTGCCCAGGACAGGGCAGAGGAGCCAGACCTGGACATTGACCCAGAACTGAGAAAGATTGTGACTATTAAAGCTGGAGCTTCTCTTAGGCTGTTTATTCCTATCAAAGGAAGGCCCGCTCCTACCATAAAATGGGACAAAGATGAAGCTGCACTTAAAGAGACAGCCCAAGTGGAGGTGACCAGCAGTTACTCATCCCTTGTAATTGACAAGTTGAGCAGAAATGACAGTGGAAAATACACCATCACTGCAGAGAACACCAGTGGAACGAAATCCGCATTTGTGGTTGTCCGTGTTCTGGACACACCTAGTGACCCTGTCAACTTGAAAGTGAAAGAGATAACCAACCAGTCGGTGACACTTGTATGGGAACCACCTCTGTTGGATGGTGGGTCCAAGATCAAGAACTACATTATTGAAAAGAGAGAGAGCACACGCAAGACTTACGCAGCTGTCGTAACAAATTGTCATGCTCTTTCATTTAAGATTGATTCTCTCCAGGAGGGTTGTAGTTATTATTTCCGAGTTCTTGCAGAGAATGAACATGGTGTCGGCCTGCCTGTGGCAACTGTCGATCCTCTTAAGGTGTCAGAGGTGCCCCAATCTCCAAAGACCTTGATTGTTACAGATCAAACTAAAACAAGCATTTCTTTGGCTTGGGAGAAGCCTGAGTATGATGGTGGTAGCAGAATTATTCAATACCTGCTCGAGGTGCAACTTAAGGGCCAGGAAAAGTGGTCTGGTGTCAACACATTTAAGACAATGGAGACTACGGTAACTAAACTGAACCCAGGAGAGGAGTATGTATTTAGAGTTATAGCAATAAATGACAAGGGAAAGAGCGACCCCAAAGTCCTTGCTGGTCCAGTGATAACCAAAGACTTGGTCTATGAGCCAGATGTTCGGCCAGCATTTAGCAGCTACAGTGTAAAATTGGGAAAAGACCTGAACATTGACATTCTCTTCTTTGGAAGACCTAAACCAACTGTCTCATGGACAAAAGATGGAGCCTCTTTGAAGTTTACTACCAGAGTCAACATTCACAACACACTAACGCATACAACCCTGAGCATTAAGGAGGCAGCAGGTGATGATGGTGGCATGTACAGTATACATGTTGCTAACCCAGCTGGAAAGAAAGACACAACAGTTGAAATTATTGTACTTGACAAGCCCAGCCTCCTTCGGCCCTATGAGGTTCGAAGAAATCACCACCACAGAGTATCACTCTTTCATGGGATCCACAAAGCACAATGGAGGATGCCAGATTTCTCTTTACATCGTACCAGAAGAGAGATACTACTTCAACAACATGGGAAAATGTCAGCATCAACTACGCCAGAACAACCATTAAAGTGCCCAGACTGAAGGCTGGAGCCGAGTACCAGTTTAGAATCATTGCTCAGAACCGCTATGGCAAGAGCCATGGGCTGGACTCATCATGTGTGGTGGCTCAGTACCCATACAAAGAGCCAGGCCCACCAGGCACCCCCTTCATCTCATCTCTATCTAGAGACCACCAGATTGTTGAGTGGCACGAGCCTGTCCAAGATGGAGGCAGCACTATTCTGGGCTACCATCTCGAAAGGAAAGAGAGGAATAGCATCCTCTGGATCAAGATCAACAAGACACTTATCCACGAGACTGTTTTCAAGAGTCAACCCCTGGAAGAGGGTGTTGAGTATGAGTACCGGGTTTATGCTGAAAACATCGTTGGCATTGGCAGGTGTAGCAAGGTCTCAGAGGGCTTTGTTGCTCGTGACCAATGTGATCCTCCGGGTACACCAGAGGCCGTCCGTGTGACCAAGGACACAATTGTTATCCAGTGGACCAAACCAGAGTACGATGGTGGCAGTAACATAACTGGCTATACTGTGGAGAGGCGTGATCTGCCAGAGGGAAGGTGGATAAGAGCGAACTTCACTAATGTGATTGAGACCAAGTTCACTGTCACTGGTCTGACTGAAATGGCACAGTATGACTTCAGAGTCATTGCTAAAAATGCAGTAGGCACCGTCAGTAAGCCGTCCTACAACAGCGGACCAATTACTGTAAGTGATGAGTGGGAAGCACCGAAATTCTCCTTTGACCCAGCATTCATCAAGACCATTACCATCAACGCCGGAGAGACCTTCAAGCTGGATGCTGATGTCCACGGCAAGCCGCTACCTACAATCCAGTGGTACAAGGATGAAAAACCAATCGAGAATACACTCAGACTAGAGATTAAAAACACAAATAACCGTGCTATGATTGTCATTAAGGACTCTGTTAGAATTGATGGTGGCTGTTACACACTCCAGCTTACAAATGTGGCTGGCATTGAAACGGTTCCATTCCAGGTTGTAGTCCTGGACAGGCCTAGCCAATGCAAAGGACCCCTCCACATCGCTGCAGTAGCTCAAGATAGATGCACACTGGTATGGAATGCCCCTCTTCACGACGGAGGTAGTCCTATTAAGCACTATTTAATCGAGAGACGAGAGACCAGCCGTCTAGCTTGGACTGTTGTTTGCCACAGCTGTGAAACTACATGCTACAAAGTCACCAAACTGCTGGAAGGCAATGAGTATATATTCCGTGTCATGGCAGTCAACAGTTTTGGTGTCAGTGAGCCACTGGAGTCTAGTGGAGTGGTTATGAAGACTCCATTTGTTCCTCCTGGTTCACCTCATATTGAGGATGTATCCAACATTGCTCATGATGGTATGACCGTTACTTGGTCCGCCCCTGACACTGATGGTGGCAGTGAGATTACTAATTACATTATTGAAAAGAAGGACAGAAATGGAATAAAATGGACAAGATGCAACAGACAGAAAGTCACTGATCTCTCCTTTAGAGCTACAGGCCTAACCACCAACCATGAATATGAATTCAGAGTTGCTGCTGAGAACGTAGTTGGAGCAGGAGAACCAAGCCTTCCAAGTTCATACTACAAGGCCAGTGATCCTAAGTACAAGCCTGGTAGCCCAGCATATGTGAATGTGATTGACTCCACAAATAGTTCCATTACAGTGTCATGGGGTAAGCCTCTGTCTGACGGCGGCAGCACCATTCAAGGGTACATTGTTGAAGTCTGCAAGGCTGAGGAGGAGGAATGGACCATGGTTACACCCGCCACTGGCCTGCGCGTCAACAAGTATGAAATTACCAAACTGACTGAGGGTCAGGAGTACAAGTTACAGGTGTGTGCTTTGAACAAGTTGGGGGTTGGTGAGCCAGCAGCTCTCTCTGGAACAGCTAGGCCAGAGGAAAGGTTGGAGCCACCACAGATCCACCTAGACTCTGAGCTGAGGAAGGGCATCACAGTGAAAGCCGGTGGATCTGTTAGAGTCCATATTCCCTTCAAGGGCAGGCCAACCCCCTGAGATTAAGTGGACTAAGGATGAGGGAGAGTTGACTGAAAAAGCGGTGGTTGAGAAAGCTCTCAACTTTACACACTTGTCCATTGACTCCTGTGACAGGAGCGACTCTGGAAAATATACTCTTAGCCTGACCAACAGCAGTGGGACTGTATCCGAGTTTGTTGCTGTGAAAGTCCTGGACACACCTGGATCCCCACAGAAACTTGTGGTCAAAGAAGTCAAAAAGGACTGTGTCACTCTTGTATGGGATGCACCGCTGATTGATGGAGGTTCCAAAATCAAGAACTATGTCATTGACAAACGTGAATCAACCAGAAAGACATATGCAAATGTTTCGACCAAATGCACCAAGACCACATTCAAAGTGGAGAACTTGGTTGAAGGTGCTATGTACTACTTCAGGGTAATGGCTGAGAATGACTATGGAATCGGACAGGCTGTTGAAACAAAGGCAGCTTTCAAGGCCTCCGAAGTACCACTGCCTGTTGGAAAAATCTCCGTCACTGATGTCACCAAGGCCACTATCTCACTAGCTTGGGAAAAACCTGAACATGATGGCGGCAGTAGGATTGGAGGCTACCTGATTGAGATGCAACCCAAGGGTACAGAAAAGTGGGTAGTTGCAACAAATACAAAGACATGCGACGGCACTGTCACGGGCCTCACAGCAGGAACAGAATACTTATTCCGTATCATTGCTTACAATGAGAAGGGCAAAAGTGAACCAATGGCACTGGCTGCACCCGTTGTTGCAAATGATATATCCATGGAGCCCAATGTTACCATGCAATTTAACACCTACAGTGTATTAGCTGGAAAGGACTTGAAGCTGGAGTTCCCTTTGCTTGGCAGACCCAAACCTAGAGTCTCCTGGTCCAAAGATGGTCAGCCTTTAAAGGTGACATCGAGAATCAATGTCGTAAACAAGCCAACAACAACTGGAATTCAAATTACTGAGGCATGTAAGGACGACTTTGGAAAATATTCCATCGTAGCAACCAATAGTGCCAGCACGATCACTAAGGATGTGTTTATCATTATTCTGGACAAGCCTGGTCAACCGAAAGGTCCAGTAAAGGTTGTTGAAGTGACCAACACCTTTGTTCATCTCTCCTGGGAGCCACCCGTGTACCTGGGTGGATGCCAGATAAAGAACTATATTGTGGAGAAAAGGGACACCACCACCCAAACATGGCAGTCAGTCACCACGCAGCTTGCTAGAACAGCGTTCAAGGTCACCAAGCTGAAGACTGGTGCAGAATACCAGTTCAGAATCATAGCTGAAAACAGATATGGAAAAGGTGTATCTCTTGACTCCAAGTCCGTTGTTGTTCAGTATCCATACAAACCACCAGGGCCTCCAGGAACACCATATGTCAAATCTGCATCAAAGGATATGATGATCATTGAATGGAATGAACCAGTAAATGATGGTGGAAGTACAGTTATTGGCTATCATCTAGAAAGCAAGGAGAGAAGCAGCATCATGTGGAACAAATTGAACAAGATCCTCATCAACGATACTCAGTTCAAGATCTCCAATCTAGAGGAGGGTATTGGCTATGAATTTAGAGTTTATGCTGAAAATATTGTTGGCATTGGCAGGTGCAGTAAAGTCTCTGAGTCCTTTGTTGCTCGGGACCCATGTGATCCTCCTGGTGCTCCTGAAGCTGTATCTATTTCTAAGACCATAATCAAGATTCAGTGGACCAAGCCTCAGTATGATGGTGGCAGCAAAGTGAATGGATATATTGTGGAAAGGAAAGATCTTTCCTCCCCTGATGGACACTGGGTAAGAGCTAATTTCACCAATATAATTGAAACTGAGTATACCATCACTGGCCTGACAGAGAATGAACAATATGAATTCAGAGTTATTGCAAGAAATGCAGCCGGAGTCTACAGCGTGCAATCCGACAGCTCTGGTCCTATTACTGCTACTGATGAAATTGAACCACCAAGAGCTTCAATGGATCCTAAATACAAGGATGTTATTGTTATCAATGCTGGAGAACACTTGCTTCTGGATGCTGACATCTATGGAAAACCAATTCCAGATGTTGCCTGGCTAAAAGAGGGAAAGGAAATGGACAAAGCCCTACGCATTGAAGTGAAAACTACACAGAAACGAGCAGCCATGACCATTAAGGATGTGACCAAGCTTGACAGTGGCCACTATGACCTCGTCCTCAAAAATTTAGGTGGTACAAAAACCTTCCCTATCACTGTTAAAGTCCTTGATAAAGCAGGTCCACCTGCTGGACCTCTGCGAGTGACAGGAATCATGGCTGACAGGTGCGTCCTTTCCTGGGCTGAACCAACTCTGAATGGCGGGGGCTAGGTATTACTCACTATATCCTGGAGAAGAGAGAGACTAGCAGGTTGTCATGGACAGTAGCTGCACCAAATGTCAAGGGGTCTGTACCATAAAATGATGAATTTTGCTTCCTGGGAACGAATACATTTTCAGGGGTCAAGGCAGTCAACAAATATGGTGTGGGCGAATGTCTCGAGAGTGAAAGCCATCACTGCACGCAATCCTTACAAGCCACCCAGTGCTCCTGGAACTCCAGAAGCAAGTCGGATCACAAAGGAATCCATGCTTCTGTCATGGACGGCTCCAGAACAGACTGGCGGAGCTGAAATTGAAGGCTACCACCTTGAAAAACGTGACAAAGATAGTGTGAGGTGGACCAAATGCAACAGACAAAAGCTGACTGACAACCACTTCAACGTCACAGGTCTGATGACCGACCACTTCTATGAGTACCGTGTCGCTGCTGAAAACAAGGCTGGAATAGGAGACGTTAGTGAATTGTCCATGCTTCATAGAGCTTGTGATGCCACAACACCACCTGGACCTCCACACCATCCTAAAGTGATGGACTACACTAAGTCTTCTGTGTCTCTGTCCTGGGGCAAACCCGACTTTGATGGTGGTGCCTATGTAAAGGGCTACATCGTTGAAATGAGGGAGTATACACCAGTGACCGACGAAGCAGAAGAGGCGGAGGTAGCACCTACAATAGATGCACCAGTTGAAAACAAATGGACCATGTGTACTCCACCCACTGGCACACAAGCCACTAAACTCACCATCACAACTCTGAAGGAGGGCGGAGAGTACCAGTTCCGCGTCTGTGCGATCAACTCAGAGGGAGTGGGGGAGGCCGCTAATGTCCAAAGCACCGTGGTTACTTCTGACAGGGTGGAAGCACCGGAGATCGAGCTGGACGCTGATCTCAGGAAGGTGGTGTCTCTCCGCGCAGGTGGAACTCTGCGTCTCTTCGTCTCCATCAGGGGAAGGCCGGAACCGGCTGTGAAATGGGAGAAAGTTGATGGTACTCTTACAGAGCGTGCTGGAATTGACACTACCAGTTCATATACCATGCTTGTCATTGATAATGTTAACCGCTTTGATAGCGGTAAATACTCACTCACACTAGCAAACAGCAGTGGGGAAAAATCTGCCATCGTTGCAGTTAGAATTTTGGATACACCAAGTTCACCTGAAAAGTTTTCTGTGAAGGAGCTTAAGAAGGATTCGGTGACTCTCGTCTGGGATACGCCACTTACTGATGGTGGTTCTAAAATCACAAACTACATTGTAGAGAAAAGAGAGTCTGTCAGGAAGGCCTATACCACTGTAACAAGCAACTGCTTGGTCAATTCATACAAGATTGAAGAGCTGCCTGAAGGTGGAACGTTCTACTTTAGAGTCTGTGCCGTTAATAAATATGGCCAAGGACAGATGGTTGAAACCAAGGAAATCAAAGTGTCTGAGGTACCGCTGCCACCAAGCAAGGTTCGGGTTGTAGATTTGACAAAGACCAGCGTGACACTGACATGGGACAAACCTGCTCATGATGGTGGAAGTAAAGTTATGTGCTACAATGTAGAATTCAAGCCCAAAAGTGGAGATAAATGGGGCACAGCATGCACAGTTAAGGTAACTGAAGCAACGATTCCTAACCTGACTCCTAATGAAACCTATTTATTCAGACTTGTTGCAATCAATGAGAAGGGAAAGAGTGAGCCAAGGGATCTTGGTTTGCCTGTGGTCGCAAAGGATGTTGCTATTGAACCATCAGTCAACTTACTCTTTACCACGTACAGTGTGAAGGCTGGAGGTGACCTTACTTTTGAGGTTGCAGTTAGAGGCAGACCTAAGCCTGTTGTGTCCTGGAAGAAGGATGGCCTTCCTTTGAAACAAACATCATCAGTTACTATCTTAAACAGTCTGACTTTGTCCAAAATTATCATCAAAGAGGCTGGTAGAGAACATGTTGGCAAGTATGAGATCACCCTGGCAAACACAGGAGGAACTGTCACAGCGGATATTGGAGTTGTTGTCCTTGATAAACCAGGTGCACCTAAAGGTGTCAAGGTGGATTCGGTGACATCCGACAGCATCACACTGTCCTGGTCTCCTCCAGATTATGATGGTGGCTGCTGCATTAGTAACTATATTGTGGAGAAGAGAGACACAAATAGCCAAGAATGGCAGATGGTGGCAAATAATGTTGCCCGAACGTCTTTTAAGGCTGGCCGCCTGACACATGGAGCAGAGTACCAATTCCGTATTTATGCTGTCAACCGTTATGGAAAGAGTACATATTTGGACTCACCTGGAATCACTGCTCAGTATAACTTCAAACAACCTGGACCTCCTTCCACACCTATAGTGAAGTTGGCCACCAAGTCCTACATGTTGGTGACTTGGAATGAGCCAGTCATTGATGGTGGAAGCCCAGTTCTGGGGTACCATCTGGAGAGGAAGGAGCGTACTAGTATTCTCTGGACAAAGATTAACAGAGGAATGATCAAAGACACAGAATATAAAGTCAATGGAATTGAAGAGGGCATGATGTATGAATACCGTCTCTATGCTGAAAATATTGCTGGTATTGGTAAATGCAGCAAGGCCTGTGAAGCTGTGGCAGCCAGAGATCCTTGTGACCCGCCAGGCACACCTGTGGTCACTAGTGTCACCAGAACATCTGTCTCCCTGTCTTGGGATAAACCAGGGTATGATGGTGGAGCCAAGGTTTCTGGCTACACCATTGAACGTAGAGACCTTCCGGAAGGACGATGGACAAGATGCAACTTCACCAACGTGCCCGAGACCCACTATGATGCAACGGGCCTCACGGAGAGTAGTCAGTATGACTTCCGTGTTATTGCTAAGAATGCAGCTGGATTGTTCAGTGAACCATCTGACAACACTGGCCCCATCACGGTCAAGGATGATGTGGATCCACCACGCATCATGATGGATGTCAAGTTCAGAGAGACATTGCTTGTGAAAGCAGGAGAAACTCTGAAGATTAATGCAGACCTTGCTGGACGTCCCGCCCCTGTCGTTTCCTGGACCAAGGACGGGAAAGAGATTGAGCTGAGAGCCAGGATCCAGATTGTTTCCACAGATACCAGCACTTCTGTCATTGTGAAGGATAGCATCAGAAAAGATTCCGGACAGTACGTTCTGACTCTACAGAATATCGGCGGAACAGTTAACATGCCAATAAACTGCATGATTCTAGATAAGCCCGGACCCTCAGCAGGCCCTCTGCAGATCACAAGTCTCACAGCTGACACGTGCACTCTGTCATGGGGTTCTCCTCAGGAAACCGGCGGTGCTGAAATCACACATTACATTGTTGAGAAACGTGAGACCAGCCGCTTGGCATGGACAGTGGTGAAAGGAGATGTCACAAAAACGTACCTCAAAGTCACAGGACTGCTCAAGGGAAACGAATATATCTTCAGGGTTTTGGCTGTCAACAAGCACGGACCTGGTGAGGCTCTGGAATGTGATGCTGTAAAGATAACAGATCCATACACGCTTCCCACTGCTCCAACTAACGTGGATGTCACTGCCATAAGCGGTGATTCAATGACCCTCACCTGGCTCAAGCCAGTCAGCAATGGAGGAAGCCCCATCACAGGATATGTGATTGAGCGCCGTGAGAAGACTGGTATGCGCTGGATCCGTGTGAACAAAAATCCAGTGGTTGAATGTACCGCAATCGCAACCAAACTGCGGAAGGGTTGTGAATACGACTTCAGAGTCTATGCAGAGAATGTAGCTGGTTTGAGTCCTCCCAGTGAACGCTCTGCATCGTTCAGAGCAGTCGATCCTCTGGTCGTTGCCTCCCGCCCAACAAAGCCAAAGATTGTCAGCTCAACCAAGGACAGTGTGTCCATTGCCTGGAAACTACCCAGACAGGATGGTGGTACTCCGATCCTTGGATACAGTGTAGAATACAGAGAGTACATCCGCAAACCAGAGCCAGAGGTTGTTGAAGAGGAAGAATATGAAGAGGAATATGAGGAGGAGGAGGAGGAGGAGGAGGCGGAGGAAGAGGAGGTAACCGAAACAGCCGAAGAACTTGCAAGATGGGTTGAGGCTATCCCTCTTACCAAGAGCACAGAATTCACAATCACTGGACTGAAGACAGATGCAGAATATGAATTCTGTGTCAAGGCAATTAACAAAGTTGGCAGCAGTATGCGTAGCCTGTATTCAGACGCAGCCACAGCAATGGACAGAACTGCAGAGCCATCATTTGATGTTGACATAGAGATGCGTAAAGTACTTATTGTCAAGCATGGCACAGCATTTACTCTCAGGGTACCATTCAAGGGGAAACCCGTTCCATCGGTGGCATGGGCAAAAGAGGGCGTTGATTTAAAGGTCAGAGGAACCATTGAATCAACAGAGTCAAGCACTTCACTGACCATCGAAAAGTCATCCAGAAACGAATCTGGTCAGTACTGCGTCACCATTGAATCACCACTGGGATCCGCGACACTGCCCATGGTCGTCACAGTGCTTGACTCGCCCGGACCTCCTGTCAACGTTAAAGTTTCAGCAGTGACCAGGGATTCAGCAACCCTCAGTTGGGAAGCACCAGAGAATGATGGGGGTGATGCAGTGAAGGCCTACCATGTTGAAAAGCGCGAGGCCAGTAAGAAGGCATGGGTGTCAGTGACCAGCAACTGCCACGCATTGACATTTACAGTGAAAGACCTGCAGGAGGGAGCCATGTATTACTTCAGAGTTATTGGAGAAAACGAGCATGGAGTTGGTGTTCCTCAGGAGGCCAAGGCTGCAACAAAAATCACAGGTAATATATGACCTGACAGTTAAAATTCATGTCATACAATCTTTACCATTTGACAAAATTGTCCAAATGAAATGTCCCACTATCTTTTCCAGAGGTACCAAGTATACCAATGAAACTTGGAGTTGCAAATGTTACCAAGGACAGCGTTACAATTGCCTGGACAAGACCGGAATACGATGGCGGCAGCAGAGTCACCGGTTACCTCATTGATGCCCTGGAGAAGGGACAGACCAAGTGGGTGAAGTGTGCCACTGCGAAGACAATGAGCCACACCATTAAAAACCTGAGGGAGTGTGCAGAGTACTATTTCAGAGTCCGTGCCGAGAACCATGCGGGACTCAGTGAACCAAAGGAGATGATTGTACCAGTTATCGTCAAGGAAATACACGGTACTATCTTTTGACTTTTAGATAAGATTAATTATTTATGCCCCCAGAAAACAAGAATTTGTGCATAAAAGAAGATTGATTTATTTTCTTTCAAAGGCAATTTTGTATTGAACATGTATATGTATGGGTCTTAAAAGCAATGGAATTTCAACATTTCTGTTTTCTTCTTAAACAGAGGCTCCTGAATTTGACCTGAAGAATTACCCCAAGAACACAGTCTATGTGAGAGCGGGATCCAACCTTACCTTTGAGATTCCTCTTAATGCCAGGCCCATGGCTAAAGTCACTGTGTCCAGAAACAATGTTGTCATCAAGGGATCCAAGAGGCTGCTAACTGTAGTAACTCCAGACAGCCTAATCATAACTCTAAATGAGAGCATTGCAACTGACGCTGGCAAATATGAAGTCACTGCCTCTAATGACGGAGGTACCACCAAGATCTTCCTGATCTTTGTTGTGATGGACAGACCCGGACCTCCCATTGGTCCGATCGAGGTTGGTGAGGTCGGAGAAACCACAGTATGTCTGAAATGGGCGGTTCCAGAGTATGACGGTGGCAGTCCTGTTACCAACTACATTGTTCTCAAACGTGAAACCAGCACTCCCAACTGGGCAGAGGTGTCAACTAGCATTGCCAGAAGTTCAATCAAGGTGACTAAACTGACCAAGGGAGAGGAGTATCAGTTCAGGATCAAGGCTGAGAACCGTTTCGGTGTCAGTGACCACATTGACACTAAGCCAATCATGATCAAGCTTCCATACAGTGAGTAATAGTGTGTCTCTATGTGTGTTGTGGGGGGGTCTTACTCTTTTAATTATGAATTTCCTTTGACCGAGGATATAGATTTTCTTTCTGAATAGACATCAGCGTTGTCCATTAAGCCCTTAAAGCCCACTACATGACAAATTCTGCATAATTTCTTTTTTTTCAGTTTCTGTTTGTTTAAAAAAAAAAGTTCTGTTTGTTTCTTTTTTTTTGTTTCTGTTGTTTTTTCCCTATGTAAAGCATATTTGGGTATTTTAGAAATGTGCTATATAAAAGTTTATTGTAGTATAGTTTATTAAAGTATTATTATTATTATTGCAGCCATCCCGGGGCCTCCATCCACACCATGGCTCGACTTTGTATCCAGAGAGAGCTTCACGGTCTGCTGGAATGAGCCGGTCAATGATGGTGGAAACACTGTGATTGGATATCATCTCCAGATGAAGGAAAGGAGCAGCATCCTCTGGCAGAAAGTCAATAAGACACCAATCTCAGGAAACCAGTGGCGAGTCACAAACATCTGCCCAGGCCTCATCTATGAATTCAAGGTGGCAGCTGAAAATGCCGCCGGTATTGGAAAGTTGAGCAAGACCTCTGAAGAGGTTCTTGCTATTGATGCCTGTGGTAAGTGTTTTTAATTTAGATCTCAGTCTCCAGATTTATTGTGACCCATAGCATTAAATAATACAAAGGCTTCCACAACTAGACTGTTGTTTCATTAACATTGTATCGTTCACACTTGAATGTTGCAGAGCCTCCAGCAAATGTCCACATCTCAGAAGTTACCAAGAACTCGATCAAACTGGCCTGGCAGAGGCCTCCATACGACGGTGGCAGCAAGATTACCGGCTACAGTGTGGAGAGGAGGGAAGCATCCAGTGGCAGATGGGTGAAGGCCAACTTCACAAACATTATTGAGCTGGGCTTCAAGGTTTCTGGACTGAACCAGGACGAGACTTATGAGTTCAGGGTATACGCCAAGAATGCTGTCGGGTCCGTCAGCAACCCATCTCTCATCGCTGGCCCAGTCACTTGTGTTGACGCATGTGGTGTGTATTTGATTTAGATCTGAGTTTGCATCTCTTTTTTAGTTTCATGGATTTAAATATACATTACTTATTTCGATATCTCGTTTCCCACAGGTGCCCCTGTCATTGACCTTCCTCCAGAGTATCTGGACGTGGTTCAGTTCAAGGCAGGAGTTTCAGTCAAGCTCAGAGTTGGAATCATCGCCGAACCTTTGCCGACCATCGAGTGGCTCAAAGACGGAAAGGAGCTTGTGACATCTTCTCAACTGTCTGTTGAAAGCACCACTGACTCTTCTGCTGTGCTGATCAAGGATGCAGCTCGCTTTGACACCGGCTCATATGACATCAAGATCAAGAATGTTCTGGGCTCAGCATCTGCAACTATAAGGATTGAAATCCTAGGTATTTACAAATTCTTGCCTCACCTTTTAATATTTACATAATTCCGAACATAATTTTGGTCTACATTAATTCGTGTTCGTATATGACCCTTAGACAAACCCGGACCTCCTGCTGGCACCATTGTATTCAACTCCATCACAGAAGACAAGATAACTTTCAGCTGGCAGCCTGTGCCTGAGTCCGACCAGGGGGGTTTCAAGGTGACCCACTACATCGTTGAGAGGCGTGAAACCAGCAGAGTAGTCTGGTCGACAATTTCGGAGGAGCATGTGGAGACTTACGTCACTGCCAGCAAGCTGCTGCGTGGAAACGAGTATGTGTTCCGTGTGATGGCCGTTAATAAGTACGGAGTTGGAGAGCCACTGGTGTCGGAACCTGTCATCGCAAAGAACGCCTTCGGTGAGTTTTGGGCTCTAGGACGCTGTGGATTTCATTGTTAATGTCAGCTTTAGTTAGAGGAAGTCTTATGATTGATTGTCTTTAGCTTTCTGGTTCTTTGAATGTCTGCGTTAGCTAAATACGCTATTCTGCAGAACTATTTTTTTTAATGTGTTTGATGTACATTGCTATAGTAACTCCTGGACAGCCTCGTACTCCTGAGGTCAACACCATAACCAAGTCCACCATGGTGGTGGAATGGGACAAACCAGGTGTAGACGGAGGGAGCGATGTGATGGGCTACTACCTGGAGAGACGGGACAAGAAGAGCTTGCGCTGGATCCGAGTTTACAAAGACCCCGTCACTGGCATCAAACAGACCGTCTACCATCTAACAGAAGGAAACGAGTACCAATATCGCATCTGTGCCATTAACAAGGCCGGAGAGGGACCATTCTCCGATGCGTCAGACTACTACAAGGCTGCCGACCCAGTGGGTAAGTGGTCCAACATTCACAGATTTTCCATCATAAACGAGAGATTAATACGGTACACTTCCACTAAGCAAACAAATCCTGCTTACAGATCCACCAGATGAGCCTTGCAAGCTGAAGGTGATGGACTCCACCAAGACCTCCATCACCTTGGGCTGGTCCACGCCAGAATGGGATGGAGGCAGTGAGGTCACATGCTACATGGTGGAGAAGCTTGTAGAGGGAGAGACAGAATGGGCCATGGTTACCTCCAGGGGAGAGGTCAAGACCACAGAATACACAGTCCACGACCTAAAACCAAACGTCAACTACTTCTTCAGAGTCTCTGCTGTCAACTGTGCTGGCCATGGAGAGTCTCTGGCGATGATGGAGCCAACACAAGCCAAGGATATCCTGGGTAAATTAAGGATATATTTTGAAATTGAAATTGTGAAATGTGTTCAGTATGTGACATGTATGCCTGGTTTGTTTTTACATTGCTCAAATATAATAGTCCTTGTGTGACGATGGGTATTTTTCATGGTTTTCACAGAGGAGGCCCAGATCGACTCAGATGTGGCTATGAGAACACACTATATTGTGAAGGCTGGCAAGGATGTGGAGCTGTCGGTTCCTCTGAAGGGCAGACCTGCTCCCAGTGCTTCCTGGAGTAAGGGAGAAGAATGCATTGATCATGACCCCAAATATGAGTTCCACCACTCAGACACTGCTACGGTTCTTGTTATGCGTGAGGTGACCAAACTGGACACTGGAAAGTACACTGTGAAGATCGAGAATGGTGTCGGAGAGCCGAAGTTGCTAACCCTGCACGTGAAGGTTCAGGATACTCCAGCTCACTGCAGGAACCTGGTCCTTAAGGATGTGACCCGTGGGCTAGTCACTCTGTGCTGGGAGGCTCCACTTCTTGACGGCGGTGCTGAGATCACAAACTACATTGTTGAGAAGAGGGACTCCTCCAAGAGATCCTACTCTGCAGTGACAAGCAAATGCACGGACACCACATACACCATTGAAGACCTCTCAGAGAAGACATCCTTCTTCTTCCGCGTGTTGGCAGAGAATGAGAACGGTGTTGGAGATCCGTGTGAAACACTTGAGCCTGTGAAGGCAACAGAGACTCCAGGACCAGTCAAAGAGATTTCTATGAAGGATTCATCTAAGACCTCTGTCACTCTGCAGTGGCTTAAGCCTGACTACGATGGCGGCAGCATTATCTCTGACTATGTCATTGAGCAGAAGCTGAAGGATGGGGATTGGTCAATGGCAGGAACGAGCCGACAGTGTGAGTTTGAAGTCAAGAAACTCAAGGAGCACTCAGAAGTATTATTTAGAGTTGCTGCAAGGAATGAGAAGGGTAAGAGTGACTTTGTTGGGATTGGGCCTATCAAGGTTATTGACTACATCATCACACCTGAGGCAAACCTTGCAGAGTACCCAAGTGGCCGCCTCAATGTTCGTCTGGGTCACAATGTGCACATTGAGCTGCCATACGTAGGTAAACCCAAACCTTCTATCCTGTGGCTGAAGGACAACCTGCCTCTGAAGGAGAGCGACGTAATCCGCTTCAAAAAGACCGACAACAAAGCCACTCTAATGATCAAGAATGTAACCAAGGAGAACGAGGGTAAATACACTCTGACTCTTGACAATACAATCAGTAGGAAATCATTCCACATCCATGTCGTCACACTTGGACCTCCATCAAAGCCTGTTGGACCCATCCGCCTGGATGAAGTGAGAGCTGAGAGCATCATGATCTCCTGGGATGAACCCAACGACGACGGTGGTGGAGATATCTCCTGCTACGCCATAGAGAAACGTGATGCCACCCAGTCCAACTGGAAGATGGTCTGCTCAAGTGTGGAAGATACTCAGTTCAAGGTCCCCAACTTGATCAAGGGTGTCCAATACCAGTTTAGAGTTTGTGCTGAGAACAGATACGGAGTCAGCGACCCTCTCATCTCCCAGATGGTCATTGCCAAGCACCAGTTCAGGCCTCCAGGCCCCCCAGGCAAGCCCGTTGTGTACAACGTCACAAACGATGGCATGACCATCCAGTGGGAGCAGCCCATCTATGATGGTGGTACCCCCATCCAGGGCTTCCATGTGGAGAAGAGGGAGAAGAACAGCTTCATGTGGCAAAAGGTTAACACTGTGTTAATCAAAGAAACCAATTTCAGAATCTTGGAGCTTATAGAAGGTCTGGAGTACTACTTCAGAGTCTACGCACAGAATGATGCTGGCTTCAGTCGGATGAGTGATGAGAGCAAGCCAAACATGGCTGTCAGTCCTGTTGGTGAGTGGAGATTTTAATTTTATAAAAGCGAGAGTCCAATAAAGTATCGTAGCAAATTTAGTTTTGGACTAGAGTGAAAGCGCAAATGAAAATAATCATCCAATGTCCTGCAGATCCTCCTGGACAGCCCGACTACACGGATGTGACAAGTGACTCGGTCACACTGAAATGGGATGCTCCCAAACGCGATGGTGGTAGCAAGATCACCAGCTATAACCTTGAGAAACGGCAAGGACATGGACGCTGGTTCAAGGCCAACTTGACTGACGTGCACGACTGCCTTTACACCGTCACCGGGTTGGCAATGAACGAGCGCTACGAGTTCAGAGTGACCGCCCGCAATGCAATCGGGGTCGTCAGTCCTCCCTCCAACTCCTCTGGTTTGATTGTGGTTAGAAGTGAGAACGGTGAGTAAGAAGAACTTGGAGGATGAATATTAGCAGTTTAAATCTATTCTTTTGTTATTTGTCTTTGAGGAGGCAAGTTAAAGGCAAAATGCTGTACTTATCCATTCCCTTATCCTTTAAACTAGCTTCTCCAAACATTGAGTTTGGACCGGAGTACTTTGAGGGTCTGACAGTGAAAGCAGGAGACAACATCCGGCTGAAGGTGACCATCACCGGACGCCCCGTTCCCAAGGTTGTTTGGTTTAGAGATGGTGTGGAGGTCACCAAGAAGATGATGGACATCATCAACGTAGCTGGATCCAGCACCCTGTTTGTGAGGGACGCCGATCGTACACACAGTGGCCACTACACTGTGGAGGCTACTAATGGATCAGGAAGCAGGAAGGAGGGCATCCTTGTCCAAGTCCAAGGTACGCAGTTTTGACGTACTTACGCTTTATAACGCAGTGAAGTTGTACACCACTTTTTTATTTATTCATGTTATAACTTTAACCTCACACTCCCGTGTGATGCAGACACACCTGGGGAGCCGGTGGGACCCATAACTTTCAGCAACATTTCAGAAGGTAAATGCACTCTGACTTGGAACCCACCGGACAACGACGGCTGCTCAGAGATCACGCATTACATCATTGAGAAGCGTGAGACCGCCAAGATTTCTTGGTCTCTGGTGTCCGACGAATGTGCAGAGTGCACTTTCAATGTAACTAAGCTCATCAAGACCAATGAGTACCAGTTCAGGACTTCGGCTGTTAACAAGTTTGGAGTTGGTAGACCTTTGGAGTCCAGCCCCATCATTGCACAGATGCAATACAGTAAGTGGAAAGTTTTCTTTTTATATCCATTTTCTAGTTTTCTATATTTCGCAAATAATTTACCAATCTAACAAAATGTTTTCCTTCAGCTACTCCAGATGCTCCCGGCACTCCTGACGCCACTGAGACAACAGGAGAGAGCATCACACTGTTGTGGACTCCTCCAACATGTGACGGAGGAAACCCCATTCAGCATTACATCCTGGAGAAACGGGAAAAGAAGACTGTCAGATTCTATAAGGTGACAACCAAGAAGCCCGTCGTTGAATGTGCTCACAAAGTGCTTCACCTAACGGAGGACATGGAATACGAGTTCCGTGTCATGGCCGTAAATGACGCTGGTGTCGGAGCTCCAAGCAGCATCTCTATGCCCATCAAGGCTGCTGAGCCAAAGGACATTCCTTGTGCTCCATCTGTGGTCTGCGTGTCTGACTCCACCAACACTTCCATCAGCCTGGAATGGTCCAGGCCCGCAGATGACGGAGGCATGGTGGTCATGGGCTACATCGTTGAAATGTTGAAGGGAGAAGAAACTGAATGGAAGAGAGTAAACGAGGAGCTGGTGGCAGAAACAAATTACACGGTGACTGGTCTACAGACGGGAGCCGAGTACATGTTACGCATTGCAGCTGTAAATCATGTGGGCAGAGGCGATGCCACAGAGATTCCAGAGCCCGCTCGGGCTGCGGACAGACTAACACCACCACAGGTGGATCTGGACGCCACCTTCAAGCAGACACACATTGTCAAGCCTGGAGGCTCGGTTTGCTTGGGCATCCACTTCAGAGGAAAGCCAGTTCCCAATGCCACATGGGTAAAGGAAGAAGGCGAGCTGGGTGTCAAGTCAGAGGTCAACACTACAGATGGCTACAGTTCATTAATGATTGAAAACTGTTCAAGAAATGATACAGGCAAATACACTGTTAACCTTGAGAACGCTGGTGGGAGCAAGGCCGTTACATTCACAGTAAAAGTCCTGGACAGTCCTGGACCTCCACACGCTGTTGCCTTAAAGGAGGTGTCCAGAGGCTCGGTCACACTTATCTGGGAGCCTCCTCTCAATGATGGTGGAGCACGAATCCATCACTATATTGTTGAGAGGCGTGAGGCCAGCCGTCGCACATGGCTGCAGTCTGGTGGAAAATGCAAGCAGCAGTTCCTGAAGATACAGGACCTGCTGGAGGGAGTGCCATACTTCTTCAGGGTCTCGGCCGAGAACCAGAATGGCATGGGTGAAGCGTTTGAGCTCACTGAGCCCGTCATTGCCACTGCAGAGCCAGCATCGCCAAAGAGATTGGACATCCTGGACACGACAGACAACTCTGTGTCACTGGGCTGGCTGAAACCTGAGCACGACGGTGGGAGCCGCATCCAGTGCTACATCATCGAGGCCAAGGCAAAGGGTACAGACAAATGGGTAGTGGTTGCAAACACCAGTAATCTCACCTATGTGGTTGAAAAGCTCAACAAAGGCAACGAGTACGACTTTCGTGTGAAGGCCAAAAATGAATCGGGTTCCAGCACACCCAGGGAAACTCTGGCTCCAGTGATGGTCAAAGAGCCTCATATTGAGCCTGCTGCTGACCTCAGTGAGATCCCCAACCAGCTTGTCACATGTTGTTCTGGCAGAACCTTCATTATTGATGTTCCCATTAGTGGTAGACCTGCTCCTAAGGTCTCCTGGAAGCTGGAAGAGATGAGGCTAAAGAACTCAGACAGAGTCTCCCTCCAAACAACAAAGGACAGAACCAGTATCTCAGTTAAGGAGGCCATGAGAGGAGATGGTGGTAAATATTACCTGACTCTGGAGAACGTGGCAGGAACCAGGACCTTCACTATTGAAGTTAATGTCACTGGCAGACCCAGTCCTCCAACCGGACCCATCGAAATCTCATCCATTACATCCGAGTCCTGCGTGATTGACTGGCAACCACCAGAGGATGACGGTGGCACTGAAATCACCAACTACATCGTGGAAAAGCGTGAGTCTGGCTCCACTGCCTGGCAGCTGATCAACTCCAGCGTGAAGAGCACATCTCTCAATGTCAGTCACTTGACCAAGTACATGCAGTACACATTCAGGGTCTCTGCTGAGAATAGATTCGGTGTGAGCAAGCACACCGAGTCGGAGACTATTGTTGCAGAGCATCCTTTCAGTAAGTACTACTTCCCAAACCTTTTAAGAAAATTGACTTTTGTTTTATATAATAGATGCAGATTTTAAGCTTTTCTCAGACTGTCAATATCTGTAAAAAGTATTTCACTGAATCAGGCTGACATTAAAAGGGACTGTGACAATTTGACAAATTGTCAAATTTCATTACAGCACCTCCTGGACCTCCTACAAGGCCTTCGGTCTTCAATGCCACTTCCAACACAATGACCCTAAAATGGGAGGAGCCCTACCATGATGGCGGAAGCAAGGTGACAGGCTACTGGATCGAGAAGAAGGAAAGGAATAATATCCTGTGGGTGAGGGAGAACAAGATCCCTTGTTTCGAGTGCTACTGCAACATGGAAGGCCTTGTTGAAGGCCTAGAGTACCAGTTCAGGGTTTACGCCATGAACAGTGCCGGGCTAAGCAAAGCCAGCGAGGCCTCCAAGGGAGCAATTGCTCAAAACCCAGTTGGTGAGTATTTACAGTTTAGGATAACACTATCCAGAGGTGTTTTAGATATTACTCCATAAATCTGACATGTTTGATCTGTTTTTTAGATTCACCAAGTAAGCCAGAAGTCACAAATGTCACAAGAACCACTGTGTCCCTCAAATGGTCGGCTCCACTGAACGACGGTGGTAGTCCGATTGCAGGCTACATCATTGAGCGTAAGCCGTACACATTGACCGGTGAAGGCCGCTGGCTCAAGTGCAACTACACAAATGTGATGGACACTTTCTACACGGTTACCGCCCTGGGAGAAGGAGAGCCCTATGAGTTCAGAGTCATCGCCAAGAATGTCAACCAGGTATTCAGCATCCCCTCAGAGTCCACCGGCTCTGTGCAGTGCAAGACCGACTTTGGTAAGATTCACCACTTGAATTACTTACCAAACAATAACATTGAAGTCTAGTCTGTCCGGCTGAGTTAGCGTGATCAACACCTTAAGGCTTAAGACATAGAATTAATTCAATTGTGCCTTTTTCCACCCAATAGAGCCTCCAAAGGCCCAGCTGGACAGCAAACTCCTGACTGAGACCGTCCAGGTCAGAGCCGGTTCAGACCTGGTTCTGGATGCGGCAGTGGGAGGCAGACCGGACCCCAAGGCTTCCTGGTCGAAGGGCACCAGGGATCTGGAGTTGTGTGAAAAGTACAACCTGCAGTACACAGCCACCAAGGCCATGGCCATCATCAAGTTCTGTGACAGAGATGACACCGGAAAGTACATCCTCACCGTCCGTAACGTTAGCGGAACGAAGACTGCTGAGGTCAACGTCAAAGTGCTTGGTAAGAGAGATCGCTTGCAATATACTTTAAGTATTAGTTTGCAGTAGTTATCTGAAGAGTCTCAAAAATATCTGTTTTTCCAGACACCCCCGGCGTTTGTGAAGGTTGCATTGAGATCAGCAAGATCACAGAGGAGTCGTGTGTACTGAGCTGGAAGCCTCCTCTCGAGGACGGCGGCGACGAGATCTCCCACTTCATTGTTGAGAGGAGAGACACCAACAGACTCAACTGGGTCATCATGCACGCTGAGTGCAAAGAGCCGACATGCAACATCACGGGCCTGTTCAAGAACACAGAGTACCTGTTCAGGGTCCGGGGAGTAAACAAATACGGAGCCGGAGTCCACTTGCAGTCGGAGCCTATGGTCGCCAGAAACACTTTCAGTGAGTGATTATTGTTGATAATATTTCCAAAATCTAAAAGTAATATACCAATGGACTTAAAGATAAAAGAGTGAATTAAATACTCATATTGTCCAACACTTGAAACCCCTTTCCCCTCCCCCAGCTGTGCCAACCCCTCCTGGTTCTCCAGAGATCCTGGTGTCAGGAGAAGACTTTGCCACCATTGAGTGGCTGAAGCCAGAGAGTGATGGCGGCAGCCCACTCGTCCACTACCTTGTGGAGAGGCGCGAGAGAAAGAGTGCCCGCTGGGTAAAGGTGAACAGGGATGGGGCTTTCCTAGACACCACGCTGAAGGTGTCGGGTTTGACCGAAGGCAACATCTACCAGTTCAGAGTGACGGCCATCAACAAGGCCGGAGAGAGCGAACCCAGCGAGGTCTCTCTGTACGTTGTTTGCAGAGAGCCAACATGTAAGTGAGATCTTTATAGGTCTTTTGTCACATGACTAATAGGTAAAAACGTCTACGAACAAGGTAGAGCCTTATAAACATACCAGACCTATTAATCCTGATTCCTGTATACTCTCCTTTCAGGCACCCCTGCTCCTCCTTCCATCCCTCGTATCACCGACACTCACGCCGACAGCATCAGCCTAGCCTGGTCCCGCCCCGTGGACGACGGAGGAGCTGATGTGATGGGCTACATCCTGGAGATGCAGGAGGCCGGAGCTGAGGAGTGGAAGAAGGCCCACGAAAAGACGCTACGTGCTGCAGAGCACGTAGTGACTGGACTTTCAGAGGGCAAGAAGTACTGCTTCAGAGTGGCCGGCTTCAACATCAACGGCACAGGAGACTTCAGTGAACCATGCGCTGAAACTGAGCCAGTAGAGAGAATCGGTAAGGAAACTGGAAAAACAAACATCTGATACATTGATAGAGAGGAATGAGATAGAAAATATGTACCTTCATGAATCAGGAAACATTTATTGCCATAATATGTCAGACATACAAGGAATTTGACTTGGTGGTTAGTGCATAACAGCAGACGACGACAAGACAACAGTGCAAGAGGAATAAAATAAAATATAATGCTAGGGGTTAGTAATATAAGGCTATGGATTAGTTTAAAAATAAACGAATAAAAGCTAAAAGTTAAAAATGTTAATAAATAAAGTGCACCAGCGAACAGAAAGTGATAAGTGAAAGTGACGTGTGCAGTGTGAAAGAAAGTGTCCGTTGGAATGTTGGAATGTCGTGTGGCGGGAGGTCTTAGTCCTGATGGACCTCATCCTCCTGCCAGATGGAAGGGGCACAAACAGTTTTTGTCCGAGGTGAGAAGGGTTGGCTACGATCTCTTTAGCTCGCTTAAGGGTCCTGGAAGCGAACAAGTGCTGCAGGGACGGCAGATTGCAGCCCATCCTCTCTGTAGAGCGGATGACACGCTGCAGCCTGCCCTTGGATGTGGCTGCAGCGTACCAGACGGTGATGGAGGAGCAGAGGATGGACTCCATGATGGCCGTGTAGAAGTGGACCATCATCGTCTTTGGCAAGTTGAAATTCTCCCACTGCCTCCAGAAGAACAACCTCTGCTGAGCCTTCTTGGAGCGGATGTTCTGGGTGATGATGGAGCCCAGGAAACGGAAGGAATCCACAGTGGTGACTGGGGAGTCACACAGGGTAATGGGGGAAGGTGGGACTCTGTTCTTCCTGAAATCCACAACCATCTCCACCGTCTTTAGAGCGTTGAGCTCCAGGTTGTTCTGACTGCACCATGACACCAGATGGGCAGACTCATCCCCACCAGAGATCAGTCCAATGAGGGTGGTGTCATCCACAAACTTCAGGAGCTTGACGGACTGGTGACTGGAGGTGCAGCTGTTGGTGTACAGAGTGAAGAGCAGAGGGGGAAAGAACGCAGCCTTGGGGGGAACCGGTGCTGATGGTCCGGGAGGCTGAGACATGTTTCCCCAGCTTCACGTGCTGCTTCCTATCGGACAGGAAGTCTGTGATCCACTTGCAGGTGGAGTCGGGCAGTGTAGTTTGTCCTGCAGCAGAGACGGGATGATGGTGTTGAAGGCAGACCTGAATTCCACAAACAGGATCCTGGCGTAGGTTCCTGGGGAGTCCAGATGATGGAGGATGTAGTGGAGGGCCATGTTAACTGCATCATCTACAGACCTGTTGGCTCTGCAGGCGAACTGCAGGGGGTCTGGGAGGGGGTCAGTGGGGGTCTTCGGGTGGGACAGGACTAACCACTCAAAAGACTTCATGACTACAGAGGTCAGGGCGACGGAACAGGGATGATGGTGGAGGCCTTGAAGCAGGCTTGTACGTAGCATGTCTCCAAGGGGCTGTTGAAGATGACAGTGAACACCGGAGACAGCTGGTCAGCACAATGCTTCAGGGTGCGGGGAGAGACGGAGTCCGGGCCGGCTGCCTTACAGGGTTTTTGTCTTTCAAAGAGCCGGTTAACATCTCTCTCCAGAATAGAGAGGGTTGTTGCTGGTGAGGCGGGGGGCGAAGGTGATACAGAAGCATGAGCCCCTGATGGGCTGGTGGAGGGGGGGCTGGGGCAGGTTGGTGGAGCTGTGGGGATGGAGTCAGGACATTGTCTATGCAAATCTGCAGTAGAACTCTTTCTGCCAGGCGGAAGTCATTCATTCATAATACTGCTAAAAAGCTAACATGTACACTAGGTTTACTATTTTCAATAAATTGAACATACGTATTTCATTGTTTGTTAGCATTTACTATGGAAAACATTGAAAATAACATATTAATTATTTCCCCCAGAAATTCCTGACTTCGAGCTCCATGATGACCTGAAGAAGACCATCTGCCTACGCGCTGGTGGATCCCTCCGCCTGTTCGTGAATGTTAGCGGTCGTCCCGTTCCCGCCATCACTTGGAGCAAACCAGGTGCTGACCTCCACAACAGAGGCTTCATCGACATCACAACCGGATCTACCACACTCATCATCGATAGGGTCCACCGCTACGACGCCGGCAAGTACACATTGGTGGCGGAGAATTCTGCCGGGAAACAGGAAGTCAACATTCTGGTGAAGGTCTATGGTAAGTCAATGGATTGAATTCATACATACATACATGGGGGCTTCGATTTTAAGACTTGTTCTAGAACATTAAGATATAATCTGACACAGGAGCTTTTGGAAGTGTTATATATTGACAAAGTATTATTTCATTGTTAGATACTCCTGGACCAACTGGAACAATTAAGATTAAGGAGCTTACCAAAGAGTCTGCAACCATTTCTTGGGAAGCCCCAACTGTTGATGGCGGTGCTCCTGTTAACAACTACATCATTGAAAGGCGTGAGGCCTCCATGAGGGCCTACAAGACAGTCACCTCCAAGTGCAGTAAGACCTCTTACAAGATCGACGGCCTCATGGAGGGCATGCTGTACTACTTCCGGGTCCTCCCAGAGAACATCTATGGCATCGGTGAGCCGTGCGAGACTCCCGACGTCATCCTGGTGTGTGAGGTGCCTCTGCCGCCACGCAAACTGGAGATGATGGACGTCACCAAGAGCACCGTAACCCTGGGCTGGGAAAAGCCCGAGCACGATGGCGGCAGCAGACTGACGGGCTATGCCATCGAGGCCAGCAAGTTTGGCACCGACAAGTGGATGAAGGTGGCCACACTGAAGACCACTGACTTTGAACACACCATCGAGAAGCTGAACGAGGGCGAGCAGTACTTGTTTAAAATCAAAGCAATCAACAGTAGAGGAGCCAGCGAGCCCAAAGAGCTGGTTACTGCCATCACTGTACAAGAACAGAGAGGTAACAGTTAAACACAGCCTGTTTCAAGCAGAAACATTTTGTAAAAACATTGCCCTCTTTTTAATCAAGCTGATGTGAAAGAGGAAGAGAGCAAAATGCACGCTTATCAAGGAAACCGGGAAGCTGCTACTTTGGTCTGCAGATATACAACAACAAGTACAATGTAAACTAATAGTTCAATTTCTATCTCCTTTTCTTCTCCAGTAATGCCCATGGTGGACTTCTCCAGTATTCCTCAAAAGGTTGTCAAGGTTGTGGCCGGCAAGACTCTGGAGTTGGACTTGCCTCTCGTTGGCAGGCCTCCTCCAGTCTGCTCCTGGTACTTCAGAGATAACAAGATGAAAAACACAGATCGCGTCAAGATCAAGAGCACCGGCAAGTTCTCCAAGCTAACCGTGTCTGAAACCACCATCGACGACTCTGGTGACTACTCGCTGGAGGTGAAGAATGTTGTGGGTGTCATTACCGAGGTCATCAAGATCATCATCCTCTGTAAGGAACTATCCATCTTTTGTTTCTTAGTTTCATAAAAAATTGCTGATGCTCATCAATGCTGCTGCTTCCAATAAAGTCATTTCTAAATGTACAACATTAAGGTTTCAGGCCACCACATCGGCTATAACAATCACTCCTGTAAATCCCCTTTTACCAGCTAAACCTGATGAACCAACCGGACCGTTCAGGATTGATGAAATCGACGCAACCACCGTCAGCTGCAGCTGGGATCCTCCAGCCAGAGATGGCGGAGCTCCCATCAGTGGCTACACAGTAGAGCAGCGTGATGCTCACAGACCCGGCTGGGTGCCTGTCTGCGATTCTGTCAGCCGACCCACCTTCAAGTTTGAGAAACTGATTGAGGGAGATGAGTACGTCTTCCGTGCAGCTGCCATGAATCGCTATGGCACTGGAGAATTCCTTCAATCTGAGATCATCACCTGCAAGAGCTTGAAGAGTAAGACTTTTAAAAAGGTTACAGAATTATTATAATAGACACCGTGTCAACAGAGGTATGGTAACATGTTTCTCTTTCTCCTCCCCCGGCAGATGTTCCCGGACCTCCCGGCCGTCCAACCATCTTCGATGTTTCTCGTGACGGCATGACCGTGGCCTGGAACCCGCCAGAAGAAGGCGGTGGTCTTGAGGTTTCTGGATACATTATTGAGCGCAAAGAAGTCCGGTCAGACAGATGGGTGCGTGCCAACAAGAATCCCATCACTATGACCAGATACAGGTCAACAGAGCTCATCGAGGGCCTGGAGTATGAACACAGAATCATTGCCATCAATGTTAGAGGACACAGCAAACCAAGTCTGGTCTCCAAACCAGCAGTGGCAACAGATCCCATCGGTAAGACAAACGTTTCAAAGACAACCTAGTTACATTTGAACCGCTTGTTAAGCAAAACGCACCGGGACTCTATGAGTGCCCGCTCGGTCAGCTCAGCCCCCCCACCTCCCTTGTCGACCGTAGCGAGACACAGACTCACTACATCTTTTGTGAAAGTGAAACTGACATGCTCCTCTTCCCCGCTCAGATCCACCTGGCTGTCCTCAGAACCCGAGGATCACAGATACCACCAAGTCTTCTGTGTCACTGGCATGGAGTCCTCCAGATGATGAGGGAGATGCCCGGCTGGATGGTTACCTGATTGAGATGCAGAAGGTGGGAACCATACCTTGGATCAAGTGCAACACCACGCCATCTTTAATCTGCGAGTACACATTGACCAAAATGCCACAAGGAGAGGAGTTCAAATTCCGTGTGATGGCTTGTAATGCCGGCGGCTCCGGAGAACCTGCTGAAGTTCCTGGAACTGTGTCTGTGACTGAGATGCTTGGTAAGAATTTAGGTTACATTAACTGCTGTCTTTTGTACTTCAACATCACAGAGAATTAACTTTTATATCTGTCAATATCCTCCAGAATCTCCTGACTACGACCTAGAGCTGAAATACAAAGATGTGTACGTTGTACGCCACGGAGGTGTGGTTAGACTCTCCGTGCCCATCAAGGGTAAACCTCATCCATCCTGCAAATGGTCCAAGGATAGCAGTGCAGTCTCCACCAAGGCCATGATTGCCTCAACGGAGGACGCGAGTGAGTTAGTGATTAAGGGAGCCGAAAGGAGTGATTCTGGAGTGTACGAGCTCCTGTTGGAGAATAGGGTTGGCAAGAAAAAGGCCCAAATCAAGGTGAAGGTCATTGGCCGCCCATGTGCTCCGGAGGGACCAATGGTCTTTGAGGAAATTCAGGCCAACTCTGTCAAGGTCACCTGGAAGATGCCCGCAGACAACGGTGGCTCAGAGATTCTGGGTTACATCGTAGAAAGACGCGAGGCGGCCAGAAATGCCTGGTACACTGTGGACTCTAGAGTGACCGACACTCAGCTGGTCGTCAAGGGCCTGAAGGAGGGTACGGAGTACCACTTCAAGGTCACAGCCGAAAATTCCTTTGGTATCAGCGCCTCTCTGAAGTCAGAGCAGCCACTGGTACCCAAGACTCCTCTCTGTAAGTATTTCTCTTTGTCATTCTTAAGTTTCCTTTGATCAGTATTAGAGACTAAAAAAAACCCTCACCATTGTTTTAAACTAGCTCCCCCTGAGCCTATAAGCACCCAACCAGAGATCATGGACGTCACCAAGAGTTCAGTGGCGTTGGCCTGGTCCAGACCAAAGGAAGACGGTGGTTCTGCCATCACTGGCTACTTTGTTGAGTACAAGGTTGTGTCCGCTGAAACATGGTCCCGACACCAGACCAAGATCACTTCCAGCATGTTTACCCTGCCCGGACTTACCCCCGATGCAGAATACCAGTTCCGCATTGTTGCTGTCAACAACATCGGTGAGAGCGAGGCTGGTCTTGTGTCTGACCCGGTCACATGCAAGGATCCATTTGGTGAGTCTCCACTTAATTAAAAGCTTTGCTACAGTTAATGGGACTTTCTCCAATCAATGAGTTAATCAAGTAGACCTATACTGTCACTCTTTCACTTTCGCTCAGAACGTTTTTAAAAAACAGCATCAGAATAAAAAGGCAAATTGTTTTTTGATGTCATTCAGTCACGAAATTGAATTGTTTCTTTCCTTCCAGACAAACCAAGTCAACCAGGCGAAATTGACACAGTGAACGTGACAAAGAACTTCATCACCATCCGCTGGCAAGCTCCAGAGTGCGATGGTGGAAAGGAGGTCATGGGCTACTGGGTGGAGTACAGGAAGTCCATTGAGAGTAACTGGAAGAAGTCCAACAAGCAGAGGCTGAAAGAAAAAGAGTTTACCGTGCCTGGACTGGCTGAAGCAACAGAGTACGAATTCAGAGTGTTTGCTGAGAATGAGACCGGAATGAGTAGACCTCGTAGGACTGCCACGTGCATCAAGACCAAACTGAGTGGTGAGTACACTGAAGTATACTGGGGGGATCTTTTTGTAAGCATTTCCCCAACCTGCTCTTCTAAAGTAACCGTTACTATGAGACATTACAAAATGTAGCACACTTTCCCCAAATATTCATTCTGGTTTTGTATGTGCAGTTGAAACTAAACCAGGCCTGAGAAAGGAAATGGATGAAGTGACTGCCAAGCTTGGCCAACCTGCCGTCATGAAGTGCCAGATTATTGGCAGACCTCTCCCCGATATCAAGTGGTACCATGCCGGCAAGGAGATTGTTGAGTCCCGCAAGTATGAGATGAGCTCCGACGGCCGCAACCACTCGCTTTCCATTATGACGGACCAGCAGGAAGATGAGGGTGAGTACACCTGCAAGGCCATCAACGACGCCGGAGAAGCCGAGACCACGGGCCCTCTGGTGCTGGAGGCTGCTGCATCCTTTCACCCTGATTACCCGCTAAAGGAAACCTACTTCGCCGGCCTGGGGTCCACTTTGCGTATCCATGCCGTCTACATTGGCCGTCCAGAGCCAAAGATCATGTGGCTGCATGGAGCAAAGACCCTGGAGAACACAGAGGACCTCAGCATCGAGACCACTGAATATTACACACACCTGGTGATCAAGAATGTGCAGCGCAGAATTCACGGCGGGAAATACAGGATCAGACTGCACAACCACTTTGGCAGAGCTGACGCCGCATTCAATGTCGAGATTTACGGTATGTTGGTGTCCATTAATTGAAGTACGTGCCTAAGAGTGATAGAGTGATAGATTTATAAATTACACAATACTGTTTCCAGACAAACCTGAGATGCCTCAGGGTCCCATTGTGCTGGATGCTCTCTGAAGAACTCCGTCATAATCAGCTGGAAGGGCCCCGCAGGACGACGGTGGCTGCATGATCACCAACTACATTGTGGAGAAACGGGAGGACAAGGACTGCACTGAGTGGGAACTAGTGTCGTCATCCATTAACGGCATATCTTGCCGCGTACCCAACCTCGTTGACAGCGCAGGGTACTTCTTCCGTGTGTACGCCCAGAATCGCTATGGCAACAGTGAACCACTGGAACTTGCGTCCCCAATCCTTATCAAGAGCCAGCCTGGTAAATAAATGCTTCAGAATACTTTATAATGTCATGTTTCACAATGTGAGATCAAAGACAATTTTAAAAGATGCAAACGTTTTGACAATGGTTTGTGATTTCTATATTCCGGTACACAGAGAAACCATCACCACCTCTGTCACCAGTTGTTTCTGGAATCACCAAAGACTCCTGTGTGGTTTCCTGGAAGCCTCCACTTAGCGATGGCGGGTCCAAGATCAAGAGCTACTGCCTTGAGAAGAAGCACAAGATGGACAAGAAGGAATGGAGCAGTTGGACTCCGGTAACCACTGATGAGATCAAACAGACGGTGATCTCCGTCAAGCATCTGACCGAAGGTGCCGAGTGCATCTTCCGTGTAAAGTGTGAGAACCTTGGTGGACAGAGCAACTACAGTGAGGAGACTGCTCCTATTGTTCCAGCCACAGCTTTAGAGATTCGTGCTCCTGCTTTTAAAGAGGAGCTGAGGAACATGAGCGTCAAGTACAAGAGCAACGCTACCCTCGTCTGCAAGATCATAGGGCAGCCGAAGCCTGTGATTAAATGGTTTAGACGAGGAAAGGAGATTCCCTCTGATGGCAAGAAGATTAAGATACAAGAGTTCAAGGGAGGCTACCACCAGTTGGTCATCACTGAGGCTGATGAGGAAGACTCCACTGTGTACCAGATCAGAGCCACCAATCAGGGAGGTTCCATTTGTGCTACAGTCTCTCTGGATGTGGAAGGTAAGCACAAAGATACCCACCTTTTCCAACTAAATCTTTTCTAATACTGAAATGTGAAACCAATACATATCAAACTCAAACAATTTCTCTCATTTCCAGTCCCTGCCAAGATTCACCTCCCGAAGAACCTGAAGGACAAAGAAGCCATCCCTGCCCTGCGTGGAGAGCTGATCAACATCAAGATTCCTTTCAGTGGCAAACCAGATCCTGTCATCACATGGCAGAAGGGACAAGATCTTATTGACAGCAATGGCCACTACCAGGTCATTGTCACCAGATCGTTTACCTCTTTGGTGTTTACCAATGGAGTCGAGAAGAAGGATGCCGGTTTCTACATTGTCTGCGCCAAGAACAGATTCGGCATTGACCAGCAAACGGTCGAGCTGGACGTAGCCGACGTTCCCGATCCTCCGCGTGGAGTCCAAGCCAGTGACGTCTCCAGAGACTCGGTCACGCTGAACTGGGTGGCCCCGGCCAACGACGGAGGCAGCAGGGTCATTAGCTACATCATTGAGAAGTGCCCCACCACTGCCGAGCGGTGGGAGCGTGTTGCCCAGTCCCGTGACACCCACTATACAGTGATCAATCTCTTTGGAGGTACCAGCTATCAGTTCAGAATTATCGCCGAGAATAAATTTGGACAAAGTGCTCCATCTGAGTCCAGTGGACCAGTGATGACCAAAGAGGACAAATCAAGAGTTCTGCTCTATGATAGGGAGGTTGACGACAGTGGCCACGTCCCCAGGGGCAAGGTTCACTCTGAGGCCAAGAACATGCACAACAAATATGCCATTGCAGAGGAATTGGGCAGAGGTCAGTTTGCCATTGTCCACCGCTGTGTTAACATTAGCTCTGAGAAGACCTACATGGCTAAATTCTTCAAGGTGAGAGGCGCCGATCAAGCAATTGTCAAGAAGGAATCGCCACATTGAATCTTGCCGAACATACCAACTACCTTCTCCTCCACGAGTCTTTCGAAAGCCCTGAGGAGCTGGTGATGATCTATGACTTTATCTCTGGCGTTGACATTTTCGAGCGCCTCAACACAGCTGATTTTGAGCTTAATGAGCGGGAGATTACTAATTACATCAGGCAGATCTGCTCAGCGCTTGAGTTTCTGCATGCTGAGAGCTTTGGTCACTTTGATATCAGACCAGAAAACATTGTGTACACAACTAGAACCAGCTGTAATGTAAAGATTATTGAGTTGGGCCAGTCCAGACACCTGACTCCTGGAGACCAAATAAAGATCCAGTATACCACTGCAGAGTATGCTGCCCCTGAGATCCACCAGTCTGACATGGTTAGCACCGTTACTGACATGTGGTCGGTTGGTGTCCTCGCCTATGTGCTCCTCAGTGGACTGAATCCATTCACAGCTGAGACCAACCAACAGATGATTGACAACATCTCAAACGCTGCTTATAGCTACGACGATGAGTCCTTCAAGCAGGTCAGTGTTGATGCATTAGACTTTACCGATCGCTTGATGACAAAGGAACGAAAGCATCGTATGTCTGCTGCTGAGGCTCTGGCACATGCGTGGTTAACCAAACCCGCAGAGGAGATCAGCACCAGGGCCATCCAGACCGTAAGACACAAGAGGTACTACCAGACAATGGTGAGGAAAGAGTGGAAAACTGTTGTCTCTGCAGCTCGCTTGGCCAGCGGAGGCTCCATCAGGTCCCAGCGTGGCGTCTTCGTCTCCAAGGTGAAGATCGCGCCGTTTGAACACGGTCCTGTTGGAGGCCAGGTCGGTCATGTAGTGGGGAATGAGGGAGACATTGTGAAATTCATCTGCAACATTGAAAACTACGATAGCACGACTGAAGTGACCTGGTACTGTGGCGTCAGGCAGCTTGAGGCTGGTGACAAGTATGAAACCGAGTATGAGGATGGCCTGGCTGTGATCACCATCAACAAGGTCACAAGAGCAGATGACGGCACGTACAGATGTAAGGTCGTAAATGAGTATGGTGAGGATAGTGCTTATGCAGAGCTGTTCGTCAACGGCGTTAGATCTTACCGTGATTTCTTCACCACCCGAGTCGTCAAAAAGACAAAGCGCAGAGTCGACACTGCCAGAATGCTTCAGAAGCCACCGGAGTTCACCCTTCCTCTGGTCAATCGCACATCCTACATTGGTGAGGATGTGCGCTTTAGCGTAACCATCACCGTTCACCCTGAACCGCGTGTCGTCTGGCACAAATCCGGACAGAAGCTCATCCCTGGAGAAGATGACAAAAAATACACTTTCATCAGCGACAAGGGTCTGTACCAAATGATTATCCACAAACTTGAGAATGAGGATGATGCAGAGTACAGCGTTGTGGCCCGTAACAGGTTTGGGGACGACAGCTGCAAGGCCCGCCTTACCGTTGTTCCTCGACCTAAACCGGCAGACCTCACCCTGAGGCCCATGTTCAAACGTCTGCTCGCAAATGTCGAGTGCAGAGAGGGCCAGAATGTACGCTTTGAGATTAGAGTATCGGGCCATCCTGTCCTGAAGTGGGAGAAGGATGGCATGCCTTTAGCCTTCGGACCATCTATTGAGGTTGTGCACGAGGGTCTGGATTACTTTATCCTTCATGTGAGAGATACTCTCTCCGAGGACTCTGGTGTGTACAGAGTGACTGCGACCAATTCGGCTGGATCTGCTAGTTGCCAGGCAACACTCAAAGTAGAACGGGTCACCCATGTGAAGAAGGAATATGAGCCCAGTGAAAAGGAGAAGAAGTTAATGGCTGGGAAGATGGAGTTAGATAAGAAGGTTCGTCTGTCACAGATTTTGGCCGACACCGTTTTCATACCTTTACCACCGGCAGCAGTGCAAGCTGTCAGGGAGGCAGCCACCATGTTCAAACCCGCTGTGACGACTAAGAAGGGCGAGAAGACCGAGGCTGAGATACAGAAAGAAAAACAGGAGAAGAAGAAACGGGCTGATGAGAAGAGGCTGCGTATGCCCTATGACGTGCCGCCTCCTCGGGTCATGAACCCAGCGGCTCTTGAGGAGGATATAGAAATAAAACACTTCCAGCCACTCTCTGACATGAAATGGTACAAGACACTGCGGGATCAGTACGAGTTCCCTGAGCCTATGGATAAAATCAAGCAGAAGAGAATGAAGCGTATCCGCCTCTCCAGGTGGGAGCAGTTCTACGAGGTGCCCATCCGGATTAAGGACCACTATAAGCCTAAATGGCGCATCTCGCTCTTGACTCAGGATGACTTGGAGACTGTGAGGCCTGCAAGGCATCGCACCCCTTCCCCTGAGATGGAGGCCTACCACAGGATCAGGAGGAGGTCCCTGGGCGACCTGTCGGACGAGGAGCTACTGCTTCCTGTGAATGAATACCTGTCCATGAAGAGAACTGAGGAGGAGAGGCTGCGTCTGGAGGAAGAGCTGGAGCTTGGTTTCTCGGCTTCTCCACCGAGGCACAGTCCTGTTCGCTTTGAACTGTCCGCCCTGCGTCCTTCCTCTCCGAGAAAGGTCTACAGTGATGACCCAGAGGAAGACAAAATCTACAGATATGACTCCTACCGGATTCCGTCTAAATACGATGCTGGCACAAGTTTTGTTGACCTCCGCCAGCGTCACGACAAAGCCACATACAAAGCTCCAAGACAGAATCAGAAGGTGTATGATGAGAGGGAGGAACAGGAGCTGCTGCGCCCACACACAACCGCTCAGAGAATGTCCGCTTACAAGAGTGAAATCAAGCGCATGGAGTTTGAGGAGAAGACTCGGACATTAAAAAAAGAATCAACCAACACTTTAGCAAAATTCTCTGAGGCCATTGAATCTGAGCACCTGACATCTTTCACCCGCGAATATGTTCCTAAACCAATCAAGAAGCTCCAAATACCTGAACCTGTCAGAAGAACTACGACCCCAGATCAGGCTGCCAAGACTGAAGTGACCGTTCCTGAGGTGGACTTTGCCTCCAGGTATGAGGAGAGAAAGCAGGCTCTAAGATTAGAGAGAAGATCGGTGGAGAGGACCATTAAGGTGGGGACACAGCCTCCATTCAGCCTTGACCACACCCCACGTATTACAATCAGGCTGCGATCTCATCGAGTACCTCACGGCTCCGTCACAAAATTCACCCTGAATATCCAGGCCAAACCAGAGCCTCAGGTCAAGTGGTTCCACAATGACAAAGAGATCCATCAGACCAGCAAATACCACATGACTAACATCAATGGGGTTCTGACTCTCAAGATCAGCAACTGTGAGACTGAAGACTCCGGCACTTACCGCGTGGTTTGCAAGAATGCCAAAGGGGAAACTTCTGACTATGCCACATTGGATGTAGCAGGAGCAGAATATGCTGCCTTCTCTTCATTCCGCAAAGACGAGGAGCCTCCATCCTCCCACTTGCCAGAAATGACCAGAACAGAGGTTTATCACGTCTCCTCCTCTCAGACAATGGTTAAGGAAAGTTCTACTGAAACTTTGAAAAAGTCCACCACCGTTGTTGAAAAGTCTAGTGTTCCTGCCAAGATCCTGAGCAAGCCCCAATCCCTGACTGTGGAGGAGGGAAGTCTCGCCAGGTTTGAGTGCGATGTGGATGGCGAGCCAGCACCTTCTATCACCTGGCTGCACGAAGGAGAAGTTATTGGTTCCTCTGTCCGACATCACATTGTCTCCACTCAGTACAACTCTTCTTTCGAGATCTCAGCTGTTGAGGCGTCAGATGAAGGCAGCTACACTCTGCTGGTGGAAAATGCCGGAGGCAAACAAGAGACCCAATTCTCTCTGGCCATTCGCAAGTCTGAGTCCATGGAGAAGGTGGTCGCCCCTCCCAGGATCACCTCCCCAGAGGCAAAGTCGCCTCTTACAAAGTCCCCTGAACCGGTGAAATCTCCTCTAAGGGTCAAGTCTCCCGAACCAATTAAGTCACCTCAGAGAATCAAGTCACCGGTCTCACCAAAGTCCCCAACTCCCAAATCCCCAACTCCAACCGAGAAGGAATGGTGCACTTCTCCAATCAAGTCACCAAAGAGCGTGATGTCACCAACTCTCGAGACGAAGCTGTCCTTCTCCGTCGGGCTAAGCGACGTCACTGCCGCCTCCAACTCCATCGTCAAGCTCTCTGTGAAGGTGACAGGAGATTCCAAACCCACCATCTCATGGATGAAGGATGGAGAGGTAACTGATTATAACCATTTAAAATGTTCTACTGTTCATATACAAAAGTGTCATTTGAGTTGGTGAGTAACTGAATCATATTGTCACGATTTACAGGCTTTGTCTCAGGGAGGAAAGTATGACATTTTTGAGAAGCATGGCTCAGCTTATCTGGAGATCTATGAAATGGAGGTCTCTGATAGCGGGCTGTACAAGTGCACCGCCAGCAATGGTGCTAGAGTAGTGTCGACCAGCTGCACAGTCACTGTACAAGGTAGGAACACACTTGCTGGTGGAAGCAAGTAGCCCGAATAAACCCTGCAGCTTAAAGCATTCTGATTGTTTCCTAACGCTTCCATTTATTTCCCCTCTTCAGGCTCAAAAAGCTGCAACACCAAAGCGGAAGTCTCAGAGGAAGTCATGAAACAGGAAATAGTCCACGATGAGGTCCTGTCCGCTGTGGAGGAGGCGAAGGTCCATTGTCCATTTGATAGGACGGTCGTGTCCGAGCAGTCGGACGCGCCACAGATCCTGGTTCGGCCCAGATCCCAGAACGTCAACGAGGGCCAACGAGTCAAATTCACGTGTGAACTTGTAGGAGATCCTTCCCCCAAGGTGGAGTGGTTAAAAGACAACATGACGGTGAGTAGTCTACTGAAAGTAATTTGTGGTCTATTTATTGGGTAAATTTATTTAAAGAGAAATAGTGAACACAACTTTCTCTTTGCAGATATCTGTGTCGTCCAACGTGAGACTGAGCACGTCCCTGGCTGTGCACACTCTGGAGATCTGTGAAGCCACGGTGGCAGACAGTGGGAAATACACCATAAAAGCCACCAATCAGTTCGGGCAGTGCTCCGCGACGTCCTCTCTCAGCGTAACCAGTGAGTTTCTGCTGCGTCTAAACTAACACGGTTACACACTCTGTGTCTAACATGTCGTCTGCCCTACACCAAAGAAACCCTTAACATTCCACTCAAAGGACAGAGCTTGAGCCCCCTAGCTTTCGATCCGCCCGTGAACTCGTGGACATTGTGATGTGAGAAATGTGTTTGTCCTTTTGCATCCTTGCAGCTCTTGTTGAAGAACCAACACAAATGCTAATTGTGGAACAAAGAGTTTCTGCTGCAAGTATGCAGGAAAGTATATCGAACTCTTCCGTTCTGACGGGGGCGGCCGAGTATTCGTATCAAAGCATGTCTGCGTCTAGCATGTCGGCCATGACGGCTGAGTCAGTGGTGTCCATGAGCTCCAGCAGCCACGTCATGGAAATGTCTGCTCACTCGCATGCCGATGTCTCCTCCTCCTCCTCCTCCTCACTGAGGCTCAAACGAGGTGAGATGCTTCCATGTGTATGGTTACTTTGATTCGAAATAACAGGATGTAGAGATGTTTGTGAGTAAAGAGGTGATAATGAGTCCTGCTCATTTAACAATAAGGCTCATATCATCAACTGGATTCTGAAACTTTTGCATCAAGGGTTCAAGTCATAAAAAATAAATGTTTGTAATATTTTAAAAATAAATATTCAGTGATGGTTATGAAGAATTATAAACAATAACCAATGCTAATGTAGTAGGTTATTGACTCATTCCATAAGATGGGACTCAGTGAACATGAAGTTATGATAACAGTTAAGAAACTGGTCAAACAAACAAACCAAAAAAAAGGCCGCCAGAAAGATTTTTTTTTTCTCCAGTTATCCAAATGCCACCAAATTTGCAGGTGATGATGAGAAAATTACTCTTATTATTCTTATGATTCATTACATGTTAAATTATAGTGTTCAACAGTAAGATAACCGATAAGACTGCATTAAAGACAGTTAATAATAAGGTTAATAATTATCTTTTTCTTATGATTATTTTAATTAAGCTCTTGTTCACACATTTGAATTCTTGACCTCTGACCTCATCCTCCTCCTCGTCTCCAGGCGCCCCCCCGAAGATTGAGAACCTCCCGCGGGACGTCAGCACCGAGCCGGGCCAGCCCCTGAGCGTGGCTGGGGTTTTCTCTGGAGATCCCGCACCTTCGGTCCAGTGGGTCCGCTCGGGGCAGCCCCTCCCTGACAGGGACGGCCGGTGCCGTGTCGAGACCGGCACCGACCTCTCCACCCTGGTGATCTCTGCGGTGAAGGAGGCCGACGGCGGCGCCTACACCCTTCGGCTCTCCAACGAGCTCGGCTCTGCCTCCGCCACTGTCAATGTGCACGTCCGCTCCATGTGAAGAAAAAAAAAGAATTTATTATTCCCCCCCAGTTTTTCTCCCTCAACCAGAACCTTTTATTTAGTGAATTAGCAACGATAACCTACATAGTAAAGCTCTGGATTCCTGTTCTTGTAAATATGAACTATTTTTGCACCAAACTTGACATTAATTTATGCCAAACTAGACTCAAGTCTAATGTTGTTATAAAATGTGTTATATTGGACAATTAAGGCTTTTAAAAGATTTTTAAACAACTTTTCTGACATGTACATAATGTATATAGCCGAATTGAACGGTTATGGGAAATGTATGCATTGTTATTTATGACAATAATATATGAACTGAAACTAAGTGAAACTAAGTGTAGTTTGACGGGAGAAAGTTCCTCAAGGAATGAATACCCCGTCAGACGGAGAAACTAAACTGCGCCTCAACCACACGTTGAAGTCTGAAGCTGCCTCGGCGGGTCGAGAGGCTCCCCGACGACGTTACACCACGACAAAGGTCCCCACGCGCTCCCCCGCGAGCGGCACACATATTTATTAAACTTTCCTACGAGTCGCACCGCTAGTGTTAAGGCCCCAGGCGCCGTTTGCGTACCCTCACGTTTAGCGGCGTCTAGAGCTCCAACCGACTGACGCCAGGACGGCGGCGGGGCGCGAGCGGCACAAGTCGCTTCGCCGCCGTCCAGCAGCGGGTTTATTTTAGTTTAAGGAGCACCGCTTCCTCCTGGCCATAATGAGTAAGAAGTGAAGAGGAAGCGGCGCTGCCTCTTGGAGGATGTCTAGCTAGCTAATCTTGAGTTTGTGTGTTCAGAGTGTTGTGTGTGTAGCTTTTAGTGGTTTCAGGGTAGTCTTTGTTCTCCACAGCGACACCATCTCCTGAGAGAAGACGAGAGGCCCTGCACTTTGATTTATCTGAATATCTGTACCTCATCCTCCTTGAGTTTAATGTATTTCTGATTTAATAAAGCATGATTTCAGCACCATTCACCTTCTCCCCTTATCCTTCTGTGTTCTACTCCTTAAATGTGTGGGTCGATCAGAAGAACCAAGGCTCAGCTCCCTTCTCTCTTTGTCCAAGCCGAAAGAATCAACTGGCTCGAGTTTCAAAATTCCCAAAAATATTTCATATTTACATAAATACAATTACAAAGTGAAATGCGATAAGAGTTTTCTTTTTCTTCATGTCCCTTACTCACGTATCTGTCCATGCTCGATTCTGTCCCCGTTGATTTAAAAACGGAGCATGGAAGCTGAACATGGCGTTAGCGCGTAGCTAACTAGCTAGCTAAACGTCCGGGCTGCTCGTGGTTGCTCTTGTTATGTTGTTAAAACGGCGCCTCTCGAGACTCGATCCAGCCCCAAGAGCGCCGCGTAGGGCGGCAAAGGGCCCTAAGCTGAATGTAATTCAGGACTCTAAAATTATATTTGCTGCGGCGCGATGCTCCCCATCGTCCTGCAGACACCCGTATCCCGAACTGTACAATACATCCTCGTACCTTTATTGCGACCGGTCCGGGAAAGATCTCGCACTTTTAACAAACAGCATACAGCCATATATGTTAAAATATGTGAGCAGGCATCTTGTAAGTCATTTCCACACCATCTTCAAACTACGAACCTGCAAAATGTTTTTATATTTTATCTTGACCTGCTGCCAGGATCTTTTTTGTCCAGTCTTGTTTGTTCTGTATGAACATTAATTGTAGAAAGATATTTTGTTCTAAAACATATTCTCGCATCGTGAATAAGTGTTTGAAATTAGTCTTTTGAGTAAATTTCCAGAGGAACATTAATTCCCTCTGCTCACTTTTAAGGCAAAGTAGGCAAAATAATAATACATTTTATGTGTATAGTGGTTTACATGTTAGGCTACTCAAAGACACTTTACAGTAAAACCAGCACATTTAGCACACAAACACAGCAATAAACCAACACATAAAACCAGAGGTCTTCAACAGGGGGTCCGCGGAGGTACTGCAGGGGGGTCGCGAAATTTTTGGTTGATGAGACAATTTTTTTTCTACAAATTTAAATGTCTTCAGAATCAGAATTGTATTTATTGTCTTTATTGTTACACATTAACATAAATCCAACATATTGTAGCGAATGGATAAATTAATGGAGAAGCTGGGCACCGGTTCATTCAAAGCTCCTTTCATGCTGATACGACAGCACAGGCACCAGCCAATCAGATCACGTTCATGCTCACGTAAAAGCGCAAAGCTCAAAAATAAAAGATGGCGGACGAAACTCTGTAGAATAGGGGGTCCCTGCTCCATCAGTTTGGGGGTCCTTGGCCTGAAAAACGTTGAAGACCCCTGCATAAAACAATCATTAAAAGCAATTCAAAATCCTTCCGCATTCAGTCGGATCGCGATTGTCTGCCAGGCTTTTTCTGTTTAATTACAGCTGCCGTATTCCCTTATATGCTTCACCTCCTCATAAGTTTCTATAATTAGTTATAAAATATACTGCGCACGTCTTCTCCATTTCTGCATCAGTAAATCTGTGATGGATACCGTGGTCTACTTACGTCTGTTCAACCGTGAAACATCAACGTGCCAAAAAACGTCAATTTATTGATAAATGTGTCATGTTGTAAGTAAGGTTGAAAGAGAGACGATATTAACATTAAGATTTTCATAATAACTAATGAACTGGTCGGCGAAATTTGACATGATTTCAATGTATTTAATATTTCACTTAAAATGTTATAAATCTGAAACTACGGACTATGTGCTGTTAAAAAGATGTTTTTTTGACATAGTAATGCAGGTAGTTTGAAACACTTCTGTTAAACACGTAACTCTGCTCACATCTGTAACTAGTTCTTAGACGCTTGCAGAGCTTCGACCGAATGCAGCACGAGGCGAAGTTTCTACGGGAACAGAGCGACATGAACGGGTTGATAGAACCACGACTACCGGCTCCAATGCTCCGTAAGTACGGGAGTGTTTGAATGAAGCACACCTGGAACTATAACCAGTTGTGTTACATGTGGTGCCAACTCAAAGCTGTTAGCCAGGTAGTTTGCTAGTTAGCATAACGTTAGCTTGTATGCATGCTAGCGTTCAGCGTGATGAATATTTTCCGTGTGTTTTGTTTTGCGATTGCGTGGTTGTTGTACCCATTTAATGAACCAGAGGGACCTTTTACACACAAGGGTTCTGAGACATCTATAAATGAGGGTTCTAACACACCCGGTACTGTTATGTTATATATATTTTTTTAAATCACAGCGATTTATTCGCTCGTTTCGCTTGTTTGCTTCCCACGCGTCCTGTCCTTTGATTCATACGCGAATGAAGCGGCATTACGTTACAGGTCATTTAGCTGACGCTTTTATCCAAAGTGACTTATGTCACAGGCCGGCTCATAGCCTGTGGCAAAAATGTGGGGACACGAACAAAAGGTATAGGCCAATCAAAAAGGTTTTCTTTATTGTAAACCAAAACTATTAACTTTAAACAAAGAAAAAGGAATGAGGTGTGAAAATGTCATAATGTAAGGTAAAGTGCAGGGATGCGGGAATCTGTGTGTGTAAAACTACAAAGGAACAAACAAAACAGGATCATACCTGGAGGAGCAGAGAGACAGAGCACGGTTAGTGAAGCAGTTTACATGAACCTTAGGCGAAAATTCAGTCAGGAAGACTGGACGTTCCCTGGGGGCCTCCTCTCTCCCTGGGGGCGCACGGCCAGCTGATTAGGGGCGGGGGCGGGTAGTATCAGACGTGGGTGTCGTTACCGTAAACCAATCGCATTGGGGCAGGCAAACGTTAAAAAACTGTTCTCTTCTCTTTTGCCGTCAGTTGTCATTTCAGCACGCCCCAAAGGTGACCCGCCACCACCCCCAAAGGTGACCCGCCACCACCCCTGACACCTCCAATCTACAGCAGAACCTGGCATAGCAGGAGGGTTATGCAACTTGGGCTCTACCACCACCACCACCACCACCAGTGTCTGGACTCCCAAGGGGGGGATATGCCTCGTCTCGGCTCGAGATCCCGGCCCCGGGTCTATTCTGCGGCAGGATGGAGTCCAAGCCCCAAACAACTTGCAATATCATATTATACCTGTTATAATAAAGTATTGTTCAGATTTCAACAAGTCTCTCCGGATTGAAATACCCTGAGCCCAGGTGGCTCCAATCACCAACCACCCTCCTCTGCCTGCAGTAGGAACCGCCCCTGCCAGGAGAGGAGGGGCCATGACACTTACATTACATTTTGAACCCACAGTTTTTACATTTGTTGGATTCGCCAACCTTGCGGTTCCCGGCACACCCTCTCTACTCCACGCACCACCGTCGACCTCACCTGCTTGCGCGAGTAATGCGCGGCGAAAATTTGCTTCGCTTTTGGTGTGAACATACCATTACACCGGGCTTACTACTCTCAATATTAGGATTATTTCTGTCATAGGATTTGAATGCACTGTACAGCTTTAAGTTGTTCATACTGTACATCCTAACTTCTCTGCTGGTTTCTCCCAGTTGAAGGTTTTTTGTTCTTCACTTTGGGGGGAGTTGTGATGGGATGCGATGTGATGCTTTTGGGACAGGATGTCGCATGCTTACAGACTCTCTTATTTTTGATTTTGGGCTGAACAAAATTTAAATGATTTGACTGGAATAAACACATTGACCAGAGGAATGTGCACGTGAGGGGGGTTCTGTGCAAACTGACTCCCTTTACACAAAGAATCATCAAGCTGATTTCAGGTATACTATCCCAATTCAAGTGACTCAGAGCCAGATCTGGTTACAGAATCTGAAAGTGAAGTGCCAAAGATTCATACAAATGGGCCACAAACACAGAATTCTTAATGAACTTGGCCATGTTGTTTCTGAACTTTTAATTTCATAGTTTAGTTTCATTATAGTTACATTATAATAAAGGCGTAACTTGTGATGAGTCTTTGCATCAAGTCTAAACGATCTACATTATACTGAAGTAATACACAACATTTTCAACAAGATCCCAGAAGACTTATATCACTTACAATGTTTTATCAACAACAATGTGCACCAACATACATAGATAAATATGTATTAATGAATATTAAACAGTAACGGAGCAGCAGAGCTTAGAAGACAAAGAGATGTCAGAAATAAAATGCTTAAAAGCAAGTGTGTTCCTAGATATAACCATGCTGAACATGGTTATATCTAAATGTGTCCTCTGCATTGATGGCTATGTGAGCTACAGGCCGTGACTTTAAAGGGACGATCCAGACCACTCACTAGAACCAGTTAGCAGGAAGCTAAATGTGAGCACACACACTTTAGATTTGGGATTAGTTAGATATGACGATAAGAGAAGTCCCGCTAAGCTGGTTGCATACTTAGTTAGCTAATCGCTAGCTAGCTATGTATGCTGTCTGTTATATTGCACATTGACCTCAAGGAGAAAATGTGATTCACTCTCAAGCTGAATATCTGATCACACAAAGTGTACTCCGATACTGTGAAGATTAAACATTCGGCTTCCAGAGCAAGACTAGAAAGGCTTGGATAGCTAAACCAGGGCTAGCTGACAACCGACTAGATGAACCAGAGCCAGCTAACCAGCTAAACCAACATATCTGCCTTCACACATGTGAAACATCTGTATGTACATCATTTGCATATCTAAAAACAGTACAAACGGTAGAAAATACAAAAATAAGAAAACAAATACATTTTAAAAAGTATGTTAAAATACACTAAAGGTAAAACAAAAGAATGATTATATGTATGTTGAGGTAAAGGAGAAACATGACCTGATACAGAAGTTGTGTGTGTAATATAATAAAATATTAAGTATAATATCTGTAATTGCACGTTTTAAGAATCAGTTAGAGCTTTGACACATATAACTTCAAAAGATCAACTTAGCATTTAAAAAAAAACATTTCAGAACATAAATATGAAAAGGCAGAAAATGCAACTTTTATTTTAGTCTTTTTTTTATTTTAGTCTATTTTATTTTCTCTTTCTTTTGTAAAATGTCAAGCCAAACTCTGATATTGTAGAAATCTGCATCTGAATGCATTCATAAATAATCCCATACAATTATAAGTTTCATGGATCCACTTTTCAAAGAAGAGAATCACTTGTTTAGATTTTAATTTATGTAAAGCTGTTTTGGGTCCAACAGCTTTTGGATGGCAAGCAGGTAGAGCCAGTAAGTTATAGTAAGTTTTCGAAGATCAGGATCTTTAATTCTCTTCTCGTGGTACTTTCTTAGACCCACTGAGAATATATGAGTGCTTTAACTCTGGGTTCCATCTTTCTTCTGATATAATCTCATCTTTTCATACACTAAATAAAGATTTAAAACGTGAGAGCGCTCTTGCCAATGGTTCCTGAGCAGGTCACGCAGGTCACAAGGCCGGTGGAACGTGGCTCATCTCCATCTTCTCCACTTCCTCTCTCCTCCCAGCAGGTGAAGAACGTGGTGATATGAGCTGACTGCATAGTAGAGCTTGAAAGCTTGAAAGCAACAGATTCCAAAATAAATACCCAGATTAATATAGTATGGTTTGTAGAAACTCTAGATAATGCTAACTTTTGTTTAAAGTTCTTCAAAATACAGTGGAAGACCTGATCTTCACCAACAAGCTACTGATGGCTTTTACCTGAACATCTAGCTGGGAGGAGCCACCTGGCCCGGATTACTGACACTATCGGGGTCAAACCTATAAGTGGCTGTATTTGGCATCCCAGGAAGGCCTATCACGGAGAGGCTGTGTCTGATGCTCTATTGATCCTCTTGACTTTCAGCTTGGATCCTGTAGCGTAAAGGCCCATGATGTCCAGGAAATGCTCCTAGGTGATTGGCTGCTGTTACTAGTAGGCGTGGCTTACTGGCTCCAGGTAAGGCCTTGACCCTTCCTGGGGAACAACTTTACCCATGAGGCTGATAACGTACGTTCCTCTCTCGTAGATGTCTGGCCTCCTACTGCAACACATTGTGTGGATATTTTGGCCTGATAGGTTGGTTTGGATTGGTTGATAACTCAAAAAGCCCCAAATCTCTTCCCGGGTAAAGCCCCCAAACTACTGGAGGTGTCCTGTTCACTCAATTTTCTACCATAAAATAGAAGGAAAGAAGTAAAGAAAAAAACAAAATGTGCTCTTCTTTTAGAAGCGGGTCATTCCGTCGGGTTCGGAGGTTGTGGTCGCTGTGCACGCTGTGCCTCCGCCTCCCACCAGAAACACTGCCATGCTGGATTTGGACTGATTGATCTTGGGGAGGCTTCCTGCTCCATGAGGACCGGAAGGTAAATGGTAGAACTCAAAATCCGTTTCGAGAGCTGTGTCTGTAGAGACGAACCAGGAGGCGGGACGCCATTTCTTCAGGGTGTACGGAGTCTTGACGCGACGTTTTATTTTCTCTCCCGAAGAGTTCAGACTGCCGTCATCTGTCGAGGGGAACGCAACATGAGTTAAAGTCACAGGTAGAACATGTTTAAGGAGGGATGTGAGTAACTAATTGGTTCTTCAGTACTTCATCTGGACTCACCTGAGGAGATGCAGGACAGGTCCAGGGAAAGGGGACGCTCAGGCCTCTTGGCTCGGGCCTTTCCCATCTGGATCCGCAGCACACCTGGAGTTTCTGGATCCGAGACGGGACTATGTGGAGCCGCAGGTTTTGGAAATTTAACCTCAAAAACTGAAGCTTTTGGATTCACTACTGGAGCTTCCAGATGTAAAACTGGAGGTCTTAGAGCTTGAAGTTTTGGACCATGGGTCAAGGCATTCAGAAACAGAGCTGTTGAAGATGAGGTGTTTGGGTCTTGTGAAACTGGAGATCCCGGGCCCTCTGGTGCCGGCACTGGAGCTGAGCAAGAATCTTGATTTCTACGGTCTGGAACCAGTGCAGTGGTAATGGAGCGGACCAGGTGAGCTTCTGGGCTTCTGGATGATCCAGGGCTCGGTGCTGGTTGTGCAAAACAGGCTGTCTGGACACATGGGAATGCATCAAGACCTCTATCCTTTGCTGTTGGGTCAAGGTCCGCTGAAACCGGAGACTCACTCATCTGCTGACTTGCTGGGCGTAGCTCTGGTTCTGGACCTTGGTGGACCTCTGAACCAATCATTTTCTTATGTGTGACCTTCAAACCCTGGATTGTCACATTGGATGCCGGCACCGCACTGTTGTTGTTGTTGTTGGAGTTTGAGCCTTGACCCGACCCTATTATGCCCATTTGTGACTGATGATGACGATGATGAAAAGGAAGGAGAAGAAGCTCTCTTTCGGCCAGTGGATGCTCTCTCTTCAACAGTGGTTTGTGTTCGTCCAAAGAGTTGAGCAGGTTCAGGTTGTCACATCCGACCATCTGGTCCTCCATCTTCTCCTCCTCCTCCAGCTGTGGACCGGCTTGATTGGTTTGACCTTCTCCCGTCATGCCGCTCGTCACCAAGGTGGGAACACTGGCGCTGTAGCTGTTCTGGTCCACCTTGGAGTAAACCCGACCGTTAGGGGAGAGGGCGCCTCTTGCGCTGATGTTTTTGGTCACCGTGGTTACCTGAATGGGTGCTACAGGCATGGCGACCATCACAGTGTTCATTTTAGCAACGCCTGTTTCCACCTGAAATACAGGAAGTTATGGATTAGTGACACAACTAAACATAAGTTAATTATTTTGAAGCTATGATTATCAACCAAAAAAACACCAAAGCCTTAAATAACTCTAGAACTCTAGTAAGGTCCTGATTTGGGTTTCAATCAATTATCCACCTTTCAGTTCTTCAAAGTGAAGTCAGAGCTTCATGTGTTAGTAGATCCTCCTATACCTGTCTGTGGTATGACTTGAGCTTTCCCAGGTTAAGTCGAGAAGAGGCGTCACTGGTTCTGGGGAGCAGCTGGAGACTGGTGGGCCTGTGAGGCGGGTTCTGCTGTTTGGAAAAGGGCTGAAAGGAGGAGGGGGGAGAGTCGAGCCAACCTACGACCCCATGTTCACCCTGGAGATCCAGGACCGAGTTCACCTATAGGTAGGACAGGAGCAATGTTACATGGCACATTCAGAAAGGTACAGTTGGGATCAAAAGTTTACATACACTTGTAAAGAACATGATGTCATGGCTCTCTTGAGTTTTCCGTTATTTCTACAAGTCTGATTTTTCTCTGATAAGAGTGATTGAAACAGATACTTCTTTGTCACAAAAAACATTCACGAAGTTTGGTTCTTTTATGACTTTATTATGGGTTAACAGAAAAAGTGATCAGATCTGCTGGGTCAACAATATACATTTTTTAATTGGTTACATGTCCCATGGCCATTTTCACTTCAAATAAGACGCTTTTGGTAGCCATCCACAAGCTTCTGGCAAGCTTCTCGTTGAATCTTTGACCACTCCTCTTGACAGAATTGGTGCAGTTCAGTTAAATTTGATGGCTTTCTGACATGGACTTGTTTCTTCAGCATTGTCCACATGTTCTCAATGGGATTTAAGTCAGGACTTTGGGAAGGCCATTCTAAAACCCCATAGAATGGCTAAATCCATTCTATTACCACTTTTGATGTGTGTTTAGGGTCATTGTCCTGTTGGAACATCCAACTGCGTCCAAGACCTAACCTTCGGGCTGATGATTTTAGGTTATCGTGAAGAATTTGAAGGTAACCCTCCTTCTTCATTATCCCATTTACGCTCTGTAAAGCACCAGTTCCATTGGCAGCAAAACAGCCCCACAGCATAATACTACCACCACCGTGCTTGACGGTAGGCATGATGTTCTTCCTGATCGTGGCAGTGACAAAACAGTGCCATGCACCCGGAGGACCCGGATTCGAATCCCACACGTACCTATCTGCTTTCTTTTTTTCTTTTGTAATGCAAGTCTATCCGACAGGCGGGGATGGGGAGGACAATATGGCCGACGGTGGGGGGGGGGGCGAGGCACGGACGTTACGGCGGGGTGAGGGGCGACGATACGGCAGACGCTGTGTGGGGGGGGGGCAAAGCGCGGACGTTATGGCGGGGGGCGGGGCTACCATGGGGGTTGAGGCGACGATACGGCCGACGGCGGGGGGGGGCGCTAGCATGACGCTAACATGGGGCTAGCTAGCATTTTACTAGTAATAACAGGACCCAACTGCTGACAAGTGGCTAAAACAGCCAGAATAAAATGAGTCATGTCTTTAGTTTGCTAGCTAGCCTTTGTCCTTTGTGGCTAGTCTTCACTTGCCTGCTTGGCCGTTTCATGCGCAGGCACCTGCGGGCAGTCTAGGCCACACTCTGCTGTATTTTCTAGTTCGCACTGTTGCTCTTGGGACCTGGAGCTGCTTTGAAATGGCTCCAAGTGACTTTCCTGACTTGTTCAAGTCAATGATTCGCTCTTTCAGATCCATGCTGAGCTCCTTTGACTTTCCCATTGTAGCGTTTGTGGGCGTTTGTGTCCAATGAGCCCTATTTAAATGGCCTCAGAGAAGTCACCAGCTGTAGTCACTCACAAGAAGTTAAGAGGCCATGCTATGAAGCTCATTTCATTGAGTCATGTTCATGTTCATATTCATGTTGCTGTATGTATATTTTTGACCCAGCAGATTTTGTCACGTTTTCTGTTAACCCATAATAAAGTCATAAAAGAATCAAACTTCATGAATGTTTTTTGTGACAAAGAAGTATCTGTTCCAATCACTATCAGAGAAAAATCTGAATGTTCTTTACAAGTGTATGTAAACTTTTGATCATAACTGTATTAGTACTTTAAGTAGTAGTAGTGCTATAAGCCTCCAGACCTGATTGTGCGACAGGCTGTGAGTCTCTTGCTCAGTTGGGCCAAACTGCTTCTGTGAATGTTCCATCAGGATCTCGTCAGAACCTTCCCTCAGGTTCTTCCGGACCTATGGAGACAGGGAAAGATGTGTAATGGCTGTGGGGACACCTAGCTTGCTCAGTAGACCATGAAGATGGAGACCTCCTCTGGCTTCAGTTTCACGGCCTCCAGGTCTTCTTCGGACAGATGTACCAGGACTTTGGACCCGGGGACACCTGCATCAGGGGCACATTCAATTCCTGTGGAAAACGTCCATTCTAGATTAACAAGACACATCCATGTTGGTGTGTGTATGCGCTTTTTTGTGTGTGAGACTTACCAGGCTCAAAAATCGAGCAGAGGTTGGAGGCAGGTGTCAGGGTGGTGTTGGAAAACATATAGATATCTGATGTGGATGATCGAGTCTGAGACAGATAGAGAGACATATAATAAATAAGGTTAAATATAGTTAGATAATAAAGTATAATAAAGTCTACAATGTATTTTAATAAATATAGTTTACTATATATAAATACAATTACATAAAATAAATACAATAGATATGATTTAATATCACTAAATATATAAATATGATAGGCGGCACGGTGACGTGGTGGTCAGCACTGTGGCCTCACAGCAAGAAGGTCCTGGATTCCACTCCGCCCAGAGGCCTTTCTGTGTGGAGTCTGCATGTTCTCCCCGTGTCTGTGTGGGTTCTCTCCGGGTTCTCCGGCTTCCTCCCACAGTCCAAAGACATGATCAGGTTAATTGGGGACTTTAAATTGCCCGGAGGTGTGTGAATGTGAGTGTGAATGTCTCTGTGTAGCCCTGCGATTGGCTGGCGACCAATCCAGGGTGAACCCCGTTTCTTGCCCGAAGTTGGCTGGGATGGACTCCAGCCCCCCCGCGACCCTGTTTGCAGGATAAGCGGTTTGACAATGGATGAATATAAATATGATGAAAGGTGGTACCTGTGCCTGCAGTCGCTCATAGTTGATGGCGTTTCGGTTTTCACAGCCTTCTGCTGCACTCATGGTGGTCTTGACAACCGCTGCTGTGTTACCGTCTCCCAGGAGATTGTTGGCCACGCCCACGTTGAGATCCTCAATGTCGGTAGAGGCGGCGCCAACCGGAGAAGGCCACCGGACCTGAGACCGATTCCTGAGAGAGATATCAGTTTTACTGTATATGGGTGTGTAGTCGTGTACCTCTGGTTGTCTAGTGCACTGTGTGCAGTGGCGGCTGGTCCATAGAGGGCCATGGGTCGTGGCCCCACCTTGAGCCACAAAAATATATATATATTATAATAAAAGTACATTTAACAAATAGTTAATATTTGTGTATTTGAAATATGGAATATACCCAGTAATATTTGTAAGATATCTGTGCAAAATATAGGCTTTTCCTGCATGTCCACCTCGCCGCTTGTCTCAACTGAGCTCAGGCCAGGTCCCAAAACGGCGGGTCCGATGCTACGTTCACACCGAACATGACGCGAATGTGTCGCGTCACCTCAAACGCTCTAAACGCGCCGCAGGACTCTCGGAGTACATGTGTGGTCAGTTTGCATGTATCGCGTATTCGCGGCCAAGGCGACTGAGAGGGGGCGTGGTTTATCACCCTGAAACAGATCTACTTTCCTCCATTAAAGCATCCGTAGGCGCAGACAGCTTCTACAGGAATTGCGTCTGGATGACTGCCGGTTCATGGTTCTAGCCGTTAGCCCATTTGATAGCTCCTTGGCTCGGATTGGGCACCGGACTTCACCCCCTTCACATTATACTTCCAAGCCGACGGAACTGTCCCCTGGAGAGACATCGTATGCTCAAGCACAACCAAACGGCTCTTTTAAGAGCCAGACACACAAATCATTGAGCAAACGTCCTTTATATTACTTAATATTTAGCAGTGTGTCGTTTAACAATACAATTACCCTACACTTTATTGTACTAAATTCAGTGCAGTGATGGGATGCTGTAAAAATGCATATATGGCTGTATGCTGTTTGTTAAAAGTGCGAGATCTTTCCCGGACCGGTCGCAATAAAGGTACGAGGATGTATTGTACAGCTCGGGATACGGGTGTCTGCAGGACGATGGGGAGCATCGCGCCGCAGCGTCCCAGCGTTTTGTTGGCAAAGATGGAATATTTCAACTTTGCGTTTTGCTGCGTTTGGGCGTTTGACTTCTGTGCATAGACTTTGTATGTAATCCTGTTCGGTGTGGACGTACCATAAGAAGCAGTTAATGAGTGACTTAAAATATAATTTTAGAGTCCTGAATTACATTCAGTTTAGGGCCCTTTGCCGCCCTACGCGGCGCTCTTGGGGCTGGATCGAGTCTCGAGAGGCGCCGTTTTAACAACCTAATAAGAGCAACCACGAGCAGCCCGGACGTTTAGCTAGCTAGTTAGCTACGCGCTAACGCCATGTTCAGCTTCCATGCTCCCTTTTTAAATCAACGGGGACAGAATCGAGCATGGACAGATACGCGAGTAAGGGACATGAAGCTCTTGTCGGAAGAAAACTACAGAGAATAGCGAGACACACGGATTACACCACTACCGTACGCTCCAGTATAAAGGCGCAGCGTGAATAACGTGCGGGCTTGACTGTGTTTGGAAGGCTGGTTGACCGCAGCGATAAACTCCGTCACGTCGCCGTGTTAAACTTAACATCGCTACCCAGCTGCAACGCACACAGGACTGCGGTGAGGACACAAATAGAGCACATGGATGAAAACAGGGACATTTTATCAAAAATAATTCATTGTGTGAAGTGGTGATACCTTTTTATACCTTTTTGCATTGAATCATACTGGGGATGTTTACTGAAATTGATTAGCTGGCCCTACCCAAAAATAATTCCACCAGCCGCCACTGACAGTGTGTGTCCCTTTTGTGTGTGTGTGTCTGCGTGTACCTCTGGTTGTGTACCAAGCTGTGTGTAGTCAGCAGTGTGAGGTCACACAGTCTCTCCTCAGCACACTGAGCAGTGAGACGAGCTTCAGCGTCTTGATCCCAACAATCCTCCATCGTCTCCTTCAGGGAGCGCAAGGCCTACAAGTACACGAGTACTCAAGCTCACAAGTACACAGAGTACCACTGACATTACTACGACTTCACTCAAAAAAACGATACATGTGCCACATTCTGCGCTTTTAGCGTCGTTCTGCTGACTGAAATTGGCTGCAACGTCATTTTTTATGGCTCGGGTGGAAATCCGTATTCGGTAAGTAACGTCAACTGTTACGTTGTTAAATAACGCTTGCACACAAGTTGTGAAACGTTCTTAATAAGTTAAACCAGGGAAATTCCGCTCCATTTTACTAAAGTCTGATTTGGCAGCATTCAAGCTAGTTAGCTGAGCGTGTTTAGCATCATGACCAGAGGTCAGTCATCTTCAAAACCACGAGGGGAGTCAGTCCCTGTCAGCGTCCTTCCCTGTCACTTACCACGGCTTCAGAGCAAGACCAACATTCGCCGCTTTAGCTAACGTTAGCTAACGTTGACTAGCGCTAGCTAGAGCAGCGCATGTTTCTTAAGGTAAGTTCAGTCTTCATGTTTCACCTGTAAGTTTTTTAAAACATTGACTTCTCTGTGACATTTGGAGTATTCCAGCATTCCACTTCTCTAATACATGTATCTCATCTTTTGTAGTTTGCTCAGCATCACCATGGCTCTGATGGAAACCTCTGTATGATAGTAAGCAATAGTCTGTATGCGCAATGCTTTTCACTGTCATTTGTTTAGTTGGATGTGTGCTAATTATCCCGTTCTCCTTTATAGGATTCTGCACGCAGATGTGTAAGGAATGCGGTTTGGATCTGGATTTGAGGTTGATATTAATTTACATTGTCAATCATTGAAATACACAATGCACTTGATCATTTTTGGACTTTTGTTAATTAATTTCCTGATGAGATGGTTTATTATTTTGTATTTGTTGTATTGGATGGTCAGTTCTGACTGAGAATTTGCAATAAAAACGCTTTAACTACATTATGTTTCATGTGTCTTAATAGGGGATCAAATAAGAAATGTTTAATAAAATAATTGTTTTAGTATTTGATGAAATGAGTTGGACTAATTCAACGTAATCATATTGCATGGATGTTCTTAGATTGAGTTAGGTCTACACATATTTATTGGATGGAAATCCTGCACACAAATAAATTGAGATCATCCAATGACTTACTTTTTGAGTTTAGATTGAGTTGAACGAACAACATTTTTTTATATTTGATTAATGGTATCTAGTCATTTGAGATGAATTTGATCAAAATGAGTTGGACTAAATCTATTTAATCCTATTTTGTGAATGTTCTTAGATTGAGTCGGGTCTACACATATGTATTGGATGGAAATCCTGCACACAAATAAATTGAGTTCTTCCAATGACTTATTTTTTTGAGTGTACATAGTTTTCCAGGTACCACAAGTTCACCCAAAGGAAAAGTCAACTGCTGAGAAAGAAACGCCTCATCATGTCAACAGGGGGAGTCATCTCATTTGAGGAAATGTGAGCAAAGGTGAGGACAGGACAGGTCCAAATAGGTGAGTTAAGGACAGTACAGGTGAGGACAGGCCTGAACGGGTGGGGGGAGGACAGGAACACCCACCAGGCTGTTGTCCTTCCAGGCTTCGGGGAATTTGGGTCTGAACTTTTCTTTGCCGACCAGAATCTGCATCTCTTCAAAACTGGGATGGTTCCCGAGCTCCTCCTGGAAGGCCAGCTGGTACTCTGGTACCGGGTCACCTGAGCACACACCAGGTTCAAAATACTATTGTAGTATTGATACTACACACAGAGTACTTGTAGTACTGCGTTGTGCTGCTGAGACCCACCTGGGAACAGGTGAGAGCACCTCCTGAAGCTCTCCCAGTAGAGGAGCCCCAGAGCGTAAACATCCACCTGCTTCAGCGCCGACTCGCAGTCCCTCAGGTTCAGAGCTCCACCCAGAACCTCCGGGGCCATGTAGCGCACCGTCCCCACCTGCACACACACACACAGGTGAACCCCCCCCCCCTTAAGCCCGCGGGAGTCATCCCCTGCAGCTGTCGCATCTCCTAACCTCAGAAATAGCCACGGTGTCCTCGTCTCCGTGGTGACAGGGACGGCTTCCAGTCAGCCGCATTGACAGGCCGAAGTCAGCAAGGACGCAGGAAAGGTCTGACCGGACAAGGACGTTCCTACTGGTCACGTCCCTGTGGGCCACCGCCGGTTTGTACTGGTCTGAGGGGAGAGGCGGTAGAGACCGGTATATAGACTGGTCCAAGAGAAGAGACAAGCCTGGTCTGAGGCTAGAGAAAGGAGGAACCAGTATACAGACTGGTCTGAGAGGGGGGCCTGTCTTTCTACTTTGAGAGAAGAGACCAGTCTTTTTACTGGTTCTGAGAGGGTGACCAGTATTTATACTGCTGTGAAAGGAGGAACCAATATATACTGGTCTGAGAGGATATACATAAACTAGAAAATTCTGCAGTAATTTTAAGAGTGTGGCCTAGACTGCCCGCAGGTGCCTGTGCATGAAACGGCCAAGCAGGCAAGTGAAGCCTACCCACAAAGGCTAGCTAGTAGCTAGTTTAGTATCAATATCAGTAGAAACAGCTGTAATACTAATATTATTAGTCATAGTAGTATTTGTAGTAACATTAGTAGTAATTGTAGTATTAATACCAGTAGAAATACTAGTAGTACTTTTTCCTAGTAGTGTCAGTTGCAGAGTCGCTACTAGAAGTAGTATTTTAGTACTACTACTAGGAGTCATTTTAATAGCAGTAGAAATACTAGTAGTAGAAGTGATAGTAATAGTATCATTTGTAGTAGTACTACTAGTTGTAGTAGTACAATTAGTAGTTGTTGAAGTATTAATAGCAGTAGAAATACCAGTAGTATTATGTCTGCATGAGTCAGTGCCACAAAGGCAATCAAAGACAGCCTAGCTAGCTATCTAAAGACATGAGAGATTTTCACTGGCTGTTTTAGCCACTTGTCAGCCTTTTGGTCCTGTTATTGCTTGTGCAATGCTAGCTAGCACCATGTTAGCTAGCATAGCGCCATGTTAGCGCACCGAACTCTAGACCCTCCTCCCCCCGACTACGCCTCGATATCCTGTCCATGAAGACCACAAACAAGATTGGTGACAAGGCGCAGCCCTGGCGAAGGTCAACTCCCACCGGAAACACCTTTGACTTAGTGCCGAGCACCCGAACACAGCTCTCGCTTTAGACATACAGGGAATGGATGGCCCGAAGCAAGGACCCCCTCACCCCATACTCCCGCAGCACCTCCCACAGTTTCTTTCGGGGGACCCGGTCATACGCCTTCTCCAAGTCCACTAAACACATGTAGACTGGATGAGCATACTCCCAAGCCCCCTCCATGATCCTAGAAAGAGTAAAGAGCTAGTCCGTCGTTCCATGTGTAGACACATATATCCTCCAGATGTTCCCAGTTCACCCTCACTACACGCTTGGGTTTACCGGGTCTGTCCCGAGTCTTCCCCCATCCTCTGACCCAGCTCACCACCAGATGGTGATCAGTTGACAGCTCTGCCCCTCTCTTTACCCGAGTGTCCAGAACATGCGGCCTCAGATCAGACGATACGATTACAAAATCGATCATTGATCTTTGGCCTAGGGTGTTCTGGTACCACGTACACTTATGAACATCCTTATGTTCGAACATGGTGTTTGTTATGGACAATCTGTGACTGGCACAGAAGTCCAGTAACAAACAACCGCTCGGGTTCAGATTAGGGAGACCATTCCTCCCAATCACGCCTCTCCAGTTATGTCCATCTCCACGTGCGCATTGAAGTCTCCCAGTAAGACTATGGGGTCCCCTACTCGAGCCCCATGCAGGACTCCATTCAGGGTCTCCAATAAGGCAGAATACTGTGAGCTGCTGTTTGGTACATATGCACAGACAACAGTCAAGAGTTTCCCCCCCACCACCGGAAGTCGTAGGGAGGCGACCCTTTTGTCCACCGGGGTAAACTCCAATGTAGCAGCACTCAGCCGGGGACTTATGAGTATCCCCACATCCGCCTGGCGCCTCACACCATGGGCCACTCCGGAGTAGAATGTCCATCCCCTATCCAGGAGTGTGGTTCCAGAGCCGAGGCTGTGCGTAGAGGTAAGCCCCACCAGATCCAACTGGTAACGCTCCCACACAAGCTCCGACTCCTTCCCCCCAGAGAGGTTACGTTCCATGTCGGCCAGCATCTGCCGCCCAGGTCTGTTCCTTCTAAGCCCCCACTGTCACTGCCACCCTTGTAGCAGCACAAAATGGGGGCCCTGGGCTTCCTCCGGGCCGGGTAACTCCTTCCCTCTTCCGTTTTTTCATAAGGTCTTTTGAACCATTCTTAGTCTGGCCCCTCGCCTGAGACCACTTTGCCAAGGGTAACCCTACCAGGAGCACAAGGTTCCCGACAACACAGCCCTCAGGGACCTAGGGACATATGACTGCAGCACCCCCTAGTGTTCAAATATTCTGAAGAAATCAGGGTAGACTTAATGTGAACATATTCTAGACATTTGGTGAGCAAAAACTATGACTACTTTTGAAGTTATATGTCTATTAGGCCACACCTCTTACAAACTTCATTGGTCCATAACTTTGATAAAAAATGAGATATCAACAAGCTTTTAACTTCAGATGGCGTTGAGCCAACAACCATTCCCTGAGAATTTCATGACAATCGGACCCAGCGCCTGGGAGGAGTTCGCATTTTTTCACAAAAATTCAAAATGGTGGAAAATCTAGTTAGTCGCACTTGCATACCATGATTGACTTTTTTGTAGAGCACATCCAAGAGAACCGGTGAGTACAATTTCAAGTCAATCACTGAAACTAGGAAAAAAATCTCTCTAAAGGGAGCACTTCCAGGGGGCACTAGAGAGTCATTTTTTTATCCCCAATTTTTGCACTTCTGATTCGCACGCCAAGTTTTTGTATATGATAAAGGCCTCAAAAGTGAAATTAAAGTGGAGAAATAAGAAGAAGAAGAATTCTTCAAAACACAATAGTCGGCTCAGGCCCTAACAAGGAGAATAATACCTCCTTTGTAGAGTTCAGTGTGCAGGAAGGCAAGTCCTCTCGTCACACCGTGAGTCATCCTGCAGCAGGTAGACCAGTCCACCGTGTGGTGAGACAGGAAGCCAGACAGACAGCCCTGAGACAGAGAGACAGTATATTATAAATAATAGATAAATAATGCTGTGTGTATAGATAAACATAGGTGGTTATAAACAAGCATTCTTTATGTAAGTGAATGACGCGTAGTGATAATGAAGATTTAATTTGTGTATGTGTGTGTAGTTGAGTGTCTCCCTGTGTGAGTGTGTGTGTGTCTCTGTGTGCCCATATGTGTGTTTGTGATTCAGTGGCTCCAGACAGGAAGTGGGGCTGAAGACTCCCATCACAATAACAGGATGGGAGGAGTCAGACGGCCCCGAGCAGTTAATTGTAGTACTTCAACCTCTGGCCCTCCAGTGTACATCCTCGGCCTTCGAGGGTCTCACCTGTGGGTAGAACTCCATGAGGATGAGGAATTCGGGCCTCCCGTCGGCCGCCGCCCGCTCCTCGGCGCCCAGGAAGCCGGCGAGGTGGGGGTGCTGCAGCAGCGGCAGGCCGTGGATGGAGCGCTCGTTGCAGAAGTTGTGCCGGTGGGCTGAGCTGAAGAGTTTGACGGCAATGCAGCGCTCGTTGAGAGAGCCGCGGAACACCGTGCCGTAACGCCCTCGACCAATGAGCTGTCAGGAGGGAGGAGAGCGCCGTCAGAGAAAAGCTGCTTGTGGTTCCTTATGTGTTCAGCAGGGTGTTCTGTACGGTGTCACGTCGTTCCCCTCACGCTGGCCAATCAGGGGGGAGTTGCGGTCCATGCCAGTGATTGGGGGAGGCGGTGGGAGGCAGGTGTTCCCGTGTTTTGGGGGGCTAGAAGAGTTCTATGTTGTTGTTATTGCTGTCTGTGAGTATCGAGGGAGTGTACCGATAAGTTCTCTGCTGCTGGAGAACCAAATGAAGGATTCCAGAACGTCCATTCGCCTGCGTGTGCTGAGTGACCCTCGACCCCCCGACGCTACAATATTATATTCATTATGTTTCATTTTACATTAGTATATTTTGTTATATTTCTTTATATGCTTTTTTCTGTGTTATGTTACATTTATAATCTTATATAATTTTACATTTAAGTTGTTTTTATCGGTTTCTTAAACTTTGAAAATAATGTTTGAGCCAGTCTACGTAAAAAACCGGATGATTTAATCATGATGTCTACACTACAGACTAGCTGTTCAGGTACTGAGTGTGTGAGTGTGTGTGTACCTCCAGTAGTTGCAGATGATCCAGGTCCACAGCGCCGTGTGTGTTTGCTGCCTCCATCACATCCAGAGCCGACAGACCAAGCTTCTGCTTCCCTGAATACACAAACAAATGCACTATTTAATTCATTGTGTGTGTGTGTGTGTGTGTGTGTGTGTGTGTGTGCGCGCGTGCGTGTGCGCAAGGCCACCTTTCATTGTGCGGTATCCCAGGAACAACACCACAATCACGACAGCTGCTATGGCACCGATTACCAGAGCGATGAGCGCCGTCTCCTCCTGCCGCTCGCGCTCTGTTGGATGACGACGACATCACTAAGCTTCATCTTTCTTCTACTAACGGTTTACTATATTGTCTCCTTAAAATATCATTTCATACTAGATTTTTATAAATGTTTTCCAAAGGTTTCTAAGAGAAGAGAAACCCGCTAAGCTAACGTTAGCCTGGAAAATCTGGATCTTGTCAGGGACACAAGCAAAGCTCACACAGTCATTTATTAAGCCATTTATTGCCACATGTGTTACACATGAGGAATTTGACTTATAAAATGAAGGATACAGTAAAATAAGATAAAGATATACATGCAAGAATTAACAATACAAACAGATAAGTACGTTAAAACAAGCATGTATGTCCATGTTTCCATGGTGAGAGAAACCACTAAGCAACATGTTTCTGGGGTGTTTAACGTTAACATTATTAGAAAGACAAGCTAAGCTAACCTTAGCACGGGAAGCATCTCACCTGTCTGTCTGTCGCTCTGCCCGTCTGCCTTCAGCAGCCTCAGCGCCGGGGTGTCGGCGGTCGGCGGGGCCTCGGTGAAGTTGCCGTTGCAGAGGTCTCGGCTGCAGCAGCAGAACCTGTAGCTGCCGTTCTGGACCTGAGAGGGCGTTGCGGTTACTAGGCAGCGGTCGCCATGACACTCCTGCTGGTTGCCAATGCGAGTCCAGCAACCTGGAGGACGGGAAAAACCGCATGCTGTAAGTATCTGAAAGCATATGTTATGATACAAGTGTGTTTGTGTGTGTCTCACCTTGCTTGACCAGGTGCATTTCCCCGTCTGCTCTCTTTTCCCACAATCCATAGCAGCGGGAGCCGGGGACACAGTGGACCGTGCCGTTGTCTTGCACAGCTCCTCGTAGCTCATTGGCCGGTCCGCTGAAAGGCTCCACCCCCTGGAGCTTGTCAGTGAAGGCACAGTGTCTGTCCTCCTCCTGAAGGCCTGAACACAGAGGGTTAACCGGTGTGTCTCTGGAAACAGGGTCACACCAGAACGCCTCTTCTCTTCAAGAGGACGATGACATGATAGAAGCTGCCTCAGGCCGATGTTCTCTCTATTACTCCAATGTCCTAACATCTCGTCTCTCAAGACATTGTTCCACTGATTTCCAGTCTGAGCAACACAAACTCTTCACAGCTGATCTGAGCTTTGACTATGAACCCGACCCGAATCCAAGACCCGGGCCTCAGAGCTCCACAGAGACCCAAGTCCAAGACCCCCGCATCCACACTAAATATTTCATATGAACATATTTTAAACAATGTGTTTTGGTCAAGATCATCTCTCCAGAGGATGAACCCTTCCGGATCTTTCCTCTAGCACACCTTCAGGATTAACTCTCATTTATCTGGCTTCAGATGTGCAAATGATCAAACGTCTGCTGTGAATCCTAAAGTCCTTCACGGCGGCGTCTCAGGAATCTGACTGACCCTCCCAACCGCTGTTTAGTCTACTGTAACACACACACGCACACAGGAAGGTGGAATGTGTGTGTGTCTTATCAAACAAATCACATGATGAACACAAACTGGCTGACGACAGTGTGTCTGTTTGTCAATGTGTGTCTGTGTGTGTATGAGAGTGTGTCTGTGTGTGATAATTGCAGAAGGAATTAGTTGGATAAAACAGGAATGTGAGCCGTGTTCTTGTAACTCACGTGCTGTGAGCTCACAGCAGTGCATGATGGGAGCTGGAGTTAGGGTTGCCACCTTTAGTACAGAAAAATAAGGGACGTTACGGCCTCCATTCTTTCAAATTGACATTCCATCAAGAGTCCCGACCTCCTCTGACTCTGATTGGTTAATTTCAGGTTCAGGGCCAATCAAACCAACGATGGCAGAGTGTCACCCAATACGGCCCAATAGGATGCTGCATTGAAGACAGCTCGAAAATACGGGAAAACCCCGGATGCGTTATTTCATTCTTATTTTATTTATTATCTATTACTTTTTTATTACTTATTTATTATTATTATACCGGACGATTCCGTATTTTAAGGGACGGGTGGCAACCCTATCTGGAGTCTCTCATGTAGGTGTGTCCCGAGGAGACTGATCATATTGCATATAACAGTTTCCCTCTCTTCCAGTCAGTGCTAAGCTAGGCTAATAGTTTCCCTCTGTTTCCAGTCAGTGCTAAGCTAGGCTAATAGTTTCCCTCTGTTTCCAGTCAGTGCTAAGCTAGGCTAATAGTTTCCCTCTGTTTCCAGTCAGTGCTAAGCTAGGCTAATAGTTTCCCTCTGTTTCCAGTCAGTGCTAAGCTAGGCTAATAGTTTCCCTCTGTTTCCAGTCAGTGCTAAGCTAGGCTAATAGTTTCCCTCTGTTTCCAGTCAGTGCTAAGCTAGGCTAAATGAGCCTGTACTGTATAGTGAAATAAACAGTATGAAAATGTCCTCTGAACTGACCACTGACGGCGGGCAGAAGCAGGAAACACAGACGCACTGTCAACAAAGCTCCGCCCACAGCGGCCATGATGGATCCACCTCGCTGGTTCGAGTCCCAGCGACGTCTCACTGAAACGCAGGTGAGCGTCACTGATCGTCGCTCAGATTATCCTGAAAATCACACTAATTCTGAGAGAAAACACAGAGAATAATAGAATAGTAATTAAAAGCTTTTTACATTAATTAAACGTCCATCTATAGGCTAATCACTTGTTTTAATATCTATGATTACAATTATTTACACATTTCCCTAAACTATTCCTCGATTGAGGTTATTTTGTCCACTGTTACTTACAATCATTAAAATACACCAGCAGCTAGCATAGCACAAACATGCTTGTGCCAACTGACAATGCTACGCTACGTAATAATGTAATGTAACCTATGGAAGAGGAGCAGGCTTATGTAAGGGCCCATTTTATTTTTATTCTTTTTCATTCTTATATTACACTAAGGAACCAAGTCAAATTGCTCTCTGTACCATATGTGGCAATAAATGGCTTCTGGTTGTGAAATATATACAGTTATCATATTTAATATAAAACAAATGGGCTGACCGTTAATCAGCTGTGACTGTAATATTTCAGTGTGACCTTCATGCTCCATGCTCTCTCTCTCCAACACACCTGCATCATACATGTGGAGGCGCGTGTGCGCCCTTTAGAGTCACTGATCACAGCACCGATATCGAATTATTGATCAGCAGGTGAATTGACAGCTGAGGGCGGAAGGGCGTGGCTCATCGCACGGTCAACGTGTGACCGCCGACCGACTGACCGGTGCGCGCGCGTTCTTACCGGGAGGAAGACTCCGGGCGGCTATGAGATGAAGCAGCCTGTCTGCTGTCTGCCTCTTACGGCTCGGTGTGGCTCGGCTCGGCTCGGCTCGGCTCGGACTCTCCTCTGCGTGTTGGCTCCGGATCAGCAGCAGGTTTGTGGATCAGAACCAGAGGGTCCAGAGACCGGAATGAGGCTGGGTTCGTCTGCAGCAACAGAGACGCAACAGAGTGTTGACGCCACCACGCACTGAGCTTCCGGCGGTCTCTGTCAGAATAAAAGCCGCAGCATCCCGTATCCGGTTTCTGGTGGAGGCGGACCAAGGAGCTGCTTGATTGATGGATAGAAGGATATAAACTTTATTAATCCCCGAGGGGAAATTTGTGTGCAATAGCAGCAGTACAGTAAATAAAGTGAGAATGAAAAATGCACAATATATACACAGTAAATAAAATAAAATAGCAGAGCAAATATATTAAGTTAAGTAAAAGGAGAATGTACAGTGGAATATGTATTACATTAATTAAATTAGAAAATTAAATTAAGACAGTAGTGTTGTAGTTCAAGTAAACGAGGATTTATCCAGAGGTGTTATGTTGTGTTTTGTTGTAGAGTCTTATTGCCGTTGGCAGGAATGTTTTCCTGTATCTGTCCTTGTGACAGCGGAGCTTCATCCGCCTGTTGGAGAAGGTTCTCCGTGTCCCTGCAGTGGGTGGGGAAGAGGGTGATCCGAGTTGTCCAACAACAGTTTTTTCAGTGTCCTCCTCTCGCTCCTGTTGGCAGCCAATGATGGAGCTGGCCCTCACCAGCTCCAATGCTGCTCCCTCAGCAGACAATGGCAAAGTACAGAGCACTGGCCACAACAGACTGGTAGAACATCTCCAACATCTTGCTGCATACATTAAAAGACCGAAGTTTCCTCTAGAAAAAGAGTTGACTCATCCTCTTCTTGTACACAGCGTTGATGTTGGCCTTCCAGTTCAGTCTGTTGTCGATGGAGACATCCAGGTACTTGTATTCCACCACTATGTCCACTTCCTTCTTTGGTAGACGGACCAATTGAATTGAAATTAAATTAGCAAATGTGTAAATAAAGATATGACTGAATTCAATTATCTGTCTAATTTAACCTCAGCCAGATTATAAGGACATGAAGTGCAGCGAGGATGTAAACGTTAATAACCACCATATTGTCTTCAATCACAGTTTAAATTATTCTGATTAATGAATCTGAGCAATGAATGAATGAAGCGCCGCCTAGAAATATGTTGAGGGACAAGAAGATGTTAAACAACAAGATTAAATCAACAGAATTGAATATCTATTTGTTGACTTAGTTAATGCTTTTTAGTTATGACGTCATGGGCTGCTACTCCTGTGCAGTTCATGTTTTACGTCTTTGGTGAAGTTGGTTTCATTCAGTTGGTCCTCTGTTTAACGTGAGGAGGCTGTGAAGCTGTGACGTCACCAGCAGGAGACAGCAGAGAGTCGAGAGGGAGGGAGAGAGGGAGGGGGGAGAGAGACAGAAAGGAATGGGGGGAGGAGAGAAGAAGGGAGGGGGAGAGGAGAGAGGGAGTGGGGGGGGGGGGG